TCTTGAAAGAACAAAGGCTACCTCTGTATTATAATATGCATGCAAGTGTGTGTGTTTTCCAGATTCACTATTATGTCCTAAATAAAAGTTGTATACCTGTGCAAAAATCTCACTTGCCTGTTTTAGCCGTGAGAGCTTCTTCCTCCTCCTCTCCCATTATTTCCCAGCTTTCCCCCTCATCTACCTCTGCGCTGTGATCTCCCTCAAACTCCTGTTGTAATTCTGAACAGTCTTCTTCTTTTCTGGAAGGGTCGGGCTGGGGAGGCAGTCTCCACCACTCCTCCTCTGCAGTGTCTCTGACATTTACTCAGCAAAAGGAAAAGAAAAAACTTATCCTCTTATCTCCTCTATTATTGTTACTGACCACTTGCCATGGGGAAAAGGCTGTAACTCACTGGTAGAGAACATGCTTTGAATCCAAAGATCCCAGCTTCAACCTCTGGCATCTCTAGGTAGGACTGGGAGAAAATCTTGAAACCCTGGTGACCGACTGCCAGTCAGTAAATACAGTACTGCGCGAGATGGACCAATAGTACAAAGCAGCTTCCTATTTTACAATGTGTGATGGACACAGTTTTGGCTTTATGTACTATCTCTGGCATGTATACCCTGCATAAGTTTAGAGTCGCCTGTAAATACTCTGTATACCTGAAGGAGCATCTCCACCCCCATTGTTCTGCCAGGACACTGAGGTCCAGCGCCGAGGGCCTTTTGGTGGTTCCCTCGCTGTGAGAAGTGAGGTTACAGGGAACCAGACAGAGGGCCTTCTCGGTGGTGACGCCTGCCCAGCAGATGTCAAGGCAATAAACAACTATTTTACTTTTAAAAGACAACTGAAGGCGGCCCTGTTTAAAGAAGTTTTTAATGTCTGACGCTGTATTGTTTTTAATATTCGGTTGGAAGCCTCCCAGAGTGGCTGGGGAAATCCAGCCAAACGGGCAGGGTATTAATTATTATTATTATTATTATTATTACTACTCTTCTTGATGGTAATGTTGCACCATTCTTTGGTGTGTGTGTTTTTTTAAATTGTTGATGGGCCCATATTTATAATTTTTCTTTGACCATTTTAAATTTATTTTGTCTCTACTTGGATCTTTCATATTAGCATGTTAGCTTATGCACTTGATCCCAGTTAGCAACAGAGTCGAATACCATGGCAGCATCAGTCTCGAGGCACATTCAGTAAAGCCCCAGAGCTCAGACTGGGCCAAGCTGCTTTTGCCAAGCATGAGGCTTTCTTACTAAGCAGCAGACTAATATTTATTGTGCATGCAATATGCAACAGTAATAGATAATTTGTGGAAACCATGGAAGGGAAGTCAGTCACTAATGTAATGTATATTGGAAAATGTTGGTCTAATTGTATTTTATTTTTTGATAAATAATAATAATAATAATAATAATTGTGCATTCTGAGCAGCAGCAAGCTATAAATCGAGCCAAGAATCCCCGCCAACAGTAATATTGGAGAAACGGGGGGGAGGGGGACACAGGTTTTTTCCAAAATGCTAGTCAAAAGAGCAAAACTGAAAATCTCTTGAAACTGGCAAGTTCCATTGAACCATGGCATGAGTTCTATTATAACTCAAAACATTTAGTCAACTAAACATTTACTCAACTATTTGATGAAGACAGCATGCAAGAAATCGGTTTTCTGTCAATAAAGATGGTAATTTAACATTACTATGTTGAAGTTCTTTTGCTGAATACTGTTAGGAGCTCTTTTGTCTATTTGTAAGCTAAATGGAGACAGTCTTACTACTTAGATCCCTAGTTGAGAGCAGAATACAAATGAAAATCACTGAATCCAACTCTAGAAATCTTAGAAGAGGAAGTTAAGGAGTGATATTAAAAACAACAAACACTGGGATTAGATGGATTTATTTAAAAAAAATTAAATTGTAAAGATGCAGCTAAGGAAAGTTGGAGATATCCCCCAGATGCAGAGAAAAACTGGAATAGCAGCTATTCCTAAGCCTAGAACAGGATGCATGTACTGTGGTACCTCGGGTTACATACGCTTCAGGTTACAGACTCCGCTAACCCAGAAATAGTACCTCGGGTTAAGAACTTTGCTTCAGGATGAGAACAGAAATTGTGTGGCGGCGGCGCAATGGCAGCAGGAGGCCCCATTAGCTAAAGTGGTACCCCAGGTTAAGAACAGTTTCAGGTTAAGAACAGACCTCCAGAACGAATTGAGTACTTAACCCGAGGTACCACTGTATCTGGAATCTTACAGGCCCATCGTTCTACTAAACAAAGATGCTAATTTATTCAAACATCCTTGCCAAAAGCATTAAGTGCTTTATTAAGAACCAAAAAGGTTTGTTCACAGTGGACAGAGGGTTCAGTATATACAATATATCCACAGAACTTGCCTCTGAACAATGGCCTCCCTGGAGGAAAACCGCCATGGCATTTATCCGAGACACTTTGTCTATACTGTACTTCAGACTGTGTATAATCTGTTCCTTACATCCTTACTGCTCACAGGAAACTCTCTGCAAGCAATTTAGCAACTCCTGTCTATCTCGCTTTTAATACCAACAGAAAACTGCTTTTTCAAGATTCGGAAAAGTATGGTTCAAAGAGTGGGGAACTCCATTCTCATGAACAGCTAACTCAAAAATAAGGGGTTGGTCCTACCTGTTCCAAGCAAGACATTTGTGCTTCTGACAAATTTTCAGCACTGGGTAATGAATAGATCGCATATAGCAGCAACAAGTTTTCACATTATATAACACTCTGCTTGGTATTTCAGGCAGACGGCACAGAAAAGGTTGAAATCTGCATGGCAAGAGGATCTGTAGGAACCCTTTGTCTGCAGGGGGAAAAGCTGATCCAGCATCTGGAGACAACAGCAGCCTTTCAACATGGGTTAGAGAATGCTCATTGATATCTGTCCAAAAGCTGACATTTGTCCTCACTGCAACTGCACAGCGTTGTTAAAATCCTACTTCCCAGTGTTGGAGGGCTTGTGGGAAAACAAATACAATACAGAGGCCAGTGTTGAGAGAAAATATTTAGTGCTTCTACCTGAACCTTAATGCTCTCTTCAGAGACCCTGCTCTGAGGGTCCTCACCAAAAGAAATGAGGTGGAGGACCACCTTTTTGTGGTGGCACCCCAGTTATAGAATAGCCTTTCCAGAGAAGTTTACCGGGCACTATCTTTATGGTCCTTTAAGGTCCATAAACAGCAACATCCTAGAGGTCCCAGGCCCTAATGAAGTTAGATTAGCCTCAATCAGAGCCAGGGCTTTTTCAACACTGGCTCCGGCCTGGTGGAACGCTCTGTCTCATGAGACCAGGGCCCTGCAGGATCTGATTTCTTTCTGCAGGGCCTGTAAGACAGAGTTGTTCCGCCTGGCCTTTGGCTTGGAGTCAGTTTGATTCCCTCCCCCTCTTTCTTTTTTCCTTTCTCCACCTGTGATGAGGCTGCATTTTAATTTTAATGTCGTATTTTAATCTTGTTTTTAAGTTGTATTCATTCAACTTGTTTTTATTATTGTTAGCCGCCCTGAGCCCGGCCTTGGCTGGGGAGGGCGGGGTATAAATAAAATTTATCATTATTATTATGTCTCCCACCCTGCCAAAATCTGTTTTCCAGGTGGGGCTATACCAGGGTTTCCCCAACCTGGGTCTCCAGCTGTTTTTGGATTACAATTCCATTATCCCTGACCACCGGTCTTGCTAGCTAAGGATGATAGGAGTTGTAGTCCAACAACAGCTGGAATTGGGAAACCCTGGGCTATACGAATAGACAGAGACCAAATCTAAATAAGGCAAAAGCATCCAGGAGGGTGATCTTTACATTGGTACCTCGGGTTACATACCTTCAGGTTACAGATGCTTCAGGTTACAGACTCCGCTAACCCAGAAATAGTACCTCGGGTTAAGAACTTTGCTTCAGGATGAGAACAGAAATCGCGCTCCGGGAGCGCGGCAGCAGCAGCAGGCCCCATTAGCTAAAGTGGTGCTTCAGGTTAAGAACAGTTTCAGGTTAAGAACGGACCTCCGGAACGAATTAAGTACTTAACCTGAGGTACCACTGTATTTCAGTGCTGCAGCAGGATCCCTTGCCCGACAAGTAAGGAGGGGGGCAAGAGATGCTCATGGCATAGAACAAAGAACCCTTATGCATCTTCTCAAATGAAGAACTTTAAGCTAATTGGTGACATTTTGTTGTGGCCTGCACACACTGCTCACGGCCACTTATCAACGGCTACATTCCTACCCTATCAGGCTACTTTTGAAGTAGACTTTGCTCCACAGTGGGGGCTCCTCTTGCTTATCTTCAACCTCCCTCCTCATCTGTCTCACAACTATCAGGTTGCATAAACATTAGGCATTCAATTGTCCGCCCTTGGCCTTGCTCAAATGCAAGCATTGTTCAGACAGCTGCGTTGTTCCAAATTAGTTCTTCACAGGTGCCGGGTTAATATCTTTTTATTCACATGAGCCTTTTAACTAAAACTTACGCCAGGTATCCCCAAACTCGGCCCACCAGATGTTTCGGGACTACAATTCCCATCATCCCCGACCACTGGTCCTCTTAGCTAGGGATGATGGGAGTTGTAGTCCCAAAAACATCTGGAGGGCTGAGTTTGGGGGTGCCTGACTTATGCATTTCAATCTGGGTCTCTCAGTTTTAAATTGGGGTTTGTTTGCTTAAAAAAAATAATAACATAGTTCGATATTAATGGCACCTTCAATATAAAAATTTAAAAATAATGCTTGTTGCTGCAGGACATTCATGTTTGCTGGAGTTCTTCAGTCATTGGGACATTGGTTAGAAATATGCAAACTAAAAGGGATATATTACACTAATGGGGCACAGTAGCCTGGTTGGCTCAGCAATGCCATGGGGGGCCGGAAAAGGACCAGGTAGGAACAAAGTGGTTCTGAACTCTTCTCTGTGAGCCTGCACATTTGCTTAGCTCCATAAACCATAGTTTCACAATGGTTCAAAAGTTCCTGATAACCAGAATAATAATTCCCCATATTTAATGAACTGGTATTTCATACTTTGGAATGTTGCTTGCATGGCAAGACACTCTTTGGTTAAAAATGGTAGCAAGGTTTGTTGTTTTTACTTTTTTGCAGTTTGCAATTACACATATGGTGACAGCATCAATTTGATTTCTTGTAACTACTACAGCTATATCATAATAAACATAACAAATATACACGATTTCTACTCAAGATGCCATTGTTTATATAAATATCAGGTGGCAAACTCTTGTTGTTGTTTTTAAATGCAACAGAATTTGGTAAGAAGTCTGAGGATGACTACATGTGGCTCACTAGCTCTTCCTAGACTGTGGGGCTAATAAGCATCTTCTACGTTGAAGAATTATTATGTTCAGCTGCTCAGTTTTCCTCCTGCCAAAGTGTTCTGAAATAGCTACAAATTAGACCCCTGTCTTTGAAGCTTCAAGTTTCTGCCTGGAATGAAATTAAAAGGGAAGAACGAAGATTCAGACCTAAAGCATCTGTAATCTTGCTAGGAGTCTCTCTCCACTCCTGTTAGACCTAGGTTGTTTATAAAGCCTCAGATGCCATCTTGCCCACACTTCCTTGGGAGTAACCATCACAAAACCCAGTGGGACTTACTTCTAAGCAGGGGGAAGGTTCTGGATTTACAGAAGCCATCCCAGTTTCTGATTTGATCCCAGAATGTCCCACTTTTCCTTAGGACGTCCCTATTTTGATTGGAGAAATGTTGGAGGGTATGGAGTTATCCGAGCCCTGAGCTATCTGAAGGCAGCCCTGTATAGGGAAATTTTTTAAAAAAATGTTTAATGATGTTTTTATATATGTCGGAAGCTGCCCAGAATGGCTGGGGCAACCAAGTCAGATGGGTGGGGTATAAATATAATAAGTAATAATAATAATAATAATTTCATCAGAGAAATGTTGGAGGGTATGTACATTTAAAGCACACAACTTCCCTCAAAGAAAACATGGCAACTACAATTCCCAGAATCCTTCAACTACGGTTCCCAGGATCCTTCCTTTTGCGAGGAGAGGCATGTGCATTGAACGTGCTTTGAATGTATGGTGTGTCTCTGTGTTCAAAGAATCGTACAGTTGGAAGGGACCCAAGGGTCATCTAGTCCAACCCCCTGCAATGCAGGAATCTCAACTAAAGCATACGTGACAGAGGGCCATCCAACCTCTGCTTAAAAACCTCCAAGGAAGGGGAGTCCACAACCTCCCAAGGAGGACTGTTCCAGTGTCGAACAGCTCTTACTGTCAGAAAGTTTTTCCATACATTTTGTCAGAATCTCCTTTCTTATAACTTGAAGCCATTGGTTCACATTCTACCCTCCAGAGTAGAAGAAAACAAGCTTGCTCCATCTTCCATGTGACAGCCCTTGAGGTATTTGAAGATGGCTATCCTTCTCCTCTCAGTCTCCTCTTTTCCAGATGAAACGTAGCCAGCTCCTTCAAGGGCTCCTCGTAAGGCTTGGTTTCCAGACCAACTGATCATCTTAGCTGCCTTCCTTTGCACACATTCCAGCTTGTCAACGCCCTTCTTAAACTGTGGTGCCTAGAACTGGACACAGTATTCCAGGTGTGGTCTGACCGAGGCAGAATTTATTATTATTATTATTATTATTATTATTATTATTAATACCCTGCCCATCTGGCTGGGTTTTCCCAGCCACTCTGGGCGGCTTCCAGCAGAATATTAAAATACAATGATTCATCCAATATTAAAAGCTTCCCTAAACAGGGCTGCCTTCAGATGCCTTCTAAAAGCCCGATAGTTGCTTATTTATTCAACATCTGATGGGAGGGCAGATGTGATACCATGACTTCCCTTCATCTGGACACTATACTTCTATTAGAGCTGCCATATTTCTAAGAGCCAAAAACATTTGTCGACTTCCACTTTTAACTATGGAGCGCTATGACGGCTCTCATTTCTAAGATCCATGAAGAAGAAGAAAAGGACTTGTCCTGGAAAAAGAGGACATAGAGTGGTACCTCGGGGTAAGAACTTAATTCGTTCCGGAGGTCCGTTCTTAACCTGAAACTGTTCTTAACCTTTAGCTAATGGGGCCTCCTGCTGCCATTGCGCCGCACGATTTCTATTCTCATCCTGAAGCAAAGTTCTTAACCCGAGGTACTATTTCTGGGTTAGGGAGTCTGTAACCTGAAGCGTCTGTAACCTGAAGTGTCTGTAACCTGAGGTACCTCTGTATATGGCCACCGTGTTGATGCAGCCTAGAATAGCATTAGCTCTTTTTTGCTGCTGCATCACCACACTGTTGATTCATGTTAAGCTGGTGGTCCTGGTGTTGCGCGTGCTCTTCCTATGGGTGGCCTGGCTTCTCCACCCGATCCATCTCCCCGCTGCCCTAGGGTCGCCACCAACATTGGGTAGGCTCTTTAGAGTATAATCCGGGGTGTGTGTGAGAGAGAGAAGAAAACGCCACCGAATGCATTGCTTGGCAACGCGTCTGGGATCTGCCGCATTCCGACCCGAGGACTCGGCGGGAGAATGTTTCTTTTCTGTCGCTACGTCTAAAGCGGCGCCTGCGGAACGGCGCCTTTTATTTCCATTTCTTCCCTTCCCTCGGAGCGGGGAGGAGGAGAGGAATTCGCTGGGCTTGGAAACTTGCTCCTACCAGCAGACGACGCTCCTTCCTCTCGGCTTTCCGTCCAAGCCGGCGGAAGGCAGCTCGCCTCCCTCTCGCACGGCAGAGCCAGGTAAGCTGCCCTGGGAACGAGGCTGCGGGGGCAAAGGCGCGCAACGGCAGCTGCGCGCCATGCGCGCCGGCCGCCGCCTCCTTCTCCGCCTTCTCCTCCTCCTCCTCCTCTCAGCCCCCTTGACGAAGCGGGCCTGAGGTGGAGGAAGCGGGGCCGCCGCCACTGCGTCTCGCCGGCTTGGCTGTTTTGGGGAGCGGCGGCTGCTTCTAGGCGAGGCTGCGGCTTCTCTCAGGTACAGGCTCGGCGGCGGGGAGGAAGGCGCCGTGTGGGGCTGCGCGGTGGCGGGAACGGAGCGAGAAAAGACGCGGGGAAAGGGGAGGCCAAAGCTAGGGTGGAAGAAGAGCTATTCAGGGGAAGGAAAGGAGGCGGCGGGTTGGTTTGTTTATTTGCCCCCCCTTTTTTTGGAGAGGGCGAGCCCCAGGCCCAGGCCCCTCTCCTTCCCACGTTCCTTTGCTGGAGAAGCCGCTCGGGGGCTGCAACCCGACGGCCTCCTCTTCGGGAGAGTTGCCAAGGCCACGGGGCTGTCTTGGGCATGTCGGCGCACGCGGCTCCTCTCCCAGCCCAGACAGGCTTGGCTGCTGTCGCTGCAGGTGTATATGGGGCTGGAGCTGTCAATAATTGAGGAGCAACCCTCACGACGGCGTCGGGTTTCTCCGCTTCTTGGCGCGGAACGCAGCGACGTGAGCTGGGAGGGAAGGAGTTGGTTTTTGTAAGCTTGTCCGAAAGCATGCCTTTCGCTCGCGTGCGTTTATGCGCTTTCCCCTCCCAGCCCGTTCCAGAATCGATGCTTTTGCACAACCTCGTTATGCTGCCCATAGGAGCCAACTCCTATAAAATATTTGACGGGGGGGCCAAACCACCCCCTCCCCAAGTTGATGGGCATTGCAATTCAAATGGAGTGTGATCGATTATGCTGGGCAGGGTTACCGCCCCCGCCCCCCCACTTACAGTGGTACCTCGGGTTAAGTACTTAATTCGTTCTGGAGGTCTGTTCTTAACCTGAAACTGTTCTTAACCTGAAACACCATTTTAGCTAATGGGGCCTCCTGCTGCCGCCACGCTGTCGCTGCGGGATTTCTGTTCTCATCCTGAAGCAAAGTTCTTAACCCGAGGTAGTATTTCTGGATTAGCGGAGTCTGTAACCTGAAGTGTATGTAACCTGAAGCGTATGTAACCCGAGGTACCACTGTATTTTGTTCAAGTTGGCACCCCGGATGCTGCATATGAATTAGGCATCAAGTGGACATCGCTGCAGTTTTGCAGATAATGAGATGCACGCAGGGTGGGGAGGGAGAAGAAGAGCAAAAACAAGCCAGGTCCAAGGGATGAGGCTTTAGTAACACCTACTGCTTAAATTAGAAATATCCATTTGGGTGGCATGAGAGGGCAGTGTGCCTCCTCACGTTTGGAATGCAGACTGTGGTGCTTTAAGAACAAATCCCAAGGCTGTTCTTCTAGAGCCACAGCCAGAGTGGCTAGCTGTCAAGATATCAATGCAGCCACCGTCAGTTATCTTTTGAATGCGGTCATGCCTGCACATGCTTTGATTATGGGAAGGAACAGTCCATATCTAGCTGCAGACAAGGAAAGGCCATCTTGTTTTCCTTTGAGGAGCAGCTGTATTTTACAATTCGCTTCTACTGTAGTCGTTCTGGGTTCTGGTTAGGATTTTGGGGAGTGATTTTGTTTAACCGTAAAGAGAGGCTGTGGGGAAAAAAATAAGACCAACAAGAGCACAAATTAATTCTCTGGTTTCCCCATCACCACCAGCTGCTCTCTCTGCAATGGCATGCCAAGCCCTGAATTGATGCTGCATCTTCCTGTGGCGCAAAGGCATAAGATAAAAGTGAATAATGCAGACTGAACACATGTATGTTAGGGCTGCCGTCTTGTCAAGCCGTTTTGGCAGGAGGTTCCAGAAGCAATAAAAATAGATGATGGGATATGATATGAAACCCTAAAGGACTCTTTCTGGGATGTTTGAAGGGTCACACCTGACAGGAAGACTTGGAAATTTCGAAGAGTTTTACGTGCGATAGCAAGATAAGTGGTAGCTGCATCTTGGAAATATTTTGGTATGAGGAAATTTGACATTTCTAACCAAAATGTACAGATTCATAGGAGGGTGCTCAACAGACAGGTTTATTGAAAAGTTGTGTTTATTTATAATCAGTGGAATATGAAATACCATGATAATTGAACCATATATATTATTTTGATAGGTCCAACATGTTGTTGTTGTTTTGTTGTTGTAAATTTAAATCATATCTTCATATGCTGCATATTTTATTATCTAAAAGTAATACGGTTTTTTATGTTTGCGTTTTCACAAAAACAAAAATTGTTTTACAAAAATGAAATATGGTAGATTTGAATTGGAAGAGCAAATAAGAATGGTCAGCTAATTAACTTGCCATTAAATCTGTGTTATCGTCAACACAGCTTTGCAAATATGAATGGTCACTATAATGATTTTACCGTTAATGTAATTGTCACAGTCTGGTCTTGTATTGCATTTATCCCTTATCGCTTACACATTCCCACTCCCCATCTGCATTCCCATGCAACCTTATGTATGTATAGATCGGTCAACTTACATAAAATTGAATGCATCTGAAGTGGAGACTAGTCCGCAAAAGCCTATGCTATATATTACAAGCCTTTCCGTAGCTTTTAATGCAACAGGCTTGCATGGCTAACACGCTGGATATATGTTAGCTGATTGACAGTGATTGCCTGCTTCATGTGGAAAGTTGATTGCATTGACAAAACGGTGATTTTCCTCTAGCAGGCCATAAGCATAGTGTCAGAGTAAGTTTTTGGCAGTACAGTCGTACTTTGGAAGTCAAACGCCTTGCAAGTTGAATGCTTTGGCTTCTGAATGCCGCCAACCTGGATGTGATTGTTCCGGTTGGCAAACGTTCTTTGGAACCTGAACGTCCATCGCGGCTTCCAGTTGGCTGCAGGAGCTTCTGCGTCTTGGTTCCCGAACGTTTTGGAAGTCGAACGGACTTCCGGAACGGATTCCGTTCGACTTCCAAGGTCTGACTGTACTGCATAAGAACGTAAAAGCTCTGCTGGATCAGACTAAAGGCCCATCTAGTCCAGCGTTCTGTTCTCACGGTGGCCAACCCGTTGCCCTTCGGAGGCCCACAAGCAAAACATGAACCTTAACTGCATTTTGCCAGTGGTGATTCCCAGCAGCTGTCAGCCAGGGGCACGTTGCCTCTGATGCTAACTGTAATATAGCTGTTGTCTGTAGTAGTGAAATACGTACCGGTATGTTGAAGTTTATATTTCAGCCATTCTTTGGTTCATGCCACTAGGACTGCAACACTCGGCCTTCTCCTTTTTTAAAAAAACAAACCATAATCCCATTAGAACTACTGTTTTATTAATGTGCATATTTGTGCATAATTAATCAGCAATTAATCAATTAAACCGCATAGCTTATTCCACTATGATTTCTTCAGACAAGTGGCCATTCTGTTTGCCAGCAGCTCCTACAGTTGCTCATTGGGCTGGCTCACTGTAAGACTGTGTTTCCCTTGTTAAATGGCAACTTTAGCAGAAGCCTGCTTTCTTAACCTTACTTTTTTGCAAGTGACTTCAGCTGAAATAAGCGTAACTCTGAATAAATATTGTTAGGAGTGCTTGTGTCTGAGAGCTGTCAGGCTAGTTGGCATGAGGGAGAGGACCTTTTCAGTGGTGGCTCCATACTTTTGGGTTGAATTGCCGGCTGGGGTTCTTCAGGCATAAGGAGAATCCCAAAACTCATATGTTTTTACTACCATTTCTTTGATACATATTTTTTGTGGTTCGCTCCTCCCCTTTATTGTAACTGTCTTTTGTTGAGTTTTTATTGTTGTTTGCACTGTATTTTTTTTATGGTTCACCATATCCTTGGACCCTTAATGGCATCTTAGAAGTATTTTAAAAGAAATAAACAAATTAGGAGTATGTTACTTTAAATAGTTCATATTAATGTTTGGACTGAGAAACAAAATGAGCATATGACTGAGGTACTATGCTCTTTGTACTGCATCTTTTAACTGATCCCTGCCCTGTAAATAGTGATTCTACTTTTAAAGAGTGTGCACAGCTTTTCCTAATCTCTTGACGTATTGGCAATATTCTGAGCAGATTTAAGAGTAATCCTGTTCCATTTGCTAAAAAAAAAAAACAGGCAGTTGGCAGAAAAGATGGGATGCGATCTGTAATACTCACAGGTTGATCATGTGTGGATATTGGATTAAGAGGAAGGAGAATGACAATGTATTATCATGCATCTTTTCCTACAAAGTACAAGTACGATTGTACGTGAGAGCTATACAGGCTAATTTCAATTAACTTGTGTTACCAATAAACTATTGGCAGATTTTAGATAAATCATTTTGCTTCTTGCATTGTGTAGTCTATATAGACCTTGGAATTTTCTCTCTCAGAAGCTGTGGGTGAAAAGCATTCAAACAAGGACCTACAAAATGCTTGTAGGTTACCCATAACATTAGCTCTAGGTTTCTAAAATCATATTAGCAAGGAGGTTTTTGTGTGTGTGTGGGGGGGGTAATGTCTCTGGTTCACTGCACTGCAGCTGGGCTGACTGATTGGCTAAGTACCTTTGCGTGACCTCCATGCTACACCCCCCCGCTTTCTTCAGATTTGCATCGGATGCCGCTGCTAATTTAGCATTACAGCACCATGTAGAAAGGAATGAGAGGTTGCTTTGCAGAAGTCGCCTGTACTTCTTCTGTAAGCCAATACTGTACATGTGAAGTTATCTGGATCTTTAACAAAAGGGGGTAACTAGAATACAGTTTAGTTCAATAGAGGCTTCAGTCAAACATGACGGGCATTAAATATGTAAACAGAATGCCTCTGTCTGGTCAGGAATTGTCTTTCTTGAAGTAAAGTGTATCTGCCTACTATAATGACATTTAAGTCTGCCTTACTGGCCCCCGGATGAGGTTTCACACAGTTTCTCCTCCTTGAGTGCTTTTATTTCAGTACGCCCAGATTGCAAAGTGCTGTGATCACAATGCTGTGTGTCCACAGAGAGACTCTAAAAGCCTCTTTCCTTTTTGTGCAAATTGCCTCATCCAGCCAATGTTGTCAGTTTTGTCAGAAATCCCTTTAACCTGAGTTCTTCACAGGCCAGATCCTTATAGAGAGGAATTGCTGTCAGATTACACAAATGTGCTTGAAGGATAACTTCCCTTTCAAGATATTATTATTATTATTATTATTATTATTAACTATTCAAAGAGGGGAAGCAAGATTAGTGATGTAAATGAACATTGATTTTATATAGCAAATGTGCCATCTCTGTGTACATATGGTTAACTTTCTGCACCATGTTCTAAAGAGGTTTTTGGGCAGTAGTGACAGATAATTTTAAGCTGCAGAGGTGAGAAATAAGTTACGGTTTGTTTGCTCATCTTTGAGATGACTTGTTGAACAAATCACGGTAAAAACAAACCATAGTTGAGCATTACATGCAAACAGCCTGTGAGTTGAACTGAAATAAGCATTTGTATTGAATGCTTCTCTTGTTTATTTGCATGTGCCGCTTTGAACAAGCTTTTCTGGTTGCTTGTCTCACTGTCTGCAGCTTGAAATAAAATCCGATTTCATTTGAAAGAAGCATTTCCCGGTCTCTCTCATCAGTGTTGGGACTAAGTGATTTGGCTGTGCCTGAACCCCTGGCGGGCTTTTGCCTATAACAATTTGGTGACCCCAAAGAGACCACACTGCTTGATGTTGCCAAGGCCCTTATACTCTTAGACCTGACGAAAGGAGCAACACAGGCGAGTTCACATTCCTGTGGTCTTTCTTGGGAGTTTGGACCTTTGTATGAACCGCCAAGTTTGTCCCTAAAATTGAGAGACACCTTTCTGGTGGAAACATCTGGACCAGTGGGGTCTGTAATCCATGCATGGGTGGTCTAGTAATGTATTTGGTTTAGTTCTGCTTAAATGTCTGTAGCTCAGAGAGTTGGTTTTGAAACAGGTTTGAGACCTGTAAAAATAAATCAGTGATTACAAGTTGAAGTTCTGTAGCCTGTTGAGTAAATTTTATTGGAAAATCCATGGATTGGGTCAGTACTGTGTGTTTTGTTGGTATTTTTAATATGTATTTTTAATATGGCACTGTGGGTTAAACCACAGAGCCTAGGACTTGCCGATCAGAAGGTCGGAAGTTCAAATCCCCGCAACGGGGTGAGCTCCTGTTGCTCGATCCCTGCTCCTGCCAACCTAGCAGTTCGAAAGCACGTCAAAGTGCAAGTAGATAAATAGGTACCACTCCGGCGGAAAGGTAAACGGCGTTTCCGTGCGCTGCTCTGATTCGCCAGAAGCGGCTTAGTCATGCTGGCCACATGACCTGGAAGCTGTACGCCGGCTCCCTCGGCCAATAAAGCGAGATGAGCACCGCAACCCCAGAGTCGGTCACGACTGGACCTAATGGTCAGGGGTCCCTTTACCTTACCTTACCATAATATGTATTTATTGTACTGAGGAATACAGATTGTGATGTGTATATATATACGATACCATTGCCTTCCTCTTGAGTCCCGAGAAGGCAAGGGCAACCTTTGGTTTTGACCTCTTGATCTCTGGGCAAGACAGAGATATTGTTTGTGACTACTGGATGCTAGAAGTTAGTGAATGTTGTGTTAAGAATATTTCCTTCCTTTTTAAAAAAAACTTATATTTGTTTTATTCCCTCCTTATTTCTCTAGAGAGGGGTTCCCAGCGGTCCATGACACTTGAGTTGCAGTGGACAGTTCATAGATTCTTCTGCAGATGTCATGACTTTCAAGTCTGGGATGCCAGACAGATGTTGTAAAAATAATAATAATTAGAAGTATTGGCTTCTTATATTCTTTTAGAGGCACACTTTTGCCAACATCATATGCAGTAAACGGAAAATCAATATAAGGACTTGTTTCTTCTTTTTAGGATAACAAGATGCCAGAGATTACTAACATAGATGTGTCAGGCGGGCAGATTGATAAAAGTGTTTCTAGGCAGCAGTCAGTCCTTCCCCGTGCCAACTAGCTAGTGGTGAGTGCTTTGAAATGATGCAGAGCAGCAGGAAGACTATGCACAAAATCTAGTCCTTGCTTGAAGCTATACTAATAAGCAGAGCAGTCTGTTGTCAGTGAGCTGAGTCTTTATCTGTGTGATTTCATTGCCTTGGTAGTGTCGGTAGCAGAGAGTAGAGTTCTCACATTTTTGTCTGTCTGTGGCTTATTCAATTAAAAAGCAATTAATAGCAAGCATTTATTTCAGAAAAACTTAATGATTTGATAAATTGTTTGTTTTCGTGGAGACTAGGTCAGGAGTGGAGCCATAGTTGTATAATGTTTGTGATGGGAATAACATTTAAAAACACACGCACACTTCAATGTTGTTTGGCATTGTTGTCATTCAGTCACACTTGGCTTCTCAGAAGACAGTTGATATTCAGTATTCCTAAGGGCAGTGCTTTCTCTTCCTAAATCACAGGGATTTTCAATCTTTTCCTTCCCTTTTCCTTTTTCAAAGTTCCCGAGGATGGAGGCTTAGAAGAGATGCAAACATTATAAACCTAACCATGCCTTGTCTGTAACGCTTACCATGGAGCACCATTAAATTCATTGATGGCATTATAGGACATGGTAAGCCATCCACCATGGCGTACCGTGGGTGAGCAGTGTGCTAGCGCCCAGGCTGGACTGCTCCTTCTGCACTCCTCCATCACAGCAACAAATAAGCAATTGTAACAACTGTACATTTTCTTTTCATATGCTCCCAACATTTCCCGAGAGGAATTCGGGACACTCCCCATCCCACTGCTTGCCTGCTCACCCCCCTGCCACCTTATCCTCCTCTCTCCACCGCTGTTTGTGGTCTGTGGTTGCAGGCAAAGACCACGATGCACGGTCAGGGGAAAAACAATGTTGTCCAGGGTTGTAAAGACTGCGGAGAGAATAATTGGGTGCACTTTCCCTCCTTGGATCAAATCTATGCTTCCACGTGCCATAAGAAAGCTGCAGAGATAGCGCAGGATAGTGCGCACCCCGGAAATGATCTCTTTCAGCTTCTGCCTTCTGGAAGAAGGTACAGGGTTATAAAGACTAGGACTAGCCGCCTGAGAAACAGTTTCTATTCAAATGCGATTTTGGTTTTAAACGCAGTGTAAGGTAGTCTCTATGGGAGTATATTGTATTTAATTATGGGGTATCAGAGTTTTTAGGGGGCTAACCAGGCTGGGATAGCAGGCTTGTTGGTTTCTGAATGTCTGGTGTAGATTTTCAATTTCGTTGTTCTATATGGGACAGTGACAAAAAAGACTATCGTATTGTATGATGCGGTAGAGGTGGAGTTTGTGGTGCTGCAGAAGTGTGTTTTGTCAGCACGCTTCTGGAAAAGCCAGAGCCTTGGCTAGGGCAGCACCACCACAGGTGGAGACTGTGGCAGTGGTGGTGTTGGCCAAAATGGGACATCCAGGATTACTTTCAGAAGCTGGGGTTGCTTATGTAAATCTGGGATGTCCCGGTAACATTGGGACATTTGGGTGGTATGCCTTTTTTTTTTAGTATTGTTAAGTCCAGTTTTACAGCGGTACCTCGGTTCTCGAACATAATCCATTCCGGAAGACCGTTCGAGTTCTGAAACATTTGAAAACCGAGGCGCAAAGTGCTGTCTGCAAATTCAATTTAGAAAATTGAAAAACACGCAGCGGAAGCTGTTCGACTTCTGAGGCGCATTCGAAAACTTCTGGGTTTTTGGTGTTTGGGTTCCAAAACTTTCATCAGTGGAGACGTTCGAGAACCAAGGTACCACTGTAGTAGCTTTTCCCGTGCTTGCAAAGCTGGCTGGAGAGAAGAGTGTTTCTGATCATGTGCAAACATAAAGCTTGAGGGAATTTTGCTAAATAAATATAGTGTTATAACATCTGGACTTGGAGGGTTGTTTGTTCATCACAAAATTAACTAAAGTGTGGGGATACAGACCCTTTTTTTGTGCAGCACCCATATTTGTCTTTAAAACTTCCACAGGCCCTATGTTATGATACCAAAAAGTTTTTTACTTCTACCAAGGCTCCCCTCATTTCCCCCTCCAATTTAGACTTTTAAATTATTCTTTCTTGATTGCTCCCTTAGTTTCTGTGATGTCTTGCTTAAAATATGTGATTCACCCCCGCCCCATTTGACATTTACAAAAAAAATAATAATTGAATTTTGTAATAAATGACTCAAAATAGTGTAGAATCGTTGATGGAAAGGTCTTTTGGAAGGCAACCTTGGGTAGTTATGAAATTATTCAAAGCTCCTGTAAGAATCTGCTCATTATTCTACAATTAACAATATGCACATTGGGCATTTAAAAGGTACAAATTCATTTTATGTAGCATGCCTCATGCTTTTTGCTTGCTTTTCAGGCCACGTGTGAAAAATGCCTACAGATGCTCCGAGACATGTGGGAGTGTGGCGACAAACCAGAGCTCTTTTATACAAGAACTGCCTAGTTAAATGGAGGACGAAAAAGAGCAGCGTTCAGGTGAGCTGAACAGCAGTATTCTAATGTTTATGGCTCTCTGTGTTTTCTAGATTTATGTGAAAATGTTGCTGAAGGTTTAACGGCATTGCTTTATTTCTTGGGGCTGTGTTTTAAAGAGATCTTTCAGATTTGCCCTTGGGTTCCTTCCTCAAAAAACAAAATTGCTTAAATGTGATGGGCTATGCTAAAGGCAGTGTTTTAGTTAGCCAATTTTAATCCTTTGTGCTCCGCGTTTTCTAAAAAGTGGAGCTTGCAAGTATAAGGAATGTATACAATGATTATCATGAGCTCAGTAGGAAAACAGTGTAACCATGTGAATTGCTGTAATCACACCGTCATTTCAGTACTGCCACAATCTCAGGAGAAGCCTTGGTGCTTTTCTACCCATGCTGCAGCTGACTGTGCTTTTTGTTATTATGAATCATCAAGGGCACACTGACTGCGAGACAATATTAGGAGCAATACTGTAGTCCAAGAGCTGTTCTGCAAAGAGCATTTGCCAATGGAATTGCCAGAATGGGGCAGACTCATGCAAAGGACATGGGTGCTGCTAGAGTGGAGTAGACATGCCATATCCTATACCCTTTCAATCTGCAGCATGTGTAGCTGTTGACAGAGCAATTTTGCACCAACCCCAGACCTGGTGTAACAAATTTCCCTCCCGCTGGTTCTCATTTAAGCCTGTTGAGATGCTGTACCCACTAGTCATGATTATCTGCTTCTAAGGATTTTGAATTTATCTGAATAATGTTGATTAATTTGATGTACTTCTTTTATACTGTGTAAAGGGTACAGTCCTGTTTATTATGCATATTTAAGCTTATTGCCTACCATGGGGTTAGGTACAGGAATGCAGCCTTAGGTGGCTACTGTCAGTTACTGTTACCCATTTAACTTATTCATTTCATTTGTGCAGGAAGTCCTACTTCCACTTTTCTTTTTATTTTGGCTAATATTAATGAGCATGATGTATCCAAACAAGAAATATGATGAGGTGCCTGATTCTGATCTTTATTCTGTGGATCACTCCAGCATCTCTGAGTTAATTGTTGGCTACACACCAGCGAATGATGAGACAAGAAAAATCATGCACAAAATGTCTGCAGAATACTTTACAGAAGGTATTGTGAGCTTTCATTCTACTCTACTTCTTTTTTTGTTCCATAAACGTGTTTTGCCTTTTCTCTTTGCATTTACTTGGCAGATGCAGTTATCAGAATGATTGATCGAGTACGTTTTCTGCATGGAAGAGTGTTTCTCCTGTGTAAACACTACATTCTCAAAGCCTTTGACTTCACATTTTAGTCATACTATAATCCTACACGACTACTGAATCCCTCTTGCATCCAGCTCAGCGACATATAAGGGCTCAGACAGACGTATTTAAGGAGGAAGGTTTCTTTTCTCTCTCACTAGAATCTTATCTCCCAATGTGCTGTTCTCCATTGTTTCCCACTATTCAACTTGTCATTGATGTTAGAAGACTGTCTCAGAGGCCCTGAAGAATACAGCTTCCTACTATACAGTGTTCTCATTGCTGCGTACTAAGGGAGTTTTCACTTCTATTCCTGTGCCACTGCCTGAATCACATTAACAAGCCACATAGTAGTTATACCTTCCAGAAACAAAGAAAACAAGTTCAAGATTTGTCTTTCTCCTATTGGAACAGTTGGGTGAATATCCCTCCAGGGACACTGGCATCCTGAGTCTTAAGTGACCTGCCCCCATGCCTTATGTTACTTGAGAGCAAAAGATCTGGGCTCTGCCATTATATTTCCAGTTGCTTGAGTAGAAAACACTTGCACTTCAATCACGAGGGGCTCGAAGCCCTAGTCTATAGAATCAGACCACGGAAAAAGTACTTTTCTATTTTCGAAGCATACAATTGCTAGGCTCATGTATAGGACATGATATTCATATGAGTTTACAATTTTCACTTTGCTGTCTGTTGCTTTGAATAACTTCAGGGGTTCCCATGCTGCCTGAAAAGCTAGAGCTACCCTTTCCAGCACATACTGGTATTTGTAAAAACAAAAACAAAAATGGCCTTCTAGGCTGTGGGCTAACAAATGAGGCAGCAGCTAATGTGCAGAATTGTCCTGTTGATATAGATGTCCATAGTTGAGAGTAGCTAAGAGAGACTTTTATATTTTGCAGGAATAATTACAGAAGAATTTCTGAGTGAGGAGGGAATGCAAGAGGCTAATCTTCGTAACCCTCGAAAATTTGTGGGTATAATTTTCAAGGATTCTATGTCCTACCATCTCAGATTTCCTCCTGCAAAGGTTCCAGTATCTGCAATTTATATGGAATCCAGAGGTAATACCTGTATGTATGTATGTGTACCCCTTAATAATATTATAGCTTTAGTCATGGGAGCAACTTGCAACAGTAATTTTCAAGACAGTTGTTTTTGGTTGAGCAACTGCTAATCTTTTTGCTGATGCCTTTTCTTTGTTATTTTATTGAATGTATTTTTTGAAGCTGCCTAGAGTGTTTAGGTAGAAGAGTACATTAAGTAAGACAACTAAACCCACATTTCTGTTCCCAGAGCATAGAATCACTGGGCAAAATCTAGCTCGGTGACAATAAAACAAATTCATAGGGTTTTGTCATCAGAATTTATGTCAGCCTTTTTGCTTTTGGCTAATTAACAGAGAAAGTTTAGGTTTCTCATCTTAGAATTTGTTTTTCCACAGCCAGTTGCCCAAGCCCTTCCAAGATATGTGAAGCTGAAACGTACTGGCGCAATGGATTCACTGCTCTACAGATCAGTATTGATGCAGCAATTATACAGGTAAATGCAAAGAATGAGAATGTGAAACGCCCTGAATCATTGTTGTTCAAGAAGAGTTGATGTATTAAAAGTCATTGCACTTTCTTCCTTGCATTGTAAGGCATTTCACATAATGGAGGGCTTTTGCTCAAATGAATGGCAATAACATTTGCCTTCATGGTGACTGTCAATCAAGTGTATATGATGATTTCTATAAAGATATCAAGGCCAATGGTTAGCCAAATATAAAACGCTTTTTTCTGAGTAATGCCATATATGTCCACCCAAATGGGTATTGTGGATATACGTGCAAGCAACATTAACTGTGGTATGTGTTGGTAAAGTTGGTTAACTGGATATTTGCGATAAGATACAGCAGACAGGTAAGTGGAGAGTACCATCATAAGAAATGAGAAAACAAGAGGTATGGCACACTTGACTTACAAGATATGCAGAAACATCAACCTATAACTGAAACCATTAGAGGAACAAGGAGAACCAAGAATAAAAGGCTCTGTATTACATCAAGAATTTTTTTCAACCAATTAGATGTTACTTATCCCAAATTTCTTGAGAAACTTGCAGAAGGGACAAATGTAATTTTTAATTTTTTTATGTATTCAGTAAAATCTCACCAAACAGAGGCAAAAGAGGTGGCCTTTGTTTCCCTTTCAAAAAAACAAACAAAAAACAAACACATGAAAATTATATTACATGAAACATTTACCCACAGGTAAATGTTTCACATAATGCAATTTTGCATTCATCACTCCACCATAATGTAAAAAACAACATTTTGAATTGGACATGGAAACGACTGGAAGTCAATAAACACAACGAAGCACTTGAGAATCCCGCAGAACTCAAAAAGAACTTGCTTCTAATGACTACACTGTAGGGGTGCTTGCTGAGCATTTATCATTTTCGCTTGTGAATGTAATATCCCATGCCAGTTTTGGTTTGGTTTAGTTTTCATGTGCTTGTCTCATGAAGTTCTATTTTGCTATTTAGGTTATTCTGCCTGAAATTCATTTTTTTATTAATTTATTTTACTTCTTCTCTGCTCAAGAACCCCAACATTCATAGAGTGAAATAGATAAAGCAAACAAGCACAGTGGTGCCCGCAAGACGAACGCCTCGCAAGACGAAAAACCCGCTAGACGAAAGGGTTTTCCGTTTTGGAGCGCTCGCAAAAGCAATTTCCCTATGGGCTTGCTTCGCAAGACGAAAGCCCATAGGGAAATCTCCGATCCCGCGAAGCCTGGGCGCGCTGATCTCAGCGCGCGCAGGCTTCGGCATGCCCGGCAACTCTCCGCGAGCAGCGGCAGCGCTGCCGCTGCTCGCGGAGAGGTCCGCGAAGCCTGGGCGCGCTGATCTCAGCGCGCGCAGGCTTCGGCATGCCCGGCAACTCTCCGCGAGCAGCGGCAGCGCTGCCGCTGCTCGCGGAGAGGTCCGCGAAGCCTGGGCGCGCTGATCTCAGCGCGCGCAGGCTCGGCATGCCGGCAACTCTCCGCGAGCAGCGGCAGGCGCTGCCGCTGCTCGCGGAGAGGTCCGCGAAGCCTGGGCGCGCTGATCTCAGCGCGCGCAGGCTTCGGCATGCCGGCAACTCTCCGCGAGCAGCGGCAGCGCTGCCGCTGCTCGCGGAGAGGTCCGCGAGCCTGGGCGCGCTGATCTCAGCGCGCGCTGGCTGCGGCAGGCCGCCAACTCTCCGCGAGCAGCGGCAGCGCTGCCGCTGCTCGCGGAGAGGTCCGCGAAGCCTGGGCGCGCTGATCTCAGCGCGCGCAGGCTTCGGCATGCCGGCAACTCTCCGCGAGCAGCGGCAGTGCTGCCGCTGCTTGCGGAGAGGTCCGCGAAGCCTTGGCTGGACAGCTTTTGAAGGCAGGTGGGGGGACAAAGACTTTCGCCCCCGCCAGCCTTCAGAAGAGGTCCAGGACCTCTTCTGAAGGCTGGCGGGGGCAAAGTCTTTGTCCCCCTGCCTGCCTTCCCAGGGGCTTTAAATTGCCCCGGACAGCGGAGAAGTCCTCCGCTGTCCTGGGGCAATTTTAAAATGCCGCCCGCCAGCATTTTAAGATCGCCCCGGACAGCGGAGAAGCCCTCCGCTGTCCCGGGGTTTTAAAATGCTGGGGGTGGAAGAAAAGCCCTTGTCCCCCAGCCTTCAGAAGAGGTCGGGGGACAGACTGTCCCCGGACCTGGTCTGAAGTCGGTTTCCCTAGGAACGCATTAATTGATTTTCAATGCATTCCTATGGGAAACCGTGCATCGCAAGACGAAAAACTCGCAAGAAGAAAAAACTTGCGGAACGAATTAATTTCGTCTTGCGAGGCACCACTGCATTTAAGAAATCAGTTTTGTGAAACTCAAAAACGTTTGAGTTCCATGGGATTTAGCTGAATTACTAAACTAGGTTAAAGCACGCATATTGTTATATTTGTTTTAATGATTTTGGAATTAAAGTTTACTTAATAGGGGCAGCATAGAAACTGATTTTAACATTCCCTTCCTTTTCTTTCTTTCTTTCTTTAGCTGAAGACTAATCATTCTCTATTGGAAGACCTGAAACTAACAAACGCGGTCATGATGGGAGAGTCTGCCATTATGGAAATAGACAATTTCCCTCGTGCAATCATTTTAATTTATTTAGTAATTGCCTTTTCCCCCTTTGGTTATTATTTGGCAATTCATATCGTGGCAGAAAAGGAAAAGAAATTGAAAGAATTTTTAATGATCATGGGTCTCCACGACACTGCCTTTTGGTATGTATGTGCCTTAGTTTTTTGATGTTAAGTAAACAGAATGGATAGTAATGCAAAGCCAAAACCTTGTTTTAGTGTGATTGTGTAGGCTCTCAGAGATGAGATCATAGCTGCTTTGCTCCTTCTAATCCTTCTACTTTGAGCTGAGCCGTGGTTTGGCTTATCGTGGTTTACAGCATGTGGTTTGTCTGGAGGAGACTTACCTCAGGCATTTCTCCTCCTCCTACCACAAACATGGACAAACAGATCACAAGGGCTTAGCTTACTCTCAAAGCCATTGTTGATTTTTCATATGCTGCCGTTATTGATATAGAGATGAGCTCTGCCAAAGGTTCCAAAATGGATCCAATGGTGCCTGGTAAAGAAAAACCTATTATCCTAATGATGCTGCCACCCCCTTGCTCCAAGAGGCTTTGCAAAATGTTTCCCCAGGCCAAGATCTTGTACCTCATTTCCAGAGGTCAACTAACACTTAGATTGGGTACCATTATGTAGCCCTGGTCTTGGCAGGAGGGAGCAGCTTTGTAGTTCTGACTGTTGCAGTTCCTCTGTTGTGGAGAGGTCTGGAAAGGAAGCCTCTCTCCCCGCCCCTGCCCCCCTTCACTGTTGTTTCCCTTATCTTGAGCCAGAGGATGAGGATGATGATAATTTATTAGTTATACCCCGCCTATCTGGCTGGGTTTCCCCAGCCACTCTGGGCGGCTTTCAACAAAAGATTACAAATACAATAAAACATCAGTCATTAAAAACTTCCCTAAACAGGGCTGCCTTCAGATGTCTTCTAAACATCCAATAGTTGTTTATTTCTTTGACATCTGATGGGAGGGCGTTCCACAGGGCGGGTGCCACTACCGAGAAGTCCCCCTGCCTTGTTCCCTGTAACGTTGCTTCTCGCAGTGAGGGAACCACCAGAAGGCCCTTGGAGCTGGATCTCAGTGTCCGGTTTGGACGATGGGGGTGGAGACACTTGTTCAGGTATACTGGGCCGACCCAGATAGTTAGAAAAGGATTAGATACATTGGTAGAATTTCTGAGATGGCTGTTTTGAAAGAGTTCAGAAGAATTATGTGCTTTAGAACCTTTTGGATTAAAATGTTATTGAACTCATTTCAGTATCTGTGCCGCAATGTGCTCCATTCATTAGAGATTCACACGAGGGCTCATTTTAGGGCCTTATCACGTCGTGCAGCATTGAGTAGCATGTATTGCATTTGGCTTCAGTTTGTTGTTCTTCATGGTCTCTGTGGAGTATCACAACTGAATTCTGCACCTATGTTGAACAAGTTCAGGATTTTCCTAGAACTACCCTTCTCTTTGGAAAGAGCGGTGAATTGAGAGACAGGTCAAGCACCTTCCAGTTCGGTTCTCTTCTGGTTGTTCTTACAATAACAGCATTGATAACTTCCCTCTATCAGTTCCCTTACAGAATTTCTTATAACACAATCCTTTACATGTTTACTCAGAAGAAAGCCCAACTGTATTCAGGTTTACCAACAGTAATTTTGTTTTGTCTTGTTCCAGCCCCAGTTTGGTAGCCTACGTTCAAACCATCCCAACAATGATGTAGAACCTTTTTGGCTTTAGATGAAACGGAGAAATGTTGCTGGGTGTCAAAATCCCTGGCCCACCATTTCCTGTGACTTCATGTAGATGCTAAATAGTATGAGGGACAAAATAGGCCAGTGCCAAAGGGGTGAACGGTGGTCCACCCCCAACCACCTTCTGGGGACACTTCACCAAGCAGGACTGAAGCCACTGAAAAATGGTGTCTCCAAGCCAGATGTTAGCCAGATGGCAAAGAAGGCTATAATGGCTGGTGGCATAAAAAGCCACTGAGCATTCTAGTAGAACTAAGAGGGACCCCATTACTTCCCTGTCTATTATCTAGCGTAGATAGTTGGCAAAGGCAATTTTAGCCCCAAACTATATCAGAACCGAGATTCGAAGGCTTTGGCCTTCCTAGAAAGTTCCCAACTTGCTCTTCTCAGGTACAGAAACCAGGTTTGAGACGTGCCCAGATGACCATTCAAAGGACTCACAGAAAAAGTATCTTTATCTGTACAGATGACCTTGAAATTCATGAACTTTCATTGTGTTTCTCCTCTTTCTAGGCTTTCTTGGGTCCTACTGTATACCAGTCTGATATTTGTCATGTCCCTTCTCATGTCGGTCATTGCAACATTCTCTTCGCTCTTTCCCAAAAGTAGCAGCTTTGTGATATTTCTTCTTTTTTTCCTATATGGAATATCTTCCGTAAGTGTGTGTATGTGTTCGTGCTCATTGTCAGTATATTGAAAGTACTGTGTTTTGGAGTCCTTCTTGCTATATTGGCACAAATGATTTGTTTATGATGTGTTTTTTTCCTCTGCTGTGAATGGCAGTAGGCACCCTACCTCTTTGACATAAGAGGTCCCGAATAGTTACATTTGCTTATACATTTTGGCAGACATTATTTCTCATTTGCTGTTGAATGTATTCAAATGGCTACTTACCACATAACCCTTCCCTGATATTAGAATGAACTGCATTACTTATTCACTGCAGTCTTATTTTAAGCTGGCAGCTTTTAAAGAGTTATTAATTATCCATTAGCCAAGGGTGCAGTTCATCTTGGAAAAATTACTGCTGATTTTTAGTGGACCTGATTATTCTAGTAGTTTCTGAGTATTTTAAGTCTTTTGACTTGTGAATAATTTATTGCAGGCATAGGCAAACTCGGCCCTCCAGATGTTTTGGGACTACAACTCCCTAGCTAACAGGACCAGTGGTCAGGGATGATGGGAATTGTAGCCCCAAAACATCTGGAGGGCTGAGTTTGCCTATGCCTGATTTATTGTTTCTTGATGCTTGCAGGCATTTAAATAAATCAATGGTGGGTAGCAGAATGCACTCTGTGGATACGAAGATTAATTTATTTACAAGTTTATCATCTGCACTCCCATAAAAACATAGCAAGGCAGAGTACAACATACAGATAACATCAATTGAAAACATTACAGTATTTTTCGCTCTATAACACGCACCTGACCATAACACGCACGTAGTTTTTAGAGGAGGAAAACAAGAAAAAAATATTCTAAACGAAACAGTGGATGTATGATTTTTGTGGTTCATGCTGTGGCCACAGACGTGATCTGACGTGAGTTTGGGGTAGCCCAATGCAAAAATCCTGAGGATCCATGCTTTGTAACCACGTTTTTGCGCCATTGCAGCCCCATGAAACAGTGGGTGCGTGTGTGTTTTTTGGTGCAGGCTGTAGCCATGGATATGCTATGTGATCTGATGGTGAACTTGGGGTGACCCAGTGCAAAAATCCTGAGGATCCATGTGGATCAGTGCTTTGTAACCACGTTTTAAGTGGGGAGGGAAGGAAAAGCATTCAAGGGACAAGGAGCACGTGTGGGGTGTGTGGAGAAGGATATTGCTAATAATGTAGAAGAGGGGTTTAAGGGAAGAAGGAACACGCGTGGGGTGTGTAGAGAAGGATGCTGCTAATGCAGGCGAGGGGTCTAAGGGGAAAAGGAACACGCATGGGGTGTGTAGAGAAGGATGCTGCTAATAATGCAGGAGAGGGGTTTAAGGGGAAAAGGAACATGCGTGGGGTGTGTGGAGAAGGATGCGGCTAATAATGCAGGCAAGGGGTCTAAGGGGAGAAGGAACACGCATGGGGTGTGTAGAGAAGGATGCTGCTAATAATGCAGGAGAGGGGTTTAAGGGGAAAAGGAACACGCATGGGGTGTGTAGAGAAGGATGCTGCTAATAATGCAGGAGAGGGGTTTAAGGGGAGAAGGAACACGCATGGGGTGTGTGGAGAAGGATGCTGCTAATAATGCAGGAGAGGGGTTTAAGGGGAGAAGGAACACGCATGGGGTGTGTGGAGAAGGATGCTGCTAATGATGCAGGAGAGGGGTTTAAGGGGAGAAGGAGCTCGCGTGGGGTGTGTGGAAAAGGAGCTTTTCGGCGAGCTGAGGGGGGAGGGAAAGAGCACTGTTGCTTTAAAGGAGCCAACCGGACAGCAGCCACTTACAGCAGTGTAAGCAGCTCCTTTCCTCTCCCGCTTTCCTCCTTCTCTCCCTCTTTGCTGCTTTACGCAGCTAATGGCGAATCCCCTGCAACCCAAGTCCTGCTCAGCGGATCAGCTGAGACGCTGGGAGAATCGTAATTTCCCCCTCTCCCTCATCCCGTGCCCTCCTGTCCCCAGCAGCCTTTTAAAAAACTTTTTTACTGGTTTTCACTGCGCTCGTGGCTCAGAGCCCTCCTGTGCCCTGCCGTCCCTCTGCAGCCTCATTGCTCCGTTTAGAGAGCGCACGGACCTTTGCTAGCTGAGGCTGCAGCAGCTGTTGCTGGCTACGCGGCGCTTTTTCCGGCTCGCTATGGCTCCCGTCTGTCCCTCCTCCCGTGTAAGCGGCTGCTGCCCGCTTTGCTGCCATGGCTCTCCTTCCCTCCCTCCTCCTCGGCTCCTCCCCCTCCTCCTGGCTGTAAAGCAAGCAAAGCTAGAGCCGTGCAAAGCCCTGCAAGCGGCTCCCGCTTTGCTTGACTGACGGCAGCCATGGCTCCGGTCGAGTGCATTCACTCCGTAACACGCACAGGCATTTTCCCTTACTTTCTAGGAGCAAAAAAGTGCGTGTTTTGGAGCGAAAATTATGGTACTTAAAATGTACGAGTTCAAATGAAAAATCATTTTGTAAAGTGCTGTCTAAACAAAACAGACATCTAAAAGAAGGGAGGGATTGTTCTTGCTGAAACTACTAGTAGAGAGGCCTAGTGAAGGCCAATCAAGCATCATGGACATAAGGAACCACCAGAAATGGTCCATTAGAGGATTTCGGTGGGGCAAAAGGAATGAGGTGGTCCCTAACTGGAAAAAGTTATTTGAAAAGTCTGCTTGTTGATTGTTGGCAGATCTTATTTTTAAGAATATAGTGTATTCCATATCACTTTCTCTTATCACTCTGGTCTCATGGCCAAAATGAGATAATGGATGTTAACATTGACTGTGTACACTCATAATGCTAAACTATAATTCAGTGCTATGTGCATGAGCAGAAAGGAATTCATGCAAAGTGATAGCTACACTCTCTCGCTGCCTCCTGTGGGGCCAGGAGTTTTGGCTTTTCAGTTTCAGAACAAACATCTTCAAACAATGGGCTATGAAGCTGGCTTGTTTATCTAATCACTGTCCATTTCAAACCACGATTCCTCGTTTGCATGTCATGACAAGCCACAAATTGTCAAAAATGAAATGTAACTCTGGCAAAGTCCTTAGCACGCGACCCCAGGTTTTTGTGTGGGCTCCTTTCTGTTCATGCACACAGCAAACAATGGTTTAACACCATGTGCAAATTTAGCCAGCATATCAAAAGCTATAACACTCTTAGGAAAAGGTCCTCAGGATGATGAAGCCAGTTGATTTCTTGGATCAGGTACATTATAGGTATTAAGAGAGCAATACGTTGTAATTGTTCCAAATTGTCCAAACAAATTATGATTTCAGCAATTTTAATCGAGGTTTCTTGTGCACTGAAATAAATGTTCTGTTTCTGTTTAGGTTTTCTTTGCATTTATGCTGACTCCTCTCTTCAAAAAATCAAAATATGTCGGTACGGTTGAATTTCTGACCACCCTGGCTTTTGGTTTTGTGGGCCTGACAATCGTCCTGCTGGAGGATTTTCCAAAGTCATATGTCTGGTTACTAAGTCCTCTGTGTCAGTGCACATTTTTGGTTGGTGTTGCACAGGTTAGTAAAGTTCCCTATTTAATCAGTGCTGGTATATGGGTTTCCATGAGTAGTAACTTCACTATGGCTTAAATACAAGACAGGATAATAAGATTTCACCTCAGTGTAAAAAATGTGTGACACGGAGTTGTCATTTCTTAAACTTGCAGTGAACATGTTGCTTGTTTATTATCAATGGTTTTCTCATCAGCTAACATTGGCAGATATTTTGGGGGGACCAGAGCCAGAATAAATCTGCAACCCACACCCAGCACTCTCTGGGATGAGTAAACTTTGAATAGCTGGATCTTGGGCTCAGCCAGGGCTATGCAAGCTGAATTCCCTCATCTTGGCTCAGCTGGAGATATGCCAGTATAAGTCCCATAGCCAGCTGAAACCTGCTGAATTGAAGTCAGGTCAGGATAAGTCCCGCCCCCCAAAGGGCATTCTGTGGGTATGGTAGGGGCAGGGCAGGGGAAGACTTAGCGCTATTCTAAACTCCGTTCAGCTCAGTCACATGACCTAGTCAAACTTGTATTTTAAAGGCTTGTTTAAAGCCTGACAGCAGCCCCACTCCTGAATGGAGTTTGGAATAGGATGTTCACAGACGCATCCGGGATTTCAACTAGTGTCCCAGGGGAATTTCGGAAAATCGGCCAAATGTCAACAACTTCCCCCAAAATAGCTCAACAAACCTGGCATATGTCCCAAAGCATTTATTTTTTTTTATTCTGGGACAAATTACACTGGCTTCCTGTCATTTGCATTGCTCTAATTAGCCTTTTCCTTTTGCTGGTATACAAACCAATAATAATGTGTCTCCACAATTATTGATGTAGGAGAATTAATGGTTTTTGTTTTTGTTTTGTTATGTATTTTGTGTTCTCATTTTGTATTTTTATCTTGTGAAGTGCCCCGTGATCTTCAGATGAAGGGCAGTATACAAATTTAAATCATCATCATCGTAATAGTCTTTAAGGTGCCAGAGGACTTAAGCAAAAAGAACATAGATAGCTCTCCGAAAGGAGGTTTCTGTTGTAAACATTTGTACTAAGTGTACTGTTTTGCCGCTGTGAAAATGTGACAGCTAACCTTTTCCCAAGAAAAGGTTAGGTTCACCACCCATGCACTATATAAACCTTTCTCCTTCCATGTTCTCAGTAACCTCAGCTGGAACCTGCTAGGGTCTGCATTCCAGCAAAATAGGTAGGACCAGAATAAGTGCACATTCACGCCCTTCTATTCTCCTCTTCCCCTTCCTCTCTTATGGAAAGCTAAGTAGAGACAGGCGAATTGCCTGGCTTGGATTTTCAGTCATGGAATGTGGGGGGTTGAGTGTGGCATTGTAGCCTTTGTTGCTTGGGCTAGTGTGCTTGTTTACATGCCTGCTTTCTTCACGGCACTGCAGCCCAAGAGGAGGCAGCCAAGGAAGCCATGGGAATTCGAGAAGTTGTGAAATTGCACTCCCTACTCCCAAGAGGGACGCGGGTGGTGCTGTGGGTTAAACCACAGAGCCTAGGACTTGCCGATTAGAACGTTGGCAGTTCGAATCCCCGCAACAGGGTGATCTCCCATTGCTTGGTCCCTGCTCCTGCCAACCTAGCAGTTCGAAAGCACGTCAAAGTGCAAGTAGATAAATAGTACCACTCCGGCGGGAAGGTAAACAGCGTTTCCGTGCACTGCTCTGGTTCGCCAGAAGCGGCTTAGTCATGCTGGCCACATGACCCGGAAACTGTACGCTGGCTCCCTCAGCCAATAAAGCGAGATGAGAGCTGCAACCCCAGAGTCAGTCACGACTGGACCTAATGGTCAGGGGTCCCTTTACCCTTTACCTTTACTCCCCACTCCCAGCTGTGGTAGAGGTATTCTGGTCCCCTTTCCTCTTGTATCATTGCTAGGCTGACCAGAGTGGGCATGGCTGGAGGTGAGGCCGCTGAGGTCTGGGTGAAATGATATCATGGTCACCATTCCTGTTACAGGAGCAATGTTTAAGCTCTCATTTCCCATGAAACATCTAGGAGTCTTGGTTGACCACAAACTTGACATGAGCCAACAGTGTGACGCGGCAGCTAAAAAAGCCAATGCAATTCTGGGCTGCATCAATAGGAGTATAGCATCTAGATCAAGGGAAGTAATAGTGCCACTGTATTCTGCTCTGGTCAGACCTCACCTGGAGTACTGTGTCCAGTTCTGGGCACCACAGTTCAAGAAGGACACTGACAAACTGGAACGTGTCCAGAGGAGGGCAACCAAAGTGGTCAAAGGCCTGGAAACGATGCCTTATGAGGAACGGCTAAGGGAGCTGGGCATGTTTAGCCTGGAGAAGAGGAGGCTAAGGGGTGATATGATAGCCATGTTCAAATATATAAAAGGATGTCACATAGAGGAGGGAGAAAGGTTGTTTTCTCCTGCTCCAGAGAAGCGGACACGGAGCAATGGATCCAAACTACAAGAAAGAAGATTCCACCTAAACATTAGGAAGAACTTCCTGACAGTAAGAGCTGTTCGACAGTGGAATTTGCTGCCAAGGAGTGTGGTGGAGTCTCCTTCTTTGGAGGTCTTTAAGCAGAGGCTTGACAACCATATGTCAGGAGTGATCTGATGGTATTTCCTGCTTGGCAGGGGGTTGGACTCGATGGCCCTTGTGGTCTCTTGTGGGAGTCATAAAGCCACGGCAAAGGCTTGTAATATTGCAGGGTGCCCCCTGACCTCGGCTGACCAGCACTCTGAGCTTTACAATGTATTGGAATGTATTGACCTTAAATGGAGTTGTGTTTCCTCTGGGCAGTGATGACCTTATATGGTTTGTGGGTGGGTTAAAGCCATGACCGGATGTAGGTAATGTGAGACATTGGCAAACGGCCATGCGGCTGGAGAGAGACAAAGGATAATAAAAAAGCTACGGGAGGAGAGAGAAGTTCGAAAGGAGCTGCTCATACCATCATGAAAATATTGCTGGCTCTCTGTGTCTTTATTTTATGCTAAACTGCGCCATTTGTAACGGCTGGCTCCGACAGTCTCTTCCAACTCTATGATTCTATGATTCTATGTGCTTACTCTGTTCCCCACGGGATGGCATTCACTCTACCTGCAACCATCATTAATGGTTCATTTTGAAGCTCATTGTTTCCTCTCAAAAATGCAGGGTGTTGTGTGTCCAGTTTCACACATTTAACAACTATAACATCATCTTCTTCTTCTTCTCCTTCTTCTTCTTCATCATTTATTTATACCCCGCCCATCTGGCTGGGTTTCCCCAGCCACTCTGGGCGGCTCCCAACAGAATATTAAAAACATGATAAAACATCAAACATTAAAAACTTCCCTAAACAGGGCTGCCTTGATGGCCAGTTAGAAAAGTTCCCCTAATAATATTAAATAAAGTAATTCTGTTCCATAGAATCTATAACTTCTGTAGTCAGTCAGTTTTATTGCACATAGCCAAAAGCTGCTGCAATGTACACAGAATCATTCAACAATTAAAAGAAAATACGCTGGATTAATACGCTGGATTACTGTAACTTCTGTATTTGTTTGCAGGTGATGCATCTGGAAGATTATGAAGAAGGAAGCATTTTCTCAAATTTAAGCCATGGTCCTTACCCTCTAGTTATTGCACTTTCACTATTGGCCCTGGACAGCATGCTTTATCTACTCCTAGCACTTTACCTGGATCAGGTGATTCCAGGTATGATTGATTTTAGCATACACGCACGTATGTGCTAAACATTGCCTAACACAGCATAAAGTTGGTAGCATCTGGTAGGACAACATCCTGTCAGTTCAATGCCCACCTGTACAGGTGCTTCCCTGTTCTAATAGTTAAGTAGGAAATGGTTCAGTGGCTTATCCCCATCCTTCACAAGAGAGAATGAGAAAGCATAAATAGGATTCCACCCCTGGATCTTGAGCCAGAGATGCTCATGGGTGAAAGAAGGATTTATATGCACCACTAGTATTGTGCAATGCAAAGCATTGTGCAGCTGCACAGACAACAGATGTGTATTCCCAAACAACTGCCTGAAGGCATTCGACACAAATGCACTACTGGAGGTAAGCTGCTGTGCCTGATAAGTTGCCTGGGTGGGAATCTGTTGTTACTATTTGGATGGGCTGGGGCCTTTGCACATGCCCCAGAATTATGTGGTTCTTTTAGCTTTGCTTAGCAGGTGACTGTGCAGTGTCTACACTCTCGGTGCAAGTGCACAGAGGGGGCAAACCATGGCATAAACTGGTGGCCGTAATTAAAAAGAGATTGTTTGGGAATTGAGAGGCATGAGAACCCAGGACGTACGCTGACACCTAATTAGGCACGTGATCGTTTGCCATCTGCCAACACCGGCATGAGCCTCTGTTTGGTCTTCATTAGCCCTGGCGAAAAGGAAAAGAACCTTCTTTTGATTTACACTGTCATGGTGGGGACTGAATCAATAGCCATTTGCGTTTCCTAAGATTGAACACCTTTACCTTCAGTTTCCTCTGCATCTTAGATCCAAATATAGCATGGACTTGAGACAACTGAGTTCTGATTGGTTGTTGCCAATGGAGGCTGGTCCATTAGGGCAAATGGAGCTCTTCTCCACCAACTCAGTCTACCATCAGCCAGTCCCCGTCCTCCCGCCTTACAGTCTGTCCTGGGGATGGCACTGTGCCAACCTGCTGCTCCTTAGTCTCAGTGCTGTACTTGCAGAACTCAGCAGGGAGGAAGATGGGGCAAGAGTGGAATTAGTTGGCTCTGCCTGTCATTGGCTCTGGCGCCACCTGCTGTTGACCTCCCTGTCTCCCGTCATACCAATCCCAATGGGCACTACCCACCGCTGGTTTTTGCCTCTCGCTCTTACCCTCTAGGTTGGCCCAGTTTGTGGGGTGAATTTGCATGGCCATATTGCGAGAACGTAAATAAATTTGAAATAACTTTCCCAGGCAGCTGTTCAAAATGGTTCCATAAATACTTCCAAATATGTGTTCCTGTTGGGTTCAGAAAAGGCAAATACTCTACACGTATCTCCTGATTCATTTAAGCAGAGCAACTGGGCTTTAGTTAATGCTGATAACTGAAGGAGGTGCATGCTCTGTAGTACTGACAAACTTTCCTTAATCAAGGCCTAAACCCAGAAAAAACCTTACAGTTTTCTCAGCTATCTAAAAAACCGGTAAGCCATAATTGGAAATCAGTGAACATAAAACCACCTATCATTCATATGCTTTGATCAACCTGTAGTTAATATTTACAGGCCTTCCTCTCTCTTTTTTTTATTTCTCAGGAGAATATGGACTGCGGAGAAACTTTTTTTTCTTCCTGAAACCATCGTTTTGGTTAAAGCGAACTAGAAATTATAATGAATTGTATGAGAGCAGCATTAACGGGACCTTAGATTTCAATGAGATAATTGAACCGGTATCCTCCGAATTTCAGGGGAAAGAAGCTATCAGGTATGGACTGATTATGCTTCATTCTAGCTTCTGTTGCTAATGTCAGTTACTAATACATCAGGGCATGGGACATGGGTGGCACTGTGGTCGAAACTTCTGATCCTCTTGAGCTTGCTGATCAGAAGGTCAGCGGTTTGAATCCCCCCGACGGGGTGAGCTTCCATTGCTCTGTCCCAGCTCCTGCCAACCTAGCAATTTGAAAGCAGCCAGTGCAAGTAGATAAATAGGTACTGCTGCAGTGGGAAGGTAAACGGCATTTCCGCGCACTCTGGCACTGGTCACGGTGTTCTGTTGCGCCAGAAGCTGTTTAGTCATGCTGGCCACATGAACAGGAAAGCTGTCTGTGGACTAACGGCGGCTCCCTCGGCCTGAAAGCAAGATGAGCCCCACACCCCATAGTCCCCTTTGACTGGACTTAACCGTCCAGGGGTCCTTTACCTTTACCTTTTTTACATCAGGCAAGTCTGAAGTAGCAGTGATTTGAATGTGCAGCTACTGCGAGTAGCAATTATTTGCATGGTTCAACTAATGCCGTGTAAGAAATGTTATGTAGTGGTTTCCACGTGTTACTGTGAACCAACTGTAGTTCTTTTGGATATTCAGATCAGCTTTCTCTGCAAACCAAAGCAAGCATTATTTATGGTAAAATAAATATTGATCCCTTTATATTGTTCACTTTTTATCTTGCTAGGGAAATTCTGCCAGAGTTCTGTGTTACCTTTTTTAAAAAAAATAAAAAAATAAAATTAGCTTGTCTTCTTTCAGAATCAACTGTGTACAGAAAACATTTGTTAAGAAAGGTGAAACTGTCGAGGCTCTAAAAAGTAAGAATTTCATCCCTCTGCCACAAGTGGGAGTCCTTGTACTTCAGTTGCTGCTGTTTATTATATATGGACAGCAGAATCAATGACATAGCACTTGAACAAGCTTCTCCTAAACCTCACTGATTATTAACTCTTATGGTTGTTTAAATATATTAACATATATTATATTAAGTTGTGATAGTTCCTTAAGGGTGAGTGGGACTGTACTCTGTATGGCATGGTTTCGAACATTTAATAAGAAGGCATATAGCAGCACTTTCTTACAGCTTTTATCTCTGTCCCTCACTCCCACCCCAAATCACTTCATTCTTCTTTCCTTTCCTTTCCTTTTTTTAGGTTTATCATTTGACATATATGAGGGTCAAATAACAGCATTACTTGGGCATAGTGGAACAGGAAAAACAACCTTAATGCACATTCTTTGTGGATTGTGTCCACCTTCTGATGGTAAATATAATCAAAATATGTCTAGTTTATCTGATCTGGGGGCTGGTAAAGAAAGAGTCTTTCTAGGAAGAATTAAACAGGTGGAACTACTTGATTTAGTTCATAGAACAATGAGTGCAGCATGACTCCTGTGGAGGGCCTTCTCGGTAGTGGGTCCCTCCCTGTGGAACACCCTCCCTTCAGATGTCAAGGGGATAGAGAATTACACAACATTTGGAAGACATCTGAAGGTAGCCTGTATCGGGAGGTTTTAAATGTTTGATGTTTTTATTGTGTTTTAGATACGCTGTAAGCAACTCAGAGTGGCTGGGAAAACCCAGCTAGATGAATGGGATATAAATAATAAAACTATTATTATTATTATTATTATTATTATTATCCAGCTAAGTCCCTGCTGCAATTCCAGTGGTCCACACTAACTATTTTTTGTCTTAAGATTTCTTTTCTGCATCATTGCCTATCTTAATTGTGTTTTTTCCCCATTAGGTTTTGCATCAATCTATGGATACAGAGTTTCTGAAATAGATGAAATGTTAGAAGCAAGAAGAATAACTGGAGTTTGCCAACAGTTAGATATATATTTTGATGTATTAACAGTGCAAGAAAATTTGTCAATAGTTGCCTCAATTAAGGGGATACCCCCCAATGATATGATACAAGAGGTGAGTTAATTGGATGCAAGCTGCACAGTGCATGCAATCATATTTAATTAAGGTCAACATATTATATTTAATGTTTTCTAAGCAAGCTTGGTAGATGTCCCAGTAAATTGAGGTTACTTTTAATCCTTATTTTTAAAGGTCCAGAGAGTTTTACTAGATTTGGATATGCAGCCCATAAAAGATAACCAAGCAAAAAAGTTAAGTGGAGGACAGAAAAGGAAGCTGTCAATTGGAATTGCGATTCTTGGAGATCCAAAGGTAAATGGCAGCGGAACTGAATGTCCATAATATTTTGTCTTCCGCATGCAAAATAGATGTTTCTTTGCCTTGCGTGCAACAGTTAAGTATCTGTAAAAACATTTTACAGTGCATATTCATTATTCCTGTTCGTTATCCTATTTCTGCTTTTAAAGTAAAAATACAAAATAGCCAAGTGTTGTGGTTTATTGGAACTGACTGGGATTTTTACATCTGGTTCAGTTGCAATAACGCTCTTGGTGAGAGCGCTGAATCCTAACCAATAGACCACCAAGGAACTCAATAATGCTCTTGGAAATGTATGTCCATCTCTGTATACCCAACTTGCCAAAAAACTTATGTACACCTCCCCATACATCTATCTTGAGACTGAGTGCTCTTGAGGGTCTATTGTATCTAGCACTATTGTTGAGGGTCCTCTTTCAAATCATTTTTGGGCTGCAAAGTTCAGTATTAAAGGAAATAAGTTGGTAGCTTCCAGAATTGTGGGGAGTAGAGGAATAAGCAATTGGGAGTTTTTCTCTCTCCCTCTAACAGCTTCCAGCTGACGAGCCCGGAACCTCAGCAGCTCAGCACTATAATGCTTTTTTCCTGTAGTGTTGACAACTGAAATATAGTGCTTGTGGAGCATCCAAACTGAAAGGCACTCAATCAGTTTGTCATTAGATGGAGCAATGGGGATGTGGGTGGTGTTGTGGTCTAAACCACTGAGCCTCTTGGGCTTCCAATCAGAAGGTTGGCTGTGTCCCAGCTTCTACCAACCTAGGAGTTTGAAAGCATACCAGTGCAAGTAGATAAATAGGTATCACTGCGGCAGGAAGGTAAACGGTGTTTCTGTGCACTTTGGCTTCCATCACAGTGTCCCGTTGTGCCAAAAGCGGTTTAGTCATGGTGGCCACATGACCCAGAAAGCTGTCTGCAGACAAACGCTGGCTCCCTTGGCCTGAAGCGAGATGAGCGCCGCACCCCATAGTCGCCTTTGGTTGGACTTAACTGTCCAGAGGTCCTTTACCTTTTTTACCTTTCAGATGGAGCAAGTGGCTATTACCTCTAGCATGCTGATAGCTCCCTGTTGTACGTTAGTGGTGCCATTTTTGGTACCTATCCCCCAGCACTCAGAATTGAGATAACTGTATGATGGTGGTGAGGATAAGTGCCTGCCTTATTGCTAATAATCTCACTGGCAATTTGAAATGAATACCTAGATATTCAATCTGTTGCTTTCCTTGGCCAATAATTCAGGTATTACTCTTAGATGAACCAACTGCTGGCATGGACCCGTGCTCACGGCATACGGTTTGGAACCTGTTGAAAAACGGAAAAGCTAATCGCGTGACGGTGTTCAGTACCCATTTCATGGATGAAGCAGACATTCTTGCTGGCAAGTGCAAAACATTTTGGGGGGGTCTTTGTTTGTTAAATACGTGTTTGGCAATATGACCAGCTTTTTACTCCATTGGTTATTACTGTATCAACTGGAATAACTGACGGTATCCTCTGCTTTTGTTTCTAGATCGGAAAGCTGTGATTTCTCAAGGAATGCTGAAATGCCTTGGCTCCTCTCTGTTCCTTAAAACAAAATGGGGGATTGGCTACCGCTTGAGGTATCTGTAGTTCGAAAGCCTGTTTCACTGTGTGTGGTAAAGGCCACAGCCCAGCCCAGGGTTAGATGCTATTAAACCTAATGAAGTCAATATATTGCTGCTCACAGGGCCGGCCCAAGATATTTTGGCACCTGAGGCAAACCACAAAATGGCATGCCCCCTCCCACCCAGGGAAGAACGGGTGAGTGAAGATCTACATCAGAACAAAGAAGGGTGGAATAAAGATCTACCCTGGGATCTGCTGCCTCTGTGTATCCTGCCGCCTGAGGCAGTAACCTCACCTTGCCTCATGGGTGGGCCGGCCCTGGCTGCTAATATTTCCTTTGGCTTTGTTGGAATATTAGAAAATGGATACATACTTATAGATTTTGTTCTTCAGTTGGATTAGGAAAATACAATTTCTCTTGTAAGTCGGCTTTCAGTATGTTATTATTCCTAATTGTTTCTAAAAACAAGCCTGAGGCTTGCTTTGTAAACAAAAAATGCTTATATTTTGTGTTCCTCTCCCCCTTAGTATGCACATAGACAGGTACTGTAACACAGAAGGTACAGCATCTTTGATCAGACAACATATCCCTGGAGCCAGTTTGTTAAAGCAGACTGAAGAGCAGCTTGTGTATGCCTTACCTTTTAATGACATGGACAAATTTTCAGGTATAACTTAACTGTCTATTGAAATTTCTAGTGAATCACATGGATGGCTTTTTAAAAATAAATTGCTGACATGGGAGGAATTGGTTCAGATTGGGACCCCAGTGCAGAGAAGCCTTAGCACTTTGCCCCACATTGTTGTCCCAGTCTGGATGACCCCCACCCCACTGAATTGCACTGTGGAGGAAAGTTCCCATTGGACTCTCTAGTTTGGCCTTTATTTCAGGCTATATAGTCTTTGACTTACGTCCTGTTATGTGGAACAAAGATACAACAGTTATTGTGGAAGAGGGCTGCTGACTCCCAACTCTTTCCCCCCAAAATAGCAGTTCTGGAAAGTAATAGGAAAGTTCCCTGCAAAAAAACCACCCCCCAAGGCTTCAAGCCTTAGACACATTTTTGTCCCCTACATGAATGCATTTCTGGACTACAACTCCCATCAGCCCCAGCCAGCTTAGTCAGTGATCAGGGATGATGGGAGTTGTAGTACAGAAATATCTGAAGAGCCACAGATGTTGTGCACCCTCCCTTAAACAATAGCGATAACAAAAGCCGTGTTGCTGTTGTGCTAAGAACAACTTAAAGAAGTAAGAGAGCATCATTGCAAAGAAATGTATTTCCAAGCATTAACTTAACTACTTCTTCTTACAGCACTGTTTGCTGATCTAGACACTCACTCTCATTTGGGTGTCATTTCTTATGGAGTAGCCATGACGACTTTGGAGGATGTGTTCCTCAAGCTGGAAGTCGAAGCTGAAATCGACCAAGCGGGTGAGAAGCAACTGCAGTGCTTTCTCTAGTTTTCTAAAATAAAACACCATTATTATTTAAATGTAGATCTACCTTTCTGCCCAAAGAAGCCCAGTGCAGCAAAGATGATCAGTTTCAAGTTTATTAAGGTTGTATTTGCAACTGGTAATGGTGTACGAGATCCAATTCTCGTGATATATTTACAATGGGAGAGATCATTAAGACTGTAGTTCCAACCATATTTATTGGAAAGCTGCGCTGAACTCATTGGGTCATTCTAATGCAAGGGCTAATATATCGTTCTAGAGTTGTTTTTGATTTTCAAGATTCTGGTTCCAACAACGCCGCCCTCCAAAAACAAAGCGTTTTCTGTTTCCTCCTTTTAAGTAATACCTCATCCCTCTGGGCACAGTCCTGGCACTTGGCACTGCCAAATTAATGCAAATCCCAGAGTATAGTGTGGCAAACTTAATTGTAGGGTGTTACTGACAACCACAGTATAAGTGTGGACCCAAGCTTTATAGAGCTGTGGTTTGATCAGAGGGGATCAATTCTAAATTGCCAACCTGTTCTACTCTTTCCCCCTTAGATTTCAGTGTATTTAACCCAGAGCAAGCTGAAGAGGAAATGGATGAGAAATCTGTTGATGAGTTAGAGCAGAGCCTACTACTGCTATCTGAGACAAAATCTTGTGCTGTGAGCAATAAGTCTCTTTGGAAAAAGCAGGTCTTTACCATGGCGAAAGTACACTTCCTTAACTTAAAACGAGAGGTTAAATCAGTGGCAGCGGTGTAAGTATTTCAGCTTCGCGTTCCATAGAATTGTAGACCTGGGAGGGACCTCAAGGGCAGGCTACTTCAACCCCCTACAATGCAGGAGTCGCAGCTAAAGAATCCCTGACAGAAGGGCAAGGTCCAACCTTTGTTTAAAACCTCCCAATTTTTTCCCAGAGGGCGAAGCATGTGGCGAATGGAGCATCACGCCACTCCCACTTCTCTTTATATATGTTTATTTGATTAAATGTTGGGAAGCATTGGAAATGGTAAGGTAAAAGGACCCCTGACCACTAGGTCCAGTCGCAGACAACTCTGGGGTTGCAGCGCTCATCTCGCTTTACTGGCCGAGGGAGCCGGCATTCGTCCGCAGACAGCTTCTGGGTCATGTGGCCAGCATGACTAAGCCGCTTCTGGCGAACCAGAGCAGCACACGGAAACCCCTTTTACCTTCCCACCGGAGCGGTACCTATTTATCTACTTGCATTTTGACGTGCTTTCGAACTGCTAGGCTGGCAGGAGCTGGGACAGAGCAACGGGAGCTCACCCCATCGCAGGGATTCGAACCGCCGACCTTCTGATCGGCAAGCCCTAGGCTCTGTGGTTTAGACCACAGCGCCACCCGCGTCCCACTTGGAAATGGTGGGAGAACGGAAAACTTCTTGTTTACAAGTAGCATTCGTTCCACATGCCAAATACATACATAACCTCTGGTTACGAACTTAATTCATTCCAGAGGTCCTTTCCTAACCTGAAACCGTTCTTAACCTGAGGTACCACTTTAGCTAATGGGGCCTCCTGCTGCCTCTGCGCGATTTCTGTTCTCATCCTGAGGTAAAGTTCTTAACCTGAGGTACTACTTCTGGGTTAGCGGAGTCTGTAACCTGAAGTGTTTGTAACCCGAGGTACCACTGTAATAGGGATGGCAAACCTTATTCATCCCGAGGGCTGCATCGCCAAACACAGCATTTTCCCAGGAGTTGTGCTTACACAGGAAGTTGATAGCTGCCCGTTGATAGGCTGTTGGGGCGGGGAGTCTTTAAGGGGTGGATATAAGAGGAAAACCAGGGACAGTGTGCTTGTGGGCTGTGTTAAGATGCTGGCCTGCTGGCAACTGTCTGAGAATGTGGATGAAGGATATGATACCGTTCCTTTAGACATGCCTTGTGTCTGTGTTTTGATTGTTAAGTCGTTTCAGTGTTACAAACTCTATATCTGTTTTTCTATCTATCATGGGTTTTTCTAAAAAAAAGAAAAGACTTGAACACCACAAAAGTCTCAAGTTAGGCTCTTCACTGATCTAGAGAAAAGGAATTCTTAAATAGACTTACATATAAATTGGATCCGTTTTAATTATGCTTTTTCTTTCCTTTTTTTCAGATTCTTGCTATTCGCAGTGTTTCTTCTTATTCAGATTCTTATGTTCCTTATACACCATTCCTTCAAAAACGCAGTGATTCCTATCAAACTCTCCCCAGATTTATATTTTCTTAGGCCCAATGAAACTCATCACAAATACAAAACCAGTCTCCTCATTCAAAACTCTACAGGTAAGATGTATTTTATAATGTATTTCAATCACAATTTTAATACGTGCATCTTTATCATATTGTTTTATTTTCTTATTGTGAACTGCCTTGGAATTATTTTTTAATGAAAGGTGGTATGAAAATGATTTTTAAATAATTAAAAACATCCAAGTTATAAAATACAATTGATTGTGATGTACAGTGGAAATAAAAGAATAGTATGTGTTAGTTCAGGTTGAAGAGTGGCTGGTGTGGAGCATGGCTGGCAGGTGGCAAACTCAGTCCTCAAAAGCAGAAACAAATCTGGGCATTCACTCTCCTCCCAATTCATTTGCAAATTGGACTGACAGACATGTTTTGCACCAACAGCCATTCTTCCCCCTGGTCCTGTTAGCTAAGAATCATGGGAGTTGTAGGCCAAAACATCTGGAGGGCCGCAGGTTGGGGATGCCTGGTTTAGGCAAAGCATCTCTTGCTGCTGTAATAGCTGCTGGTGGTGAAAAGGGGGAGTTAATTTTTGTTTGTTTTAAATGAAGATTTCTGCCATTATTCTCAAAGGTGAGCAACCCCTTTAAATCTTGCTACTGGGTTTCTGGGGGTTTTCCTGTTGTTATTCTGTCTCTCACAGCTACAATAAACCTACCATTAAAATTATGGACTGGTCATTTATTCGTCAGAGGGCAAACGGGCAAATTTAGCAGGGGATTAAATACTTTCTCCCCTCACTGTATATTCAACACAAAAAAACCAGCGACAATTTGTTGTTGACAAATGACAGCTGGACATATAAAGGGCCCCGTTACCTTCAGTAGCTTCGGGCCTCATCAAATCTAAATCCAGCCTTGATACTCGCGTATCGTTCTCTTCATTGTCTTTAACCTAGGATCAAACATTGACGACATCCTCAGATCTCTTAGGAGCCAGAATATTCTGACAGAGGTACTCAATGGCAGTGACTACGGATCAGCTGACTCCCATGGAACAGCATTGAATGGTAGTGATTACGTCTCATTTGCTCCACATAATGCAGGATTAAACGTGTTGCATGATGACAAGGTGAGAAGAAATACTGGTCCTCTTGGGGTTAGAAACAGGAAGGCCTGCAGGGGGGAAAGCCAGAAAAATGGGGGGGGCAGGGGTTTTTTCCGTTTTCTTCCAAATGGGAACAAACAGCTTTGGGGGGGGAACCCTGTCCCCCCTAATTTTCCCGGGGTTTTTTCCCAGGCCTTCTCCCATCTCTGCTTGGGATATAGAGAGCTCAGGTAAACTGTTGCGCGTGTGGTTGCAATATGATGGAGTTAACTTGCTGGAAGCCAAGTAGGCTGGGTCACTGCCTGGATGGGTGGTTATCTGAGAACCCTGTGTACAGGGCCCTGAATTCTGGGATGGAAGAAATGTACTAAATATAAAGAAACAATACTTTTAATGCTTATTTTTAGTGCATAAATGTTTATTAAATGTATGAGTCACCTATTCAAGTGACATTCAGAACATAAAAAACAGATCCCTCCCCCGGTTGTAAGCGATGGATGATTACTTCTAAGAAGTGGGAAAGAATCCTACAATAAGTCCCAAATTAGAGCCATTGCTTCTTGGAATAAACACAGGGGAGTAACATGGCTAATCACTATTTTTGCAGTGTGATTTGACCACCAACCACCATGCAGTTGCATTATAACATTTATCAAGGTGGGACTTGTAATGTTGTGACATGTTTTGTAAAATCCTTTTAGAAGCACATGATAGATACTCTATAGTCTGAGGGCATCCTTGCACAGAGGTATTTGCAAGCCTGATGTCCCATAAGTAGTATTATCTGAGTCTTCTCAACGCTTTGTGAAACTGTGTACTTTTGATTCTGGAAGCTAGTTTTTGCGTTATATTTTTTTTGCAGAACTACATGTTTACAGTGGCTTTTAACCGTACAATGGTACATTCTTTACCTGTTATGATGAATATCATTAGCAACTTGTACCTGCACAATTTAAACGTAACTGAAAGGATCCATGTCTGGAGTAACCCTTTCTTTCAAGTAAGTGAATGTAAAAACCCAAAGACTAATAATTGTAAATTGAAGTGGTAAGGGAAATGTAGGTGTGTTTTTTTCTTGGGGATAAGCAATCCCCCTGTTTTGCTCCTTTATTCCATTATGGATCCACTGCACTCCAGTCTGGTCCTGTAGATGTATGCTCAGTGGCAGAGCTTCATGCTCCAGCATCGGGGGGCGGAGAGCAGGCGGGGGCAGGGCTAGCGTGTGTCCTGGGGGTGTGGCATGCCACCTGCAGGGGCATGGCGCCCAGCACAGGCGGGGGGGCAGCCATAATGGCACCCCACTGGGATCGTGCTCCCGGGGGCGATGCACTCCCCCCGCACTCCTCTTCCTCCGCCAGTGTGTATGCTAAGAACTGGGAATGTCTACAACATTAATTCCACCCTCATATTTTTCTTGCTGCAGTTTCACCATTTATATTTATTCGAATTAAGCACACGCACGCACACACACATATTTTCTTCTTCTTTGGCGATCACTTGTAGCCGAGTAAGATAGTCTTCCATAAACACGGTTTTAACAATGAGTCCATAAGTGACTGTGGAGGCCAATTCTGGATCCACACGTCCTTCCACAGTGGGGACATTGGTTTCCAGGCGGGAGTTGATCACGGTGTGGATTTGCCAAGCGTGCCTCCTCTTAGCACGTTTCTCCCTTGCGTCCTGAGTTCGAGTGTCTTCAAAGCCCATGACACCTTTGGTAAAGGCTGTTCTCCAACTGGAGCGCTCGCAGGCCAGTGTTTCCCAATTGTCAGTGATTATACTATATTTTTAAAGATTTGCTTTGAGACAGTCTTTAAACCTCTTTTGTTGACCTCCAGCATTACACTTTCCATTTTTAAGTTTGGAATAGAGTAGTTGCTTTAGAAGACGATCATCAGGTATCCGCGCAACATGACCTTCTTCCAGTACACTGACATTAGTTTGCCTGTCTTCCCAAGTGATGTGTAAAATTTTTCGGAGACACCGTTGATGGAATCTTTCGAGGAGTTGGAGATGGTGTTTATAAGTGGTCCATGTTTCACAAGCATATCACACATGAGCACAGCCAACCAAACACAGCCAACCATCTAGCTGTGTACGTGTGGCCTACAAATGTGTGACAACCCTTCTACTGTATACCTTTCCAGTCACTAGCAGTCAGCAAAAACAGGGTGTTGATTGAGTCCATTTGTGGACACCCCCCCCCCATGTCTGCAGACATAAAATTAATGTTCCAGGTGATATTTTTTTCCTTCTTACACTGAAATCTTTTGACTTGCAGGAAATTACTGACACAGTTTTCACATTAGTTCTGTACTTTGAGGCTGTGTTACTAGGAGTCATTGTAACTGGGATGCCGCCGTATTTTGCCATGGAGAACGCAGAAAATCACAAGGTAATATATTTCAACCCCACAGTATTTAGAAAAGGAACATAAGTCTTATTTACTGGTTCCCCCAATCATCTGGCCAAACATGATACAGTGGTGCCTCGCAAGACGAAATTAATTCGTTCTGCGAGTTTTTTCGTCTTGCGAATTTTTCGTCTTGCGAAGCACGGTTTCCCAAAGTCTTCAAAAGCACCAAAGTCTTCAAAAACCTCAAAAAAGGCTACCACACCGCGTGCTATGAGTTGCTCCTCGAAGTCACCCTGGGTATTAACGGTTTTAAGAAAAAGGAAACAAGCTTGCGAAGCAAGCCCATAGGGAAATTCGTCTTGCGAAGCAAATCAAAAAACGAAAAACTCTTTCGTCTTGCGAGGCATTCGTCTTGCGAGGCATTCGTCTTGCGAGGTACCACTGTATGATATGAATGAGTAGATAATCAGGCCATCTAGTTGTCCTCATGACCCACATTAATTGATCTCACTTTGTAGTGTACTAATCCATAATATACACAAACATATTATATGAGGACCAGCGAATAACAACCACTTTCTCCAGTATTGTTTCAGGATGGTACCATTCAGCTAATCAATACTAAACTAACACAGTGCAGCCTGAGAACATTTGTAGGGGCAAGTATTGAGAACACATTCCACCAACTCTGGTCACACCTATCCAGTGCTTTTTTTCTGAGGGAGAGTGGAACGCAGGGGTAGGCATGCCCCTAAACATTTTGCGAATCTAAGTTTGGCCTCATTGAGGGGCAGTATTTCAATATGAGTAGGAAAATGAGAGTACGCCTAAACATTTTTTTAAAAGGAAAAAAAAAGCACTGCGCCTATCTATTTCTTGGTCTGATTTAAAGTGCCTAAATGGTTTGGGGCCTCCACATGTTGGAATGTGATGCGAGAAAAATAAAAAATTACCGGAGGGATTTTTTTTTAAAAAAACCAAATGAAAAATATCTTAGGCTGTGAAATGCCTGTCTGTCTAGTACTTTTCACACTGAATTTTGCAGAAACTTTTGTGTCATCAGAAAAATTAGCTTTGTGTATGTTAGCTGCAGCAAAAATACTTTTTTGCTAAAACACGGCTAACACATCATCTATTAATGAAAGGTTGGAGAAAATTTGGGAGTTTGCTGCTAGGGCCAAATTAACTCATTACTTCACATTTAGGCAACAGGAAGGTATGATAGCTTCATAATAAGATGGCATAGTTTTATTGAATATAGCAAAATTAAATGATTGTGGCCACATGTAATAATAAATCAGTTTGTAATGCAATTCAGAACAGATACAAATAGTTTTCAATATAAATCAGTAGTTTTTCAGTTCTTCAGCAGGACAGTACCCTCTCTTTGTTGGTAGAGCCAGTGTGGGGTAATGTTTAGAGTGTCGGACTAGGACCAGGGAAACCAGGGTTCAAATCCCCACTTGGGCGTGAAACTCAGTGAGTGACCTTGGGCCAGTCATTGCCTTTCAGCCTAACCTGCCTCATAGAGTTGTTGTGAGGATTAAGGAAGGAGGAGGGAGAACCATGTACGCGACCTTGAATTCCTTGGGTGGGGGGAAGGTGGGATAGAAATGCAATAAATAAATATTTGATAATGATGATAATAAACAGTATGAATAAATTAGTAGTATGCGATTTATAATATCGCAATTCATTATAGTTTTAAAATTAAAAGATGCTGCACGAAGTAAGTATATGCCCATATGTGTTTTTAAAAAAATGGTTTGGGACCACGCTAACTGAAGACCCCTTGTACCTGCCTAGGCTTTATGACCAGTCACTGAGGTCCTGGTCTCAGCAATAAGAGATGTTAGGTTAACAGATTACCAGGGACAGAGCCTTTTCAGAAGTCATTGGCATTTGTAGACCAGGGATTAAATCTCCTTCTCTAACCATATAAAATCCACACGCTGCTCTGGAGGATTTTTATTTATCTTACGCGGGCTTCCCTCTCTCTCCGGCACCGATGTATCTGTCTTTCCTTCTTTGAGCTGATCTCCACTTACTATATAGCTTTGTTACTAAATAAGACTATTCTTATTTGATCTGTGTTCATTCATCTCTTACTGGTGTTTTGGCTGCTGTACTTCAGTCCAGGAAGTTCTGGGCTTGCCGGAGGCATCTTGTTGGTGAGAACAGAATGCTAGACTTGATGGGCATCCAACAGGGTTTTTCTTACATTCTTACATTTCTGTGATGTGCATGAGCCGTTCAGCTCTGTTCATCCCAATCCAAAACTGCTGAAGAGCAGAAATCTGGTTAGGCTAATCTGGTTAGGCTTGGTGCCATTTTCCATGTTTGACATGTATTTTAATGTGTTTTGCAGATCAAAGTCTACACTCAACTTAAGATCTCAGGTCTTTATCCATCTGCATACTGGTGTGGACAGGCGCTAGTTGACATTCCTTTATTTTATATTATTCTCCTCCTCATGATGGGTAGCTTATTTGTATTTCACCATGGAGTTTATTTTTTCCCTGAAAAGTTTATTGCTGTGGTAAGTTTTGCTTAATTTCAAATAAATATCCTGTATTTTACTCATTCTTTGTTGTTGTTGTTAATATATTTCGGTTATTAACCCACTTCTCAAAGGTGGAGACAAGATCAAAAATACCTAAATCTTAATTCCTACTAAAATAGAAAACAATGATACCACTTAGCCCCTCATACTGGTTTCACTATGGCAGTAAAAATCCAGCACAGATGCAAACATCTGAGTGCTTCCCAAACATTCAGTTTTTGTACTGTCTTGGTATGCAGGTGCTGTAAACATAAGAATTATTTCCATCTCTTTAAAGTTTTTTTCTGGCTCATGGCTTTTAAGGATTTGTATGCCAGTTCCAATCCAACATGGCAAAGTATGTCTGAAAATGACAGTAGAGATACAACAGTGCAGCTGTGAATTTGCTTTCTAGTAGCTACTCCCATTAGGGTATGGGCTGCTGCTTTCTTCATGCAGATTCATGGGCAATTTTGAGCAAAGCGCATATTTTTACTGATAAAAAGTAAGAACATCATCAGTGTACGCCAGCGTGGTGTAGTGGTTAAGAGCGGTGGACTCGTAATCTGGTGAATCGGGTTCGCGTCTCCGCTCCTCCACATGCAGCTGCTGGGTGACCTTGGGCTTGTCACACTTCTCTGAAGTCTCTTAGCCTCACTCACCTCTTACAGAGTGTTTGTTGTGGGGGAGGAAGGGAAAGGAGATGGTTGGCCGCTTTGAGACTCCTTAAGGGGAGTAAAAGGCAGGGTATCAAGTCCAAACTCTGATTCTTCTTCTTCTCCCTCCCCTGTTTCCCTTATCAAGCGGCCATAGTACAAATGTGACCAGCCATTTTCGGTAAAAAGTGGTCTGTGTTTTCCTTTATCACATGGACCCAAAATCCTTCCCTCCTTCTGAAGTCTCCATGTGCAGGCTATAATCCTGTGTAGCCTGCAAGTCCAGTCCTGGACAGGAGCAGGGCTATTGGCTTAAGGTCTGTGAGGCAAACATGAACAAAATAACAGAAGGGGGAACTTAAAGGACATCATTGAGCCCTGTAGGGATTCCCTGCTCAGGGGTTTAGGGGAGCAGGGATTGCCTTAGTTTCTTAACTGCTGTTACCTATTTCCACCTCGGAACATGTTTTAATTAACACTAATAACTTTCCTTTCCTTACAGATTTTTTGCCTCATTGGCTACGTACCATCAGTAGTTCTGTTCAATTATGTTGTCTCCTTCACCTTTAAAACGATTCAAAACACCAAAGAATTTTGGTCATTCATTTTTTCAGTGGTAAGTTTAATGGTTGTGTTGAAGTTGCCTTTCCTGCTTACTTTGCAATAAGTATTGTATCAGTTACATTCCCCCCCAGTAATTTGGATGTGGCCCAGTCCTGCAAGCACACAAACCCTGTTTAGGTGTTTGGCAGCCTTGGCTACCAAATGCAGGATAGGACTACCAAGAATACGTGGAGCGGCCATGTCCTCTGGATGGTGACACTGGCCATGCCTTCCCTCCACAGCCTCAGAGGTATGCACACACGGTTTCCTCCATGAGAACGGGAAGCCGGTTGTTGAAAGTCCAAGTCTTTCTTTTAATTTCTTTTCCCTTTCAGGCAGCCTTGGTTTGTTCTGTTGTCATCGAAATAGCGTTTTTTATGGTGTACTACACAACAGCGGCCGTCCTTCACACCTGTTTTTCTGTCTTCATTCCAATCTATCCCCTTATTGGGTGCCTCATTTCTTTTATAAAGGTAAGTTTTCAAGGAACTGAAATAAGGATATGTTCTGCTTGTGGTGTGTCCTAGGGGAGGGAATATATTAAACTGCAATGTGAGTGCAGGATAAAGACATATCCAATAGTATTATGTGGGTTAGCTCCTTCCTCTGATACCCACTACAAAATAAGGGTAGACCTTTTTCAAAGAGCATCATGGAGGTTGCCTGGGCAAGAGGAACGATGTGAAGAGGGGCAGTTTCTCCTTTCACTAACAGGAAGAGTGGAAGAGGAAACTTACTGAGGCGATATCCCCAACCATAGCAGCCTCTGAAGTAAGAGACTGGCATTGTATTAATGTATGCAGTAGTACCAACCTTATTATATGCTTGTGAAACATGGATCACTTATAAATGCCACCTCCAACTCCTCGAAAGATTCCATCAACGGTGTGCCCAAAAAATTTTACACATCACTTGGGAAGACAGGCGAACTAATATCAGTGTACTGGAAGAAGCAGAGATCACCAGTGTTGAAGCAATGATTCTTCAACATCAAGTTTGTTGGACTGGTCATGTTGTGCGGATGCCTGATGATCTTCCAAAGCAACTACTCTATTCCGAACTTGAAAATAGAAAACGTAATGCTGGTGGTCAACAAAAGAGGTTTAAAGAGTGTCTCAAGGCAAATCTTAAAAAATATAGTATAAACACTGACAACTGGGAAACACTGGCCTGCGAGCACTCCAGTTGGAGAACAGCCTTTACCAAAGGTGCCGTGGGCTTTGATGACACTCAAACTCAGGACGCAAGGGAGAAATGTGCTAAGAGGAAGGCACGCATGGGCAAATCCACACCGTGATCAACTCCTGCCCGGAAACCAATGTCCCCACTTTGGAAGGACATGTGGATCCAGAATTGGCCTCATTGTTAAAACCATGTTTATGGAAGACAATCTTACTCAGCTACGAGTGACCGCCGAAGAAGAAGAAGAAGAAGAATCGTGCATTTTAGTCACAGGCAATTATGGGAGCTCCCTTTTACCGTGTCATTTTTAAGCATCATGAAAACTTTGATAATATTTATCTTTGAAATATTCTTGTTATATTTAAAAAGGAGGGGAAGCATTTAAACAGCATGGTTACAATCCAGAAGAGACATCCCATTGGAATAAACTGGTATTTTTAGTTTATGGTATCTTTAATAGTGGTATTAACTGTATTGATTCACTATAATTCAGAAGAAAAGTTTTATCACTCTTTGGGAAAGCATGCAGATTTTCTGAATTGCAGTGTTAAAATTAAAATTGGCATCATCTGCAAAATACATTGAAAAGAGTTGTATGAATAACTATTTGTTATCTTGTTAGATAGCCCGGAAACTTGATAACAAGATGGAAAGGAATTCAGAAAGATTACTGGTTTCAGTAGTAGCGGTAAGCATGCTGTTTTTCTTTTGCTATTCGGGGGATCGGCTATTTGGTTACATTTTGGAGAGTAATTATTGTTACTGTTTATCATTTGTGCAAACCCATCATATTATTGTGTGCTTAACTTTTTTGTTGTTGTTTACATGCAGTATTCTAACATCAAGTAGTATAGTTTCACCTTTTCAATCAGAGGGCATGTGGTGTTTGTTCCAGACAATCCTGGAAGTCAGTGTGCCCATAGATTACTTGGGTTTTTGTAAGATTCCAGTTGAACTATTGCAATGCTTTATAAAGTGGGATTTCTTGAAAAAGCATTCAGAAATTTGGACTAGTGTAGACTGTGGCAGATTATTGACTGGAATTCACCACAGGGAACATATTACCAGAATGCTGAATGATTTTCTTAAGACTTCCATTCAGTTTCCGGGTACCATTCAAAGTGTTAGTTTTAACTTTCAGTGGCGAGTCTAGAACTTTAATGGCCAACTTCTCTTATGTGAGAGCTCTATAATTTAAGAGCTTCAACTGAGGCCCTACTTTGAGCGCCTCTGTCGTTGGAACTTAGGCAAGTGCCTGCAGAAGAGAATTGGCACCCCAATTATGTAGTTTCTTTTCTACACTGCAGTCGAACGCATTGTTATCTTTTAAAGTCCTGTGTGTCTATCCTGATTGCCCATGTTTTACTAGAGCTCTTAATATTTATTATCTGGTCTTTACTTGGTTTCTTAATTGTCCGGTTTTAATTCTGATTTTATGAGAAATATATTTTTTTTACATAAATAATTTAATCTACAGGTGGGTCCAGAAAGTGCAATGACAGAGTGAAAGATGCTCCATCAGAATAATTTTACTTTTACGGTGTTTTCCTAAATACTCCTAGCATTTTCCATGCCTATAAAACTGAATGAAAAAGGCAAATCGCCCAGAATATTTATGCCACATTCTATATCGCCTTACTATCATTCAGATTGATACTATTTAAAAGTAGGAGGTTGTATCCAACCAAGTTCTACTAAGAGCAGATCTGTTAAAATGAATGTACCCAGGTTAGTCATGTCCAGCAATTTCAAGGGGTCTCTTCTGAGTAAGACTTAAACTGGAGACATCCCAGTGAATTATTCCACTTGTGAACTTGTCTTCAGACTTGGAGAAAGGGAGGGAAGAACTTCACGAGAGTGGTTGGTAGCAACAAAACCAAAAACTTCACTCCTCCATTCTTCATAAAAATGTGACCAACTGAACCACCTTTTCAAATAACAATTAGGATGCTATCCTTCATTCTGGGCAGTGTAATTCAGAAAGATTATTTCACGCTTAAGGCTGCTGCTTGAAAAATCAATCCGAGGGTTCAGAGGTCTCACCTGAGGTCTCATACTTAGGAATGATTGAACCTTTGTTGATGCAAGAGGCCTTGTTTCCAGTGCCAACATAAGAACAGCCATTTTGCCTGACCCTGTCACCACTGTGGCATGTAAGTGCTGCTCAAAACGGTATTTAGAAGGGACAGGGTGAGACAAACCTACTTATTTCTTAAATAAAACAATAGTATTTATTTTATTGATCTTTGATCAAAACATTTGAAGGTCACCTTTTAGAACCTGGTCCTTTTAGGCTGCTTAAACAAATCAGCCTACAGATGGATACAGAAAAAAATGAAACCATGGAGTGTAACACTCTCCCTCAATCTATAATTTTAGGTGGTGTACCCACCATGTCTTCAAAGGGCATTTGAAACACATTCTTTCCCTCACAGAATTTTGGGCATTGTAGTTTACTGCCCACAGAGTTACGATTCCCAGCTACCTTTAACAAACCACAGTGCCTGGAATTCGGGGGGCGGGGATGTGCTTCAAATGTGCTTTATATGTTTAGTGTGTACCACAGTTTTACATTACACTGTAGAACGGGAGGAGTGTTAATAAATGTTCAGATCCTGAAGTTCAGTTGAAACCCAGAAGAAGACATGTAAGAATACCGTGGGAGACCTCATATCAGGAAATATATCTAGTTGTTTTGGACTAGTCTCCATGAGCCCCAGCCAGCATAACCAATAGTCAGGGATGAAATGAATTGTAGTACAAAACAAGCATTCTGTGAATGATGAAGAAAATCAGAAACCTCTTTCATGAGGGGGAAACGTTCAAGAAATTAAGAGAACAGATTTCAGCAGATTACAATTAGGAAGACTGTGATTTCCAGATTGAACATTTTTTAAAATAGAACTTTAAAAAAAAAAAAAATCACCACAGAGCCTGCAACCTTATCATAAAGGTTTGCACTAAATGTGTCTGCCTGCCAGTGCCATAGTCTCATAACCATACACAATACCATGGATTATAAATATAGGAGTACAGCAATTGGCATGCCCCATTCTATAAATTCATGTTTACGTTTCAGTAAACTTGCAGTTACAAATACAAATCAGCACTGGACCAAAGCTGTTTCAATTAATATACTTTTTTCCTTTCTTCAATTTAGCCTTATTTGCAATGTGTAATTTGGCTCTTCCTTCTACGATATCTTGAGGTGAAGTGTGGAGGCAAATCGTTGAGAGAAGACCCATTTTTCAGGTTGGTTTGTCTTTGAAGTAGCAGTGTTCAGAACAGTGTGTACCAACCGAAAGAATCAGCACAGATCGATGCAGAGGCTGAGATCCAAACCTGATTTCAGGATGATATTATTAGTTGTATTCATATTAGTATTATTTGCACTTATTAGCCACTTTTCTTACAAAATACAGTGGTACCTCGGGTTACATATGCTTCAGGTTACAAACTCCGCTAACCTAGAAATAGTACCTCGGGTTAAGAACTTTGCTTCAGGATGAGAAGAGAAATTGTGCTCCGGCGGCGTGGCGGCAGCAGGCGGCCCCATTAGCTAAAGTGGTGCTTCAGGTTAAGAACAGTTTCAGGTTAAGAACGCACCTCCGGAACAAATTAAGTACTTAACCTGAGGTACCACTGTAGTTCAAAGATTAAAATCAATATAAAACCAAAGCAGAAAAAAACCCATTCATATGTATTAAAAGCCCTTTCATTTCACCACTCATTGGATGCTGAACACAAGGTTTAAGTTCATGTGAGGAGAGGCGGTCCTTAAAGTATTGAGCCACATAAGACTGGAAGCTTGATAGGCCCAAAACCAGCACTTTGAATTGAGCCCAGAAGCTAATTGGTAGCCAGTGTCATCATGCCGGAATTTTTATATGCTTGGACTGACTTGCTCCCATTCAGCTCCCAGCTGCAGTTTCGGAACTGTCTTCAAAGGCATCCCCCTCCCTATATAATGCATTGCAGTAACCTAAACTAGAGGTTACCAACGTAAACAACAGAATTTAGACTGTCCCAGTCCCAGTCAAGATAGGGGCACAGCTGGGCCAGCGGTCAAAGCAGATAGATAGCCCTTGGTGCCACTGAGGCCCCTTGAGCTTCAAGCAACAGTAATGGTTGCCAGAAGCTATGTAGCTGCTCCTTCAAGGGGAGTGTAACCCCATCCAGAGAAGACCACGTCCTCTTCATCTGGTCTAACATTTAACCCTAGCAGTCATGTCTGGATTAGGTTCCAGTTTATTGACTCTCATCCAGTCCATTACAGAGGTAAGACGTCAGTGCAGCACATTCACTGCTATGCCTGCAGATGTAAAGGAGTAGGGCTGGGTGTCACCAGCGTATTGCTCACGGTGTACTGCAAAACTCCTGGTGACCCCACTCAGTGGTTTCATGTTGGTGTTAAGCAGCACGGGGGATAAAACTGAACCTTGCAGAACCCCACACTGAAGGCTCCATGGAGCTGGACAGTTGACTCCCCAAGCACCATCCTTGGCTGTTGCTCCTCTTCAAGCCAGTAGTAGATGAATCACAGAATCTCGGCACTTGGGGACCCTCTTCTGTTGCTTACTGCCAGTTCTGCCGCAGTGATGCATCGGATAGGGACATACCAGCAGGGTTGCATGTATGGAACTTTCCATATTATGGACTGGCCTGTTGAGCTGATGGCATTACAGTGGTACCTCCGGTTGCAGACGGGATCTGTTCCGGAGGTCCGGCCGGATCCCGAGGCTTTCGCAACCGGAGGACCGCTTCTGCACATGCGCGCGCAGCAAAACCCAGTAAAATACTTCCGGGTTTGCCGCTTTTGTGTCCCGAAGTTTACGTAAACAGAGGTACTACTGTATTTCTGTTAGTGCTATGTATCCAGAGGTCCCATGAGCAGAGTTTAACATATTTTCCTACCTTCAGAACTCCCGTGAAAGTGAAGCCCTGGAAGTTCCCAGATGTGCCACATAATGAAGATGAGGATGAAGATGTTATGGCTGAGAGGTTGAGGGTTAAGGAGATGACAACCTGCCAGAGCTGTGAGGAGGTAAGTCTTTCCCTTCAGTGAAAAATCACACTCCCTAGTTTGCACCCAATGATGTGCTAAGATTTAGGGAAGCTGGAAGTCTTTCTCCTGGCCGCACAGGAGGAAGACAGGTGAGTGAGGAGTAGATGAGCCTGAGGCTTCTGCTTAACCTCAGGCTCACATGTTTGTGCCTTAGGCTCGTGTGTTCCTGCACATCACATTTAACCAAGGTTTGCTAATCCTCACTTCAGTGAGCTAATTCACCCCGATATTGTTTTCTGCTGATTTCGGTGATGGTGATGTAAAGAACAGAAATTAAATTAGACACAGCACTGGGGGGGGATGGAGCTCAGTGCTCGGATGGATTATTTTTAATTTTTTTTGCATTATATAATCTCATTCAGTATTCAACTCTATCATCTTTTGTTTTATTAGAAACCAGCAGTTTTGGTCAGTAATTTGCATAAAGAGTACGATGAAAAGAAAGATTTTCTTCTTGGAAGGAAAATAAAGAAAGTGGCAACAAACCATGTCTCTCTTTGCGTAAAAAAAGGTTTGAGTTAAATTGTTTACTACGGAATCAATACTCTTTTTTAGAAAATACAACACACCCTCTTGTGAGGCACAACTGCAGGTGCTCTTTCTTTTTATTTCAGGGGAAATTCTGGGACTGTTGGGCCCCAATGGAGCTGGGAAGAGCACACTCATTAATATATTGGTGGGAGAAGTCGAACCAACTTCAGGCCAGGTATTTAAATGCAACCTAAACTGTCTGCTCACTCTTTTCTTTTGTTAGATCATTTATTAATTTTCCAATAAAAGACATCCAATTAAAATATCAAATCATAATCCAATAAAAAAAATAAAATAAAATAAAAGAGGTCGGATTATCTTCCGAATTGTAATTTTTAATTTTACGACTTCCCATAGTCTGAACCTAAAAGCATGTCCAAATCTCAGTCCTGCCTCTCGTCGATATTTCCATATTTCCACATCTCGATTTTATCTCTCCATGCTCACTCTTCCTTCTGAGTTTTATTGTGTTCACCATTACAGTTCTCTTTTAATTAAAAGAAGAAGAAGAAGTTTCATAGCTCAGGCAGTGGTCCCTCTTTCTAGATTGAAGAAACTTATATTTCATACAGAAACTACCTACAGTTTACGGCTTGATTTCAGAATGAATTGTCCATGCAGCACTCTGCTCACGCTACACCCTGCATTGAGTCGCTTAAGAGCAGTAGCTCCAACGCCAGTCTTCCTTCTGCCACAACAGCAGTGTGGCTCACTAGGAAGCGTGATCTGACACACCAGCCAGCCAGAACAAAAAGCGTACAGAAAGAGAGAGAGAGAGAGAGATTGTGGTGGGCTGACAGAGAAAGAAGGGGGATTGTCAGAGAGCATGGGGTGTGTGAAGTGTCCCTTTTCTTCAGAAGCTCAGTGTGCTGATACTGGTACAGCTGTTGGTTTTCATTTGCGCTGAAAAGGGCCATACAAAACTGAAATGGTTGAGCTGAACAAAACAGTGTTACGAGTTACAAACAGACTCACGCTCACCTTGATTCTGGCAACATTCCAGTAGAAACTAAAGATAGGAAAAATGGGTTCCCCTCGTGCATATAACACTTTATAAAGTCAGAAATAGGCTCGTAGGAGGGTTGGAACTTGCCCAGCTTCCTTAGGATTATCATTTATCAGTAAGACAAAAACTCTTCAGATAGTATTTCTTGCCATTGTTTTAATTTAGCTCTTCCTATTGTTCAGTATTTCCTTGCAAACTTTATGTAGGAATTTTAAAACCATAGACTGTGTAGTTTATTTTTATGTACACCATATTGGAATGCTAATTATTAATCGGTATAGAAATGTTTTAAATAAATACATTAACAATAATAATGACAACAACAAGGTGAAAATGTTAACTAAGGATTGGTATATCCACAGGTGCTGATGGGAGATTATTCCTTAGGTGAGAATAATGAGGATAGCTCCATGAGATTTGTGGGATACTGTCCTCAGACAAACCCACTCTGGCCTGATATTACATTGCAGGAGCATTTTGAAATTTATGGTGCTATCAAAGGAATGAATGAAAGCGACATGAATGAAGTCATAAAATGGTAAATATTTTATTTTGAACACTTGTTGTACAGTAGTCTATCCCCCCCCTCCCCGTCCTTGGGTATGGGTATCTTACTTAATTGCAAAGTATAAAAGCTTTAATTGATTGTGATCAAATTGTACTTGTAAAACTTAGCATGTCCCTTTAAAATGCAGCTTTCAAGTATTAAAGTGGTACATACAATATTTAACAGAAGTGTTTCCTTTACACTTGACAGATGGCTCAAAAGGGAAAGAAACAAGATTTAGAAACCTCAGAGTGGTGTTTATAAGTAGCAATTACATACCAGGAACTGCTCTAAGTTTTAAGATACTGGACGGTTCACAGGGGGGTGGCAGGGGGAAAGGATTCTCTGAGAGCTGCTAAATCCATCTTCCATGCCCTTCTTCCTTTATTGGACAGTTTTCACCAGGCACTGTTTGTTTTACTACTTTTGTCCAGGTAAATCACATAAATCTCACTAGCACATTGAAAAAGATATAATGAGCGTATAATGAATTTATTGATGTTCTCTCATGTAGGCTTTTTAGAATGCTTAATACTGTAGTGACACCCCTTTCTAGACTACAAAAATGTTGGCCATGTGGTTTTCTGCAGCGTTTCCAGTGCACTTGACTTCAAGGAACATCTTCAGAAAAGGACAAAGAAACTTGGAGCAGGAATCAAACGGAAGGTATTTTATTGCTTTAAAACGTTGCATTTCTAATTCAGGCTACATGGAATAAACAGGCATTTGACTGTACGAGCAGCCCCTGTTCAAACTGATGTAAACAAGCAGCCCTCTGCCTTGATTCTTCTCAGACTCCATTCTCTGCCTACCTCTTCCCCAACAACAATAAAACCTCACCTTGCAAGAAGCGGACATGGTAGCAAGTGGAGGAGAGCTCAATTGAGAATGAAAAATGCCTGTCTCTCTAGGTGGTCATCCATCAGATGGGTAGATTGTTGTTGTTTAGTCGTTTAGTCGTGTCCGACTCTTCGTGACCCCATGGACCAGAGCATGCCAGGCACTCCTGTCTTCAGATGGGTAGATACTGACATCTATTGTCCAAAGGCAGAAAATGCAGAATTGAGGAAGTAGATTGCCTCTCAATGTACAGAACCTCCTGTCCATTCATGAGATTTTCATGTTATAGTCCCTCTTTCCCCCTCCCTCAGCCCTGAACCCATTCAGTCACAGTACAGTGGTACCTTGGTTCTCAAACTTAATCCGTTCCGGAAGTCTGTTCCAAAACCAAACCATTCCAAAACCAAGGCGTGTGTTCCCATAGAAAGTAATGCAAAATGAATTAATCCATTCCAGACTTTTAAAAACAATCTCTAAAACAGCAATTTAACATGAATTTTACTGTCTAACGAGACCATTGATCCATAAAATGAAAGCAATAATCAATGTACTGTACTATAAAATCAATAAGACAGTATTGTAGATGATAAAATGAAGAAGAAAAAAAAATCTTCCCTGCACTGATGATAGCCATTGTTTGGATGGGAGACTTTTATCTATTTCTGCAGTTACATAATCAATCAATCAATCAGTAGCTGAACTGGGTTCCACACAGACACAAAAACAAATTAACTGAAAAAGCCTCAAAAACAAAAATGCAAAATAACTAGCAAAAACAAAAGCACCAGACTTAATCTGTTCTGGAAGTCCGTTAGACTTCCGAAATGTTCGAAAACCAAGGCACAGCTTCTGATTGGTGCAGGTGCCCTGGAAACAATAGCCAACAACAGCATCGGGCCTTTGGCTTCCAAAAATCATTCGAAAACTGGAACACTTCCGGGTTTTCGGAGTTTGAGAACCAAAGCGTTTGAGAACCAAGGCATTTGAGAACCAAGGTGGTCGTTTGCTTTTTAGTTAACCTTCCTTCCATCTTCCATTCTGTGAGTGATATGTCAGTTCCTGGCAATTTATGCTGGATTTCTTCGTTGTGTGCTTGTCTATTTAGTCTCCAGCATTTGTAATTCCAAATGCAAAGCAAGGTTTTTCTCCTTTGCCAGCTTCCCCGCCTGCCCCCCCCCAAAATTTTCTCTTCTCAGTGTCACTTGATTCCTCCTTTAAATAAATAAACAAACCCAATCTGTCTTTCTTACTTTCTTCTTCTACTCTCCTCCTAATGGCAGGCTGAATGGGTTCCCCTGGCAGTTGTTGGAGCCCTCTTCTATCTACCACCTACTTCAGCTCCCCCAAAATGAGACTCTCCCCTCCACACACACTTTGGGGGAAGATATAGAGCAGTAGACAGGAAGATTGCCATTGCACCTTGAATGCTTGGAGATCCCCTTTGAGGGTTTCCAAGTGTTTGCACACTTTGAGGATTAAAGTCAATGTAGTTTCAGCGTGTGCGCATGTTTTCTTCATCTGTAGAGCACATGGCCATCAAATTAATCTTTCTTTCCTACCCTCTTGTTTTAGCTATGTTTTGCCTTAAGTATGCTTGGTAACCCTCGTATTACTCTACTAGATGAGCCATCTACTGGCATGGACCCCAAAGCAAAGCAACATATGTGGTGAGTAACACCAAACAACATGGAGAATGTGTTTTGGAATGGAATATCACGGCTTTTTATTTAGAATTACATCTCACCCCTTACTGCATCACTTTCAATGCAACTAGCAAAACCTGGAATAATCATCTGAAAAATCAGCACAGTGAACAAACATTGACAGCATGAACATAATACAGTTGCAACACAAAATAACACTGATTCTATTATTATTATTATTATTATTATTATTATTATTATTATTATTATTGCTGCTGCTGCTGCTGCTGCCTCCCCTGCCCCCAGAATGCCCAGGGTAATTTTGGACAAAGGAAAATTGACAAAGTAGGTGGCAGCTATCTTAGGGAACCTCAGCTACCTCTGCCACCTCAGAATCAGCAAACAGTTGAGAAATATAGATATTGTGCTACCCACAGTAAACTCCAATCTCTTAAGAACCCTCCTGCTGATTATCAAGAACTTTCAACTCCACAGTACCAGAAAAGGGAGTTTTGTGTCATTTTTCCCACATACCCCAATGAAAGGATTTATCAGAGTATTGTGTAAATTGTAACCTATGGCCAGTGCACCGGACCTACCAGTCATCCCTGGAGAACGGGCACAAAAATACTTGGATATGGAGAAACTATTGGGGTGTGTGAGAGATTTGTATTTCACTGAATCTCCAGCTGATGGAAAGTCCAGCAGATGACCTTATGTCCATTATATGCTACTCCATAGAGAAATACTAAAAAAAAGTGAACCATTTGCAAGTTAGCCACTCCACTTTCCCACTATTTATTACATCTGACAGGAAAGCAATTCGTGCAGCTTTTAAAAGTAAAGAGAGAGCAGCCATTCTGACAACTCACTATATGGAAGAAGCAGAGGCTGTGTGCGATCGAGTCGCAATCCTGGTGTCTGGAAAATTAAGGTACCTCCTCCGCATCTTTGGGATATCTTGAATAAAAGCATCTTGGGCTTTTGCATTAAAATATCATGAAAGATTTTGACATTAAGTTTGCCTTTGTCTGCCTGCCTGCCTTTTCTCCCCCCCCCCCAAAGATGCATTGGTACAGTTCAACATCTCAAGAGTAAATTTGGCAGAGGATATTTCTTAGAAATGAAACTGAGACATGTACCACTTACAGAGAAGAAGGAGTATCTTCAGAGGGAGATTCTGCGCATCTTTCCAAATGGAAGTTACCAGGAAAGGTAAAAAAGCAAATTGTGTAAGAGGTCTGGGTATTAAACTAACAAAAAGAAGCTTGATTTCCCTCAACACCCCAAAGTGCACAACATGGGGAGGGGGGATGAAAAGTGAGGATTCATTGGTCAGTTGGCAACACACCTGGCAACAGTGACACAGAACTTAGCCCACAGGTTGGTCACAACAAATGCCTGACTTCCAGCTGATCAGCTCTACAGCAGGTAGCCTTGGGAAGGGATTTTGGAAATAGACTAGAGTGGGAATTTCTCTCTGGTCTTCTCCCGAGCCATAAATTGGGCCCTGATGCAGGTTTAGGCCGGTATTTTCATGCCTGTCCTCCTACTTACATTTGGACACTCATTATTGCAAATATTGCTTGCTACTGTAAATACAGTTATGTGTTTGTTATAGACCCAAAGTAGACTGTGGTTGATGTGGCTGGCAGAAAAGTTTGCTTGGGTCCCTGACAGGCAGCTAAGATCTGCTTGTTATGTTTGGTTTTCTCTTTGCAAATCACTTTGTTTGGTACTTTTCTTTGTAGGACCCTCAACTGGCTGTGTTACAAATAAGTTGATAGAACAGATAAAAGCTGCAGTCTGATCCAAAACAACAGCCTGTTCAGGCGTATTACAACATTTTATGCTTAATTCCAGTAACATTACTTAAGCCACTGGTGGTTTTCATTTCTGCTTAGTTGTTGCTGAATGCGCTGATGCCTGTTTTATCTTTGTTGCAGTTTCGAATCTATTTTGGCTTACAAAATCCCAAAGGAAGATGTCCACTCACTTGCATTATCGTTTTCTAAACTGGAGGAAGGTGAAGTAACAATTTACTAAGTAGAACCTCCATCTGATTCTCAATTTTCTATCCAAACCACCTGTTAACCTGAATTCATCTTAACCTGAATTCATCTTGTCAATCACCACCCCCATCATCACGTCTCTTAGAATCACAATTCTCTCTGTAAATAATATATTCCCTTATCCAAACCCCTGGTCAGTGGATATGTTGCCTTCCTGATTTGCCTTCCTGAGACATATTGAAGTCTGTTAACTTTTAGAGCATTTAAAGAGGTACAGGATTTCCTCTTGATGCATTAACTTGTTGTCTTCTCACAGCCATACACAATGCTTGACTAGTGCTTGCATCCTTAAACATTAAAGTCATCTGGAAGCTCCAAATGTGCAGAAGAGGTACCTTGGTTCTCAAACTTAATCCATTCCGGGAGTCTGTTAGACTCCCGAAACCGTTTGAAAACCAGAACAGTTATTTCCGGGTTTGCATTGTTTGGGAGTTTTGTTCGACAAGTAAGCTGTTCAAGAACCAAGGTACCACTGTATACTGTACTGCAATGCACACAGTGGCTTTCCTGGTCACTGGAATCTTAGGGAACAGCAGGGTACATGTACCCCGATGTGTCTGTATATGCGGGAGCCAGAAACTGCTAAGAGCTTTAGGATGTGCACATCTTAATGCTTATGACCTTCAGATTGATCTGTGTTTTCTATTTTTACTGATGTTGAGAGACAGGTTTCATTTTAAAATGCTTGTTGATGTAAAGTAATTTTTGATGTATAATTGATTACTGTTGAGGAGTAAGGAGTTCCTTCTATCACTTTTAACAGCAAAACATGCGTTTGATGTTGAAGAGTACAGCTTCTCTCAAGCAACACTTGAACAGGTAATTTAAACAGACTTTTTCAAAAATATAATGCAATGTGCCGCAGAACATAGTTTCACGGTTTTCAAATTTATATTTGGTAAAATCAATTGTTTGCTTGTGTAAGCTAGCTATATTTACAGAAAACATGGTCACAGAAAACATTCACACCTCTCATATCTGGCCATGATTTTATTATAGCTTTCCAAGTTCACAAAAGTTTTGTAAATTAACATGACACATAATTTTTGGACCAAACCATGGCTTAGCACAAATGTGCAAATGTTTGGGTTCTGGGAGCAAATATTGTTGCTGCAACACTCCTGCTTCTTCTCTACTAACTAAAGCTAAGTCATTCTTTGGCTTAGTGATACATCTAAACGCAAACTTGTGGTTTGCAACCAAAGTTTTAGTCTTGGTTTACTGCTTGTGGAGATTTCAAACTCTCTATTAACTTGGGCTACCATTTTGCCTGCAAAATTCTCACATGCATTGTGGTTGTAATTTAACATATTCATGAAGCTCTTACTTGTTTTAGGTATTTGTGGAACTTGCAAAAGAGCAAGAGGAGGAAGACAGTGGTTTTGGAACACTAAACAGCACACTTTGGTGGGAACGAGCGCAGGAGAGAGTGGTTTTCTGATCTGGTCCGCGTTGTAGAATTTTACCTGTTTCATTCTTCAACTTGTTTTTAAAGGACTGTTTTTTCCCCCCGTCTTTGTTTCCTTCTCTTGGAATGTGTATGAGCACAGTGAATCGGAAACATATTCCCAAACAATTATAAGTATAAATAACACTGATTTCACCTAAAAATGCAAAATGGAGCCTATTCACCTTCTTTGCCTTACATACATCAACATTATAAATGTCTTTTATCTATGACTTGCTCTTTTTATGTGAAATGTTTTGTAGCCATGGCAGAAAGAGGGCAGATTAGAATTTAATTTTTTGGGTGCAATATATGCTTTCTACTCTAGAATTTCATATACCAAATTGCATCAGTCAGTACAAGTATGTGGTATCCTCTTTAGCAGAAGACAACTACAGATTTTTAAAATTTATGATTACAAGGCATTTAAATGTGATGCAGTTCATGAAGCTTGATTTCAAGAACCACCTCTGAAGAAGTTGTAGGGAGAACATTTTGCGACACCACTGAGCAGTCTACAGTATAGTAATCGGTTTATATGGATATTTTTCAGAGGAGATTTTTGCTAAAGACCATACTGACATGGTTCCGGTTCAACCTGGTAACTCCTGTCAGTTTGCACACATTTTTATGTAAGCTAAATCATAAGAGAAAGCAGTTCCCTAGACTAGCAGGTATTATTCAGGTGGGTCAAAGCTCAGGTACACCTCAACTTGTAATAAACCACAAAATAGAATACTTAGCATTTATTTAATCTTCTTCAAACTTCTGGTGAAATTCATATTGGAATTTTCTTTGTATGTTAAGTGCTCAAGTTGATCGTACTGTGCAACCCAAAGTAAGGAAGTCTGCCCGGGGACAGGAACATTGGCAGTTCTGGCATCACAGACTCCCATTTCATACAGTCCCCATTGTATGATGGCTGAGAAAAGGGGAACAAGAGCATCAGAAGGCACAAGGACACGTCCATGATAACCCCACCCACAGCAGCAAATTCAGACACAGTTCCCAGCAGCAAAGGCTGATCCACCCAGTACACACATGACCAGACAACACATGACACTCACACGCACTGTGATACTGTAAATACACTTAGCACCAGCAGTGCTGCAGCTGGGTGGAAATCAACACCTTGTCATTTCCACTTCAGGTCCCTAAACGCAGCACTCATACCACCGAAACACACGACAACAGGCAGATCATTTTTTTAAGCCCTTTAATGTTACGATGGAACCAGCTACACAGTCACACAATCAACACCTTGTCATTTCCACTTCAGGTCCCTAAACGCAGCACTCACACCACCGAAACACACGACAACAGGCAGATAATTTTTTTTAAAGCCTTTTATTGCTACGATGGAACCAGCTACACAGTCGAACAAAATATCTCTGTGCACCTTGTTGGGGATCCCCCTAGAATGACATGTGTGCGTGTTGGCTCTTACATCTGCAACCTGAGCGGAGTAGCAGAAGTTTATTTTATTTACATTTGTATCACAAAAATATATATCAAAGCAGTTTACAGCAATAAAAACATAAAATGGGGCCTGTGGTCGTCCATGGGTGAGCTGGCTCCTTTGTTGCAGGGGGCTCTGTCGTTTGCTACAAAGACATGCTCCCTTTTTCTGGACTAGCTTTGCTGGGCGGGGTGGCTGTGTGAAGTCCTCTCCAACCCAGTTATCATTTTTTAGTGGCATTTCCTGCTGGGTCCTGTTATCTGTAGAGCTGCTGCTAAAAAGCCTGGTTGGGATGGAAGCCCAAGAGTAGTGTTAGCTTTGCCCCATGAGCTGTAGAGGCAGGCTTTGAACAAAGTGCCTTCTGTTTATGTTCTGTGCAAAATGCCCTTTCACCAGAACCGCCCCCCCTCAAGTTCCAAGTCCACAGCCAGAAGCATAGCCTCATGCACTTTTACCTGTTCTGACATTCTGAGTAGGGTTTGACACGTCACAGGTTTGTATCCAATGTACTGCAGTGGTTGGCTGTCTGGTTCTGCCACATGGATGAGGGAGGGAGGGCAAACTGGGAAGTCTGGTTTCGACACATTCAATTGTGTCTTTCTGGGTTTCCCTTCCACCAGACCTTTAGGTGGGATTTGCCAGGTTGTGAGGGTGTGGCCAGCAGCTATAGGGTCTGGTCTATGTGGAACTGTGTCTGTCCCTAACCACGCCCATTCTTCACCAAAAGCACCCCACCCGTGTGCTTTTCACTAGGTCAATTACCAGCAATCATGTCTTCTGCCCTCTCCATGGCCAAGGAGACACCTTTCTGACAGCTTGGACCCTCTCTGTCAGTACAGGGCCCCAGTACTGCCACATCCAAACCCATTTAAATGAAGCTATGCACTATTTGAGTTAGAATCTACATTGTCAGTTTGCAAATTTTAATGCTTTTTTAGAGCAAGTTTTGCATCAGAATTAATGACTGGTGCATTTTATGCACTAGCCCCCATCTCCAAGCCCCTTTCCTTTTGTGTTGTATGGGCTAAATACCAGCCACATGATCTTATAGCACTGCAGGTCAGTTGGGCATAATCAGCATTTCACTAGTTTAGAAGAGAGATTTATTGGGTCAAGTCCCAGAAATATATTGCACTTTAAGGCTGTGTAGGATTACATTATAAACCACTCTGAACAACCACATATTAGTCAACAAAATCCAAATACATGTACATAAAGTGTAGTATAAGGCTGCCAGGTATATAAATTGTTTGTTTTGAATGGTAAGTCTAAATTGTGTCACTGTTGCAAGCTGCACAGAAGCCTATACTGCATGCACAAGTACATTTAAATAGGTTTCTTTCACGTTTACAAATGCAGATTGTGAAAACCAAATAGCTAAATCTATTTGTACATTCCTTAATAGCCTATAGCATGTTGAATTGTTGCATCATTGTGGTTATTTCTGTTGAGAGTTTCAACACATTAAGATCTACCACTTTTTGCAGGCAAACTTTTCTGTGTTCAGTTTTCAAGGTCTTTCCTTGACAGTGAAATTGTAGCCACGCACACCACAACCTTGTATTTATTGTGATGTTGATGATGATAACTATGGAAAAACATAACGAAGCTGCTCCAGTATCACTGGGAAGTAATAAAGATCTATGTTTCGTATAGCCATACTTGAATGTAATCAATTTATTATTGGGATATAAAGAGAATTCTTCAAAAATGATAAAGAGGAGATCACATTAGCACACCCCTAGTGTAAGCTGAATTCCATGCAAAGGCCTAAAATATCTGCACTTAATTAAAGAATGTTAACCTTTGACTAAGCACTATAGTATGAAAGTTAAATGCCGGATTCTAGCAGACTTACTGTTGCTTCAGCATGTACTCTTACAAAAAGTCAATTTTTCCATTAGGTTCTAGAGACTCTTGCTATTGCTACTTTGATTCTGACTTTGCTAAACGCACAGAAGAAACGCTAAACTAAGATGTGGAAAAATATGTGTATATATGACAAATGATCCTCCAAAATCTTGTTCCTATAAAATCATGTTATTTTTGATGTTGGAAGGCTGTTTCTCAAGCACAATTTTCGCTCGCAGGATTTGTCATGCCTTCCTGTTTGAAGAAAATTGGGAGAAGGGTTTTTTACACAAGTCAAAGTTGTGCTGCTATTGTTTTAGGGGGCTCAGTACTTTAAAAAGATGGTTGAGATACCACAAACAGGTTGTTGCTGACTGGTTGGTATTTTAACCAGGCAGATTTCCCCCAGAAGCAGTAAATCTGGATTGAATGGGGGAAAACGCAGGCGGGCATTTTGATGTCAAGTACTATAATTGTGGGGGTGCTTTAAACATGCTTCAAAAGTATGGTCTGTATGCAGCCTTAGGAAAGCTTCGTCACTCCCAAATTTACAAAAGAGGTATGTAAGCAAAAACATGTTTCTGAGCAAGACTCTCTTAAATGAGACTTTGGGGGCTTTTAATAATTGGTTTAATCTTCCACTGCACTAGATACGTAGCTTTGGTTCTCTACGGTTATCTTTCACTTGAAATTGGTAGCAAGGAGGTGAAGACCAGAGTGCAAATTGCTTAGCCTGCAGAGGTATGAACAGCTGTTCTAATGTTAGGGATGTGAAAGGGGAAAGTCAGATTTGAGGGGAGAGAAATAAGTTGAAGGGCAGGCGTTGCCTATTCCAAAGCAAAGATGTCTTCCTTAAAGGGCTATTTGCAAGTTGGAAAATGAGCTTTAACTAACCCCAGCTTAGTGTCTCACGTAAATCAACTACATTTCTTCTTCCACACCAGGCTGTCTCCTTTATTGGGGACCTGTGCTCCTGGCAAGGAAGCAGGGGGCGAGTGGACACTCCTTTGCCAATTCCTATGGAGACACCTATAAGGATAGAACAGATTAGGGGAAGAAAAATAGTACAAAGGAAACAAAATCGATTTCCAGGACTACTTACTACATGAACAGTGAGCTGCAAATGAATTATCTGACAAGGGAAAGCTTTTAAGTGGGAGTTGGTTTGGGAGAGTTGGTCTTGGGGAGGGTGGGGGGTTCCCAAAGATGAAAGAGAGTGTAGAGGCGATTTAGATGGCACTGATTCAGCAATGAGGAGTGCAAAAATGTTGAGTGCAAGAAGAGGACTGTGTGCACATTTCGGATGTAGTTCCTTAATCTTGATGGATGCTAATGGGTGACTAAGTACCCACGGTGGATATTCCGGTGGGCATGCTGTTACAATTTAAAGATTTGAATAATTTATTTGAATTATAATGCTAACAGCGCTGAAGCACTTTAGTGCCAGCAGCTGGAAGCAGAGTAGGAGGAAACTGAAGATGAGGACTAACACAGGACTTGGGTATAACAAGCTGCACTTGAATGCTTACAGCTTCCATAAATCTGCTCTCATACCTATACATTCCAGTGTTACCGACAGCCTGTTTGCTGGCGCTGGATGCCCCCAGCTTTCCTGCTGAGGGACACAGGAAGGAATGGCAACAGACAAGAGCAGACAGTTTAAACAGCTCTGGCTGCTTACCCTCACAAACCTCATGCCATCTCAGAGAGGAACTGACAGGTGTCTGAAGGGTTTTCCCCAAATATGGTCCCTGCCCTAGGCATGCACCCCAAGACAGTTTTGATAGAAAAGAGAACTGAAATTACAAGGTGGTGTAAAAGAAAACAAAGCACCCAGCTGGCACTTAGAAGGTAAAACTCCACACTGGGTGTTCACCTCATATTGGCTCCCTCTAGGCTCTAAGTCTAAGTGGTCCAGAAAGAAGTCTCCCCTCTGGTCTGCCTTGGTTGCCCCATCCATAGACCAACCAGGGATGAGCTAATATGGCTGCGGGCAGAGACTGCAAGTGATAGGGTAGCCAGGTCACAGAACTGAGTGACCCCAGCCACACTGACCCATATCTGTCTTCCATCCTCCTGCTCCCTTCTCTGGAGGGGCAGGGGACTTTGCTTCTGCTAGCATTAAAGCATTTGTTGTTACGTGTGTTTGCAAAACTCTCAAAACTATCAGCAGCTCACCGCTACTGGAACCTTGTCTGTCTTAAAGCACTTTTTGTATCTGGCCTTCCTGCCATGACTGAAGTGTTTGAATTATGTAATCAATAATATTAAAATGGTCAGTAAATCATACTGCTGACTGCTTTATGGGGAAATCAGAAGCTGGGTCAGACCAAATGTCTATATAATTCAGTAGTTTGTTCTCACAATGACCAGCCAGATGCCAATGGGAAGCCCAGAAGCCTAAGAGCACTTCACTGCTTGTGATTTGTTAGGAACTTGGTATTCAGAAGTAATATAGTAAAAATACTTTGGCCATCTCATGAGAAAAGAAGACTCCCTGGAAAAGACCCTGATGTTGGGAAAGGTTGAGGGCACAAGGAGAAGGGGATGACAGAGGATGAGATGGTTGGATAGTGTTCTCGAAGCTACCAGCATGAAGTACCAGCATGTGGGAGGCAGTGGAAGACAGGAGTGCCTGGCGTGCTCTGGTCCATGGGGTCACGAAGAGTCGGACACAACTAAACAACAACAACATCTGGCTGGGTTTTAGTGTTAATATAGCCATCATAACTAATAATATGTATAGCTAAGTTACTGGAGAAATATAGCTAAGGTAATTTGGCCTTCATAAGGTATAATCATGGACAGGATCCTCTGATCCATTTTTAAAGCCATCTGAGTTGGTGTTCCAACGTGTCATGTTATGGAAGCAAATTTCATAGTTTGAGGATGCACTGTGTGAAGTACCACTTTTCTGCTTCCCATAGATGCCTGGTTGGTCACACTGAGAATGAAATGCTGGATTGTTGGGCCAATGGCTAGATACAGCAGACTCTTACGTACTTGTTTATTTTTGTCTGTCTAGTTCCAAATGTCTTGAGATGCATTTGGTATTGTGTTTTTTGAGCCGTTGTGCCCCTGCCCTTGAATGCTGTGTCAAATCATTTTTGAAACTGCCAGGGGTCTTTTCAGAAGCAATGCCAAACAACGCAGGACTTGCTGTTCAAAGCTGCATGCACGGAGCATAATAATATTGCCTCAAACCTCCAAACACAGTTACCTGATGACTTTTATTTAACTCTACACATTTGGGACTACAGTACTCCTCCTGAACGCAAGAACCCACTTTACATAAATTGCGAATCTAAATTTTCTTCTCGTTATCAGTAATCAGTTATCAGTTCCCCTCGCCCTCCCTCCTGCACCTCTTGTTTAAGGCAAAGAGGCTGTATCCTAAGGAACCTTGCTTCAGAGTAACATGCCCTCCAACACTTCTCAGTTGAAAATAGGGGCATCCGATTCCATAATGATAATTTTAATATTTATACCCCACACATCTTACTGGGTTGCCCTAGCCACTCTGGTTTACTTCCAACGTATTTAAAAAATATAATACAGTAAACATTAAAAAAACAACACCTATACAGGATTGCCTTCAGATGGCTTGGGGGGGGGGTCAAATAACTCCATACCCTCGGACATTTCTCCAGTGAAAATAGGACTTCTTAAGGAAAAGTGGGACATTTCGGAATCAAATCAGAAGCTGGGACGGCTTCTCTAAATCAGGGGTGTCCCTGGAAAATAGGGAGGGTCTGGAATAAATCAAATGAATCCTCGAAGTTAATTTCATGGGCGTAGCCGGGATTTTTGTTGGGGGGGGGACAGCTGAGGTTTCTGGGAAATCACGGGTAAAAATAACAAAAATAACATTAACAACAAGAAAATGACATTAACGGGCGGGACATGCTTCTGCTGGGTGAAGGCAGAAAGTCAAGTTAATTAAGTACCCCTTGGTTAATTTGCACAAACATTGCACACACATTGGAGCGGGGAGGGCAGAACCTCAGTTGATTGAGAACCTCAGTTAATTGAATAGCCCTTGGCTACGGCCCATGGTTAATTTGCTTTACACAGTTACGCAGTACACACAGAGAGACAAAGACGGCAAAGCGAGGAAAGGTGCTGGCCGGTCTTTGCCTCTGATTTGGCGGCTCTACCGACGACTTAGTGCAGCTAAGGCTCCCGCCCCCCCCGCCGCCGCCGCCCCAAGGACAGGTGAGTTCGGCTCCCTGGTCCCCTCACCAAAGGCGCAGGTGAGTGAAGAAGGGCGGCGCCGGGCGCCGGCGGGAAGTAGCTGCCGCTCCCGCGTTCCCCTCCCTCCCTCCCGCCGCTCGGGGACTGGAGAGACGCCGCCGCTCGCTGCTCGGCCGGGAGCCTGCGGCCTGACGCAAAGGTCTTCTTCCCACCCGGAGGCAGCAGCTGCGCGCGCAGGCCGGGAGCGGTGGCACGGGAAGGAAACCGCCGTGAGGAGGAGCGACGCTGCGGTGAGGCGAAAGGGAGGGATGCTGGAAGGGTCGAGTTGGAAGGGGGCACCCCGAGGGGTCATCTAGCCCAACCCCGTTTGCAAAGCAAAGGGTTCTCAGCTAACGCATCCATGAGGGGAAAGCAAGCGAGGGAAGGCAGGATACGTTAGTGTGGGGTAATAATAATAACAATAATTAAAATTGTTGTACCCTGCCCATCTGACTTGGTGACCCCAGCCACTCTGGTGATAAAAGGGAGGAGGGGCTTTTGTGTTTTTTGGAGGGGGGGACGCATGGGCGTAGCCAGGATTTTGGGGGGGACGGGTCCTCAGATTTGTATTGATTTAAGGGAAGCAGCTCCCTCCCCCTTGGATACGCCCATGGGGCTGGGGGGCTGTCCACCACAGCAGCAGCAGCAGCTGCACCTTCTCCAGATGCCTTGTTGCCCTTGGCTTGAGGGGCAAGGAACCGACCTTTGTGCTTTGAAAGGCGTCGCAGAGGCTGGTGCATGGGTTGCCTTTTCGGGCATGGAGCCAGCGCCCTAATGCATCCCTCAAATCGACTCAGTCAGGCGTCGCTTGGAGACACAGTGAATAGGAAAAAAAGAGAGCTTAGGATGGGATGAAGGCCAGCGAGGAAACGGGCGCTGTTTCTCTTATCCCCATTATCCCCTCCTTTTCATTGCTCCTCTGCTCCAGTACCTGCCTGCCTCCTTGGGTTTTAGGATTGCCTGCTGCTGCTGCTGCTGCTTGAATCCTCTCCTCTCTGGGCTGCCATTTAGGTCCGACAACAGAGCCACCAGCCCATTAAGCTGCCTCCGCTGCCACCGCCTGGTCTGGCTCCTTGGAGCCTGCTTGCTGCTGCTTTCTATTAATTGTCATCTTCCATTCCCGGACTGCAGTGAGGAGGAGGATGTGATTGGCATGATGCTACATTGGGGACCGAAATGCCAACCAGGAGACGGCAAGGCGATGATGAGCTGAAGTGTGGCTGAGGGCCAGTGGGAACACCTTGGCTGTGCTTCTTCCTTCCTGGGGTCTTTTAATGGCCTCCTGCTGACTCCTGTTCTTGCTTGTCCATCTCAAGACTTTCACATCCACGGGTGTGGCTTGTGCCAGACGTCATATAGGGTCAGGATTCTGATGTCTTGACTTTGGGATCCCAGAAGAGCTGAGACACAGGGATCCTGCACGTTTCTCTCCCTAGCAGATTGTTTTCAGTCTCCACAGGTTGGTTAATACTTTTAAATTAAAAAGCATTACTTTTTAATTAAGCATTTAACACCTGGCTGTTCTGAAAGGCTGCTGTCCAAGGAACTCGTTTAAGTAGGTGCTGTTGACAGACAGATGTAAGGTGGAAACTGTTCAGGTGAAAGGGATATTGGCCATGAAGAAGGTAGAAAGTTCTTCTTTTTTGTCTCATGGGAAGGATTTTGCGGAAAAGATCTGTTGCTAATTCTGGGCAAGTAAGGGAGGTATGTTTATTAGCCTGAGGTGGGGAGAAGGAGATTGTGCCAAGCTATATAAGAGGAAAGTTCTCCTGGATTTAATCCTGGATGAAGGGATCGATCTGGCATGTGCTACAGAAACCTAGCTGGTGTGACACTGTGTCTTATTCTGTCCTGGAGATGTCCAGCTGCATTATCCGCAAAGCATCACAGGTGAATAGATGGCTAGGGTCAGGCAAAACAGCTGTATTTCATAGTAATTCCTTTTTCTTTTCTGTTTTTTTACCCATCAGTGTTGGGCTGTGAGGAGACACTGAGGTTCTAACCATCTCTGTGGTGGTCTCAGTTTTACCATGTTGGAGATTTCTGGGCTGTTGGTCTGAGTGGGGGCTGCAATAATCCACATGAGGCCTTATTATACAAGGAGTGACTCAGGATTTCATAGACACCATGGCAACCTTTGGACTGTCCTGTTATATAGAGAGAACAGATACATGGATCAGGTCATGCACTTGATGTGTTTGGTGCCTTATCTGGATTGAGGTAGAACTACTCTAGTGAAGGAGCCCTTTAGAATTAGTTCACTGTTGTGGGCCAGTCATTGCTTGGTGAAGTTCAGAATCTTGCAATATCTGATTCTTTCAAGTGTGAGGAAATCTGTTCAGATGGTTGATAGCTATTAGTTTTCAGAATACCTTAAGAGATTCCTTATTTAGAATTACTTGCAACCCTGTCACCAAACCTTTGGGAGAGGGAGCTTATGTGGATAATCCATATGAACTTGTGATAGGTATGTTGATTGTATGGTGACTTGCCTGCCTATTAGAAAAATTCCAGATTACTACCCTATAAATATGTGGTGAATGTTCACAGTGCAGGAGAGGGATTGACAGTTGTGGCACCTCAGACACAGATGAATTGTGCACTCTAGGAAGAAAAACTAAGGTAAGGCAATGAAGTTCAGAACCTCTTCAATAGTGTTTTCATAAGTGTTACTTATTGTTGAATATATTTTATATTCCATATTTCCTCTAAGTAGCTCAAGGCTATATGTTCTCCTCCCTTATTTTCCTTACACCAGCTCTGTGAGATGACTTAGTATGTGAGAAAGTGACTGTTCCAAAGTCAGCTGGTGAACATTGTGCCGAACTTGAATCTCCCTAATCCTTATACAGCACACTAACCACTATACCATGTTAGCTTTCCTACTTGCTCCATATGCAGGGTGAACTAGATTGGGTCTGTGAGGGCTCGTTCTACGCACAGGACCAGAACTGTGAGGGTCTATGTGTTTGGGTGATGAGTGAGTCAAGAGAAAGAATTTAGCTTTCTTAAAGCACCAAGGAACAGTTTGAAAATAGCTGTGCCTGTTGAAAAGAGATAAGACTCCATTTGATCTGTGATGGGATTATAATGGTGGTGGTTAACATCAAACAAGTCGTAGAACAGCTTTTAAACTGACTTAATGGGGGACTACTTCAATGTGACTCATTCCTAAATGAGGATACGGTAAATGTTTATGGCCATTTAAATGAGGGATAAAATAGAACTTGTGAGTGAGCAACCAGAAAGACCCAATATTAACTTTAAGAGTATGTAAGAGTTGGTTGTTTTAACTATTGTTGAGCATTTTTAAAGGTGCAAATTAATTTAAAGTGCACTTTTAAAAGTGCAAATGCACTCATGTATCGCTTTGCTTTTCAGGCTACACATAAAAAATGTCTCTGGATCCTCCGAGACAAATAGGAGTGTGGCGACAGACCAGAGCTCTTTTATACAAGAACTGTCTAGTTAAATGGAGGACTAAAAAGGCTAGTGTTCAGGTGAGTTGATTTTTTTATATGCTGTTATGAGTTTGGAGTGCCAAGCTGTGTGCCAGACCACTCCAATCCCTGGATCCAGAGAGTATTAAATTAAATCAAGGCTTCTTATTCTGCGAACAGATAAACTAGCCTCCTGGTGAAGTGATAGCCTGGGTGGTGAGCCGTTAAGGGGTTCAGTGAGAGATGGCAAATGGGTGGGGCCTCTTCCTTCAACAGACAAAGCCAGAGTTTGGAGTATAGTTTTGGAGTGATATGACCTTGAAATAAAGCAGCACGCTGGAGAAAGAGTAGGAAATGTTCTATTTCTGTTTGAATCCAAGGCTTTGGCTAAGGGAGACAAAACAGAGCTGTGGATAAGGGAGAAACAAGACACTTTTGGGGTATTAATGCTGTGAACATCATAGGCTCGGTTTATATATGTGTGTAAATAAACCATATATCATAAAAACATCATTCTCTTTTTCTTTCAATTCTAAGAGTTGCTAATATGTTTTTAAACTATTCATATCACATGATGCAGAATTGCGAACCACTCTGAGGTTTTACTGTTGAGCAGTATGTACATTTTGTTACATATATCTCATTCATCTTTACGTTTTGTAGTAAATGCTGCTGCCCCTCCGCTCTGTTATGTGTACCTAAGCTGGTTGTCTTCATTGGGCCTGTGTGCATAAATGCAACTGTGGCTCTCTTGTTTCGTTTCTTCTTTTACCATTTAACTTGTTTGTTCCCTATATACAGGAAGTCCTGATTCCACTTACCTTTTTAGGTTTGCTAATAATAATAAGCATGATTCAGCCTAACAAAAGGCATGATGAAGTTCCAGATTGTAATCTTGATTCTACGAGTTGCTCCAGCATCTCTGAGTTTATTATTGGCTACACACCAGTGACTAATATGACAAGAACAATCATGCATAAAGTGACTTCAGAATACTGCCCAGAAGGTACAATGAGTTGTCATTCTGCACTGTCTTTCATCAATTTGTCTGGTGTGGTTTTCCTTCTTCTTGAATTTACTGGGGAAAGTATGTGTCTTATTGCAGAGATACTAAAAGTTGAAACCGCTTGAGTTTGTTGCATGTTTTTCTCATACTAAACATAGAAAGTAACAAAAAGGATATAATGCTTTTTAAAACCTAAACATAATTATGTAGCCAAATATTCACTTCCTTTACTACTACTAGAAAATACAGTGGTGTGCTTTTAAAGCTCAGTTTCACAGTTGTCATTTTGGCATTTTAAAACAATTTGTTTATTTCTTATTTGTACTGCGTTTATATATTTTTAGTATCAATTCATGAGCTGTGAGAACTTTCTAAGATACTTTTTGTCTTATCCATTCTTGATATTTTAATTATTAGAGCCTTAGGTTGTATTAGGCGTATTGCTGGATACTTGAAAGAATTTGGGTATAGGTTTGTGACACAATTTGCATAATATTTTCAAATGTTAACATTTTTAAGAATGCTTTTAGAGCAGGAAAAGGTTGTGGCTCTTGCTGTCAGCTATTGATCTGATCTATGGGGCACTAGCAATATTTTCTTGGCCCAGCTCACTATATATGTATTCACACTCTTTCCACCTCACCCTCCATAAGCAGAATAGAGTTGGCCCTCTCTGTAGGTTGCTTCTATGTGAAAGATACGGGCTCTGCGATGATATTGCCAGATTTGGCAGTGCTTCAGTGGGTGATACTTGCACCATATCTAGCATAAAGTGCACAATACATGACTAATGAACAGAATTGAGCCACAAAGGAAAATGGAAAAAATCCTCCTATTTTGGAAATAAAAGAAAGCCATGCTCATCTACAGCAGGGATGGGGAACCTGTGGCCCTCCAGATGTTGAATTACAGCTCTCATTGGGGGAGGGCCTTAGCTTAGTGACAGAGTATCTCCTTTGATACAGACAGCCCTGGGTGCAATTCTCAACATCTTCAGGTAGGTGCAAGAGAGATTCCTGCTTGAAATCCTGAATTCATCAGTATAATCATCATTTATTTATGTGCTGTCTTTCCATAGGAAGCCACACTCAAGGCAGCTAAAAATATAAAAATATGCATAATTTACTAAGTTACAAAATACAACAAAATGTAAACAGTCAAACAATTAGCTAATTAAAACACGTCACTAGGTAATATACTAAAAATTATAATTCATAAAAGGTCTAACAAACAATAAAATACAAAAACAGTCCCAATAACAGTATAAAAAAAACCCACACCTCTTGAATTAAATATTTACCCCAACAAAAACAGCCTATCTCCCTGATAGTCTCTGGGGATTCTGAGCAGCATGTCTTTCTGGACTCATGGCAAGGTGGATCTCTGTCACCTTCAACAGTAAGAGTTTCTGTCGCTCCCCTGGTACCTTTAGCAGTAGTAGCTTTTGTAGCTGGAATTGGTCAAAGCCAGCACAGAGATCTCTGAACTAGATGGACCCAGTGGTTTGACTGTATTAGGCAGCTTCCTGCAAAAAAGTAATCAAGTAACTTTGCTATTTTGCAGCAGAAGATGCAAAAGAATTTCTGAGTGAGGCAGAAATGGAAGAGGCTAGTCTTCAGGACCCAGAAAACTTTGTGGGTGTCATTTTCAATGATTCCATGTCCTATCACCTCAGATTTCCTACTGTAGTGGCTCCAAGATCTTTAATCCTCCCGACATCAATAGGTAAGTTTAAATAAATGAATATATAAAATATGTGTGCTTGTTAATTTTAAAGTACAAAACGTAGATGTTTGACCTTGTCTTGAAAATGGAGATTCGAAAAAACAGTCAACAATAATAATAGGAGAAAACTGCTTTAATAGAAATAGATATTTAGGAATCCTTTCCACATGCTTATTTTAGGTCCTGTTTGCAAGCTTCCAGATTTTCAAGATACTTGCACAATTGGCATTACTCATTAAATAGAGAGCTCCTTATTGTGTTACAATTTCAGTCGTAGGAGTGGCTTGCAATAGCAAGACTATCTGCTACTACTTGTTTTGCCGATTGTGTATAGCTCTGCATGGCTATTTTATTAATTTCTGAGCATCAGTATCTTGATCCTCTGCATGAATTGTAGGGCAATCTATCCATGCTGGTATGGTATCTAGAATGGTGGAGATGAGTAAATTCATAAGTTTTTAGAATCTGTATGTATAGTGCAGAAACCTAATGTCAACGCAGTTTTGATGCTTTTGAATAATTAACAGAGTTTAGAGTTTCCTTCTTATGCTTTGATTTTTTTTCCATAGCCAGTTGTTCAACCCCTTCCAAAATGTGTGAAGCTGAAACATACTGGCATTATGGATTTGCAGGCATACAGATCTACATTGATGCAGCAATTATAGAGGTAAATATAAATAATCGGAATGTGAGCAGCTCTGAATCACCATTATTTTGTAATAGCTGACATATCAAAAGGTGTTATGGGTGTGTCCCCCCCCCCTTGTATTTCAGGATATTTTATATAATGGTGTGCTTCGCACATCATGTTAGGCCAAATCAGCAATTGTGTGGGCTCCTGGATTAATGATCATAGCTGCTTTCATGATTTAGCTCTCCCCAGACAAACCATGAACTGCAATCAAGGCTGCTTCTGCGGTTTACAGCTCACGGCTTGTCTGGGAAAGCGAAACCACAAATGCAGGTTTGGATGACATGCTAAGTCAGCAGCACAGTACAAAACAATTAGGGAAGAGCAAAGCAGCTCTAATCTCCTTTCTGAGAGGTTTGTTTGTTTGTTTTTGTTTGACTTAATGTGATGTGTGAACAAATGCAATGAGGTGCTTTCCCCTAAGCCTAATGCATGATAGTAACTGTTCCGTTCGTCACTGAACGTTAAGTTTAGGCAGTGATTTCCATCAGGATATCTGTGTCAACCGTTAATGGCATATAATTTATTCTGAGTGTTACCATATACATTTATGCAAATGAATACTGTATATATACCCCTAAGGAACTATGGCCAGTTATGGATCCCTGAGTATAAATATATGTGTTAAAAGCCATGATTTGAATCTTGAGTTACCTTTCTGCAAATGGAAGTATTCATTCTATTCAAGGACGAAATGGTGGGAGGAGGCAGTTTTTTTCTGATTACCTCCTTTCGTATGCAGCTCACCTTGCATGTTGTTTTAGAGAGTTGTGGAAGCCTTCGGAGCAGAATTGAGGGTGGGACATGGGGGTTTTATAGGCAGGGGATAATTAGTCAAAATTGCCTCACCCCTCTTCTTCTGCCAGTGGGAGTACCCTCTGAGCGGAGTTCTACTCACATGAATTTGTATTTGACACCCATATGTATCCTTTCATAGACACTGTAGCAATTACCAATATGTATCCAGCAAACACTACTTTGTATTTTTTTCCTCACGAACCAAGTGAGAAAAAGTTTGTGAGAGTCACCACTAAAATTTTATTTATGAAATTTCATAAACCACTATTTAAGCACGGCACATACATTTATCAAGAAAACTCTGTTAAAATTCACAAAGTTGTCAAGTACCGTGGTACCTCGGTTTTCAGACGTAATCGGTTTTGGAAGACAGTTCGAGATCCGAAACGTTCAAAAACCAAAAACTCATTACGGAAGCCTCAATACGGAAGCCGCATGGCATGTTCAACTTCCAAGGTGAGTTCAAAAACCAAAGCATTTACTTCTGGGTTAATGACGTTTGAAAACCGAAATGTTTGTCAATGGAGATGTTCGAAAGCTGAGGTACCACTGTATACATAAAATAATAATCAGTAAAACTTTTAAAAACAAATATCGATACTTAAATTATATGTCTAAGTAGGCTTGCTGAAATAAGTTTTCAGCCGGCATTTATATGAAGTGAAAGTGCCTGCCTAATGCCACTTGGAAGGGAATTTGGAAGTATAGGTGCTGCCAGACCTAAAAGACTGCTTCACTACACTGGGCTACTAGATCCAGCAATTGCATCCTGCCACACTGATATTCTAGAACTCTGAGAAATGAAGATTTCCAGTTCATGAATATCTGGGTAATAATTAATGCTGCAGAATTTATGTGGCCACTCTTTCATATAGTAAAATAATTTGGTACTGATTTTTTAAAAAGGGATTTTGACATATTGAACTGGTATCCTGGATGTACAGTAGGGGGGAAAGTATTTGATCCCCTGCTAAATTTGCCCATTTGCCCTCTGATGAAGAAATGACCAGTGCATAATTTTAATGGTAGGTTTATTGTAGCTGTGAGAGACAGAATAAACTGTAATTTATAAAGATTGCCATACCCACTTTTGAAAAATGTGAACTTGGTGAAAGCAGAACATGGCAAACTCTGGGCACTCACTATACCTTGTAACCAAGATGCTGTTGTGAAGGATCCCTTTTGAGTTTCATGGCAGTAAGTTAAATTTGGTATAAAAACTAGTTAAAGCAATGAGATTGGTATTTGCAGATTTACAGTTTCTTTTGGAAATAAAAAATGCCTGTTGAAATAGCTGCTACAGTAATTTGAAATCTGATTTTAACATTTCATTTTTCTTAGTTGAAGACTAATAAATCAGTTTTGGAAGAACTGGAATCAGCAAAAGCTGTCAAGATGGGAAAGTCTGCTGTTGTGGAAATAGATAATTTCTTTCGTGCAGTAATCTTAATTTACTTAGTTATTGCCTTTTCTCCTTTTGGCTATTTTTTGACTATTCATATTATGACAGAAAAAGAGAAGAAACTGAAGGAATTTTTAATGGTAATGGGACTTCAAGACACAGCTTTTTGGTATGCATATTTCTTAGTTCTTTTATGTTAATGCAACTTTTATTCCATTTATTTATCTCATATCACTGCATTATGCTACTCCAGGAAGAAGCAGCACATAATAAGTTAAGCCAATTTAAGAAAGTTCATAAAAGGAAAGTTTCCTATGCCTTCCTCCTCTGCTGCAGCCATCTGAGACTTGGTACTGGTTTACAAAGCCCTGTTATAACAGCTTGGGACCAGGATACCTGAAAGATCATCTTGTCTCTGTGGCTGTACTCTGCACTTGTATTTTTATTGTTAAATCACTTTGGGATGTTTTATGTGAAGTGATTCGCAAGTGTGTGTGTATGTGTGTGTGTATGTATGCAAGCAAGCAAGCAAGCTTCTCCAGAGGACCAGAGGTCTCTCCAGAATGCTGCAGTGCTCCAGAACATGTTGTACCTGTTGAGGGAAAGGAGAATCACTAAAAATTAGAAACCCTCCATCAACCCTCCATCAACATTGTTTAGGAGGACACCCCCCAACGTTGCAGTTGTTCAGCAGAATCTCTGAACTGGATCTTGCATAGAGTTGAATTTTCTCCACCACAATTATGAGTTTAAAGCTTTCCTGTGGAACAGTCTTAAATACTAGTTGCAATAAGATAAATGTTACGAAATAACAAAGTAACACATTACAAACAAACAATGGGGTTCAGTCCTTTATACTTTCCCCTCTCTGGTCCCAGAGAGAGAACCTGAATTTACTCATCTTTGCATAGCTTCTCTGCAACTCTTCTGATGATGATACTGCTGCTATCAAACACCAACAAACTCACATACAGGCTGAAGTTTCAGCTTCCTGCTGTGAATTTCTGGTAATGAGGTAGCTTATCTTACTGAACTGGAAAAATGCCAGCCTTTTCTGTTGCTTTTGCAGCATTTTCAATGTAGCGCATTCAAACGCAGCATGTTATGTGCTTTTAAACTTATAACTTTAACACCCTACACCCCCCCCAACCCCTCTGGAAAGGTTACAGGAGTAAGGAAGGCACAGTGTTTTTTTCTTCTATGGACAGTTTCTCTATGTGAACATCTTTGGTTAATTTAAGTGGTCCCATTTGTGTGCTAACTTTAACCTTAAGACAGTGAGCCAAGCTGCATGTGATATGCATTATATGATCAAGGAAATAGGCATATAGAAGACTTTGGGGAAATGATTTCCCCATTTTAGATATGGGAACACAATGCCAAAGCCTGAGAAATGGCAACACACAAAGCCGCCTCTCTGTCTCTGTCATGCACCCAGAAGAGCTCATACAGCCACACATAAAATAAAAACTGTGTTTCTGTCTCTCCCTAAGTAATCAGATGTTAAGGGACAATGGGGTGGGGATGCTGTTGCCCTCATGCCTGTCTTACAAGCTGCGTGGAACATTTGCTTGGCTATTCTTGTGAAAAGAATGCAGATCTAAATGGGAAAAGTCAATATGTCCAATGAGTAGAAGACAGAGGTCAGCTTTGAGCCCCAAAAGGTCAAACACCTCCTTTCAGTTAATATTTGTTGTTGCAACACAGCATATTTTTGCATTACAATTCCCATTATAGAATTTGCATGCGTAGGCTACTTATACAGATATTAATAAGAGTGTAGGGCCCAAAGTATTTTTCCAGATATCATGCGTAAACTATTGAGACTGTGTCTTGCTTCTGAGCAGATATGCAGACGCTCATTCTTCAATCTACAGGTATTTTCTGTGCTGTTACTGTTGGTGATCTTCTCTATATTATCTGTCATTCAACTGCACACTTTTAAGCCTTCATTTCATCCCTACTCTCCATTTCAGTTTGTCTCCATTTATTTCCTCTAGTTTATTTCTCTTCTCCATAGCCAAATCAATTTCATTTCTCTTCTCTAATTTTCTGTTCAATTTTATTTCATTCCCATTCATTCTTTCTTGTAGCCAAGTTTATGAAAACCCCTCTTTCTGCAGTTTATTTGTTTGAGATTACCACATGATTAAAAAATACCTATTATAAAATATTGCTGCTGTAATAAAACACTTGTGGAATGAACACCACTCTCAGGGGTGTCATTCACCAACATTGTGCATTTACTTCTTGTCAAAATTTCAACAATCTTTTTGCGCAAGGTTTTGAGACAAGTTAGATAGAATGTCAATTATACCAGCTGTTTTATTCATTCTCTGCTGCCATGAAAAGCTTGAGTGATTTATTAAAATAGACAATATCCATTTTGCCAGGTAACATCATTGTGTGAAGTGCATGGTATATTAGGAATGGAAATAGAACTACATGCAACTAGAATATATGGGTGAGCACTCCCAAGATCACCTTGGATTAAATTGGAAGTGATCCAGGGCTGGCCCAAGACATTTTAGCACCTGAGGCGAACCACAAAATGGCTCTCCCTCACCAGAGGAGAAGAGAGGAATGGAAATCTACTTCAGGAACAAGGGGGAGGGGAATAAAATCAATCTTTCTCAGTGGTTAAATTGGGAGTCAAAGGGGCCAACTTTGAATCGCCAAGAAGCTGCTGTGGAAGCAGCATGGGAGGGGCTGCCGAGGAGGCAACAGATTCAGCCTCTAAGGAGCACATTGCAGCCATCACTGCCACCATGGCAGCAGCAGTAGCAATGGGCAATGCATTCCTTGGAGGCCAGATCTGCTGCCCTTGTGGATTCTGCCACCCGAGGCAGTCACCTCACTTTGCCTCACGGGTGAGTTGGCCCTATCTAAGCCCTTCCAAAACCCTTGGATCACTTTTCTGAGCCAATTCAAAGCTGGCAAAATGATGGACCTCCTCCCAGCTTGTGAGGTCTGCAGGGACAAGTCCTGCTTACTCTTCACTTTTGGCCCTGCCAACTCTTAATCTCCGGCAGACCTCACAAGATGGGAGGACCTCCATCATTTTGTCCTCAAGTCATATGTATCGCTTGTACCCCAGTGATATCTAAATGATTCCTTCCCAGAGAAGCCTTTCACTGGCAGCAGACAATACATGTACCACTTGTTTATTTCAGTGGAAATGTTCACATAAGCTCTAAGCCTAACATTAACTAGTTATTTTCTTCCCATGTGCAACCTACCCGACAAAAAATTACTTTTCTTGGTTTGTGGCTTACTATGTACATTGCAAATATTTTAGATGAATGTGAAATAATTCATCTTGTCATGCTTACTGCGATTCATTAATTTCAGGCAAGGGTCCATTTGAGAGTTATCACTTTTTAATAGTATTGACTAATATTTAGCTTCAACTTAGTAATTCGTATAGATAACTTTGAATTCATGAGCCTTCATTGTGTTTTCCCTTTTTCTAGGCTTTCTTGGGTCTTGCTCTACACCAGTCTGATTCTTGTCATGTCCCTTCTCATGTCGGTTATTGCAACATTTTCTTCGCTCTTTCCCCAAAGTAGCAGCTTTGTGATATTTCTTCTTTTTTTCCTATATGGATTATCCTCCGTAAGTGTGTATGTATGTGTGCTTGCTCATTGCCAATATGCTGAAGCTACGTGTTTTAGGATTGTCCTTCCTGTTGACATAGAGGTATCCTATGATGGTGTTTCACAGGTACTCACTAATTTAGGGATAATCCCAGGGGCGTTAAGGGAAGATGCTATGGATTTCCACCAGAATAATGTTACTTCTAACCAGATAAAATGTAGCAGGTCTAACAGACACAACTACAGCCTCCGTGGCAATTCTGCCACCCCACCAATTGCAACACTGAATGCTGATAGCTTCCCCATATTAGCCATCCATGGAAGGATCTGGTCAACAAGAGTGATGGCAGAAGGAGCCCATCATGTCACCCTAGCTAGAACACATATAAAATATAACCCAGCAGCCCCAAAGTCACCACAACACTGTTCCCAGTATAGACCACTATGGTTTAGTGAGCAGGAGCATAATAGCTGATATGTACAGTGAAACCCTTCAGGGATCGCTTCTTATTGAGAAGGGTTATAAATCCCCCTAATAGTGCTACACAGGCAGTCTGCAAACAAGCATCTTTTGACAGACAAGCACACAAAGTCATTCAAGGAAGGACCGGCTACTCCGCAATGCCTGCATGGAGGACCCATGGATTCCCAAGAAGGTTTAAGCTGAATTGGACAACAATGCTCCCCCAAAAATACAGATTTTGGGATGAGCAAGCTATTTGGAAAGGACAGGAACATAACACATAAGGAAGAGCAAGGACCTCAACAGGCTGCTCCTGGAGGCCATTTCTAGGACCTGCTTTTTAACGCAGCAGAAATGAGCTATGCAGTATGTAGCGGGAGAGAGCAGGACCCAACTATATAAACCAGGACTAAGGGAATTCTTAAAGAACCCAGCGCAAGTTTAGTATGCATGGGGTCTCACATGGGTACAGTCTCTCTCTAAAAGGACTGGAAGACGGCTTACCTGAGGCAAAGCAATGTGACAGCCAATTGAAAAAGGTGATGTGTGGACCTTGTGGAACCCATAGAGCCAATGGTTTGTCACTCTTGCTCAGCCCCCTTTATTCCATCCTGTCTATTTCTGCCTTTAGTGCTGTGTTCTGCCTTCTTTGCTCCATCTGACCTGGCAAGGAAGAGGGCCTATACTAGGCATCGTTGGAGTCGAGTGCTCCACTTCTCAGTCTCAAAGGTAGCTGTGCTTCTCATTGCCTCTGCTGGTATGCGTTGAGGTCCCACCTTCATGGCAAACATCCCCTCTTCCTGCAGAGCGTGTATGTACCCTGAGTTGGAGACAATATTGGTTGCTGTTGAAGGAGGAAAGATTATTGGGAGTTTATACTGTCCATATTGTAGCAGCAGGTGAGGATTGGACAAAAATGGGAAAGATCTAGAGAAGTAAGGTTTCAGGCATGGATTCCTGCCTTTCCCCCCACCCTCTGGGCTTCCATTTAACTGTGTGTGGTGCCCAATGATAGCAATGGAAGTTATTGTGTATTATCTGGGATCCTGAGAGACAGGGTACTTGCAAGAATTCTGAAAAGATACACATGATCACAACCTTTTTAACTTTGCACAAACAGTAAACATACAGGGCTAATAACAAAGAGGTTTTTTATCATAGTTTCCAGAGTTGTTCTGTGATTTAAGTTCTCCAGACACATGCACAGAGTAGTGTCACTTACCTAGTTGTCCGAACTGTGTGGTCCCTGTCTGAGTCTTATATACTGCTGGTGGTGTGTCATGATTGCCTGCAAAATTTGTTGAATTCCTCTCCTCGTGTAGTGCAGAAGGCAGTAACGTTGAAGTGTCCATTTACTGCAGCAGGAATGCAACCTCTTTTGTTCTAATGTTACGCCACAATCAGGATTAACATTTTAGTCAGAACAGGATTCCACTCCTTCTGTAGCATGTTATGCCAGCACAGTCATGGCGCTGTGGTCTAAACCACTGAGCCTCTTGGGCTTGCCGATCGGAAGGTTGGTGGTTTGAATCCGTGCAGCGGGATGAGCTCCTGTTGCTCAGTCCCAGCTCCTGCCAACCTAGCAGTTCAAAAGCACGCCAGTGCAAGTAGATGGGAAGCAGATGGGAAGTCAGGGCAGGACTATTAACATTGGTGTCGTGTGTGGGCAGTAGTCTGTTCCCATCGCCAGTCTATCTACAGCATTCTGCACAAGGGTGACCCTACATAAAGAATGTTGTTTCTGATTTATCTGTGTTTCTCGGGACCAAGCTGCATGTGACAGGGTTGCCACCCATCTACCTGTCTGCCATTTTTGTTCAGATGCCAAGTGCAGGGAGATGAGTGAAACTTGCCATCACCTTCACTGTGCTTTGTTTCATTAAGCAGTCTTCTTCCAGCTCATCTTTGATACTGGAACAATTGGGTAGAAGAATTGAGCTGGGTAGAATTGCTTGAAGCAATGGAATGTGGTGCTGGTGGGAGTTGGGGAGAACAGACTGTATTTCTTTTCATGTAGTCCTCTTTCCCACCATGACATGTGAATGTGCCTAAGACCCTTATGATTGCCCCATCTCGGTTATTTAGACCAATTTGTCCATTCCTATTTCAGTCCATGTGTCTTTTGCATGTATTCACTTATATGCCCATTCTGTCCCATTTCTGTACTAATTTACTTTCTTTTTAAAAAGTTTGCACAATTTGCATATAAATAAGTGTTATTGAATGTATTTTATCTCAAAATGTTAAAACTTTTTTGGGATAAGCGCTGTGTTGCAACATTCAGAGAAGTGATTAAAATAGCAATGGTCTGTTCCACACATTAGTCCAGGAGTTTTGGATTAGGTCAATTCATATTGGAATTTGTAAAGTTCAGATTTCTCAAGCGTACCTATGCTTAGTTTGGCCCAAAGTCTTCTGGCTCCTAACATTTAATGTATGGAATCATCTATTTATAGCAAGAAGAGAAGGTGACCTGTGGGTACTGATTTTGCACTTATTCCGAATTTATGAATATAGCATATGTAAATGGACTGTATATTCAAGGGCCTTTAAAGTCAAATTCTGATCTTGCTCTCTGTTCTGCACAATCTGCCCATTATTTACATGAAAGGTTTCTATAGGCTGCATATTGTACAATCAGGCCTCTACTATAATGTGTATAGTGCGTACATTTGGATGAAGTTTAGTGGAAAGACTGCTCCTGTGGGCTGGCATCTTTACCATCAACCAGTCCCTGAATCTATCTGCGATTCCTTCTGCCCCTTGAGAATATGCTGATTGGGTTGAGAACAATACCCCCCCCCGGGAAATAATAACATATTGTTTATACGGATTTTAATTTTAAACTTCTTTGGGAACCAATCTTGGCCAGAAAATGGGATATAAATGTTGAGTTCTGCTTATGGGACATCTCATTCATAGAAGGGCATGGCAGGTGACTCAGAAGGCTGTCGTGGGAAGGGAGAATTGGGAAAGTTTCCTCCCATCCCACTTCCATGAGCAGCAGCTTCTGCAGCACGTCCTTTCATGGAATCAAAGCAAAATACATAATTGCTTAACTTCGAAAACCTCATTAAATGTAAGAGCTGCACTCTGATTTGAATTGCATCTTGGCCATTCACTGTCTTTCTGAACCTTGAATCTGAATTGGAACTGATCATTTTTGAAAAGGTGACCTGTTTTATTGCAAAAGAATAATTCCTTAAAAATCACATTATATTTTGTTAATGCGCTCCTTGCTACCTTAGATTTCCCATTCTGATTTCATAACCAATTTGGGAAATTTTGATGTTGCAGTTTGCCAAAGGAGATAGTACTCTTAGGAAGAAAATCCTCAGCCTGTTAGCCAGCTGATGTCGTTCATTAGCATATTATATTGTCTTTAGCAAATACTAAGTGATACAATAATTATGATTTTCATATAAAAATTGAGATTCTAGCAATTTTAATCAAGTCCTATTGTGCACTGAAAATACGTTTTCTATTTCTGTTTAGATTTCCTTTGCATTTTTGCTAACCTCTCTTTTCAAAAAAGTGAACTATGCTGGTTCAGCTCAGTTTTTCACAACTGTGGCTTTTGGTGCTGTGGGCCTGAGCATTGCCCTGTTGGAAGATTTTCCAAAGTCTTTTGTGTGGTCACTAAGCCCACTGTGTGAGTGCCCCTTTTTAATTGGTGTTGTACAGGTTAGTAAAGTATTTGTTTGTTACTGTGGCATGCACCCATCACTGTGGTTCTAATATGAGATGTGATAATACTTTAAATCTTTCATCTTGGTATAAAGTATGTAACAGACCTAGAACTTGCTTTGAACTTTTTATATATGTGTTTCTTGTTGTTTTCTAATCCGTTATTAAGTAGACATTTTAACCGATGAGAAAAATCAACTGTAGTAAGTAACACATTTGTCAGAAGTTCAAAGAACACTGTGTGTTGCAGACTTTTTATGTTAAATTTTGCAGCTTCCTGTCATGAATGTGTAGTTTTCAGTGTATCACAAGCAGACTTTTGCTAGCATAGCAGGAGATCACCTTACGGTCTCTGCCTCTGCAGTCTCCCGTGCACCTCAAAAAAATTTTCTCTAGAGGCTCCCCCAACTCTCTGGAGCAGATTTTGAGGATGCAGGGTGGGAAAAAGGAAGGTAGAAGAAGAGGAGTTTGGATTTGATATCCCGCTTTATCACTACCCTAAGGAGTCTCAAAGCGGCTAACATTCTCCTTTCCCTTCCTCCCCAAAAACAAACACTCTGCGAGGTGAGTGGGGCTGAGAGACTTCAGGGAAGTGTGACTAGCCCAAGGTCACCCAGCAGCTGCATGTGGAGGAGCGGGGACATGAATCCAGTTCACCAGATCACGAGTCCACCGCTCTTAACCACTACACCACACTGGCTCTGTAGTGGAATCCCATTGTATGAGCAGAAGTCAGCTTTAAAGCCACCGAGTTTTTCTTCTGGGTCAGATATTAATCCAAACTTTAGAAGAACACCTTCCCACTCCCATCCACCAGCTATGGTGGTAACAATGAACTTACCTCCCCACTTCTTTTTCTCTTCCGCTTTCCCTGGTGTCTGGAATGCTGCCACAATAGCATTGCATGTCTCTGAAACCCTGATGTTGGTTTGGGCATTTTGTAGATGGAGGAAATTCTGCTTCCTGGGGATCCAGGAAAGGGAAGATCTGGAAGAGAGGGAGAGGAGAATGGTTGGGAGAGACAGACAGATGCATTCAACCTTCCCTCCTGCTGCTGTGGCCACAACTGCCCTAAAGGTGGAGGCGAGAGAAAAATCTCACTGCTCAACAGTCTTTGCTGCCTTACCAACCATGAAATATAGAGGGTTGAGTACTCACAGGGGATCAGCAGTTAATAATGAATTGAGGACTGGGGTGGGAGGGGGGATAGCTTGAATGTTCTCCACTTTAGCTCATAATTGCCCAAATGAGGAACTTGGCCCATCACCGCTACTTATGATGGCAACTTGATGATCATCATCAAGGTTTATATAGTGTTACATTATTTACCTTACTATTTTAGTAAACTAATGCTGTCACGTAGCTGCAGTTTTTATATGTGTTTGCAGGTGATGCATCTGGAAGATTATGAAGAAGGAGCTATTTTCTCACATATAACTCATGGCCCTTATCCACTAATTATTGCTTATACGCTATTGACCCTTGATAGTATGCTTTACCTACTCCTAGGGATTTATTTCGATCAAGTGATTCCAGGTATGTTAGAATCAAATAAAAATACAAAAAAACCTGAACAACTTCAAGGGTTTGGTTACGTATTAAGTATTGTGACGCATATTATATGTGGTGAAATACTGATTTTAAGTGTATCATCATCCTTACTGAAATTGTGCCCATACTAGAAATCTTCATTCTCAACCTTTTTAAATTCATTCTAATCATTTGGGAGATATGTCGTAGAACCAAAATGCCTGGATATGTTATGACCTCTGGGCACTATCGAAATTGCCAGTTCATATACAATGTATGTGATTTACAATCCCCACTGGGATTAATGCAGACTGGAACCTGTTAATCATATACCCCAAACTACCCAATCTATTAGTTCTATTTCATAATTCTGGTATATATGTTTCTGGTCTACTAATAAATAATAGTAAATCACCCATATATCTGTCTGTGCTTAATAAAACCATCCTGATCTGAATGGACAATTATTATTATCACCACTGGCTGAACTCTATTTGACAAAATCACTTTTAGTATCTTCTGTGTTAATTAAAGAAATTTGCCTATTATTTGCATACATGGTCTACTATTCCTAAGCGTGGTACAAGTCATGCATCTACACATCATAAACTGAAGTTGACAGGGTGCCTAAGCATTTTGATAAATACAGAAAAGCTTAGAGGTCAGAAAGTTTGAATGTGCCTTTTACCATTCTATGCTGTTGCTCTAATACTCCTGTAGGATTCAGAAATGGCCGTTAATCGTGGGCATTTTAAATGCAAAACTTTTATATCCCAAACCTCCTTAGATTTGGAGCCAAGGAATAAACAGAAATAAATAGCACATCCATATAAAATTAAAGCAGAATTTCAACTTGCGCATAGTGTGTATGTATGTCTGTGGCACCAAAGATGTATTTGTAATTTATGCTAAAAATTACATGCCAGTCTGTAGTACTGGAAGATTTCCTGGGTTACAAAATAAGGGATATAGTCTAAAAATTAGCAAACTATAAACAGAAAACAGTCCAAACATGTAATTATACTGTGTAATCCATATGTTTACAGATTCTTTCTCATCTTTTTTTACCCCTCAGGGGAATATGGATTGCGGCGAAGCTTTTTCTTCTTCCTAAAGCCCTCATTTTGGGTAAAGCGAACAAGAAATTATAAGGAATTGTATGAAAGCAGCATTAATGGAAGCTTAGAATTCAATGAGATTGTTGAGCCTATATCTTCCGAATTCCAGGGAAGAGAAGCTATTAGGTATGACGGATGATGCTGAAGTTTAACTTGAACCTATTGTCAGTTATTAATTGTTTTTGCACTTAGAAAGAAACTGGCTGCGTTTGCATGAAACGATAAAGAACCTTGGCTTAATAAATAATTTTGTGTACAAGCAGCATGCACACACTTTCCGATTGCTGCAAGCAAATCAGCTCAGCCTGACATTTGAATGCAGGAGTGTTGTTCTTTTCTCCCTAACAAGCAATTCTTGGTAGGCAGCCTTAAATCAGGCTTGCTGTTGGCTTTCAAATTCTGGTTCATTAGTGATAAGCAAACCACACTCCTAGGTCACATGAAGGAAGGAGGAAAGAGTTGAGTAATCCTCTGCATGTACATTATGGTTTATTAAGCCAGGGTTCTTGGCTTAACATTGCAAGCAAACATGGCTGCTGCATGAAGTATGCATGCAGTGATAATTAATTTGTCAGTTTTATTATGCACACTCAAGTAAGAGGAGCAATGTGATAGTTTTCATATGCAAATATGGTTTGTCCTGTGATGTGATACTTCTGTCATTGATTATTGGCAAAGGAAAAAAAGTCCATATTGAGAAAAGACAGTGTTAATCAGTTTTGGTTCTATCAAAACATACATTGTAGACCAGTACATGTGCAAGTGATCTGAAGCTCCATGTATTACTTAAGATGCAAATGTTGCATGTTGCACGTACTAATATTTCTTTCCTGATAAGAGTCAACAAGGGAGTCACTGCATGTACAAATCTCTGTTGCATGTTGACTAGTCAGTTTGCAATTGAGGCAAGGAAGGTCATTTTGCTATGCACTCAAAGTACTATGTCTTTGCGTAGGAACCAGCTTAGTTGCAATCAGAAGTGAGGCATATTCAATCCAATTAACCTTGGGTGCCATTTACCCATATTTTCCTTAGTTTGACAGGAAGCCAAATAGCAAAAAGTGGTTTTTGTGGTTTAGAAATGTTCCATTTCATCTTTTTCACTGTATTCTGTGGTTCAGACTCCTCCTCATTGCATTCATTTCTCAAAATGTTTTACGAGAGATCAAAGTCTGAAAGAAATCATAGTCAAATTATATGTTCAGGAAAAGTATGTGGTACTTTCTTTCTGGGAAGGGGTTATGGCATAGTTTCCCAGGAGCATTGTACTACTTTTGAATATGAAGATCACCTTGCATTGTAAACCAAAACAGGAATATTCAAGCTAATATAAATATGTGGTACCTGCATATTCTTTGATTTTATCTTGCTTGGTAAATTTTTACCAAAGTTCTGTGTTTCTTTTTTAAAATAAATTTATCTTTTCTTCTTTCAGAATCAATAATGTCCAGAAATCATATATTAAAAAGGGTGAAACTGTGGAGGCCCTGAAAAGTAAGACTTCTTAGGTTTTCAGCTATCTGCCACAAGTGTGAGTCCTTGTTCTTTAAGTGTTGCCTGTTCGTTGTTTTCTGACAGTGACTATTTGCATGTCATGCTAAACCGTGGTTGAGCACAACATGCACTAGCAGAAATGAGTTTCAGCAAGACTTGGGCTTGCGCACTTCCTTCTTTTCTTCCCATATGCCTGGCAAGGTGAGTCCAGAAGATTTTGCTTTACCGAAATCACATCTTAACCATGGTTTAGCATGGTGTGATCAAGGAGAAGTAAGCTGCACCAAATCTTAGGATTGTGCACTCCTATTCAAACTGGGTTTCTTACTTCCAAACTGCTCTTGACCAAGCCAGTGGAGGAAAGGGGAGCACATGAGGCCAAGGCTCAATGCAAACATGGCCAATGGGAGCAATGGTATAGTATGTGGGTGAGTTTCTCTTTACTGACTACTCATCTGTAATCAGTAAATATCTCAATAAGGAAACTTCAGTCAAAACAAACTTAATCTGTACACAACTGTGTGTTTGGCTTTATTAAATATTAAATGTTCTGTTAATGGTGGGGTTTTTCTTAAGAGTAAAAATTGATAGTGTACTCTATGTAGCAGTGGCTAAATACTTCCTGAAGCTTGTAGCAATACTATATAATGCCATTAATTAATCCCCTTCCTTTTTCATTTCTTATTAGGTTTATCCTTTGACATTTATGAGGGTCAGATCACAGCATTACTTGGACATAGTGGAACAGGAAAAACAACATTAATGAACATTCTTTGTGGATTGTCCCCACCTTCTGATGGTAAATATGTGCCTACTTCTGTTCTCTTTGCATTTGTCTTAAAGAGCGTAAATGGAAGAAATCCCCTGGAAACCTATTTTGTGGTTTTTGTTTTGAAATATGTAACCCTTGGGATGGGCTTAATGTAGGTTCTGACTCAAGACCCTACTCAGGAAACCTGGGACAGTTGAATGTTTGAATAGAAGCCTTCTCTCAACACACACACACACAAATATGTGCAGGCAGTGCTATTTATTCAAATAATAGTGGATCAACAAGAGATTAACAATGTAGGGAGCAATACAAAAATATATTTTAGTCTAGTTCATTCCACTGTCTCTCAGGGTCCATCTATGCCAAAGGAAGTTTGTGCCCTTTGGTCTTACTCATGGTCAGTTAAGGGATTCGGCCCATAGATGCAGAATTTGAGAGCATCACAATACTGTACAGTCATACCTTGGTTTTCGAATTTAATCCGTTCCGGGAGTCCATTCGACTCGTGGAACAGTTCAAAAACCAAGGCGCTGGACGTTCAGCTTCCAAAAATTGTTCGAAAACCGGAACAATCACATCTGGTTTTCAATCGTTTGGGAGCAAAAACATTCAAGTTCAAAGGTGTTCGGCTTCCGAGGTTCCACTGTAATGAAATCCAACTAGCAGGTCACAGCAGAAAGGCTGCAGTGCAGTGGCAGCTGAGGTGTGCTGCAATAAAGAACTACAGCAGATGGTGGCACCAAGGCTTCTGTGGCTCCACAGCTGCAAACCAATAGTAAAGGTTAATTCATCCAGTAAAGCTTAGCAATTCCTCATTTCAAGCAGTGTGCAGGAGAACAGTTCAGCTCTCTTCCAAAAGCTTCCCCCTCTCTTTGATCCAGTATGTGATCCCTGCTTTCCAGAGGTTACTTTTGGGGCATCCAGCATCACTCTTATTGAGGGTAGCTAGCTGACAAGAAGGCACAAATGGTCTTCATTAACAAGTCATTCATTAACTTATTCCAACTTTTACAATAAAACATAGAGGGCAGCTCTAGCCAACATGCAAATGATTGTGGCATGCTGAATTTGGACACTGTGTTTTCTCTGCACTTTCTGCTTCCAACTATTTAGTGGCATGCATTCTTTTCTCTACAGATTTACAAATCAGTTCCAAGAGCTGTACTGTTCCTAATGTTTTCTGATTTGTGTGTGTTGATGGTAGTGCATAATATTTTTTATCGCTTTTATTTTAAAATCAAATCAGCGATGTTAGACACCTTGACTTTTGGGGGTGTTCTGCCTCAGGTTTGAGCTAGCTGCCTCTAGATATATGTTCTACGCTGGTAGCCATCACAGTTGTTAACATTTTTGCTCTTGCTTTTCATGCATTAGGATTTGCATCGATTTATGGCTGTAGAGTTTCGGAAATAGATGAAATGCTAGATATAAGAAAGGTAATTGGAGTCTGCCAGCAGTCAGATATATATTTTGATGTATTAACCGTGGAAGAGAATTTATCAATAATAGCTTCGGTTAAAGGAATACCTCCCAATGATATGATACAAGAGGTGAGTGCAGGCTAATGACCATATTCCATTATGCTTTCATAAATATATTCCATTATACTACCATAATGTCTGCAAGCCATCTTGAGCCTTAAGGATAGGGCATTTAACATGAAATACTTCTTGTCCTTGGTTTAAGGTCCAGAAAGTTTTACTCGATTTGGATATGCACCCCATTAAAGATAACCAAGCTAAAAAACTAAGTGGAGGACAGAAAAGAAAACTGTCGGTTGGATTTGCAGTTCTTGGAGATCCAAAGGTAAGCACCAGAAGGTCAAAACGGTTGATTGATGCAGCAATAATATGTAATTTCTTTACAAGAAATGTGTTTCTCTGCACTGCTTGTATGGTAAAGTAGTAGATATATAGAATCAGTTACATGGCATATTTATTATGCAGATTTGTGCACCCATTCTAGTAGTTGTTGAAACTAGAGATAGAAGCATCTGACTGTCTTATAGTGGCATCTCACAAAGTTAAATGAATCCAGAAGGGTGCAGATTTCAGTGTGAACCACAGGTCTAGTCTGCAAATTGGTTAAGGGGTATCTGTCTTCAAATCCTAGTTTGTTGGGTAGCTATTCCAGCTGTAGTTGAAATGGATCAAGGTAGTCCCTTCCTGTTCAGTTCTGACAACGTGCTTGCCCATCTCTCAGTAACAACCATGCCAGAAATGTGGACAGGGCCACTGGGACAATCTAGCAAGAAATCTTTGAGCCAGATGCTTGCCTTGCTGGAGCTGTATTTCCAACTGTATGTCAAGTGTTGTTGTGGAATGGGGATGTTTTATCAGAGTTAACCACCTATATTTACCTGCGTGCATTTTTTTTAAACCTCTGTACTACTACATTTGATTGGTCATAATATGGCTTTGTGCATTTGCCATATAGTCCTCAACTTCCAGTTACCAGCATTGAGGTTGTTGGTTTAAATTTCCTCATTGTTACTGATCAGAGCCAGTTTAGCAGCTGCATATGTATTTAAGTCATATTTAAGCTGCGTATTTATTTCAGGCAATCCTACATAACACGAGGGCTGGAGGCCTATTACATCCCCTCCCTCTGAGTGTTTGAAGCCTCCTAGGATAATTCCAAGCACAGTTGTTTGCAGCTCTCTTCCCACTACTTTGTGAAAGCATCTTAGGCACTTTTATACATAACACCAGACGGTGTGGGCTAGGGCTTCTGATCGTCTTTTCCTACATCAACATGGCTATGCTGAAATGGCTTCCAGAATAACATAAGAAATGAGCTAACGATCCATTCACAGTCCATCAGAAGTGGTGATAGCACTGAAGAATGGCTATGTCACTACATCTACATTGCTCTTGGAATGGTGCCAACATTTCTCATCCAAATTTCTCCCCAGAGTTTTTGCAGTTCTTTACTAATGGAAAGGTTAATGAGAATAATGCCAGAATCTCTGATGTTGTTTGATTTGTACTTCTGGACTGTGTTTCTTTTGGTAGGAATGGATTTGTCGTAATTATTATAAGGGGTGGGTGTGGGCATGTGGGTGTATGAGACTTCTCAGTTTGCAGGAGCTGAAAAGGATGTGTTTCATGAAGCAGAGTGTTTTAAAAATTATTTTATTTTTAGTATATTCCCAAACTACTGGCAGGCAGACTGAGACCATGAAATAAAAACTTACAATAACAGGAGACAATGTGCTTGAGGAAACAGTAGGGTTGCCATATTTCAAAAAGTAATAATCCAGACACAAAAGTTGTTGAGCTTTTTTCTTGGGATCTTATCTGGTCAAACTGTTCACATATCTGATAGAAGTGATGATAATGATAAACGATATTATTGATAAGGGATAACTGTTACTTTCAAAATGAATAGCTAGTCCATTGTTTTCCATGACCAATATTTAGGTATTACTCTTAGATGAACCAACCGCTGGCATGGATCCATGTTCACGGCAAACAGTTTGGAACCTCCTGAAAAATGGAAAATCCACTCGAGTGACTGTGTTCAGTACCCATTTCATGGAAGAAGCAGACATTGTTGCTGGCAAGTGCAATTTGGGCACCTTTGTGTTAGTACCAGTTTGGTAATATGGCCAGCTTGTCGCTGTATGAACTGATATAACTGAAGGTACTTTCTGTTCTTGCTTCTAGATCGGAAAGCTGTGATTTCTCAAGGAATGCTGAAATGCCTTGGCTCCTCTCTGTTCCTTAAAACAAAATGGGGAATTGGCTACCGCTTGAGGTATCTGTAGTCTGAAAGTCTATTTCAATGTGTTCATTATTTTCCACTTTGCCTGAATTTTACAACTGATTTAAAAAACACCCAGTTTGGTTAGCTGGAAGTATAATAGCAATGAGTAAACCTGGTAAATATGAACACTAGTTGGTTTATACTGCCTTATTTTCTTTCTTAATTATCACTACAAAGCAACTGTCACAAGGTTATAAAAAAGCATTTCACAGAACAATTCTATGTCTATCCACTCAGAGTTCCCACTAAATTTAATACCACCTACTCCCAGGTAAGTGAGTACAGGATTGCATTCTGAATAAAATATTAAATAATAATTGGATCAAGCAGGCTTATACCTGCTAGAAATTTCAGTAACATCCACAAAGTACTGAATGGAAATATGATTGAGTGTATCAAGTAGAGTTGCCCCCAAACGCCAAAACCCCCGCAATTTTTTTATTGACTTGCTTAATATCAGGCATGAAGAAACAGGGGGTCCAGTTTGGACTGCCAAGCCATTTCCCCCAAACATTGCCAACCTGTCCATCAGCTACTATCATTGGTGATGTCAGCGGGTTGGCTGGACCTTCTTGGAAAGCCATCTCTTCAGCCTCTGAAAAGGATCAGTGTACGGTGGGCCTTCCAAGAAGAAAAAAGAGTCTGCTACCTTTTTGCTGCTGGAGAGCAGCAGCAAAAGTGGGAGAGAGAAAATGCTGCAAAGAGCACTCAGTCTCCACTCTCCTATGCTCAGTCAGGAGCGTGGATATTAATTTAAAGCAGCCATTCTTTGCAGTAGTTTCCCTCCCCCTTTAAAGTTTGCTGGAGGAACTGCAGCAAGGAGCACTGCAAGCAGAAGGGATTTTGACAAGTGGGCTGGGCAACCCATTTGTCAATCACATTATGTCATAGGGAGATGTGATTGACAACTAGATTGGCCCACCCATCTGTCAGAGTCAGCCTGCTGAAAAGAACTGGCCCTTAGAAACAAAAAAGGCCCACCTCTGGAATATAGCTCAAATGTTTTTATGATTTATCTGTTAGAGTTTTAGATAATTTATGAATAAAGGTAAAGGTAAAGTATTATGAATACTTATATGTAAATTTTGTTTTTCATTTGGATTAAGAAAATAAAGTTTATATGTTAAATTGGTTTACAATATGTTATTTTTGTTACTTAAAAAACAAACAGACCATAGAGTCCCACCTTGTAAATAATAATTAAACATTGTGTGTGTTTGTTTTTCCTTAGTATGCAAATAGACAGGTACTGTAACACGGAAGGCACAGCATTTTTGATCAAGCAGCATATCCCTGGAGCCAGTTTGTTAAAGCAGACTGAAGAGCAGCTTGTGTATGCCTTACCTTTTAACGACATGGACAAATTTTCAGGTACACCTCATCTCCCCTTTGAACACTAGTGAAAATTGGAGAGCAGATGAGGAAAATAATGAAATTCATGGAAAACTAAATTGAAATGGACTTCAAGAGAAATAACATAGGTTTTGGGCCTGTTATGCAAGGAAAAGAGATGGTATTTATTGTGAAAGGGGTCAAAACACCCCAAACTATGTTGTTTGGTTTGTGTTTTGTTTTTTGTAATCTGCCTTCCTTCCTTGGCAAGCTTTTAATAAAAATTATAGAGTAGCAAGACAGTTCCCAGAAAACAACAAAAAACCCTCAATTTCAGACACATTTTTGACACTCTGATAAATGAAGGAAAACATTCACCTTTTGTTTCATGTGACTTTGAACTGTTACGCTATATGCAATCGTTAAACAATAGTGGCACCAAAGGCTTTTTTGTTGTTACACTCAACGGCAAACAGAAATAAGGCAACATGATTGCAAGAAATGTAATAGCTATAAAGCTCAGTGGGAGAGAATAAACTTTGCATGCAGAAATCTCTGGCACCACCAGGTATGTCTGGGAAAGACTTGTGTCTGAAGCCCTGGAGACCCACTGTCATCGTAGACCAGCAGACAGACATAATACACCCATCCAGATACCTAATTTGGCACTCAAGGCAGGCTATTTTTCTCTAAACCACTCTCGCCTGTTCCACCCCTCATGCCATATATGATATGCAGTCATAGAATCGTAGTGTGTGTGGAGGGGTGTCATCTAATTCAATCCCTTACAGTGCAAGAGTCATAGCTTAAGGAATCCCTGACAGATGGCCATCCAACTTCTGTTAAAAAAATTCCAGTGAAGGAGAGTCCGCCCACCTCCGGAAATAGTCAATTCTACTGTCAAACAGCTCTTGCCATCAGAAAGTTATTCCTAATGTTTAGTCAAAGTCTCCTTGAACATCTTTGAGGGAAGGTAAAGATGCAACTCCCTGCTGAAATTGTTTGCAGGCACTTGCAAAGCCCAGTTTGTTTGCCTGCATGGTTTGATTACATCACGGTGATGTCAGGTGATTGACCCGTCAGCAATCCCATCCATCAGCAATGCATCCAATCCCTGCTGTAGGTAGGGATTGATCAATGGTATAAGACAGCTTCCTATATTTCTATTTCCAAGCAGTAGCTCGGCAGTGGCTGCTGCTGTTGCTACTATTACCACATCTATTCCTGCTTCTTCTTCTTCTAGCACTGTTTGCTGATCTAGACATGCATTCCCATTTGGGTGTTATTTCTTACGGCGTTTCCATGACTACCTTGGAGGATGTGTTCCTCAAGCTGGAAGTTGAAGCTGAAATTAACCACACAGGTGAGAATCAATGACAGTACTTCCTGTAGTACATTACAGAACAATGATTTGGTGGCGGAGGATAAATTCTAAGTTGCCTAACCTGTTACCCTCCTTAGATTTCAGTGCATTTAACTCGGAGCAAGCTGAAGATGAAATGGATGCAAAATCTATGGATGAGTTAGAGCAAAGCCTGCTAATGTTATCTGAGACAAAATCGTGTGTACTAAGCAATAAGTCTCTTTGGAAAAAACAGGTCTCTACTCTGGCAAAAGTTCATTTTCTTAATTTCAAACGTGACATCAAATCACTCACGGAAGTGTAAGCATCTTGGCTTTCTGTTTCTTAGTCCAAAATGTATGAGAGTCAGAAACGGAAATAGGTTAAAAGGTTAAAACAGACCGCAGCCCAGAGTAAAGACTGCATCTCAGATTGGCGCCTTGTGTTGCAGCACCTGATAGGGAAATAGTGAGTACAGCATGTGTGTGTGTGGAGGAATTGCTATTGAGTCTCTTCGTTGCTTCCTATGCTGCACACATGTAAGCAGCACGCTGCATCATTGTGGAGAGTGGAAGGTCTGTGTAGTTTTCCCTTATCTCTTAGTGCAAGTTAAATTTGGGACTCAAATAGCTGTTGTTGTTGTTGTTTAGTCATTTAGTCGTGTCCGACTCTTCGTGACCCCATGGACCAGAGCACGCCAGGCACTCCTGTCTTCCACTGCCTCCCGCAGTTTGGTCAAACTCATGCTGGTAGTTTTGAGAACACTGTCCAACCATCTCGTCCTCTGTCGTCCCCTTCTCCTTGTGCCCTCAATCTTTCCCAAATAGCTCAATTTTTTCTCAAATAGCTAGCATCCAGAAAAGAGAGAGAGAGAGCGTACATATGTTCATGCATGCTTGAGAAACACAAGGGAGATGTATGCATGCCTTCTAATCCCTATAATGTTCTAGTGTGCCAAGGAGAAGCCTGGAGATAGTTGGGGCTTAAGTGTGTTCATTCAGCCTTATTATATTAGATTATTTCTGCCCCACCTCACCTTTGCCAGCAATATCTGTGCGAATACTTAATGCGCTTCAAGAGGGCAGCTTGCCACATCCTGAAAAAATGTTTGAAAAGAAGTTCCAGTGAGGAAGTGGTAAATTTCAATCTGTGCACATTATTTACAAGGATAGAGGTGTTTGAAAAGAAATTGCATCATCAAACATCACATTTGGCTGCAAGTTTTCTTACCTAAGGCTTACACATGAACTTCAGGAAACTTTTCTGTCTTATGTTTTAACGATCCAAAAGAGAAGGAGCCCACGGAAGGAAAATAAGTGATTGCATTCATGTCATGCTCCAAGAGGGACAGATTGCTATTGCTTGAGACTGGGGGCTTATCCACATTTACCTTTCCTCTCTTTCAAGGCATGATCTGTGCGTTAAAGCTGCAGGTCTGAGCACCGTTTTTGTTTTTAATCCTCTGGAGCTTTCCCCACGCAAACCTGCTCTTTAAAGCTCCATTGGAGCAAGCGTCAATGTGTGGAAAACTCAACTTGACATTGGCTCTGCTTGAGCACTAAATAATGGGTTTTCATGGGGAAAGCTCTAGGACAAAATAAAAAATAAAACACAAGCACAGACCTGTGCCTCAAAAGAGCAGGGAAAAGGTAAGTGTGGATAAGCCCTCTGACTATAATGCTAGTTTTTCAATAACACTCCCTGCCCCTTAACCTTTCTGAACTTTTTAAATACCACACAAGGTGCCTTAGATATCATACTCAAGGACTGCTGTCTCAGTGTAGCTGTTTACAGGCTTGCACTTTTCGTATGTGGATGAGTGAAATAATTATTTAATGACTTGTCATCCAGAGCAGGGATTGCAGCCAATTTTACCAGTGGATACAGTTTTAAGGGTATTCTTCCAGAGAATGCTTGAGCCGGTCAACCTGGTTCTGATCTAGCAAGATCCTTTCCTTTGTTACTGCGAAAGAGTACATGCTTGTCATCCTCAAGTTATTTTGAATATGTGTTTTGTATTGAATAAACTTAAGACAGATTGGTGTTTCCAGTAAAACAATGCAAAATCACTTAGAGGTTTTACAAAAATTAAAAAGCATACAGATTGTGTTAAATTAAATAAAGAAATACTATGGATGATGGCTATTCAGTCTACCTCTGCTCTAAAGGTCACCATTCTTTACACTAATTTGTACCAGCTTTACATGTACCTTTTTCTTGTTATTTCAGGTTTTTGCTATTAACAGTGTTCCTTGGTGTTGAGATTTATATGTTCAATATGTATCGGCAATACTTCAAAAATGCAGTGGTTCCTGTTAAGTTTTCTCCAGACTTATACTTTCTTAAACCAAATGAAACTCATCATAAATACAAAAGCAGTCTCCTTGTTCAGAACTTCACTGGTAAGTTACTTTTCAATTTATTTGCTTTTATTCATTTCACCATCTGGCATTTCATTATTTTATTTTATTTTTACTGTATGACATACAGTAGGAATAAATTAAAAGTGTAATTAAGTTTAACAGCAATCAGTGTAATGAATGGTTAGCTTGAAGACAGGTAGAAAAATCAGCCCTCTGGCAAGTCTGGTTTGATTCCCCCACCCCATTCAATCACAAATTGAATTTAAAGATATGTTTCTAGAATTGTATCTGGCCAACTTCATGGAACAGACTTTAAATAGTTTGATTTTTTACCAAAAAGCTGAAAGCTTTACAGCAGCATCAGTTAGTGGGCAGGGTATAAATATTTTAAAATAGATCAATAAAATAAGCAACATTATTTCATAATTATAGTGATTACATGACAGCACAGTTCGTGTGTGTGTGTGTGTGTGAGAGAGAGAGAGAGAGAGAGAGAGAGAGAGAGATAATATATACACATATTGTCAGTGCTTCAAGAGTATTGATCTCCGTCATGCACAAAGCAGACCCACTCAAATAATTAACTTTCATTTATTTCAATGTGTTGGGTCTGAGTATGACTTAATTGGAATTCACCCTAAAACTCTATTTTGATGTTTATACGGGACTTCTGGAGAACATGAGCCTTCTTGTTTGCTGCAATACCAGTGCTAACTCTAAATGTTCAATAATAATATGTATCTTTGGCATAGCAGGGAATGGGGAAACTCTTTGCATGCAAGGAATCTTTGTGCCTGTGAGACTAACCTTTCAACTTTCTTTATTGTCTCAACCTAGGATCAGACATTGATGACATCATCAGCTCTCTTATAAGCCAGTATGTACACACAGAAATATTCAATGGCAGTGATTATGTATCAGTTGCTCCCCACAATGGAGCATTAAATGTATCTCATGCAGGCAAGGTGAGAAGAAATGCAGGTTAAATATATTGGGTCTATGTGGGCATTGGTTCTGTTTGATGGCAGGGAGTTGGGGTGCAAAATGAATTTTTCCCCCAAGTGGGATAGGGGAGGCTTTGAAATTTGAAGAGGGAACTCGACTTAGAAACAGGGCGGTAGGTCTTTTTCCTTTTTCCTCACTTTCAGCCTTGGTGGCAGCAGCAGTGGCAAGATCAAAGCTCACAGAGTTTTCTTTAATAGCTCACATGTCATTTCCTTTCTCCCAGACTGCCCTGGTGTTGTTCCAGCAGCACATAAAGTGCTAGGGGGAAGGAACGGTGGCACTAGAGATTTGTCGCTGATTATGCTCTTCTTCTTCTTCTTGTTGTTTTCAGAACTACATCTTTACAGCTGCTTTTAACTGCACCATGAAACACTCTTTACCAGTTATGATGAATATCATTAGCAATCTGTATCTGCACAATTTAAATGTCACAGAAAACATCCATGTCTGGAGTAGTTCGTTCTTCCAAGTGAGTAAATGCAAAGTCCAAAAAAAGTTCTTGTAAAATGAAGTTGCATTCCAATTTGTGACAAGTTGGCCTTTGTGTACATTGGATTGCATGACTTGTGATCTCCAAAACCAAACACGTCTTAATTGCCATGTGTTGTGGTCTCCCAGGTATTCCCTGTTTTGCAGCCCTAGTCAGGCTGCAAAACAGATTTATTTATTAGTATTAGTTTTCAAACTTTTATTGTACTGTCTTTCAAAAGAATTAAAAATGCAAAAACCTTTAAACTAAATATAGCAAAAACAGACTGATTTATCAAACCACGGTTAGACACCCCCCCAAAAAAACCCTTAAAATTATATTTCACCTTGGGTTTTTTTCCCTTTGTATTCTAATATTGCAATCTGTTATTTTGCAGAAAATTACTGACAGAGGTTTCATAATGGTGCTGGTTGTTCAAGCTTTGACAGTAGGAGTCACAATAACTGGATTGCCATCATATTTTTCCATGGACAATGCAGAAAACCACAGGGTAACTTTGTATTAGAACATACTTTTTTTAAAAAAGCAATGTGAAATGTCCTATACATTGGTTCAACACAGTGATTCCTCAGACCAAATTCCTCAGAGGGAATATCAGGAGTCACCATAGTTATTCTCTTGCCACCTATTTGGCATCATAACTTATTTTAACTGATTTCATACATTGTAGTGAATCAATTCAGGGCAGATATGGTTGTACGTAAAAGTGTTCAAATAGAATAAGGAAATAGCAGCAATATTTATAACTCCTCTGTTCAATCGTGCGGGTTGCAATTCGGCGCTTCTGCGCAGATGCGACTGCCAAAACCCGGAAGTAACCAGTTCCAGTACTTCCGGGTTTTGGCAGTCCGTAACCTGAAAAAACAAAACCTGAAGCATCTGTAACCAGAGATATGACTGTAGTATTGTTCAGCTAATTGATACCATGCTGTCATAACTTGGGCTGGTTGTCATGCTGCATTCTAAAGAGCTTATTTATTGGGTTTGATTAGCAGGATATTCTGGTTCATATTCATTGCCACACTAGGACTCAGGTGGAAATTGCAGATCATTCTAGTGAACTTTCATTTTACCAATCATCAAGAGTCATTTTGCTTTTTCTTCCTCAAACTACGCATTTGCTACTACCACCCAAACTGTCCCATTATTCAGTCTCAGGGGAAAAAACCACACCTGCTCTCTTAATTTTAATGATGTAACTATGTTTCTTTTCTTTTTCTTTTCTATGTGTCTTGTTTTTCTTTTTTTGCTCCATGTATGCCTGTGTTGACCAAACCTTAAGTTCAGAGAGTAAACACAAATTTTAAAACTTCCAGCCAAACTTTCATATATTCTCTGCAGATGCTTACATAACTGCTTGTTTCACTACTTACAAAGAAACTGGCATAAAAGTAATTATTTAGATGGAAGTGATCCAAAAGCCTGTATCTTCCTTACACACCATGTTTCTTGTAGTATAACACAACTCCCGATATATTGTGGTGTTGTACACTGTTGAGAAGTCTTCTGCTAGCTTGCCCACAAAAAATTAACAAACGTTTTCTCCTTTCACAAATGGCTTTTTGGATCCCAACCTCTGGCTCTCTGAAAACCACAGCTATAGTAACTGCGGTTGCAACTTCTTTATTCATTACATTTACTTGGGAGTAAACCACATGGAATTATATGGGATTAACTTCAGAGTAGACATCAGAGTCTAAATGGGAGTATATATTTTGGCTAAATGCTGCTTATCCTTTTTAAAAAAAATAATCTAATTGCATTTGACCTCAATATTCCTAACTAGGACTGTGCAGGCAATGGCCTATTGATCCCATGTTGTGCTGCCAGCCATATAGGATGAAAAAGAATAAATAAAGCTTCTTAATTCCAGTGTCTCTGGTTGGGAGGCTGCTGGCATTACCTTTATTTGTTGCTTTAATATTATCTTCAGTGGCTGATCTTGGGCTAGGTACTCACTGTTGTGCCCCACTGTAAAACAGGACTAATGTCCTCTAGATGATATAAATGAAATATAGTACATATATATGTGTGTGTGTGTTATGCATTTGATTTGCCTTGTAGCCTGTGGCTTGCCTCCCTGCTTTTGCCAGCTGGAGCCATCTCCTTGCATGCATATTAGTTCCTGCTTTCTCCTTGTGGCACGTTTGACTCTGGATTGTGTTGGCCCTGCTATTGTCTGCCAAACCACACTGCTGAGCTGCTGGACTCCGCCCCTAGCCCTACCCACTCCTGTACAGGAATGTCCCTATTTTCACCCATGAAATTTCGGGAGGTAAGTACTCCCTGGTGTGCAGGACTCTCTGCCATTGCTGTACTTTTCTTTGAGCTGCTCCCTAGTTAATTTTCTTAATAGGATATGTTCTTCCTCCATCTTGGTTCATTTATCAGTTAGGGGTGTTTGAGGTGTCTTGTATCAATTAAATTAGAAGGACTCTTGATGTATGTTCCCAATGCTTTTCTTCTAGAAAACCGTATGTTCCAGCCCTACAGATAAGCTACTGGCCGAAGGCTCAATCACACTTCCATTTGTCCACCACTTTCCTCCAGGAAAACCCACAGTTTAGCACCGAATCAGAACAAATAGCGATCTGCAGAAAATCTGGTTGCTGTTTGATCTGATTTAGTGCTGAAGAGTGGGTTTTCCTGGGGAAAGTGGCAAACCAAAGCCAAAGCTACTCAGACCCATATCTATAAAGTACAAGAAGTGTGGGTGAGCCCATAGAATGTTTTGTACTGTATTTTTTTTTTTTAAATAGTTCATTCCAGATCATATTATCAAAAGCAAAAGTACAATTGCTGGATTTCCTGCCATTCCCCATATTTGACCTAGATTTCATTTATTTTTTGCACCTTTGCAGATCAAAGCCTATACTCAACTTAAGTTATCAGGTCTTTATCCATCTGCTTACTGGTGTGGGCAAGCACTAGTTGACATTCTTTTATATTACATAATTCTCCTCCTGATGGTTGGAATCTTGTTCATAGTTCACCATGGAATTATTTTTTTCCCTGAAGAGGCTCTTGCTGTGGTAAGTTTTGTTTTCTTCCAGATACTTTTATCCGTTCCTTGCTCCCCTTATTGGCGTCACCTCAACAACAGAAATCCAGTAGAATTCAGAAAAGATTTCCCGATGGCAGGAAGGAACTGTGTTGCCATGGAAAACCCCACTGCACCTGTTGAAGGTGCGGGCAGGAATTACTAAACTCCTGCTGGCAGGAATACCTGGAACCTTGGAAGGGAAGAATAGGGCCAGTGATAGAGCCACTGGATCAAAAATCAGTCTGTTTCCCTTGGAGGAACCGATCCGGGACTCTTTGCTGCACCATCCACAAAGAATAAAAATTAACTGCCCAGGTAGGCAGGAGCTGGCAGAACTGCGGATGTGATGGCAAATCTGCCATTCTTCAGCCCTAGTAAAGATTCTTCCCCACGGCACCATTTTATTTTATTTATTACAAAAGCAGAATAACACTGTATTCAACTTGGAGGTTCCCAAAGCATCTTACAGAGTACAGCAAGCCACAAGCCACATAATTACTAAAATCAACAGAGCGGCAAAGTGAACATAAAGCAGAACTTGCCTGCGTAATGGCATTGCCTGCCATTTTACATGCTGCACTCACTGAAGTGTATTTCAAACATCCTGCAATAAATAATGTCGTATACTTATGTTTTTCTGCTCTACTTTTAACCCAAAGAACCATCAACCTTTTGGCTTTTAAATTGGCATAGGAGCAGGTGGTAACGCTGTAAATGAGTACAGCACACTGCAGGTAGTGAAAAACTTTCAACAATGTGCAATAATTAGGGGAGTCTTTGTATTTCCTTTTGTGTTTTTGTATTAAAAATATGACCCCTGATTTCATTTGCAAAACATTGCAGGGTAATAATAATAATAATAATAATAATAATAATAATAATATAATAATAATAATAATAATAATAATAATAATAATAATAATAATTTATTTATACCCCGCCCATCTGGCTGGGTTTCCCCAGCCGCTCTGGGCAGCTTCCAACAAAACACTAAAATACAATAACCTATTAAACATTAAAAGCTTTCCTAAACAGGGCTGCCTTCAGATGTCTTCTAAAAGTTTGGAAAGGTGACAGATTGTATTCTGTGTTCTTAATCATTTTGTTGTGTTTTCATGTTATGCATAACTCAAATTTAATTTCCTCCCTGCAGGTTTTGTGCCTTATTGGCTACGTTCCATCGGTAATTCTGTTTCATTATGTTGTCTCTTTCACCTTCAAAACAATACAAAACACCAAAGAATTTTGGTCATTGATTTTTTCAACAGTAAGTAAAAGTGCAGTACTTGATACATCTTTCCTAGTTAATGCAATTTAGTATTTTGATTGACTTATATTTAAGAAATAATTCTATGTCTTTTTTTTCTCATTTGGGTTGTAGCTCAGTCCTGCAAGTGCATAGTTTGCTGTACAGCATGTGCATGCAGCATGAAACCAAACTTTGCAGGATTAATTATTTGTCTCTTAGGCACTATTTACTGTTCCTTTTATTCTGGATATTACTTTTTGCTTTCTTAGCAAAAGCAATCTGTACAGCTGGTTTTTCAGTAGCCCACATGCAAATGAATGCTACAACATTTTTTAAAGATGGATAAAAAGAAATCAAATGGTGCTCTAATTTTATTGTAATTATCTTTATTTCTTTTCCCTTTTCAGGTAGCCTTGATTTGTGTTATTGTTATTGATGTAGCTTTTATTCAGTCGTACGCAATAGCAATTATAATTCACACGTGCTTTTCTATCTTCATCCCAATATATCCTCTTATTGGGTGTCTCATTTCTCTAACAGAGGTAAGTTTGCAGTGAACTAAAACAGTGATAAATTTTGTCTGTAGTTTCAAAAGTCTGGTGTGCAGGAGGCAATACATTTGGTTAAAATTTCATTCCACATCACTCACTACATGACTTAAGACTAGTTATGGGCAACCATAGCTGGGCTCAGGAAACTGAACTATTTTGAAAGTTGGAAAATAGGTTATTGTTATTTCTGTTTTTTTAATTTTTTTAATAATTTTTTATTCAATACAAGTTAAAATACATACATATTCACAACAAAAGAAAATACAAAAGAGAAAAACAAATACATCTATCCAAGGAAAAGGAATTAAAGAATATTTTGTCTCTTTTCATATTTACAGTTATTTATACCTCTATAAAATGCTATTCATGATAACATAGTGAAATGAAATGTAAGATATCCGAATAAAGAAAAAGGGAACAAAGAAAGAATAAAAAAGTAAAAGAAAAGATCATATATGAATTTTTTTTTAAAGTAGATAAGCACTCACAATACATAGCCATTTCCCATCTATATTTACATTCAATTGTATAATTTCGTCTTGTCCTTATCTACCTTAAATAAATTGTTTCTTTTGAAAGAAAAAAGAAAAAACAGAAAAAAGAAAAAAAGAAAAGAAAAATAACGACTTCCACCGTTTACCTCACGCGTTTTTAATAATCCCTTTTTCAGAGCCTCTGTTCTTCATATTTTCCCTTTGGGTTTCCTTAATGTCTCACTTTGTATTTTTTATATTACGCACAAGATTATTCTAAACACAACCAGATTTTTGTAGTTGAGCCCTGGTTTTGTAAATAATCATTTAAACACTCCCATTGCTTCATAACCATAGTTTTGGATTTTCTCCTTATTATATCTGTCAATTTTGCTAATTCCAGGTACTCGCAAAGTTTCCCCAACCATTCTCTTTTTGTTGGGATGCTTTCCTCTTTCCAATAGTTAGCAATCAAAATTCTTGCCGCTGTTGTCGCTTATAGAAATAAGTTAATTTTCTCTTTGGGGATATCTTTATCTAAGATTCCTAATAAATATGCCTCTGCCTTTTTTTTATGTGATGTCCTTATCATTTTTTTTATTTTGTCATGGATCATATCCCAAAAGATTTTAATCTTTGGGCAAGTCCACCACATGTGATATAACGTACCTTTTGTTCTGTTACATTTCCAACATTTGTCGTTGTTCCTTTTATTTATTTTTGACAATCTGTCAGGGGTTAGGTACCATCTGTGGTGCATTTTTCTGAAATTCTCCCTTAATAAATCACAAGCAGTAAAATTTATATTTTCCTCCCAAAAAGTTTTCCATCTTTCCAGATCTATCTCATATCCCAAATCGTGCTCCCATTTTAACTTTCCCCTTTCATCTCTTGTTCTAGGGTGGTTTTCGTTAATAGTCTATACATTTTTGCAAGTATTTTTTGATCGCTCTGTAGTATTTCCTTTTCTAATTTTGAGGTTTTATTTTCAAATCCCCCCCTTTTTATGTCTTTTTCATAAGTTGCTTTTAATTGATAATATTGTAACCAATTTATTCTAAATGTTTGTAATTGTTCGTAAGTTTTTAATTTAATATTTCCGTCTGCATCCTCTAATATTTCCCTATACGTTGGCCAAGTCTCTTTTACATTACTCTTTAATGTTGTAGTTGCTTCCACTGGCGAAACCCATTGGGGAGTTTTCTCAATAATTTTTCCTTTTGTTCTTTCCCATACATCCAATAGAGCCTTTCTTACTATGTGGTTTGTAATTTTTTCGTGTTGTTCTTTTTTATCATAGAATAAGTAGCCGTGCCATCCATATATTTTATCCCAGCCCTCTAATGTTAGGACTTCATTATCTTTTAATAATATCCATTTTTTATCCATCACCAACACGCTGCCTCAAAATACTTCCTTAAATCTGGCACTGCGAATCCTCCACTTTCTTTTGGGCCCATCATTACTTCTGATTTTATCCTTGCTTTTTCCCACTGCCATATAAAATTTGCAAGGTCTCTTTGCCAGCTTATAAAATATTTAGTTCCTATTACAATTGGAATCGTTTGGAATAAAAATAGAATTTTGGGGAGTATCATCATTTTAATCATAGATATTCTTCCTCCTAATGATAGTTTTAATTTTCCCCATTTCTCCATGCTTCCTTTAATTTCTTTCCATTTTTTTAATATAATTATCCTTAAATAAATTTGCATTTTTATTTGTAATCCATATCCCTAAGTAGTTCACTTTATTTTCTATTTTTAGTCCTGTTATTTCTTCTAATTCCTTTTTTCCTTTCTCGCCTATATTTTTAGTTATCAATTTCAATTTATCTTTGTTCAATTTGAATCCTGCTACTTCACCAAATTCTTTCATTCTTTCCAATGCTTTATTTATACTTTCTTTTGGTGTTTCAGTTGTAATGATCACATCATCTGCAAATGCTCTTACTTTATAACACTGTGTCCCAAGACATATGCCCTTTATTTCTTCATCCTTTCTCAGAGCTATTAATCGAGTTTCTAATATTGTTATAAATAGGAGTGGGGATAAAGGACATCCCTGTTGCGTCCCTCTCTCGATGTCGAATTCTTCTGTAATTTCATTGTTTAGAATTAATTTAGCTGTTTGTTTTTTGTAGATTGCTTGAATTCCATTCATGAATCTTTTACCTAAATTTAAGCTTTCACATGTTTTGATCATAAATTTCCAAGAGACACTGTCAAATGCCTTTTCAGCGTCTACTGAAAGCATTGAAATTTCTTTACTTGGATTCATTTCGGCATATTCTATTAAGTCTATAATTATTCTAGGGTTGTCCTTTATTTGTCTGGCTGGTAAAAATCCTGCCTGATCTTTTTTAATTATCCTTTTTAGCAGAGTTTTCATTCTATTTGCAAGGACTCCAGTAAATATTTTATAGTCTATATTCAATAAAGATATTGGCCTGTAGTTTTTTATAAGTCTCAAATCTGTACCTTGCTTTGGGATAAGGGTTATTAATGCTTCTTGCCATGAGTTAGGTATTTCTCCTTTGTCTAAAATTTCATTCATAATTAATTGCAATTTTGGTATTATTATTTCCTCTAAATTTTTATAATATGTTACTGAGATTCCGTCTGGTCCAGGCGATTTCCCCTCCTTCATATTTTTAATCACTTTTTAAATTTCTTCAAGTTCAATATTTGAATTTAATATTGCATATTCTTCTTCTATATCTGGTAGTCTATTTTCTGATAGGTATTTTTGAATTTTCTTTTCCTCTTTTAATTCTACTTTATATAATTTTTTGTAATATTTTATAAAACTTTCTTTAATTTGTTTTGGGTCAATGATTTCCTTTTCTTCATCAATAATTCTATTTATTACTCTTTCTACCTGTCTTTCTTTGATAAACCATGCCAGCATCCTACCCGGTTTATTTGCCTGTTCAAAATATCTTTGTTTCGTCCATATAATTTTTTCTCTACTTCCCTATTTATTAAATTTGATAGGTGGGCTTGTAAATTCTTTATTTGTTGGAGGATATCTTCATTCTTTGGGTTTTTCACTAGGTCTTTTTCTTTCTCTCTTATTTGTTTATTTATTTCCATAATATTATTATCTTTATTTCTCCTTATCTTTCCCATTTGTTGTATTACAAACCCTCTCATATAGGCTTTGCTCGCTTCCCAAATCATTTTTTTATCCGTATCCTAATTTTCATTTATTTCATAAAATTCTTTCAATATTTCCTTTGCCCTTTTAACCCTTTGATCATCTCTCCATACCTCCTCGTTCATTCTCCACCTTCCCTTAGTATGATTTTGAAATTTCATTATTACCGATACCGGATTATGATCTGATATCGATCTGTTTAGTATTTCTGCTTTTTCTAAACTTAACATCAGCTTTTTTGTTAGCCATATTGCGTCGATTCGTCCCCCAGATTTTTTTGCCTCTGAGTAATGGGTTATATCTTTAACACTTGGGTTTTTTGTTCTCCAGGCATCATATAAATTAAAATTCTTAATTAAATGGAAAAAGGAGAGTGGTAATCTACCTGAACTTGACGTTTTCTCTCTTTGCGTTCTGTCCATTTCTATCGATGCTACTCCATTAAAATCTCCCATAATTACTATATTTTCATCCACATAATCCCATAATCTCTCTTCAAATTTTCTATAAAATTCATCCTTTTTGTTATTCGGAGCATATATTCCCACCACTATGATTTTTCCTTCTTTCGTTTGTATTTCTACCCCAAGTACTCTACCTTCATCATCTTGGAATAACTTTTGGGATTTCAACATTGTATTTACATAGATGACCACTCCCCTTTTTCTTTCCATTCCAGATGCTATATATTCCTGTCCTAGTCTCGTATTTTTTAACACCCTTACATGAGTTTTGGGTATATGTGTTTCTTGTATACATATGACATCCCATTTTTTCTTCTTTAATATACATTCTAATCGTTTCTCCGAAATTTACTGCTTAATCCATTAATATTCCATGAAATACATTTCAGTCTCATAATCCTTTATTTGTTTAAAATACTCACAACTTTACTGTTATTATGTAGTTATACTCCAGATTATGCTATTGTCCTAAGGTCACGTTGAAAAGGAAATAAAAGTTTTGGTCTTGTCCTTCTTGCTTCACTCTACCAGTTTTTCTCCTCCCAATTCCTCCCAGTACTTCCTCCAGAAGATTTTTGTATCTTCTACTGATCTGAAGGATCTCCTCCTGTCTTTATATGTAAATGACAGTCCCTCTGGGAATTCCCATTTGAACCTTATTTTGTTTTTCTTTAGCGTTGATGTCATGAATCTATAATTGTCTCTCCGCCTCAACAGGCGTGTTGGGATTTTTCTCATAAATTCTACCTGCCTCCCTTCTATACAAAGTGGATCTGTCCTGCCTTGTTGTTATTTCTTGCAAACAACAACTGTTCATATATAGCATTTGATATAGCAATCTGATTTTAGGGGTATTCCAATAAAAGGGTAATTCAGATTGAAATCCACTTTGTGTTGGGATTCAAGGTGTGTGTGTGTGTGTCCTTCCATCCAGCCCTGTTGGCCTCCATCTGTATTGGAATTACTTAAGCTATTTTCTTATTTTGGTGGACGGGGGTGCAATAGTTTGGTTTGTCAAACACAATTCTGATCAAACCAGCTAGTGTATACCCTCTGCTAGTCAGCAGTAGGCTGGTCTTTACAATACCATGGAATATGAGAGGTGCCATATTTACTCAAATGTAATGCACACCATTTCTGGCCAAATTGCACTGTGAAAATTAGGGTGTGTGTTAGATTTGATGGCATATTTGCATTTGCTAGCAAATGCTTTTTTGGTTTCAAGGTTTTGAAATTTGAGGTGCACCTTAGATTCGATTGTGCATTAGATTTGCCTAAATACGGTATTAGATGGCAGTACAAGATAGATGTTCTCATTAGTGACTCCTGACTTTGGAATGCCCTACCCTCTCAGATGCAAGTTGTACCAGCACTGATGGAGTTTCAACACCAGCCTATTCATTCAAGCATTGTACCAAGTGTTGAGTTTCACCTTTTTGATCTAGTTATGTTATGTTAACTAGTTATCTAGTTATTGCTTTTATTTAAGTTGTATTTAAATGAAATCTATTGTTTTTCTTGTATTTTGATGCTCTCTTTGAAACAAGGAAAAGCAGGTTTGTTTGTTGTAAAAATGTATGCTTTTTGATGAGCTTCCTGCAAAAATCAGTCTGTGGAAGAAATAATTCAGATAAATTAATTGTTTCAAAAAGCATTGTAAAACCATTTGAAAGCATTTTCTAAATGGTAATATTATATAAATGAACTCAGAATGACTTGTAGAAATATGAGGGGGGAAATATTGAAATAAGCATTTTCTGTATTGTTAGGTAGCAGAGAAGCTTGGTCGAAATATGGAAAGAAATACAGAAAGGCTATTGGTTTCAACAATAGCGGTAGGCACCATATTTTCCCTTGGCGTAGGAATTTAAGAGATGGGTTGTCTGGATACACTTTTACATGTAATGATAAGGTGTTATTGTTTTTATTTTATTTCATAAAATGTATATATTACTTGCATGGAGAAAACCTCAAAGCGGTTTACAAAAAGGTGTGGGGCAGGTGAGCATGGTTTGGAGAAAGCTGCCTCTTGTGTCATATTTGTTCCCCTGGCCGGTCAAGTTTGATCCATGGGCCAAATGTTTTCCATCACTGATCTATGGGGAAGACATGCCATAATCATGGTCATTAAACTGAGCTTAAAGGGTTCTTTTAGAGTTATTTTGCTAAAACATAGAAGCAAGTGTATGCTGGTGCAACTAGTCTTGCTTCTAACACTAGGTGAAGATCAGCCATTTTTGACGTACTCTTCCTGACCCTCCCACCACTGTGGCATATAAATGATATTGAAGGATGTATAGCACAAGTTGGGTTGAGGCGTCCTACTAATTGCTTAAATAAATACCCGTATTTTTCGCTCTATAAGACGCACCCGACCATAAGATGCACCTGGTTTTTAGAGGAGGAAAACAAGAAAAAAAAAAGATTCTGAATCAAATGTTGTTGAGCAGGCTTTGCGCGGCTATCGCTGAAGCCAGAACAGCAAGAGGGATCACTGCGCAGCAATCCCTCTTCCTGTTCTGGCTTCTGGGATAGCTGCGCAGCCTGCATTCGCTCCATAAGGCGCACACACATTTCCCCTTACTTTTTAGGAGGGGAAAACTGTGTCTTATAAAGCGAAAAATATGGTAAATAGTTGTGGAAACAACCGGCAGATTGTTGCAGAAAGGGAAATGTAATGAAGGTCTTAAGATGCTCCATCACTCTAATTGTATTGTATTATATATTGCTTTGTGATGCCTCACGTGAAGTGTGATACATAAAGTAAATAAATAATATTTTATTTATCTTTGTATTTATATTCTACTTTTTCTTCAAAGAGTTCAAGGCTGCGTACACACTTACTCCCTCCCCCCCCCCTTTATCCTCTCAACAACCCTGTGTGGTAGTTTAGGTTGAGAAGAAATGACTGGCCCAAGGTCACCCAGTGAGCTTCATGGCCAAGTGGAGATTTGAACCCGGGTCTCCCAGGTCATAGTCCCGCACTCTAACCACTACACCACACTGGCTCTATCTTACATTGTTTTGTGGGAAGAGAGTGGAGCAATGTGCAAAGAGGGGGGATGCATCTAGGGTCCTTTGCAAAGGAGAAAATCCATTTTATTTAATGTGCTTATTCCTTTCTTCTCTTTTAGCCCTACTTGCAATGTGTCATTTGGCTCTTCCTTCTACGCTATCTTGAGGTGAAATGTGGAGGCAGATCAATGAGAAATGACCCATTTTTCAGGTTGGTATGCCTCTATTTACGGTACTGAAATTACTACACCAAGCCAGTGTTAGTCAGTAGTGAACTGCAACAAAGTATACACATTAAAAGTCTCTTGGTCCATGGAGAAGTGACCACTTGCTGATGTTTAGGGCTTAAGGGAGGGCTGGAGTTATTACTTAGATAGGCAATACTTTTAGGGACGTTAGTGAAGCAATTGGAGTCCAAGAGTTTGCCCTGGGATCCTTGCAATGCCACAGTTTATTCTGTTCATGATCTAAGAGTTGTGCCCTTGACATCCTTTCTGACACTACTTTATTAGGCAAACTAAAATATCACAGAATAGTGTGTATGCTTTCCTAGTTAGTGGATCAGACAAATATATTGTAGCCATCAGCACCAGAGAGTTTATTTGAACTTTCTCCCAAGTCAAACACTTCAATATGCTTTAGAATGAGAAGGAAAACAAAGCCTTCACACAGCTTCTCAGAACACCCACCCATCGTCCAACCATTTCTTTAGCTGACTGAATATGTGATGATTCTGGCATGAAAGAGCATTCTTCTTATTGCTGCACATAAGAAACTGAATCAGGGATAAATGGGATATTATCAGCGATTGTAGCGTGAATGCTGCCACCTTCTCATTCACCCAATCACTCTTTGATCTAGCAAAATATCTCACTTGTCTATTTTAGGTGTTTTTCTAGCCAATTCTGTCACAAGGTCATATTGGACAGGGAAGTATCAATATGGTTTCATGTAGGTCTACCTGATGGCATTATTTCTGTTAGTTATCTGTTCAGAGGTCCCAATGAGCAGATTTTAAATATATTTCCTTAACTTCAGAACTCCTGCGAAGCTGAAGGCCAGGAAATCGCCAGATGTGCCGTTTGACGAGGATGAGGATGAAGATGTTGTGGCTGAGAGGTTGAGGGTTAAGGAGATGACAACGAGCCAGAGCTGTGAGGAGGTAAATCTTGCTCTTCAGTATCAACCCTGTGAACCTACTGGCACCTGGTCGTATTGTAAGACCTGTATAAGGGGGGGGGGGGTGATGTGCCTTACCTCTCTTATAGTGATAGTCTGTTTCAAAAAGCACAATTTCCAAATCACGAGTTATGCACCTTGTTTAACTAACAATCCCTGGTTAGCAGAAGACGTGCTAAGCTTATGGGAACTGAAAGTAAATGCCCATGAAATCCTTCTCCTGGCTGCACAGGTGAGCATGTGAGGTTGAGGCTTTGCTCAGGCTTGTTTCAACTTAGGCCAGGTATTCAACTTGCACGTAGCAAGAAAGCATGGTTTAGTTTTCCATGTGCATTATTAATTAAGCTCTGTTATCTTTTGTTTCACTAGAAACCGGCCATTTTGGTCAGCAATTTACATAAAGATTATGATGAAAGGACAGATTTTCTTCTCGGAAGAAAAATCAAGAAGGTGGCAACCAATCAGGTCTTTTTTTGTGTAAAAAAAGGTTAGTTGTAAAAATAAATAAGTCAGGAAAATAAAATGCACCATCTCATTAAACAGAACTGCACATTTTACGTGTTTGCCTTTTCTTTTTCCAGGAGAAATTATGGGACTGCTAGGCCCCAATGGAGCTGGGAAGAGCACACTGATTAATATGTTGGTGGGAGAAGTAGAACCAACCTCAGGCCAGGTATTCAAGTGCAACCTGAAGCTGGTGTCCCCCTCTTCCATCCAGAACAGGTTTCATAGCTCAGGTTGTAGTCCTTTTTTTTCAGAGGGTAAAAAATGTTATTTCATGCTGAGGATCCATACTCTTTTCTGGATATTTCTTTCCAGCTGGCATGTAAATACCTAAACCTCAGCTAGATGCCCAAAGAAGATTATGCAAGAGTGGGGTGCCCATTATTGGAAATGTGCATGCATATGAATTTTCAGTGCCTAACTCCTTTTTGGTTTCATAGATAATCTCAGAACTATGAACTGGGGGGGGGTGTCACAAGACCTACTAAAATACATGGTTGAGAGTTGTGAAGAGACTCATGTTTGCTTTGCTTCTAAAGCTAACACTTTTAGAGGGGGTACAATGGGTTTTCTGTTCATATGATATATGGCTTAGATTCAGAAATAGGCACTGGGATGTTGTGACTACCCATAGGAAGGCTATATCCCAGATGGCTCCTGGTATATAAAAGAGTGATCATGTAGTAAAACCAAACCTGAGCATTTCTTGTCATTTTTTTAAAAATTTAACTTTCCATACAATCAACTTTTCTGCATGTTAACTGCAAACTATATGTAAAAATATTGAATAAGGACTGGTATATTCACAGGTGCTGATGGGAGATCATTCTTTAGGCGAAAATAACAAGGATAGCTCCATGAGATTTATGGGATACTGTCCACAGACAAATCCACTTTGGCCTGATATTACATTGCAGGAACATTTTGAAATTTATGGTGCTATCAAAGGAATGAGTGAAAGTAACATGAAAGAATTCATAAAATGGTAAATATATATTTTAAACACTTTGTTTACATTCAGAGAAGTTTCTTCTCTCTTACTTTGGTATAATGTCTCCCTGAAAATGGTTGTTAGCTTCAACTTAAAAACCACACCACACAGATTCTTGTAGATACACAGATATATCTAAGACCTAAATTTGCATCATTTTATTTTTAGGCTGATGAAAGCTGTAGTTCAGATTCTGCTTTCTGTTATGTATCAAAATCTTCTGTGCTAGTTTGAAAGGTAATTTGTAGTCAACAGTCTAAGTTACAGACAAGATTGTCAGGTTGCAAGACTCTTCTGGTCACATCTCTTAAAACACCATTAAAAAAACACTTAAGCTACCTGTGGCATACATCTTGATTATTTCTGTAGGGAAGATCAATCCAGTTAGAACCACAAATAGTGTAAAGTTAACTGGAGATCAAATAATACTAGCTAAAACACAAAATGTCATATGAAGTAATTTACTTGAAAAAGAACTACTGAGCATACGCTAAAGTTCTCTAATACTGGTTTCTTAGAATGTTTAACACTGTATACTTTTGTTTTTCTCCAGCATTTCCCATGCACTTGACCTCAAGGAACATCTACAGAAAAGAGCAAAGGACCTTGGAGTAGGAATCAAACGAAAGGTATTTGATTGTTGTTTTTAAGCTGAATTGCTAAACCAAAAATCCAGGATCAATAAGCCTGGATATGCATGACCACTGTGAATCCACACATTCTTGTTTCATATGAGCGGCAAAACAAACCATTGCTTATTATTGTGTGCAAACCCAGAAACTATGGTTAATCACCAAAGCAAGCCAAAAAACATTGCTTAATAACCTGGCTTCTTTTGAAGCTAGTTTCTAGGTTTGCTCACAATGGAAAGCTGTGCTAACAATCTTGGCTTGTTCTGCCACTGGTAGGAAGGAAGGAGCAAAGTAGTAGGAAATGGGCTGCATGATGATGCACATCACTTGTGTATATTCCAGATTTAAGTCAGGATTTTTGGCTTGGCATTAGTGTTCAAATGCAGCCAATGGTGCATTGTATAATGATCACCCTTCCCTTCTCTTTCAGTTATGCTTTGCTCTTAGTATGCTTGGTAACCCTAATGTTACTCTATTAGATGAGCCATCTACTGGTATGGACCCTGTAGGGATACAGCAGATGTGGTGAGTAACCCCAGATATCATGGAGGCTTTATGTGGAAAGCAATATCACATGTGTGTGTGGCTTATAACCATGCTTTGCTCATTATCTCTCTTCTGCTTCTGAACAGTAGGCTCAGTCTTTTTGCATCTTTACAATATACATATCTTGAAGATACATGCTTAGATAATCTATCCCATATTATTGGCTGCCTTCCTATTAATGCTATAGGTGTATTCATTTATATATATGACAGATGTTAGCAGGGCTAAAACAAACCTTCTCCCCTGAAGAGTTTACGGTCAAAATTGGGTGTGGCATAGGAGAACACTATTAGCTGATCCTTTCCACCCTCTTTGCTGTTTCCTCTTTCATGTTGACCAGGCATAGGCAAACTCGGCCCGCCAGATGTTTTGGGACTAGAACTCCCATTATCCCTAGCTAACAGGACCAGTGGTCAGGGATGATGGGAATCGTAGTCTCAAAACATCTGGAGGGCCGAGTTTGCCTATGCCTGATGTTGACACACAGTAGCTTTGTTCCCACTGGCTGTCCTTTTTCTTTCACAGAACTTCCATGGCACCAGCTGCATGTCACGACTAAGCGCTCATCCAGACTGCCTTTTGTGCCATGTTTCTAAGGCATGGGTTTAAAGCTCTGAGCGTGTCCTGGCGCTTTCCCCAGGAAAGCCTGCATTTCACCGCTGAATCAGAACAAAGGGCAACTGGGTTTTCCGTGAATTGCCATTTGCTCCGATTCAGCAGTAAAATGTTGGCTTTCCCAGGGAAAGCACCAGGACAAAAAACAAAGCAAAACGCTAAGACATGGGCCTTTAAAAGGCAGGCCTATATCTGGAAAGTGCAACATAACAGGAAGTCTGGATGATCCCTAAATGTAAGAGGGAATGTGAGGAGAGAATGCATTTGGTGGCTACTCACAGTATACCACTGCCTGTACATTTCCCACTCACTTGCGTAAGAGCCAACAAAAGATCTTATGCCCTTTATATGTAACTGCACACCGAAAGAGCAACAATTTATAACTTATTCACCATAGGAAAGCAATTCGGGCAGCCTTAAAAAGTAAGGAGAGAGCAGCTATTCTGACAACTCATTATATGGAAGAAGCAGAGGCTGTGTGTGATCGAGTCGCAATCTTGGTGTCTGGAAAATTAAGGTACTTCCTTGGCATCTTGAGTGAAGAAGCTCAGATTTTTATTGTTAAAAACGAATTTAATGCCAAAATCTATTATTTTGTTTGCCTGTCTCTCTCCCCCAAAACTGATAGGTGCATTGGTACAGTTCAACATCTCAAGAGTAAATTTGGCAAAGGATATTTCTTAGAAATGAAATTAAGAGAAGTGCCGGATTTACAGCAGAAGGAGCGTCTTCAAAGGATGGTTTTGCGCATCTTTCCAAACGCAAGTTGCCAGAAAAGGTAGAAATCAATAGTTGACGTTTCTGAGCATTAAAAAGAAAAAGTGCTTACCATTCTTTTTTCAAGCAATCATTTTAAAAATAAAAGCAGAGAGAAAATATTACAATTATAAGAAAAGAAAACACTATTGCCAAAATGTATTAGTTTTCTATGAGAGCTCTTGTACACTTTGGGCTTTGAGTAATGCTTACTAGAGAAACATACCTTATAGACCAGAGGTTCTGGAAATGTGGTCCAAGGTCCACCAAAGCAACTGGCATAGTAAAGCAACCAGCATTCTCCTTGTCTATTTTGCTATCATTTACCGAGCCATAGCTGCAGAAGGCAGGAAGCTGCCATTCCTGTCAGCATTTGCTGTGTCAAGGATCTGTCCAAGCATGGAGTTAATTACCCCCCACCCGCTTCAGCTTGGCTGAATCACTCATTATTATTTTCTTGATGTGATGGGAGCAGAGAGGTGCACATCTAAGACTGCTGCTGATTTAAGTCTCTCCTCATAGTGTTCAAGTGAAAGAACCCTGAATTACAGTGGTACCTTGAGTTACAAACTCTGCTAATCTGGAAGAGTTACCTCGAGTTGAGAACTTTGCCCCAGGATGAGAACGGAAATCGTGTGCCAGCAGCAAGAGGCCCCATTAAGAACAGTTTCAGGTTAAGAACGGACCTCCGGAATGAATTAAGTTCGTAACTAGAGGTACCACTGTATTGCTATGGTTAATCAACACATTTTCATTCTCAAAATAGATGGAACTTGGTACATGGAAGGTTTCATCAGTGAATGCTTTGGCAACTAGGCAAGCACCTTGAATGCCTCCCTCTCGTATCATCTAAATACCTTCCTATTAGATAAAACCTCTAGTTTGATTCAGAGTTATTGTACCTGTTTGGCTACATTGTACAAAATGCTTAACTCCTGCAACTTTACTCCAAGCAATTTTGTGATTCTCATTTCTGCTTAGTTGTGGTGGTATGTACTTGTGTCTGTTTTTTGTGTGTTGCAGCATTGCCTCTGTTTTGGCTTACAAAATCCCAAAGGAAGATGTCCACTCGCTTGCAGTATCTTTTTCTAAACTGGAGGAAGGTGAGGCAACAATTTACTAAGTAGAATCTTCATCACTGGATTCTAAGTTATCTATCCAAATCTCATAGTAATCTGAATTCACCCTGCCAAACTCCCACATTGTCCCCAAACACTATGTAAACAACACATTCCTTTATCCAAACGTTAGATTACCTACAAGCTTTTATCATCTCCCAGGCCATTTGCCTTGGTGCATGTGTCACCTTCTTCCCTTGCTTTTGTGAGGCATAGTAAAGTCAGAGCATTTTAAAGAGGCACAGGATTGTCTCCTGAGAAATAAACTTGCCATTCCCTTAGAGCCACAAGGTATGTTTGACAGGCTGCAGTGTCCTTAAACATTTAAATCCACTGCACTACAACTTGACAGTGGCTTTCCCATTGAGGACAGCTGGGTTCCTGCACCCTGTTATGGCCACTTCTGGCCATACTGATTTTAGTTGATTGTGTGTATGTATTCTTTTGATGCCTATGATTGTAAATACTTCTTTTTAACATTTCTAACAGCAAGACATGCTTTTAATATTGAAGAGTACAGCTTTTCTCAAGCAACACTGGAACAGGTAATTTAACCGTTTTTCAGGAACAGAGCATGCCAGCCCTAGAAAATAAGTTTGAAATGCGGTGTCTCCATTTACATTTCTTATATAAAATTGTCATTTTATAATTCATAAATTAGTTACATACCTAATTATGTTTTGTCACATAGTGGGGGGTGTCGTCGGGAATTGATCCCCCAGAAGAAAAACCTCTATGTTTACATGTACAGATTATTTGTAGTATAGCACTGTTGACTGGTGGAGATTTAGAAACCTATACTAGCTTAGAGCACTATTCTGCCTATAGGACTAGGCAGAATCCATGTATTAATTCATGTTTCTTATTCATTTTAGGTATTTATGGAACTTGTCAAAGAGCAAGAAGAGGAAGAGAGCAATTTTGGAACCCTAAATGGAACAATTAGTTGGGAAAGATCCCAGGGGGAGAGAGTTATTTTCTGATTTGTTTCACATTGCAGAAATTCAAGAGCTTCGCTTGTCAGGGTTTTTGCTAAATATTTGTTTGCTGTGGCTCTAGAGAACAAATATCTTACAGAGCCTATTCCTGAGCAATTGAGTAAACCTTCTTTGCCTTATGAAATATTATGAAATGCCTTTATTTTTGAATACTCTTACTACTATTCGAAGACTTGCTTCTTTTTTAAAAAAGTAATAATGAAAACCTCTATGATTTTATCCTTTTGTTTTGTTCTGTAGTAATGGTGGAAAGAGGGCAATGTACTTAATATATTGTTTGGGGGCAATTTATTTTTCAAAAAACTCATTAGCTTTATGGGAAGGACCATGGCTGGGCCCCAGTGAACTCTTTCTAACCCACTAAATTTAAGCTTCAGGTAAGACCAATCGTCCTATTTCAGTGGGTTAAGGAAGGGTTAACTGAGTTGGGACTTACCACAGCGATTCCCAACTGCAGTGTGAATACTAAAGAACCTGATGCAACACTGTGCTTGCATCAGCTGAAGAATACACGTCCAGTCTGTGGTGCCTAGGGAAGATGATCATGTTGCCATTTTACAAATATCCAGCAATGATGTGTTCACAGCAAAGGCAGCATTAGCTGCTGCTGACCTAATTGAGTGAGCATGAACCTTTGTTTGCTAGGGTCTGTGTTGAATTGCTTGTTAACTCTTTATTGCACTACAGTACTTCAAAAAAAGCAATTGCACTTCCAGAAATCCCCTCATCTCAGTCAAAAAACAATGGGAGCACAATATGGGTTATGAAATAAACACTGCCCAATGGACTAAACTGTGGTCTAAACCTCCCTTTAAATCCATATCAGCCAAAAGAAGGCAACTCACACTGAAACTTATCTCTAGAGGGTACCTAACAACCCAAAAGGTGGTGCTGACACACCCAGGAACCCCACCAAAATGCTGGAGCGGTTGCACCCTTTTGGACATCAGTCCTACAAGAAATAGGCAAAATAACAAAACAGGTACTAGAAGCCACCCAAGAACTGGCCCTACTGAATATTTTCCAAGACAATAGGCACATTCACACTACAAAGAACTCATAACCCACCTATGCTCAGCAGCCAGGATCATCATAACTAGACACTGGAGGTGACCTTCAGGAGTAAACACAAGCCACTGGGACCAAACTGTCTGGGAAAACCTAAGTAACACATTGAAACTAGCATGGGGACAAACAAAAGAGGATGCCTTCACCCTATTGTGCCTCTCCTTTATTACATACAAAGCCCAACAAGACAAGAACCCACCGACTGCATATGAATCAATATGACTAACTTGACCTAACAACCCCTGCCCCTCACCCATGCAAACAAAACTCACTGCAGTCAACTGAAGGCAATCCCAATCTCCCTCACCGCCAGTGAAGATGTATGAATAGAAAGAGAATCTACCCATGTGACACTGACACAAAACCTTGCACATAACACACTGTAAAATAATGAACATTTAATACTCTCTTCTCTCCCCCCCTTCTCCCCCAACCTTTTATTGACTAAAACATTAGCATCTCATGTCGAATATGACTGATCTGTAGAAAGGACTCTGAACTGAAAACAGATGCTGTTTGTAGTCATGTAACCCAATAAAAATTAATTAAAAAAAAAGCAATTGCACTTCAGAATTAGTGACAAGGCATTTATGGCATTGTTCTAGCTCCCCCTTTTGGGTTACATGTTCTGAACAACAGTCACATTATCTAGAATAGATCTGGTCAGATGGGTATAGTCAGCATTTCATGAGCTCGAAATAAGTATTTTGCCTGCAGCCAATCACTTTAAGCCATTATGAATTACATTCAGTAATGTCAAAATACATTTCAATATATGTGTAATGTGGTATAAGACTACCAATGCTCCATTTTGTTTTGGATGGTTTAAACCATTACCATTGCAAGTTGCAAAGAACCCTGTATACTGCATGCATGCATACGTCCATTTGTTTAAATGGGTTTCTCTCACTTCTTCAAATGCAAATTGTAAAGGCAACATGACTAAATCACTTTATACAGCATATTAAAGCGTTGCATTATCTTTTGCCATTTTTAATGTCAACACACAAGGTGTACTACATGTTTGACAGACTTAACTTTTCGTGTTCCGTTTTCAAGGTCTTTACAATTTGTAGCAGCACACCCCAGTTCTAATGTTTTGATAACCATGGAAAGCAATGAATCTGTTCCATTGGCCACTGGAATAACAAAATAGAGGAATAAACATTTATATGATAAAGTCATAGTTGCATGTAATCAATTTAGGATTAGGTTGTAAAGAGAATAAAGTGGAGATCATATTATCACACCCCCATGAGAAACTGAATTTGAATGAAAGCCATACCTTATATCTCTACTTATGAAATTAAAGATGTTCCAGCCACTGATGCACTCTATAGTTTGATGGTTAAATTGTGGGTTCTAGCAGATTTGCATTTGTTTTAACATGCATGCTTCCGGCAGACTTGCACAGATGTAGGGTGACACCGTGCTGGCTTCATGATGGTAGTGCTAACAAATCTTCCATCCAATCTTCCATTTTGGTTTTTTTATTATTACTTTAAAAAATGTAGTACTTGCAGTTTACAAAAGAAAGATTACTGCTAGGAGCTGCTTATCTGGAAACAATCTTAGAGAAAGTATTGCCACTTTAGTTTACATACATCATTTTACTTCAATCTCTAACAATATAAACCCATGAACAACAGCACCAGAAACAGAAATTATGCTCCGTTACAAGTCTTGATCAACTGACGGACGTAACTTAGTACAATTTTCACAAATATATGTTCTGCAAATGCAAATATAATTTTTTTCAGATAAAATAAAAATATAATAATCTAGACCTCTTTATGCTTTGGCATTACAGATTAGTAAAGCATTCTTCAGCCTTAGCTATCTTTCACTCCCTCCTTTCCTTATGGTTTCTAATATCTATGTAAAGCGAGGTACTGTATTAGGTAGTTACAATTCATGAATCTTGTGGGGAATGTGCAACCCGTTAATTTTCCTACCAGCTTCATACAGCTTTGATCCAAAAAGAATATGTGCAGAGCAGCTTGTCTGTGCCTGGAAATGTTAAATAGTAGAGGAGCATCTTTCATTCATGCAACCCTTCAGTTCTCTGAAGCTTATGGAGAGAAAAAGGAAAGCTTAGAATCGGAAGCAAATAATTTTCTAGAAAGTGCTTCTGGTGAAAGAAGGAAGCATGAGATGGTTGGATTTTAAATGGCATATTATTGAAATGAAGTTCTATGGGTTGATGCAGCTAATTGTGTCCACAGTTACTATTTTACATACTGTATGAGAAGACGATACACTACAACAGTGTTAGATATTACTATGAAGTGTGAATAAGTAATGTTTATTTGAATTAAGTTTTAATGGATGTTGGGTAATGTGTTCTGACATTTGTACTACATTGTGATGCATTTGACATGGGAAGTTTTCTGTCTGCTCCTGTGGAAGTTAGTCTACCTGCCGCTAGGGGCCTTAACTAACAGCTGCGATAATTTCCGAATTTTCAGTTTGGCACCATTGGCTGGAGCTGGACTAGAGGGGCCAGAAAAAAGTACATATTTAGCCAGGTGCTGGTTAGTTGGCGACAGCTGGACTTGTTGGTGCTTGGTGTCATGGAGTCAGCCAGAAGAAGACAGCAGAGGAAGAGCAGCAGTGAAAAATAAGGAAGGCCTGGGTGGAGTGGCTTGTGGGAAAAGACTTGCTGGGGATAGCTGAATCACAAAGGCATTTACCCTTTTCCAACCTGATAAATATGCCAAACAGTACAATTTTATGTGCTAAGCTATACATAATGCATTTTATGGTTTTAAAGTAGTAAATTAAGCTGAGATGATATAAGAATTATGTACTGCATATATTTCAATTCACACCCCCCCCCCAAAAAAAATCAAAACTTTTTTTCTGGAAAACAAATAAAAAAATTCCAGGGTATGGACATGTCCAGAAATGGTACATTTCATTCTCTACATATGACCAATATGGGTTTTGGTCACACAGAGCTACAGTGGTATCTCGCAAGACGAATGCCTCGCAAGACAAAAAACTCACTAGACGAAAGGGTTTTTTGTTTTTTGAGCTGCTTCGCAAGACGATTTTCCCTATGGGCTTGCTTCGCAAGACGGAAACGTCTTGCAAGTTTGTTTCCTTTTTCTTAACACCGTTAATACAGTTGCGACTTGACTTCGAGGAGCAACTCATAGAACTCGGTGTGGTAGCCTTTTTTGAGGTTTTTAAAGACTTTGGTGATTTTTGAAACTTTTCCAAAACTTTCCCGACACCGTGCTTCGCAAGACGAAAAAAATCGCAAGATGACAAAACTCGCGGAACGAATTAATTTCGTCTTGCGAGGCACCACTGTATATGTAAAGTCCTCCCGTCAAAAGACTGGACTCCAGTCTCACATGCCAAAGGAGACACAACATTATTCAGAGACGGGCTGCTAGATCCTTCTTATATCCTTCTTGTTTCAAGGGACCAGCACTTACTCCTGTAAGCATCAGTTTCATGTCCAGGTTGCGAACAACTTAAACATCAGCCTGCTGCAGCTGTTGCCATTCAAAGGCTGTGCTCGGGGACGGATCGAAACAATCACGTTCCTGCTCTTTGACAAGTTCTAGGAAAACCTGCACAATACAGTAAAAAAAAGGGGGTTTCTTCAGCTAAGTAGTGCTTGAAATATATCACATTCCTTTTCTTTGGATCATTCTGATGAAAATGAAGATAATTAAATCAATCCTATTATGTACAGATGTGACCTAAATCTGTCGTCTTTTTTAAAGGAGGGACCCTACTCCATCATGTCAGTTGCCATTTCCTTCCAATATGACAAATTAATAGCAGTCTAAATCCAGAATGTGTGTCTAACTGCTCAAAAATTGTAAGCTGAACATTTTCTTTAAAAAACCCACCCTGATGAACTCCATATTTTTTTAGCTAATCCAAGAACTCAAAATACAACAACAAAAACACTCCATGCATCTCCAAGGAAGTGGGGAAATCTTTCTACTGTCTGTACACAAACTAATGATCATGATAAGGAAAAGATGCTACAGGGAGAAAATCAAGGGTAAAAAAACAACACCCTTATTCAGGACCTGCAAGAAACAGCTAACTCGCTCCATGGGCTGGTTTCTCCCCTTTTTGTTTACAATGGAATCACATAGCTACACAATATATAAAGCAGAAGAAACCAAGGAATTCACCTGTGGGTGCATTGCAGGCTCCTACCCACCTCCCAGTTCTTCCCAGGAAGAATCTCCATTTCCCCCTGTTTAGTATGTCAGAGCAATGCCATTCCACTGACTCCAGTAGGGGCAATCTGAGAGGCCAGGGAAGCTAGCAATATTTTAAGCTGAGTGGGCAGAAAAATCTCCTCTGCTGAGGTTTTAAGGGTGACCCTTTGCCTTGCCCCAGTTCTTTTCAGAGCCAGGCTCAGGAGAACTTCACCAGATCCCTAAAAGTGGTTTTGCAGAAAATTCCCAATTGGATAGATAATCCTTAGTTCTGCATGCAGAGATCCAGCACTGGCTGGGGAGGCACTTGCTAAGCTCTCTTGGCACCATAGCTGTCAACTTTCAGATTTGAAAATAAGGGATCAGCAGCCTCACCTGTCCCGGGGACAGTCTACAGGATATCTAACAATCTGGGATAGCAGCGGGAAACGGCGCTGGAATAAGGGAATTTCCCGCAAAGAAAGGGAAGGTTGACAGCTATGCTTGGCACTACTTTTCCAATCCAGCAGAGGAAGCCCACGAGGAAGCCAAATTGTGGTGAATGCAGCGCTACAAATCCCACCATGCAATTATATTTGAAAATCACATTACCTGCTCCAAGGTGTTCAAAGAAAAGCTGTACTCCTCAAAGCTGAAGCTTCGTTTAGCTGTGTGGATAAAAAGCCAATTATGTTTGGTTGACCCAAATCAGCTTGATAGGTTCTTTTCATGGGAATGACTGAATTTCAGTGCCAGAGCATCTGCTTTTTATGTAGAAGGTTCTTTCTGGGTTACTGGAGAACCTTTGCCAGTCAGCAAAGACAATGCTATGATAGATGGACCCGATGGTCTGACTGTGCATAAGGCAGCTTTCTATGTTCCCATGATGCACCTTGCACCTTCATTCATGCAAGATGCACTTCCGTCTCTTCAACACCCCAGATGTCTGAGGATGCAGCATTTGAAGCAAGAGCACACAAACATGTAGAAAATAAATAAATAAATAAATAAATAAATAAATAAATAATAATTTATTTATACCCCGCCCATCTGGCTGGGTTTCCCCAGCCACTCTGGGTGGCTTCCAACAGAATATTAAAATACAATAGTCCATCAAACATTAAAAGCTTCCCTAAACAGGGCTGCCTTCAGATGTCTTCTAAAAGTCTGGTAGTTGTTGTTCTCTTTGACATCTGGTGGGAGGGTGGGTGCCACTACTGAGAAGGCCCTCTGCTTGGTTCCCTGTAACTTGGCTTATCACAGCGAGGGAACCTCTGGGATACAATATGCCTCTACATTCCCTCAATGTGCTGGGTGTTACACATCTTTCTAGAGGTAGGAAAGGCCTACCTAGTGAGTCAGAAGGAGGGATCCTCTCCACTGTGCGTAGAGGGAAGGAAAGGGGGCAATACCTAAATCAGGTGGGCATTAAAATATCTTCCACAAACAACTGCACAGTCTGTCTGTACGTACCTTCCTCTAACATGGAGAAGGCCTTTGATAGAGGCAGTGCGTCTTCCATTGGGATCTTGTAGGCCAACAAAGTGGATATCCTAAGGGGAGGGAAATCAACTCAGTCACCAGAATGGCTTTGATCCAAATGGAGTAAGTGCAGTGCAAGCAGTCTGCGTGTACACAGCCCTGGTTAAAAAAACCAAAGTCCAGTATGGGGGAATGGGGGGAGTTGAATCTAGCATGCGCACACACATGCGTGCGCGCGCGCGCACACACACACACACACAGGAGAGAAACTTTTCCTGCTGAGCAACAAGACTAGATTTTAAAAGGGTCTCCTTGTGCACAGCCTTGGCTGTTGGCAGCAGCGTGCTTTGGACTCTCAAATTTCAACAGCACCCTGTGCAGCACTAAAATTCGGCACACCCCCACCTCTCTCACTCTATTCTACAGCCTTCTGGTGCTTCCTGGGGCAGTGCACAGTGCAATCACAATGGTTGCACGCCACCCTAAAACCGCCTCTGCTGTTGGTTTCAAAAGGGAGGCACACGTGAGTTTCCTCATCCACCTATGGATCGAAACAGAAGCCACCTGAAATGGGGAGTGTGGGGCCGTCTCCAGAAATAACACCTGCTCAGTATGTGGCAGGTCCACGTGCTGGTTCATCATTGGGGCCTAGAAGGCTGGGGGACAGGAAGAAGCAGAAGGGCATTCTGTCCCCATCATGTTCATCTGGCCCATTACCAAAAGCTCAAGGAGGGTAAGTAAGAGGGTATACAAGAACATAAACTATAAAGGTAAAGGGACCCCTGACCATTAGGTCCAGTCGTGACCAACTCTGGGGTTGCAGCACTCATCTCGCTTTACTGGCCGAGGGAGCCGGCGTACAGCTTCCGGGTCATGTGGCCAGCAAGACTGGTGAACCAGAGCAGCGCACGGAAATGCCGTTTACCTTCCCGCCGGAGCGATATCTATTTATCTACTTGCACTTTGATGTGCTTTCAAACTGCTAGGTTGGCATGAGCAGGGATCGAGCAACGGGAGCTCACCCTGTCGCGGGGATTCAAACTGCCGACCTTCTGATCGGCAAGTCCTAGGCTCTGTGGTTTAACCCACAGCGCCACCCGTGTCCCTCTGAACATAAACTATAGTAACCAAAATAATTCAGGAAATTGTGTGTCAAGCTGCAGGAAAAACACCAGTTACCTTTCTTGACGAGCTGCGTGTGGGAAGATCTGTAGAATATGAGTATTCAGAAGCTCTCCGTGGTCCACGCCCTTAACTTTTATTTGGAGCAAATAATTTTTGCCAAATTTGCTTTTCAGATACTGAATAGAACCAAGACACCTGCAGAAGGAAGGAATCAGCATTTGTGACATTTGGATTTGGTTATTGAAGATAATGTTTTGTTATAGAAAATGGTTTTGTTGAGGGTTATATTGGAGTGGATGAAGTTATTATTGTTTATATATAGCGGACAGATGAAGAATGGGAAATTCTTTAGTTTCTGAACTTTATCTTTTCGTCTTTCTTTCTTTCTTGCTATGTTTTTATCTTATTTTGATCAATGCTGATAAAAAAGATATTTGATATTAAGTTTTGCATTTTTCTTTATAAACTCTAATAAAATTTGTTTTAAAAACACACTTTAGACAGTTATTGTCAAAAACGTAACAAATTATAAGTTGAACATGGCGCGCTTCAGAATCAGAAGAATCTTTATTTGCATCAGCCACTAGCCATAGCAATAAAATAAAATATAGTGTACTGAAGATAGAGGTAAAAACTTAAGTATACAGCAAGCTTCTTATGAGAAGGTGGAAAAAGAATAAGAAGAATATTTCGCCCCATCAACACATCAGCTGTTTATGGTATCCTAATATGCTGGAAAACAAAATGCAAGTTGAAGCTCACCTGAGCTGTCCAGTCACCATGATGGCTACTCTGTCACACACTGCCTCAGCTTCTTCCATGTGGTGAGTTGTCAAAATGGCTCCTTGGTCTTTGTCCTTCAGCGCAGTGAGGATTGCTTTCCTGCAGTCAACATAAGATTTACTAGGGTGGGGTATGGTTGAAGGAGCCGTAAACGGCCTGTTCCTAGCAGACATTATTGTCTGGTACAGTGGTACCTCGGGTTAAGTACTTAATTCGTTCCAGAGGTCCACACTTAACCTGAAACTGTTCTTAACCTGAATCACCACTTTAGATAATGGGGCCTCCTCCTGCCACCGCGCCACCAGAGCACGATTTCTGTTCTCATCCTGAAGCAAAGTTCTTAACCTGAGGTACTATTTCTGGGTTAGCGGAGTCTGTAACCTGAAGCATATGTAACCTGAAGCATATGTAACCTGAGGTACCACTGTATTTCAAAAAAACACTGAACAAATTCACAATATTTACTCGGATTCCTAAATGCAAGTACATCATTATAAGTATACATTTTGTTTTGAGTGATATGCTATTATGTATTGCAAATTCACAAACCTGGTTTGAGATATTAAGTGTATGAGTCACTCACCACACTTGGCGCTTTCCTTTAGGATCCATTCCTGCTGTTGGTTCATCTAATAGCATCACTGCAGGATTACTCAGCATGCTCAGGGCAAAGCATAACTAAAATGAAGGAAACAATAATAACCATTTAAAGTTGCTTCAAACATTTGATAGGATATAATTTTTTGGGGGGGGGAGTAAGTACAAATACAACTAATAATATTTGCAGAGGGTTCTGGACGACAGATGAGTCTGTGGTGACAGTTGCCCAGGTGCAGAAACCCAGAAAATTATCAATATGTGAGTGAGAACTAGTGATTGTAAGAAGGCATTGTTTTCTCTTCCAAACACTGATTCTATTGTGCTGTAGTTTCTCTTCTGCCCAAACTGCATTATCTGTCTCACAGTCCACTGTGGCAAAATTATTCGTTTCAGTGCAAAGGAAGCAACGGGGGAAAGAATAATGAATTATGTATTGTTTGTGGACTGAAACAACAACAGTAAATGCAAAACAAAGTGGTACATGCTGGGTTCATTTCCATTTCAGAAACAGGATGGATAAACAAGCATTGGCAATTTCTGCTCTCATTACCGCTTTTGTCAGAATTCTCCAACGTCCCTAGCGAGACCAAACTAAAACATGCCGAATGCTCGGACAGGCAAATAAGCCAATAAGAGATTTTGATAATACATTTCATCTAGGAACCCTTTTTCCTTGAAGAAACTGAGGTTGGTGGGCAAGCAAGGCAATTAGGACTTCCAACGATAATTTTCAGTCCCAAAGTTTTGAATGGACACACCCTGGTAAGACTGCAACATATTTAGAGCAGAAGGTCTGTTAAGAACTAAGGTGTGGATATGTTGTTTAAATTATCGAGACAGCAATCTGCACCATGGACTACATTGTTCTGTGTGGGCAAGGAGGAAAATAGGCAGTGCAGTGGCAAAGAACTAGCGCTGACTGAGCAACAAACCCAAGTACCTTGTGATGCCGCTTGGTCTCTATCCATTAGCCAACATTAAATATTTGGCAACCGGTTCAAGAAACTAACAAAACACAGAACTTACTTTCCTTCTCAGTCCAGCAGGTAATGCCTTAGCTGCCGTTTTCAAATAGTCCTGGAGTTCTAGAGCTTGAACTATTCTGAAAGAAAGGGCAGAAGAAATGAAACGACATCTGGAGTATTCTAGAATGGATCTCTTTTGCATAAGAATTACAGGGGAGGTTGCAAGTGAATCTCAGGGATGCTGTTATGATACTGGATGGAGATAAACCACATGTGCTATTTGCCAGTGTAAGAACTTAATGCTAACTGCCCACCTCCCAAGGAGAAACGTCAATGCTAAAAACAATTAGCTTTCAAAGTCCAACGATTCTGTCAAGTATAGAATGTGGGGCTTTGCACTCAGTAGCCCAAAAACTAAGAGATAGGAAGTGTACCATGAAAACAGGATCTTTTGCTGCCCTTACCGACTGATAGCAACACCAGCTGAGTCTTTCTGCATCCCTTTCACAGCTGCATTAATCTCCAGATGTTCTTTCATGGTCAGGCTGGGCCAGAGGGCATCCTCTTGGGGACAGTAGCCAAGAAAACCGACAGCATTTTCTTCCGTTGCAGCTGCATCAGCTCCTTTCATCAGGACCTGTCCAAAATATTGTGGCTCCATTTAAATTTGTCCAACATGAGTCATCTTTTTATGGGGCTATCTGTTTAGCCCATTTTAGTGTTGGCTAAGTTTTAAAATCTTCCTGGATGGTTTTAACTGTGTACTGACAAAATGTACTTTTTTCTGACTGACGGTCGAATAAAAAGGATGATGATGATGATGAGTCATCTTTTGAAATATAAAAGTCCTATCTAGGAAATTAAAGGCCAGCCCTCAATCTTCTACCTCCTATGCAAAAATCCCTCCCTGTTCCTAGTCCTAGATGGGAATCTGCTATTGATGCTATTGCCATACTACACTTTGTAATGCATTGAAGTTGACTTTTGCAGTGATGGTGCACCTGTTCATGAAAAAGAAGAGTACATTTTAGTGCTCACACCTACCTGTCCAGCTGTTGGATCTGTGTCTCCTGTTATCATATTCATTGTTGTACTTTTACCAGCTCCATTGGGTCCAAGTAGCCCCAAAATTTCTCCTAGAACAACACACATACTCACACTTTGGTAAGGATACTACACATTACCCCAGCAAATAAAATAAAATAATAAAATAAAAGAATTTATTATTTATACCCTGCCTATCTGGCTGAGTTTCCCCAGCCACTCTGGGCGGCTCCTAATAGAATATTAAATACACGATAAATACATTGAACATTAAAAAATTCCCTAAACAGGGCTGCCTTCAGATGTCTTCTATCTCCTTGACATCTGTAGGCAGGGCCTTCCACAGTGAGGGTACCACTACTCAGAAGGCCCTCTGCCTGGTTCCCTGTAACTTCACTTCTCACAGTGAAGGAATCAGCAAAAGACTCTTGGAGGAGGACCTCAGTGTCCAGACTGAATGATGTGGGTGGAGACGCTCCTTCGGGTATCCTGGGTCGAGGCCATTTAGGGCTTTAAAGGTCAGCACCAACACTTTGAATTGTGCTCGGAAATGTACTGGGAGGCAATGAAGGTCTTTCAGGACCGGTGTTATATGGTCTCAGATAGCTATATTCATAAGAAATATTGCACTCTCAGTTGCCTCAGTCATCTTCCCAGGGACTACTCAAAGTCTTACAATTGGATATGATCATTAGACTAAGGCTGCAACTTTAAACTTTCAGGACTTGCATCTGAGTAAACATGCATAGTACAACACATCACTATCTAAGCAATTTAGGTTCCCTATAATTATTTTAGACTCTAGAGAAATGTGTTTTTTAATGTTGATTTTTGATATAGTAAAAAAACTTACACAAAACTTAAAATAACTTAAGTAATTTTAAACAGCCTGATTCCCTGGGAGCAACAAATGCCCTTCTTCTATAAGCTCTGCTTAGTTTTAACTTTCTGCAACAGCGAAGAAAATTTTCCTGGGTACAATGGAGAGAAAAGTGGCAAATCACCCCACTATTTCCAAAGCCCTGCCGGCTTGCATCAGCCGGTCTGGGAGTACCTTCCACTGAAACCAATACAGTGGTACCTCAGGTTAATTACTTAATTCGTTCCGGAGGTCTGTTCTTAACCTGAAACTGTTCTTAACCTGAAGCACCACTTTAGCTAATGGGGCCTCCTGCGGCTGCTGCGCTGCCAGAGCACAATTTCTGTTCTCATCCTGAAGCAAAGTTCTTAACCCGAGGTACTATTTCTGGGTTAGCAGAGTCTGTAACCTGAAGCATCTGTAACCCAAGGTACCACCGTAGTGATGAAATTACCCAACCCATCTCCAAGCTGCCATTGGTAACAAGCCCGATCCTGGGTCCCATCTAGGAAGAAGAGGGTCTTTTGGGTTCAGTAGATTCAAGTCTGGCTCTGCTTCTGGCTTTCCCCAGGAACACCGCCTTTCTGGGGCTACTGCCAGGAAAAATGCTGCAACTAGTAGATCAATGGCAACGAAACTTTCAGCAGCAGCTGTGGCCCCATGCCACCAAAGGGGCACCTGCACCACATCAGAACCCAACCCACCAAGCAGCCAGCAGATCTGGGGTTTAGGATTGGTCTGCCCCTATACTGATCCCTTTCCTTCCTATCTGAGTCACTTACAATATATTCAAATGTCAAGCATCCCCCAAAATGACTACAAAGTAAAAGTTATGCTTTTCCTTGGTCAAGCTGTAACAGTAATTTTCCATTGCCAGCAAACCTTTTTTAACACAGAAGGAGACACTTTTGGTGGCCACTTTCCCCAGCGTCTTGCTTTTCTTGCCACAGGAACAAGCCTTCTCACTTCTGTATTCTTTGCGCAAGTTGCTGACTAGGATAACTGGTCTCTAAATAGGAGCAGAAGAGAGAAGCTTGCTTACAGCACATATACATACATAGCTATACCTTTGGTTTAAGTGGGTCAAAGCAAGAGCCATGGAAGACATTCTGCTTCAGACAGAAACATAGGAAGAAGCTGACTTATAACAAGCCAGGCTATTTGTCTATTTACTCTCTGGCTGGTGGCAGTACCCCAAGATATCAGACAGAGGATTTCCATGCCCTTTACCTGACTCTGAAGCCTTCCTCTATGCAAGCATGAGCTCTATCAGTGAACTGTGGTCCCACTCCAAAGCTAAATGCCTCAAGTATACATCATCAGATAGTGCTAACTGTGCCAGCATCCCAACCACACACCTGTGCAAACAACTGTCAAAACTGTGGCATATTAAGAAACCAGGTAAAGATGATGGAAGAAAAGACGATGCTTCAAATTATTGTTAGGTCAAGTAAGTCACCTTAACATTAATATGTTAATATTAATAAGCCAAGACAGTGGTTCGCAATTGGTGGTCTGCATAACCATTCTCATAACAAAAGCTACTGTAGAGATATCAACATTTTCAAAAGTATGGGGGTGCATGGCTTGGCTTTTGAAAAACAGGGTATCTGCAGTACTTAGTTTTCCAGCACTTAAGGTACTGACACTCTTCTTCCGGACACTAATATCTCATCCCTACATAGAGCTCTGTTTATCTAGGAGGCCTCAGTCCTTTTCTCTTAGCATCTCTTCCTCCACTTTTTCCAGCTTTTATAAGAAGTACCCGTGGAGTGCCAAAAATGTTAGGTGTTTAAGCCATAAAAGCTTGTTTTCCAAGGTGACTGTAAGCAGGAGCAGGCATCGAGTTACATTACACAAGCAAATCACTGCAATGAACAGCAGAGCAAGCTATAAAAGCCTTTCTAAAACAAGGAAATCACAATAATTCTGCTTTACCTCTTCCTGATTTGCAGAGGCCAGTGCACTCTGAACTCTTGCCCTTTCCTCTTGAACATCTCTATCATCACCCTGACTGGCCTCTTCAGGATTCTGATGGCTGCTCTTTCTCTGTGGAGAAATCCTACAGATCAAAGACACCACAGAAAGTGTTTCAAAAGCACTGCACACCAAGGAATGAATTCCAATCTCAAGTAGGAAAGCAGAAAACAGTCCATGAGGAAGCGAGAATCTCTGAACTTAATGTGCAAACTCGTCACAGCCCAGAAAATGCTGCCTTACAAAATTACACCTGCTTCTGCAGATAACAAATATCGGGGGGGGGGGGGGCTAGGCAGAAACATATGCATAATTATAGTTTGTATATCCCTAGCCACAGTATTATTGTTGTATGAATTTTGTTGGGGGACGGGGGACAGTCCGCATGATGCCCCAAGTCCCTTCCAATTTTTTCCTTCCTCTATCGGGGGGGGGGGGGGTAGGAGGTATGAGAGCAAGCTCATCAAGCCAATCTCTCTAGGCAATGGCTGTGGCTGAGTAGATAAACGACATAATAAGCATAATTGCTCTGTGCCATACCGCAGATCTGGATCCTGTCCGGAGCCTGGGTGTAGGCTAGGGCCATGGCACGACTCCATCGGTGACCCTGGGGGTGCTCTTAATTGATGTATATCATAGGGCTCCCCCCTACCGGTGGTTTACCCTAATGAGACTCCCTGTAGACGGGCAGAAGTCAAGATATCATTTCGCCCAATGCCTAAGGCAAACCGCTCACATCTGTAACCAATAAAGGTAAAGGTAAAGGGACCCCTGACCATTAGGTCCAGTCGTGACTGACTCTGGGGTTGTGGCACTCATCTCGCTTTATTGGCCAAGGGAGCCGGTGTACAGCTTCCGGGTCATGTGGCCAGCATGACTAAGCCGCTTCTGGCGAACCAGAGCAGCGCACGGAAACGCCGTTTACCTTCCCACTGGAGCGGTACCTATTTATCTACTTGCACTTTGACGTGCTTTTGAACTGCTAGGTTGGCAGGAGCAGGGACCGGGCAACGGGAGCTCACCCCGTTGCAGGGATTCGAACCACCGACCTTCTGATCAGCAAGTCCTAGACTCTGTGGTTTAACCCACAGTGCCACCCCGCGTCCCTTCCGTAACCAATAAAGTTGTGGCCTATTTTATCCCATTAAGCTAAACATTTGTGTCCGTGTGTCTATTATCTAAGGGAACTGCAGGGCCCGGGGCCTCGCCAGGCAAATACAAGAACAATAGCCAGTGTAGTGTAAGCTAGGCAGAAAGGAGGTGAAGAAGCTGGAGACACAAGAGACATGCTTGTTCTGTGCTGGGCTTTGGGGCTTCCCTGGAAGCTTAATGGGAAAGCAAGATCTGTTGGGAAGTTAATACTGTTAAGGCCTCTCCAGTCCCTGCCAGTCTTCATTCAAAGAAAACTGAACTCGAGAATGCGCTGAAACCCCTGGAATCTCTCACCATTTGGAGACTGGGGTGGTATGTAACATTATTAAGATCACCATTATTATTTTTCTATTTATAAAGTCAACTCCTGGAGCTAAAGATTGATTGTTAACGTTGTTAACATTGTTTTATAAATGCTGTATTGATTTGTTAATCATATAATATGGCTTGCTTTAAATGTGATGTTTGTCTTTTTTTTTAAGTTGTTGATTTGTAAGCAGTGTTTTATAGATTGCAAATGTTCTACTGATGATTTGTTAATTATTCTATTACATTTATGTTGTTATTTGTGATGTTCTATTATGTTCTATCATGTTATTGCTATTTTTTGTTTGTTTGAAAGCCGCTTTGGGATTCATTTGAATGAAAAGAAGCATAGTAATATAATAAATCAAATCAAATCAAAACAAAACATATATTCTGCCTATGTCAGGCAATTTTTTAAAATCATACTTTAACAACAAAATAATATCCTCTTTTTTCAGAAGTTTGGCTCTATGGAAGAAAACAAGCACCCTCGTGAAATGAAAGATTCCTAAAAATTATGAAGGTGTTTGTTAAATCTTGAATATCCTCTTTAAAACAACAACTGTGAAATGAATCTACCTTTACACATTGCCAAACACATTAACGCAGAGCTTTTCAAACCTTTCACATTGGTGACCCCTTTTTAGACATGCATTATTTTGCAACACAGTAATTCAGCCCCAGGAGGAGAATTGATGCGAAAATTTGGCTTTTGCTGCCCAACTCCCCATGGGATTCTTTGAGTCCCCTAACTCCATGATTTTTACCTCAGGGTGGGGAGCATTCACACGACACACCTACACACTGCAGCCGACACACTAACGTTTCTCAACACAGAGTTTGGAAATCTCTGCCTTAAAGTTTTTATGGAATAAATAAATAAAGCGAACCAAGGGCTGGATTAAACTAAAAAAGCCCTGTCAGTGGGAACCTGTTCAAGAACTTCCAAAAGTACAACAGGACTACCCCAACTCCTCCATCCATTACTGCATCAAATTGGCTTGGGGGAGGGGTGAAGAGAACCCCTGGAACAGTAAGTGGGAAGAGAGAGAAGTTGATTCCCTCAGGCCAGCAGAGATGCATTGACAGAGCCATTTGCTTAGCGCTACACTGAATTACTCCCAGGGGATATTGGGATTCTTAAGCGCAGAACTAGGAAAACTTGCTTTTTTAAAAGAGAGAGAGAGAGAGAGAGAAGAACCTATGGATATAAAAAGTGACGTACAGATGTACATTGGAAGTTGAACGGAATCCATTCCGGAAGTACGTTCAACTTCCGAAAAGTTTGGAAACCAAGGCACGGCTTCTGATTGGTTCCTGATTGCACGGGCGCTCCGGAAACAATAGCGGAAGCCGCACCAGAAATTCGGCTTAAAAAAAAAAAATTGAAAACCCGAACACTCACTTCTGGTTTTTGATTGTTTGGGGGACAGAACGTTAGACTCCCAAGGCATTCGGGAGCCGAGGTATGACTGTATGTATTTGAAAGTCATCATTTCAGAAGAAAAACAGGAAAACCTTTTGCATTGCTAAGTCTGACTGCATAAGCAGGTTAACCATATGTGTACAAACCTAAACACAGGATCTCTTCTCATAACTGGCCTGCCATATTTCGCCGTCAGACAGCGAAGTAAAAGAATGAGAACCACAATGTGGAAGTAAGGCTAAACAAAACAAAAAACAAAAAAAATCAGAAACAACCAATTATGTTCAAGAAGTGTACAGACCTATAACCAATTTAAGTCACTATATTTGGGCTACAATCCTATAAACCAGTAGTGGGGGAGGCCATTGCCTCTTCATTTGGTCCATGCAGCCATTTGGGGCAAACCAACACACCTGCCAATCATCTGAGATCCTAACCACATCATGCCTGGGGCAAGTAAGGGGATCTCCCATCTTAACACCAGGACACTAAGATCAGAGACAAGCAAGAGTTCTCTCCGATGCTCTTATCTACAATGTGGTCTTAGTGTTCTAGTGCTCATCAGTAAGATAGGGAGATAAGATTCCTCTCCTTGCCATTTAAAAACCAGGTAGAGAGATCCATTGTAGAGAAGGATTTTGTATGATGTAGGTACACTTTCAGAGCTCTGCACACATCCAGGGAGTGCCAGGCTTGCTCCTTCGGTTATTTTGGATGCAGACGGAAAGTCAGAGAGTCAGATTTTGTTGGCAGTGGAACCTAGATAGACCTTCGGAAGGAAGGAAAGGGTCTGAACATAGCGCCACCTTATCCTTGTGGAAAATACAAAAATGTTTAGGTGTAGAAAGGGCTGAAAACTCTGACACTGTGTGCCGAAGTGATTGCCACCAAAAGAGAACTTTGAAGGAAAGGATCCTTAGGGGTGCAAGACATAGACGTTTGAAAGGAGGTCTCTGAAGAGCTGTGAGGACCGAGTGTAAATTCCAGGTGGGGAGGCGATGTGCCATTGGTGGGTGTCGACATACCGCACCCTTGAGAAAGCATTTGACTAACCAGTTCTGGGATAAGGGCAGGCTACCGGTAGCACTGAGAATTGAGGAAATGGATGAGACATGTCTTTTGAGTCGCACATCTCACCGGGCACTGATTCTGCAAAATTTATCAATATAAGTAAACAACTAAGGAATAAAAGAAGAGTGGCAAATAAGCAGAACAACCAAACAGAAAGAGCAAAGGAAAGGGTTTCATTTGTCTGTCTGTCTGTCTGTTTGTTTGGTTAGTTGGTTGGTTTTTGTGTGTGTGTAAGAAACCACAATGCATGGACAAACAAAGAACTGTAGAACTAAAACGACGATAAGGGAAATCTAAAGAAAAAAGAGGGTTCAGAAACTAGGAAAAAACTTAGTTGAGTCAGGAGAGCTGGGAGGAATGTACTGTACAGGTGAAACTCGGAAAATTAGAATATTGTGGAAAAGTTCATTTATTTCAGTAATTCAACTTAAACCATGATCATCACAATTATAACAAATAAAGGCTTGACATATCTTGCTTTGCATGTCATGAGTCTATCTCATATATTAGTTTCACCTTTTAAGTTGAATTACTGAAATAAATGACCTTTTCCACAATATTCTAATTTTCCAAGTTTCACCTGTATGCATCTAGACAGAAGGAAAAACTGAGGGAGTCCAGCCTGCTCCCCACAAGTCTTTGCTCCTGTCTAGTGTCTCGCAACAAGGTGAACACCCATTCCATTGGATACAACACCCTACGAACTAAAATATCTCCCCTACAAATATTGAATTCATTTCTCACCATAAAGGAAGCCGCCCAGATCAGATTCATTAATGATCTATTTTCATCATAAAACGATACACTCAACATCTGTAAGGGGAAAAAAGGTGATTCTGTAGATTATTCCCTCTAATACTGAAGTCAGGTTGTGCCAGTGCCTGTCAGCTTGAAAGTTAGTGTCCCGCCAAATTAAGTTAACTGTTTCTGCTTACTCAGAAGTATACTAGTTTGTGAAGTAAAAGAAAATGACTTTGAAAGACAGTGACTCGAGGACCTGTGAGCTTCTAAGACCTACATTATGTTGAGTGCTTCTTGTTGTGCGAGATAGGAATATTGGGAACTGCAGGTCTATGCAGGATTGTTTTTTATGTATTAAATCTGTATACTGCCCTTCATCTGAAAATTGCAGGGCAATTCACAGCATATAAATACGAGACAAAAGATACAAAATGCATAATAAGGACAAGAACAAACCAAAGCAACAAACATTCCCCCCTTCCAAAAAAACATGTAAAAGGACATAGGATGTTAGTCAGCCAAATGCCTGGCTGCAGAGGATAAACTACACTTCCCAGAATCCTTTTCATGAGGCAGAGGAGAGGATGGGCTCCAAATGTATGCCCGGTGGGGTGTGTGTGTGTGTGTGTGTGTGTGTGTGTGTAGGCAGCCAGAATCAATAGATGTGTGGGCGATTCCTGGAGGGCCTGGAGCCCCCTCTCGACGTGGAGGGGTGCAACAGAGCAAGGGGGGAATCCTGGAATTTAGTACCAAAATGTCCCATTGGATCTCTGCTAAAACAAATTTGCTAGGCATTTTGTGAGTAAAGTCCCTCAGGTTTGTTTGGAATTTTGTAACCCAAGGTACAACTGTATTACCGTATTTTTCGCTCCATAAGGCACACCGGACCATAAGGCGCACCTAGTTGTTAGAGCCGGTTCACTGGAAAGTGTCCAGCCGATCAGCCCAAGGTCAAGGAGATTAGATCAGGTAGCTGCACAGATGGCACAGTGGTTGCGAGATCAGGTTCCAAAAGAGGAGGTGGCTCGGGGGGTGGGTGGGTGTAAACCTTAATTGGGAGCACCTTTATTCCGGGATTACAGACCAGGAAGATGTGCCATTATGAATCTGGTGGCCCTTGATGAGCTACTGTTTCCTTAACCCAAGAGCACAGTTGCAAAGCGATAGCCTAGCGGACCCTAACCTTTTCGAATTGTGTGATAAATTCAGAAACTGGACACCAAATAATGCCGATTTCATAGGGCAAAAAATTGGTCATGTTTGGAACTCCCCCCACCCAACACAAATCCCCACCCTGCAAAAGCACAGACAAAATGCACAGACAACACCACATAAAAACAGGAAGCTTCCCAACCCAAAAACATCATTTAAAAATGAAAATAAAATTGGAAGGGGCAGGTAGTCTTGGTACGTGACAAAGGTACCAAGGGCTCTTTGGTGCCCTAATGGGCAAGTTAAAGATACCAGGAATAGGCTGCACTTTTGCTTACCGTTGTGAAAGTTAACATAAATTCTGTTGCTGTAAACAGGGGAAGAATTAATATTAGTAGATGATGCACATCGTGGACTGCATAGACTGCATTAATCAAAGCAAGCATGTTCATCTGAAATGAAACGATAAAAAATATATTAAGCTTTTGAACAGATTAAACAGCTTCTTCCCATTTTGTTTTCCATACTGAGGCTTAACTCCTTTACACCCCAAATGAAACACAACCAAGTGTGTGTAACTACATCTCTCAACTTACGTGGGGGTTATGTTCTGAGGACAGAGTGTGAAGCCAAAATCACGTATATCAAAATATAATGGGTTCAATGGTGGGTGGGATTGCCAAAGTCTTTTTTCTTGGATACCTGCCCCGCTTTCTGTCCCCTTTCAACTTTTATTATTATTTTTTTATTTGCCAAGCGCATAAATCTAAATGCTCAGAAGTTAAATGTGCATAAGTTGAGAGTTACCACTCTGTGGGTAGCGGGTGAATCCCACCTCCCACCCCACTGGAAGATGCGAATTGCTGGGGTGGGAGGTGGAATTCACCCGATACCCATAGAATGCAATCTATACCCCAGGGCTAGCCCAAGACATATTGGCATCTGAGGTGGACCCCAAAGTGGCTTCCCCTCCCTGCCAGAGAAGAAGGGGTGGGGGAAGGTCTATATTGGGAATGTGGGGAAAGAAAGTTTGATACTGGGAACTGCTGCCACTGTGGATTCCAACGCCTGAGGCGGTTGCCTTAGCTTGCCTCACGGGTGAGCTGGCCCTGAATAAGATCTACATTGGGGTCTGTTGCCCAAATGGATCCTGCTACCTGAGGCAGTTGCCTCACCTTACCTCACAGCCACTGGCTTCACAGGCATTATTGAGGAAGGGGCAAAATGATAGTATCCTATTCTAGTGGCAAGAAGAAAAGTTTTTTGTGGCAGAGTATAAGACAGGTATAAGGAACGCGGGTGGCACTGTGGTTAAACCACAGAGCCTAGGACTTGCCGATCAGAAGGTCAGTGGTTCGAATCCCTGCAACGGGGTGAGCTCCCGTTCCTCGGTCCCTGCTCCTGCCAACCTCGCAGTTCGAAAGCACGTCAAAGTGCAAGTAGATAAATAGGTACTGCTCCGGCAGGAAGGTAAAGGTGTTTCCGTGTGCTGCTCTGGTTCGCCAGAAGCGGCTTAGTCATGCTGGCCACATGACCCGGAAGCTGGCCACATGACCCGGCCAGTAAAGTGAGATGAGCACCGCAACCCCAGAGTCGGTCACGACTGGACCTAATGGTCAGGGGTCCCTTTACCTTTACCTTTACCTATAAGACAGGTACAGATCTCTTTGGGCAGCTCCTGAAGAAGGGTCCTCACAGTCCCAAGTATGGAATAACTTGGCTCAAATGCAGACAATTTGAAGGAAGTATTTAGAACAGGGTTTCCCAAACCTGAATCTCCAGCTGTAGTTGGACTACAACTCCCATCATCCTTAGCAAGCAGGAGCAGGGGTGAGGGGTGAGGGTAGTTGTAGTCCAACAACAGCTGGAGACCTGATTTAGAATACCGCTTAAGGCCTTCCTTCTGGGGATAATTGGAGAAGAAATTAAAAAGGAAGACCAAACACTTTTCCAATATGCAACAGTGGCTGCTAGAACACTAATAGCACAAAAATTGGAAGACATCAAAAATCCCAACTATAAATGAGTGGCAATCTAAATTATTTGATTATATAGAATTGGCAAAAATGACACAGAAAATAAGAAACCAAAAAGGTACAAAGTTTAATAATGAATGGAATAAACTTATGACATATATTGAAACAGATGTAAAAAATCTAAAAATCACAGTAGGCTCGATGTAACGCCTGCGACGTAAAGAGTTTTAAGAAAACAAAACTGCAGATAGAAAATCTTTTGTTAACATATTCCAAAACCGAGTTGAAGGGAAGTCAATCATTGTTGTGTGATTTAGTTATTTAGTAACTGTAAGTTTAATTTGTTGGTGTTTTATGTTATGCAATGTTTTTCTTTTCTTTGTTTTTTGTGTTTTGTCTTTTTTATTGTTTTAATGTTTGGTGTTGTACAATGAATTGAAACTAATAAAAAATTAAATACTAAAAAAAATTAAAAAATAGAATACCGCTTAAGTATGCACACTTAAAGGATCACTGCTCATGCTCTTTTCTGTTCAACGTGTCATTCAGTCTTACATTATTTCACATTATTATATTTGAAGCATCCATTGATTTGTCTACTTTAATGGAAAATTATAAACAATTAGAGGTATTGTAAGATTAAGAATATAAGGAAATAAATGATCAGTCAGTGGTCTGGTCATAAAACTTACCAAGATTAAGACGAATGACCAAAAACTGCTAGCATGCCATTTGTTGCGAAACACGAAGGCAATTACATATAGGAATAAGACCATTGACGTGCTGTAGCCAAACAGAAATGACACCTGTTAAGAAGAAGGTTAATATTTATTGTTAAGACTGGTGTCTGAAAACACGGGTTTTCTGGGAACTCATTTCATATGACCAAACTATACAGAAGGCCCATTATGTTCGGGGAGTTTACTCCCTTGTAAACTATTGAGGATCGCAGCCCAAGTTTATTATTCAGTGGAAATGGTTCGATGTTTGTAACATTTGTAAACATTAGTTTGTAAGCATTGTAAACATTAAAGGTCATTTAAAGACTACTTTTAAAAAGTAATGTAAGTAATTATACTCACCAAACATAAAATTGTGGTAGTATGGCCATGAGGTCCCACAATATCTAATAGTCTGAACCACGGCCAAAGCAGCAGCAGGAGGAGAATAAAATGCAAAGGGACGTCCACCAGAGCTAATCCACACCAAAAGGCAGAAGGAAAGAGTCCTGAGACCCGCAACTGAGAACGAGTTTTTATCTAGCAAAGAAAATTGCAAGAGATAATTATGCCCTTCAGTATATGATTTGTGGCAAGATACATAATAAAGGTAAGGGTAAAGGGACCCCTGACCATTAGGTCCAGTCGTAACCGACTCTGGGGTTGCAGCGCTCATCTCGCTTTATTGGCCGAGGGAGCCAGCATACAGCTTCCGGGTCAGAGCAGCACACGGAAACTCCGTTTACCTTCCCGCCGGAGCGGTACCTATTTATCTACTTGCACTTTGATGTGCATTCGAACTGCTAGGTTAGCAGAAGCCGGGACTGAACAACAGGAGCTCACCCCGTCACGAGGATTTGAACAGCTGACCTTCTGATTGGCAAGTCCTAGGCTCTGTGGTTTAATGCACAGCGCCACCCACGTCCCTAAGATACATAATATTTTTCATCAATTACTTAGTCCCCCCCTTTCTTTTATGTCCCCTCCACAGGAGGTTCAGATAAGATGGGAGTGGTGGTTCCCCACTTGTGGAATGCTCTCCCCCGAGAGGCTCACCTGGTGCCATTGTTACTTAACTTCAGGCACCAGGTAAAAACATTTCTTGGGTTTTAAATTGCCTCCTTGTGTGGGGGTGTGTGTATGTTTTATTTCAACTTTTTTAAAGTAGAGTAGCCATTTAGATTTTTCTTTCCTTCCTTTTATGACAGATTTAAGGTATGTGTTTGTTTATTTACTGTAAGACTCTTTGAATGGCTTTGGTTAAAAAGCGACTAGCAAATTTAATAAATAGAACTAATAAACTTTGTGTTAAACCACAGAGCCTAGGACTTGCCGATCAGAAGGTTGGCGGTTCGAATCCCCGTGATGTCAAAGCATGTCAAAGTGCAAGTAGATAAATAGGTACCGCTCCAGCGGGAAGGTAAACGGCGTTTCCGTGCGCTGCTCTGGCTCGCCAGAAGCGGCTTAGTCATGCTGGCCACATGACCCAGAAGCTGTACGCCGGCTTCCTCGGCCAATAAAGCGAGATGAGTGCCGCAACCCCAGAGTCGGCCACGAGTGGACCTAATGGTCAGGGGTCCCTTTACCCTTTACTTTTAACACCAGGGGACCATTCTAAAGGGTTTGGGCTCTGCAATTTACAAAACGATAATGGAGAAAGAGATGGCAACTTAAGGATTTAGGGAGGCAGTTAGAAAATCAAGGGTGGGCTCAGGTTTGGGAGAAACCTCCTCTCTGTACCACTTTGGCCAGGATTGAGGAAGTAGCATTGAAGACACTGCTGAGGTGACCGCTGGTCTCCTAGTAAGTTGTCATGAATTAACAGGGGTATCAGCTGAAATGTGAGCAAAAACAATGAAGTTCTGAATAGGAGTGTTCTGAGGAAACAAGAGGGTGAGGGGAGGAAACGAGCAACCAAAGACTAAAGAAGGAGAAGTCTGAGAAAAGTGTCCCATTCCTAGGTGAGATAGGGAAGGAACTACAGGAGCTGGCAACTTAGTATGCCCTTGGATGTCAGACAGAGGGAATGGTGTATCAATACTTCAAATAAATGCCCGCTCTCTCCACTTGAATGAATTGGGAAATCTTTGCACTGACTGCAAGAATACTGAACTCATCACCTCTTGCCACACTTACCTACCTGGACCTGCAGATCATTGCAGGAGGCCCTTCTAGCAGGGGGCCTAGAGTGAAAGTGCATTTTCAGTACAGTCATACCTGGGGTTACAGCCACTTCAGGTTGCCTTTTTTCGGGTTGCGGACCACCGAATTCCGGAAGTACCGGAATGGGTTTCAGCGGCCGAGCATGCGCAAAAGCACTAAATCATGCTTTGGCATGCACAGAAGCACCAAATAGCAACCCACACGTGCGCAGACGTGGATTGCGAACGTGCATCCCGCATGGATCACGTTCGCAACCCGAGTGTCCACTGTAGTGGCATCACAGTTGTGGAATGACCCCCACAAGAAGGCGCACCTGAGACATCTTTTAATGCCCTTTCAGAATTTAAAAACCTTACTACAGTGGTACCTTGGGTTAAGAACTTAATTTGTTCTGGAGGTCCATTCTTAACCTGAAACTGTTCTTAATTTGAGGTACCACTTTAGCTAATGGGGCCTCCTGCTGCCGCCGCGCCGCCAGAGCATGATTTCTGTTCTCATCCTGAAGCAAAGTTCTTAACCTGAGGTACTGTTTCTGAGTTAGCAGAGTCTGTAACCTGAAGCATCTGTAACCTGAAGCGCCTGTAACCCGAGGTACCACTGTATAGCAGTTTTATTCCCCCCCCCTTTTTTTGGTGTGCTCATTTTTTCTCAATTCCGAAATGTATATTGTATTGCTCTTTTTTATCACTGTTTCAGCTTGTTTGTTTTTTTAAACTTTTTTTAATAGGGCAGTCTCTACATTTCAAAAACAAATAATAAAACATTCAAAGGGAGATCTGGACTGGGATATAAGAGCTAGCATAAAACTGAAAGTTTTTATTTCTTCCATTGTGGCACATTGGAATCAATAGAATCGTTAGCTCCCCATTGCGATCTCCCAAGGTTTGAACATAAATCAAAGAGCTATATCCAACTCAAATAAGTTATCATAAAAACAAGAATGTAGGGGTGATAGGCCCCAAAGATATGATTCTGTCTTACGCACATTTAACTTGCGCGATTTCAACCATATGCAGTTGAACACTGGCTGATTGATGTTAAATGCTGGTGTGTGGAAAGGGCTTTGCTTGGGAAGTGAGGCAGAGAACTTAGAAACTATTTTTACACTGGATTTTCCTGGTGCACATAGAGCTTTTAAGCTATCTGGCTTGCTTTCTGAGCAAGGCTATCTCCTCTCACCAGTCTGGGATGCTCCCACAAGATCACATAAAAGTTTGGTTCCAAGGGTTTGAGTTCATGCGTTTTGCCTATACGGGCGACTCTTGGAACTAAACTCCCACATAAGACACAATTGTACTGCAATGCCAAGAGTGCTGTGGGTGCTTGGACAGTAAACTATATGCAGATCCAAAATTGATAGATAATCTACTGAATTTGATGTCAACTGGAGTGGGGGAAATCAAAAGACTGCATTCATTGCAAGGGAATAAGTTTCATGCATGTTTAATTACTTTACCTTGTAGTAACGACCGCTCATCATCGCAAAATGTGCTGGAAAGGTAGGGTATATAAATACCCCAAACATGCACATGTTACAGAAAAAGATCCATAGCTGTTTGCTACTAAATTGCTGGGAAACAAATCAGAAAGATAAAGTTTATAAACACTGTGTGACAGTATATATGATTAGAACAGCTGCTATTATTCTCTGCACTTGGTAGGCTTAAAAATGATATTTAATTATAGGAATAAAGTTGATCATTGCTTATTTAAAAGTTGTCTTTAGGTTGATGATGTAGTACTGTTAACTATTATAAACTCACAAGAATCAACTGAATTCAGAGACTACAGCAGAGTCTCTGAGTATAAAATCGACTCAGGTGGTACAGATATTATGAGTATTAATATACTGTACTAGAAGAAATTAAAACTAAAATATCAAAACAAATGAATATTAAGTGGACAAACGTTTCTATCAAATACCTTGGAATATATATAACACCAACTAATAAAATGATGTTTCAAACTGAACGCATGATTTTTAAAAATCACAGAAGTTCTGAAAAATGGATGAAATTAGAAATACCTTGGCTTGGAAGCCTATCAATATTAAAGATGAATGCAAATCTATTAAAGAGAGATTGTGTGTGTGTGTGTGTGTGTGTGTGTGTCTGTTTTCACACTTATTCACCACTACAACTAGCCCGCCTCTTCACACTACTGTAACCATTCTTACAATCCAGTTGAAAGACTTACAAATAGAAACATGTGACTCCAGATTCGAATATGGGCAGTGGAATTTAACATTCGCAGGCGTGCATTGCTGATGATGTTGACAAGCACCGGAAAGCAATTGGTCACTTCCATGTGGCATATGAGTGTGAATCTGTATTTCTGAAGCGAGACAAGAAATGAAATACAAGTTAGAAATTCAAGTGAGTCAGTGAATGAATGAATGCTGAGAAAATAACAGCCTGTAATGAAAACAGAAATTCATAAGCCTGCTTTATGTGTTATTTGTAATGAAGGTGTCCTACATCACTAAGTGCCTTCAAGTGTGGACCTTGGGCAGCAGATGGGGAAGAGTGGGGACAGGAGCCTGAGACAGCAGAGCAAAGTCTTGTCTGAAGAAAGATGGTAATGCTGGTACTGGAGTCTCTGTTGCTGTTTTCCTTCCTGTCGAGGAGAGAATGTTGCCAGAGGCTGTGGAGAGCTCAGAGCCACAGCCTGGGGTGAGGCTGAAGAGGATTCACAAGAGGAGGCAGGTCTGCCATTGTCTCCCAGGGTCAGAAGATGCCTTCACCAGTGGGAACAGATGCACCCACCTTGATGGAGTCTGCACCTGCAGGCTAGACATTCTTACAAGGCTGATTCTTTCATGGAAGGTATGTGCCGTGCCTTAGCTATAAACGGGGTTGTTGTTTTCAGCCAGAACTCACAGGAACTGAGCTCCAGCACCTCTCAGGTGGGATCCATTACCATTATAAGATAACAAGCGAGGCATTCATGGTGAGTTCCAGCACCTCTTCTTCTGGAAAAGAGCTTGCTGGATAGGTATGCGAACTTGTTGGGACAGCTTCTGTTATGTACTAAGCTTGGCTCCTAGAACAATAGGCAAGTAGGATCCTAGAATGCAACAACCGATTGGCTTGCAGGAAAAGACCGATCAAGCTCCAGGAGGAAGTTAATCAGCCTATTAGGCTGGTAGGATCCTAAAATGCAACAACTGATTGGTCTGCAGGAAAAGACCAATCGGGCTCCAGGAGGGAAACAGAATCAGCCAATCAGACGGGACTCATTGTGTAATTAATGTATTATAAAAGCCTGGGGTTTGGGGGGCAATTCAATCACTGTTTTACAAGCTGCAATAAAGAGCATGAAATCACTACAGGACTCTGAGTATATTTCAGCTTCATTGCTCTCATACAGTTGTGAACTTTGTGCCCCCATATTTTGGAATCGTGGCCTTGCTTCTAATTTGGCTGGGATGGAGCTAGCTGTTACCTGTTACCTGATGCTGCACCAGTATTATACTCTGCTTAAAGAGCATTTCTCTTTAACTGGGAAAGGCATTTAAAAACAGGCTTGCAAAACAGCTACGCTCAACACCACAAGATGCTGCTTGCTTTCAAATTAAAAACATGTACAACCATATTTGGTTACCAGGATTTTTTAGTATTGCTTTTATGAAGAAACAAGGACAGTCAAAGCTCTCCTTCGTTGTCAGGGAGCCAGTTTCACACGGTCCTAACCCCCTCCAGCCAGCGATATGGGGCTAAAGATTAAAAAAGGAAACCACATGGAAATGCAAAGAGTAAGTCTGCCCTGACATTTCCTGCCCCTGCACAAGCAGGCACAAGATGGTAACAGTCGATATGGGGCTTTGCTCCCCAGTTTTATCCCACTTAGGATTACACCCAGGGGGCTTCCCCCCCCCCCAGTCAGAACTCAGTTCTGGCACCTCTCAGGTGAGCACCATTGCCATTTTAAGAAAACAAGGGAGGCGTTCGTGGTGAGTTCTGGCACCTCCTTTTCTAGAAAAATGGTACTGATTGCAACAAAAAATAACTGAAGTTACCTTGTCTTCAAGGGCTACCATTATAGCCCCATTGTGCACTAGTTGGTCACTGACATTTTTGCCAGAGACAACTTCTACCAGGACATTCTGATTCTTCACTGCTTGGATGAAATTGTCAATGCTTGCACCTGAAAAAGAAAACAAGGATTCGCAGAATGACAGGAGGACTGTGGTAGAATCTTAATTTCTAAATTTGGAGAAAACCAAAATGAAGTGTAATACAGAATTTCAATTATCTTTGTGTAACATTTAATGCCTATTTATTTGCTAAAATGGGTTGTGTTATCCCACTAGCACAAATGGGCTTCCCTCACCCTCTCCTCCCCAAACTGACTTGAGGGGAGGGAAGTTTGGGGAAAACCCCTAAAACAGCATGGAGGAGGAGACGAGCACTGACGGAACAATCGCCTTAGTGCCATCTTGAATTCCACCCCAAATTCTTAATTTTTTATTTTTCTATTCAGGTAATATTGGAATTATCTTATTCTTTTAGGAATGCCAATAGTGCCAGGCTCCATGATATGACCCCGTCAGTGAAGCAAGCTTTGAAGAGCCATATCCTGGTTGGCTGTAATCAAAATTTTTGTAAGCAAATATCTGATACCTTATACAATCTGGCATCTCAGACAGCCCTGGAGGAATCCTCTTCAGAGGAGGACTTGGCACTCCCCAAAGCTAACATTATAGAGGAGCACAATGTATAATGGGGCAGTGAGACACAGCAGGGGGATTTGGGGCTTTCAGGGATCATGGCACAAGACCTTTCTCCACCAGACCTTTGCTCAAAATCAATGGTAGAGGCTAAACCACTACTGAGTCCAAGGGAATACTGATTCCTAAAGTTGCAGGCTCAGTCAGCTGCCTGATGCTGAAGTTTTCTCCAGAAGAACATGGTCTCGTACGGAACAAAGGGTTATTTGTAAGGAACCTACTCCTTATGAGTAAACCAAACTCCTCAGGCAATCTATAGAGCTATGCTATAGTTGGGGCTCTGGGTGCTCTTAGTTAAAAAGCCTTCAGTTCCTGACAGAGAGCTGGAAAAACATTTTTCACTCGCTTTCTACTGGTCCATTAAAATTGTACGAAAACTTCATTTTATTACATTCATATTCTATCCTTCCTTCCAAAGGGCTGTTAGACATGGTTCCCCTCCCCTCACTTTTTGCTCACAACACTGAGACAATATTGGATTAAGAGATGATTATTGTTCAGGGGGGTGCCACTAGGGGCGCATTGGAAGATGGCTGACAATAACATCTCTCCAACCCACACGAGGTAATTAAGAGGCTGTGATGGGAGTAAGCAGCCTCCCTGCCCCCCAAGTGAGTGGGGGGGACTGCCCTTGCCTGCTGTGCCCTATACCACCCCCGAACTCGAGGGGGTGGGGGGCACTAGGCACGGACTTCGGCTCTCCTGGACGCTGTCTCTGATTCGCACCTCTAGCTGCAGCAACTTCAAAAGAAATAATTAGGTGGAAGCAAATGCACATATTTCAAGGAAGAAGGGGGAGTAAAGACTGCTAATTGAAGAGATCTCTGAGAAAGAAGACGGGTTGGATAAACAGGAATATATCATGAGAAGACACACCAAGGCTCGGTATGTCGGCAACGGGACTGGATGGGGGGGGGACTTTCCTTTCTTTTCTTTATGTGATTAACCAAGAATCCCCCCCCCACAAGTCAGAAATGCTGCTTAAATGACCTAAGCTGATGATTTAAGACTGTGTGGAGATAATCTCTAACCAAAAGCATGCTTTAAGGAGATCGTGGAAAGTTTAAGAGCTTTGGGATGACGCAGTAAAAAAACAGCGTCGCCATTTTGGCAAGTTCTGTCGAAAGACTTATGTCTGGGAGGAGGAATGGATCTGTTTTCATACTGTGGGCGGCCTCCTCAGAGGACTAAAGAAGGTGACAGATTTGCAAAGATGAATGATGGAAAGAGTGCTTTTATTTATGGAAGTGATAATATATGGAAACCATCTCAATATGGTGATTGGACTAACGGAAAAATTCACACAGGATTATAACTGGTGTTTACCTGCTTAAGGAGATTATCAGAAGAGATCACAAACAAAAAATAAAAATATATGAATAAGATGAGACGTGGGAACAGCAAGATAGGACTGGATAGAAATATGAACATTATTTGGACAGATTTGTGGATATTAACGCAGCAGCAAGAAGATGATTGGAATCCCCTTCGGAACTTGAAATATGGGTACCCCCAACAAAAAATTTAAAATTCGGCTTTCTAATTTGGAATTTATGTGATGTGATGTGATTTGATTGGTCGGTTAATAAAAATTAATTTTTTAAAAAAGAGAGATGATTATTGTTCAATCACTGTGCTTTATGCTGAGGAGAGATTTGTACTCAGGTTTTCCCAGTCTGGCCATGGTGTATTGGCATGTTGGCTCTTGGTCGAAACCTGATTGGGGCGGGGGGGGGGGGGGAAATCTCAATATTCTGTTCTTCACTCTTACCTGTATTATTAAGGATCAGAAGTCCAGCAGACCCTCTGAAAGACTCCTTTCCTGGCTCAAAATAAAGCCCAGGGTGTAGCTCTGCGCAATGCAGGCTCCCCCAAATAGTATATAGCAGCACCTGGATGACGAAAGGTGCCAGCAAAATTATAAAAAGGAGCAGTCTGTAATAAAGAAAGGATAGTAATTAAGCAAATGAGAATGATTGCAACTGGTATTGAATCTATTAGTGGCAGAAACCCCATTTCTGTCACTGGCCAAACCAGCCTATCCCCCACTGCTAACCTCTCAATTCTGCCCCCCACCTCAGTACAGTGGTACCTCGGGTTAAGTACTTAATTCGTTCTGGAGGTCCGTTCTTGACCTGAAACTGTTCTTAACCTGAAGCTAATGGGGCCTCCCACTGCCTCTGCGCCGCCAGAGCACAATTTCTGTTCTCATCCTGAAGCAAAGTTCTTAACCCGAGGTACTATTTCTGGGTTAGCCGAGTCTGTAACCTGAAGTGTATGTAACCCGAGATACTACTGTACTCCTGTAGACCAGCCCCCTCCAACTGCATGCAACTACTAATCCCCATTTCCACCTTCCCAACCCCATTTCTGAAGCTGCTGCTCTCTTCTACACTGCAGTCCCCTTGCACCCCCACATTCCCGTTTCACCCCCATTTCCATGCCTCTTCCTCCCCCTCATTTTCTGCCCCCTCCCCTTGATGGGAACAGGGATGAAGGTGAAAATAGTGTACAATTGTGGCTGCAAAATTGGAAGGGTAGTTGATTCACAATTGTGGTGTGTGTGTGTGTGTTAGTAGTTACAGTGTGGTGGTGGAGGCTAGGGGGCGATGCTACATATACAGTAACCCAGATTGCGACGGCTTTTAAGCAATTATCTTGGCACTTACAGCGTTCTCCAGAGTTTGCTCTCGCGCTTGAGATTTAAAAAATGCATTCTTGCTATGGCGCAAACTTGTTGCCTCCAGAGTTCTGATCCGCTTATGGTTGCCTTTCCCGTGTCTGAGAGCAATAGCAGATCTTGTTCCATTTCGTCAGCACCCTTTGGCCCCTCTTTGTAATCAAATTTCAAAAGCACAAAATAAGAACTTTGGTATTGGCCAAAGGAGAGACTACTTGCTTATACAAACTCAGTTCTGACTTCTTCTGATGCTGGGTCAGTCAATCCCCTACTTCCCCCCAGCTCTCCTTGCTGCCACCACTACTGCAGATGTTTTCCCCCTGTCATTGGTAAACCATCCCAGCTCTCACTCCCACATTCAAAAAAAACAGGGAAAGGCAGCTGTAATGCAACACTTTTCCAGGGACGATCCTGGATTCACAGAAGCTGTCCAGGTTTCTGATTCGATCCCAGAATGCCCCGCTTTTCCTTAGGACGTCCCTATTTTCATCAGAGAAATGTTGGAGGGTATGGAGTTATGCAACCCCCAAGCCAAGGAGATAAGTAACTATACAACCTTCAGAAGACATCTGAAGGCAACCCTGTATAGGGAAGTTTTTAAACGTTTTATAGAATCATAGAATCTTACGAGTTGGAAGGGACCCAAGGATCATCTAGTCTAACACCCTGAAATGCAAGAATAAATGTTTTATTATGTTTTATATATATTTATTGGGAGCCACCCAGAGTGGCTTGGGCAACCCAGTCAAATGGGTGGCATATAGATATTATTATTATAAAATAGGAGAAATGTTGGAGGGTATGCTCCCACGACAGTTGGATGCCAACAACAGATATGGTCCCAAACTCATATTTTCCCTGCTGTAGCAGGGAATCACTACTAGAAAGTATGTTATTTGGAACAGTATGTTACCTTTCTCATCAATCATTTCATTTCCCTCCAGCTTCAAGAAGACATCTTCCAGAGTTGTCATGGTAACCCCATAATTAACAATTCCTAGTTCTTTCTGGCGGTCCATGTCAGAGAACAGATCTACATGACAAGGAGAAAGAAACTCAAGTGCTTACTTCTAGTTCAAGATTAGCATTTCCAATCTCCATTACGGCCTTGTGCAAATCCTTTTTATTGTACTTACAGCCCAAAGTAACATTTTGAGGAACATCTCCAATAGCACACTCAAAGATGATAGCTATGATATCATTTACATATTCAAGATGATAATTACCTGGAAATTTATCCACATTTTCCAAGGGCAGTATATAACTCAGCTCATTTTCATGTTGTGCTGATAATTTGGCAGCAGGGATGTATTGCTTGACCAGGGATGTTGTTCTCTCGGGGTCATACAATTCATTTACATGCATCCTGTTCGTATTCAGAATGGATTTAGATGGACACCAATTACCAAGTATTGCATTCCTTTAATAAAACTTATCTGAATCAAGTATTTATGACATTACTAAAACCATAAGAGTTCTGCTGAAAGAAACAGCAGCACAGCATCTTTACAGCCTGATCTCGCCCTTTCCTCTTTTTGGTCTGAGCTTGGACCAAGAGACATTGAGCCAGAAAGGAGGAATTTCTTGACATACTTAGATTTTTTTTTAAAAAAGAAGAAGAGTTTGCACAATTTTATAAATAAAATAGATAAATATCTGTGGTTGCCCACCAGAGATTGCAAAATAGGTAAGAGTACAAGATTGCCAAACTCAAAAGTACCTTAAATGGTAGCCAACACCCCATTTTTTCTTCAAGAATAAAGATGAACCAACACAAGACAGCCTGCCATGAGAGATAAATGCTTTCCGGTCTGGAAGGAAAAACACATAAAGTTCTGGTTTTACTTATCACATTCTGCAGAAATAAATTCTTCCCCATATCCAAATCAGAAGCAGGAAATATCTGAAGGGGAATGTGCAGTGAGCTGAGATTCAGAAGGGTGATGCAGAAAATAAAACGAGTTCCAGAAATGCTGCCTTCATTTCAAACAATCCTGTTTGTTTACATGCACACGAATCAGAGGAGTATGTTGCACACACAAACAGGCAAGCTGTACAATCGTCACAGCAGGTCTTGCAAGCAAATCTATTTCATTGGGGTAGGGTTAAGTCAGCATAATTGTCCAGGTCACAAAAAGCAGTCTGGAGCGAGTCAGAAGCTGAAGACCAAGGTGCAATCTAAGGGAAGCTACATATCAGGAACCCGGAATAAGATAGGAAATGCAAAACACATTTCAGCTAAGGCAGAACTTGTTGATCAAGGCTCAGCTGGAAGAGATCTATTTACTCCTTGTAACCCAGGTGGAGCCAAGCTTGGAAAATGCAAACACTTGTCCCCCAGAGTGATGGGAGGGATTATTTCACCTGTCCTCCCAGTACAGATTATTTTACAATCACATGTCAATTGTTAGGGCAGGGAAGTTGATGTCATGCAAAAAGAGATGCAGCAGATAACAGGGAAAGGATCCAAAAGCTAATGAAGGTGATGGAATGAGAGAAAAGATTGGTCACCCTCAAACAGCTGTGAAGACTGCATTGAAGAGTAGTAGCTGCAACCCATTAAACCAGCATTTCCCAAACTTGGGTCTCCAGCTGTTTTTTTGGACTACAACTCACATCATCCCTAACTAGCAGGACCAGTGGTCAAGGATGATGGGAATTGTGGTCCATAAACAGCTGGAGACCCAAGTTTGGGAAACACTGCATTAAACGCTTAGCGCAGGCATCCTCAACCTTCAGCCCTCCAGATGTTTTGGACTACAATTCCCATAATCCCTGACCACTGGTCCTGTTAGATAGGGATCATGGGAGTTGTACGCCAAAACATCTGGAGGGCCACAGGTACGGGATGCCGGGCTTAGCCAGTGAAGCAGAAGAGGTAACAGTAATTTGACATTTCACAAAGGCATTGGAATTTCCAAGGCTAGTCCTCAGCACGCCTGTTACTCCTGGAATAACAGGAACTTGGTGAATGACAGCATAGTGAAAGATGTGAAGGAATCATCTAGGGTGCTATGTGGATCACCTCCTTTACGCAGTGCAACAGAAGAGCTTTTTGTTCCAACAGACAGAAATAAGGATAGTGCAGATCAGTGCGGGACAAGTTCCCAAGTCACATGGTCTCGGTTATTTCTCTCTCGCTTCATGCCTATACTTGTCAAACTGTTTTTACCATGAGACATTCTACTAACCAGCAAGAATATCAGCTTCATCCATTAACTGAGTGGTGAGCAGAATCACTCGACCTGCTTTGCGCTCATTCAGGAGGGCCCACACTTGGTGTCGAGAGTAAGGATCCAGCCCTGCAGTTGGTTCATCTAAGAATAAGACCTGTAGGCAGAACATGCGATTGCATTTTCAGACTCGGAAACCTTGAGAAATTAGCACATAGCATTCCATGTTGAAGTGGATTCTTTAAAAAGAATTAATGGCAACCCAATTGGGTCAATGATATTTTTGAATGCCACCCCAACTGTGGAGTGGTGCAAGAGCCCAGGGGTCCCGGGATCTTACCCAGAGTTCACTTTCCTTGGAATGAGGAACAGCAAAGACTGTGGTGCCTTTATAATATATGGTTTATATTAAGTAGTGGGTTGACAAAGCAGACGACACAGAGATTTCTCCAAGTGGTTCTTTATAGTAAGCTGGAACTGAACTGAACTGAACAGCTTTTATAGGCAGCCGGCTGTCAACATTGTGACAACAACACCCCAGGGTTTCCCGCCTAAATTAACTGACGTGGACCTGAGTGAAAACTATATACAGTGGTACCTCGGGTTAAGTACTTAATTCGTTCCGGAGGTCCGTTCTTAACCTGAAACTGTTCTTAACCTGAAGCACCACTTTAGCTAATGGGGCCTCCCGCTGCTGCCGCGCCACCGGAGCACGATTTCTGTTCTCATCCTGAAGCAAAGTTTTTAACCCGAGGCACTATTTCTGGGTTAGCGGAGTCTGTAACCTGAAGCGTCTGTAACCCGAGGTACCACTGTACACAATACCCCTGGTGGCCAGGGTGAGAACTTCAATACATAACAGTTTATTTACACATAAAGTGGTACCTCGGGTTACAGACGCTTCAGGTTACAGACTTCGCTAACCCAGAAATAGTACCTTGGGTTAAGAACTTTGCTTTAGGATGAGAACAGAAATTGAGCGGCAGTGGGAGGCCCCATTAGCTAAAGTGGTGCTTCAGGTTAAGAACAGTTTCAGGTTAAGAACGGACCTCCAGAACAAATTAAGTTCTTAACCTGAGGTACCATTGTATATACAACCTGAGTCTACAATGGATATGGTCACAGCATTAACGCCCCAGAAGGTCTTGCTTTTCCCGTAGCCAAAGCCTTGGATTCAAACAGAAATCAAACATGGCTCTCACTCTCTGACTTCTGCCTGCTGTTTGCTTCCCGCCCAGCTCTCTCTCACATACCTCTGGCACTTGTCCTTCTCACCACCAGCCAGGTGAGGGAAGGGGCCCACTCATTTGGCCTCTGGCACAAAGCCCACTTCCTTTGTTACCCTAAGGACCCATACTTAAGGGCCATTAACTCACCAAGAAGCTGGCCTGGCTATTCCAACAGTTGCATCCTCCATTACATTTTAACCCCTTGCTGGGTGCAGGGTTAACTCACAACAATATAAACAGTTATGCGGCTTTAAAAAATGTTTTGGGGAAAATAATTTTATATTATTATTTTTTTAAAAAATTGAAGCTAATCTTGTACTAAATGTGAAAGCTTCACTTTACATACAGTGTTTGGGGAATGGGAATTTAGAAGGGAAGTAAAGATAAGACTGAAATTAGGGAGTTTCATGACTGACCACAGATCAGTGAGAGATCTACACCCTCCATTGCCTTTGAGAGGAAACAGTAGATGCATTACAAGATGGAGAGTACTTATGAAATATGTTCAACAGGTCCTTTTGTCCTGACCTTGCTTCACCTACCTGTGGCTCTCCCAAGAAAGTAATCGCGAGAGATAATTTTCGCTTTTGCCCACCACTTAAACGATTAGCTAGGGTGTCTTGAATGGCTTCGAGATCCAAGAGGGTCACTAGCTTTTGCACCTGTAAAGCATATAAACACATGTTTCAAGCACCAAGATGTTGGATTCTTTCGGATTTCTTCCTATCTTGCTTTTCAGTCACTTGGTTGGTTGAAAGCAACAAGCTATTTTATAGAGGTTCGAATCTTAATGGAATATTATGCAACCTCTCATATTTGAAGTATAAGGCATTTCCAGATGAGATGTCGTCCCTGGAATTAGGATCATTTGCTCAAGCAGGTTTTTGGAAGAACCCAAATGGCATTGCTCCAGACTGTTGTATTCCAGGGTTTGCTTGGTTATGCAACGATGCATGTCCTATTATTATAATTTTTTATGAATGCCAATGGGATTACAGTACAGTTTCATGTGTGGACTGGAAAACGCTATTGGTTCATCTAGTGAAGAGTGGTCCATGAGGCAGTTCGGTATTGCTCACGCTGCATTTTCTGGATGCACAGCTGTCACTCAAGGAGCCCTTCAAGAAGGTTTAGAGTTTGAAATCAGCTCTTGAGAAGCAGAAAGTGGGATTACATTAAGACCCTGCTCCTTGTTCCCTCCCAAACACATCAACACTAGGACTTTAATATGCACTGGGTGCCTGAATATCTGCCGCTAAATGTTCTACAACATGGTCCATTCCTACATTATTTTTCAATCATGCCTTTTTCTTCACCCATGCTGTGATATTTAATAACTAAGGAAAAGGCATTGCACATAGCATCCATTAGATGACTCCTGCTGCAACATTCTGCCTTCATTTTTGCCTTCAGTCAAGTACCAAGCATTATTTTGCAAGTCCTTGTTTTCCATAGATTTCAGCTGGGCAGGAAAACTTAATAATTTCAAACTGCTGATCAGGATTTCATCAAAACAATGAAAAGGTCTGGTCCACAACAAGCATGGATAAAGTACACCAGTAGTTTGCAACATCTAAAAGAAATAATATGAAATGATTTGTTGCCAACTGGAAAAAAAGAGGTCAAAGTGTCACTTTTCAGAACTTTGTAACTTGCTGTAATTGTGGCCATTTTTACTGCATCAGTTTGAAATGTGGCGGTTTTGTAGACGGCATCAGCTAGATTGTAAATGCCAAGTTTCAAGTTATGAGCCCAACAGAAGCCTTTTTATCAGCTATAGAATTTTGTGACTAATCATTCCTGAGCCTTGTTTCTGCTACTCAACCAGAGGAACCCTTTTGTTTTCCTATAATCTATGCACTCTTGTCTTTGCATTACACCCAAAAATAGCTTTTTGTTTTATCAATTTATTACTGTTCTGCTTTGTTTAGTATGTGTAATTGAAAAGTCAAAAATACAATGCTTAAACAAACAAAACTAAATCAATACAAGGTATATACTTGTGGTAAATATCCATTTATTCAGCTGGGAAAGTCTGTCAAAAAAATTAAATTCATTTGTTTCTGGAAAGAGCAGATAATGGGCGCCTGTCGTATCTTGACAATAATACTGTTCCAAAGAAAGGCGGCAGCCACATGAAGGCCCTGCTCTGAGTTATACATATACTCAGCAAGAATCTCAACATACCCTGCAACCTGCCACAGAGGAAAATCAGGATGCATGTCACATGACTCAAACAAGAGCACAGCCCCCCAAAATGGGCATCTTTTGAGGCCACACTCTTGTGGGAGCCAAAATAGTACATCCCGGGATCCAATCAGGAGCTGAGATGGCTTCTGTAATTCTGGATGTCCTGGTCAAATCAGGACAGTTGAGGGGTATGCCTCAACTCAACTCATTTCAAGAGAATCTTCAAATAATTCCTCCATAGTATGATAACAAAGACAGTGCTGGAAGAATTTTCATTTGTGTAGGTCGCAAGGCTTACATATTTTGTTCAGTTATTGAATTAGTCCCAGTCTAAGGGACCCGGGTGGCACTGTGGGTTAAACCACAGAGCCTATCAGAAGGTCAGCGGTTTGAATCCCCGCGACGGGGTGAGCTCCCATTGCTCGGTCCCTGCTCCTGCCAACCTAGCAGTTCGAAAGCACGTCAAAGTGCAAGTAGATAAATAGGTACCGCTCCGGCGGGAAGGTAAACGGCGTTTCTGTGTGCTGCTCTGGTTCACCAGAAGCAGCTTAGTCATGCTGGCCACATGACCCGGAAGCTGTATGCCGACTCCCTCGGCCAATAAAGCGAGATGAGCGCCGCAACCCCAGAGTCGGTCACAACTGGACCTAATGGTCAGGGGTCCCTTTACCTTTACCTATTGCAAATTTATTGCACTTCTCCCATTGCAATTAACAGGATTTAAATTGGTTTCAACAAATTTGTCCCATTGACTTCAGCGGGACTTAAGCACAATGAGTTTTCTCTGAATTAGGCTGAGTAAACCTCAAATACAAAGCAGAACAAATGATAAGGCAGTGATGCCTTGCCATGAACCTGTTCTACAAAGAAAATAGACGAATAATATAAAGAGGCAGAACAGAAATACTTGCCATATGAATATATCCTTACCTCATTCTCAATATCATTGTTTGGAATCCCCTTTATTTTAGCAAAAGTCCGTAAATTTTCTTTCAGCGTTAGGAATTCAAATTGCACGTTGAATTGTGGGCACACAGCACTTATCTCCCTAATTTGTTCCATATCTTCCCTTGCTGATATATTGTACTTGAAGATGGTCGCAGAGCCTGTACACATAAGCAAATAGGAAGCAAATAGGTTGGCTTAATAAACAGAGTAGGCTGCTTGAATTCTCATAAAAGTTTCAACATATCCTATTAACTGCTGTCCTGCTAAGAGTGGAAATGAGACCTAGACTGCAATTCTAGGTATGATTGTTTGGAATCCTCGCAGCCTCAATGACAACAACGAATCTCAGTTCTCCACAAAGCACATAATTAAACTACGGAAGTTGCCGCCATACAGTGTAGCAATGGCTCCCCAACCTAAATGGCCTTAAAAGGGGATTTGGACATGTTTGTGGCTGCTAGTCGCAAAGGCTAAATCAGAAGACTGACTGCTGTGGAACTGCTACTGCCCCCTTTGTGCTCCTCTCAGTGGCGTGTGGTGGGCCTTTGTGGGAATCAAATGATGGACTTGATAAGGCTTTGGTCTGATCAAGGGGAACTTCCTCCTGTTCTTATGGATTTGGGTGGCAGCCTCCTTCATTTTAAAGTTCTGATACGTACCATCAGATGGCTTCAGAAGTCCACTAAGGATGTTTAGCAGTGTTGTTTTCCCAGCTCCACTACAACCAAGAACTGCAGTGATTTGACCTTCATAAATATCCAAGGACAAGCCTAACAGAAGAACAGAAGTTAGCTCTTAAAACGGCCAAGGTACACGGAGGCTGCATTCCTAAACCCTCTTACTAATAAGTTCCATTGAAATCTCACTTCTGAGTAAACCTACAAAACTTCCCGTCATGGCTCATTTTTAATTTCCTCACATCACATCACATCAAGCACTAGGGATGCTGCCAAAATTCTCATTTGAATTTTCGGATGGATTCTTGGAATTTCATACTGCAGAATATTGCTTCTCCATGGAATCAATCGGGAATTAGGAATAAATCTTCCACTGTTACACCTCCCCGCCCCATCCTAAATTTTGTACAGAGAGCTGTGCATGTATAGTCCTGATGTCAGTTTATTTCATTTGTCTCCACTTTTCAATATCTGTATGAATTTTTGGCATGCATTGATAAAGCACTGCAAAAAGTCATATGATTGCATCAAGAGGTGTTTTTGTTTTTTACCACTGTGCATGCAGTGATATGTAGTACGGGGGGGGGGCAGTACAATACAGTAGTAGAGTATGTGTTTTACATGAAACAGGTCCCTAGTTTAATCCCTAGCATCTCCAAGACTGGGAATGTCAGTGCAATAAGCCCTTGTGAGCTGCTGGACAGTCAGTGCAGATGAGCCAGAGGTCTGATTGGGTATAATACAGCTTCCTGTGTTCCATATATACATGTACTTTTGTGAGCTCATAAAATAGTCCAAAAATGCCACTTGATGTGTTTACATAGAAGATCGGATCCAATTGTTTTCCAATTATCATGAATTCCTGCATTGCAGATGGCTCTTGGGTCCCTGCCAACTCTTAAGATTCTATGATGGAAACGAGACACATATAAAAAAACATTGTGAAAACGCTTTTTTAAAAAAGTTTTGAAAAATGTATTGAATTTGCCATAGCTCACCATCACCATCTAATGTAAGATTGTATAATGCACTTTACAGCACACTTAAATTATTTATTTATTTATTTATTTATTTATTTATTTGCTTGCTTGCTTGCTTGCTTGCTTGCAGCTATACACTATAGCTGCGTCCTAGGATTCAATTTACCTTCTGTCCACCCCAGCTGTAGGTTTTGTCCTGAAGATATCCACTTCTAATTTGTGGACGTTAGTGACAGTGTCAAGGAGTCATGTCTCCTCAAGGGTGACAAATGAACTTTATGAAGATTATTTTTGCATTTGGTATTTCATGTGCAAATGAGTAAAAAAAAAAAAGGCATAAAAGGTTTTGGAATTTGGTTTTTGTATGCAGTATTACTGATGCACATACAGTATCAGGATTGTGGAGGGGAGATTAATGAACCAAAGGACATTGTATCTGCCACAAGCTGTTGATAGAATGCTCAGGGATGTTTAAAAAATAATTTCGTGTGTGTGTTTGTTTCTCAGTTCCACGCTTTTACATGCATTGTGGTATTTTATGCATCACGACTTGCAGTTATTTTTATTGATCATAGTTTAGTAATTATTGTAATTGTTAAGAGTGAATTTTTGCTTAATTATTATCAGCTGATGTTCTGAGAGTTAATTTTATGGTGTACTATTAGATTCTAATACATCAAATAAAGTAATATACAATAATCTAAGTTGTTCCATTTTAAAGTTATGTTTGATTGTGACTTTTGGTATTGGATCAAATTATTAAAAGGTATGTGTTCTTTGTTGTATATTTTGTTGCTGTAAACTGCCTTGTACATAGTAATATAGAAAAGTGGTACAGTATTCATAGGGAGTGCAGTGGAAGCAATTCTCCTAGCTGTTTATGAATGCAGAAGCAGTTGAACATGGGGCAGTGGTGAGCCCATGAATCAATAAAGGAAGAGGGGAAATCCATTATTTCCTACAAACCGCCTTGTCCCACCATAACAGTCAGTGCTCAGTAAATGTAACTGCATTGAGGGGAGGTTAGATATTAGCCACAAAGCTTAGAGTGGGCAAGCCTGCTGAAAAGGCAATGGAAAACAAAAAGAAACCAGACTACTTGTCCACATTTAACAGTGCAAATTAGGAGGGTTGACCCCTGTGCTCCAGAGCAATGTTTCACAAACGTATAGCCAAGGCTCCTTATTCTGCTTCCAAGCCCGCAACCCATTGTTAGTTTCTCCCTTTCCTTCAGTAGGCGGTGGAGTCATTCAATCTGCACACACAGTTTCATGCATGCAGCCCAGTCCCACTACGGAACGGACGAGAAAACATGAAAAGCATCTCACCTCTCAAAGCTTCTGTTTCCTTGCTCTTCACTTTGTAAGTTTTTTTAATGTTATTTAGTCTAAAGGATTCGGAAACAACGAATGGTTAATACAATACTGGATTTTAGTTACAATTTAGTCACAACTATCTCCCCGGCGGCGTATCATCTCTATGGAAATGGTCAAGCTGTGCAACTTTGAAACTACTATTTCAAATTCAGACCAGATATTATCTTTCTTCCCTATCAATGTTGCACATGGGTAGAAAGAATTCTTAGACATATGCTCGGTTAGTTGTCATTCCCAATAAACAACCTCATCCACATCCTTGAGACTCCTTGGCATTTTGTGCAACAGAAGTATATATTTCTGTCTGCATCGCTCTCTTGTGAATAAAAACAATGTTCCCCAATACTCTCTGAAAACAAAAACCAAATATTATTGACTTCATACAGATCCTTGGCGCAGGGGCAGGATTTCTGCGTCAATTTGCTCAAAAAATTATTTAAGGCCACACCTCCTTAACTTTTACCTAATGGCTTCCTTTCCATCAAATTCAGGAGGCACAAGCTCAGCATTGTCACTGAAGATATTACCATGGCTTGGTTCATTTGTAAGAGCAGTGCTGGTATAGCTTCCTCTTGATTTAAACCAGTAGGACTTCTTCAGGAAAAAGAAGGGAGGATAGGGCACGCCATATTTGTCTAAGATACACATATAAAAAAGGTTTTATGCATCAAAAGGTTCTATTAATTCTTGGTATTAAACATGTAACACACTTCAAATTTATCAGCCCTTGCTACTTCTCTATAGCACAGTCTCAGTGACCAACATTTAGTGGAAATGGATGTTGCAGCTTACTTAAACAGTCATTCATTCAAATATGTAGTGGTTGTGGAACAAGTCACATAACTTTAACCGAATAGATACATCGGTTGCATTCAGGCAATCATATCTTGGATTATTAAGCCTCAGCCTCTTTCCTGTTCCCTTCACACAAGTCACATTAAACTCAAAATGTCTCTAACTGATCATAGCTTTGTGTTTCATCTGAACTAGGAAACTATGGCTGCTAATTTCAGAACAAAGCGGGATTTTGCCTTGCTCTAAAGCCAGTAAACGTCATTTTCTGGTTCAGGCAAAACAAGAAACTATGGTTAATTAGAGACTTCCTGGTTTGATTGCTCATATCTTGCAGGGAAAAGCAAAGGGGTTGTAAAATGTGCTTTTAACTGTCCTAGATGAAAGCAGGGCTAGGACCTAAAAGCTAACAAAGTTTCTTTAAATATATCTTCATAGAATCCATATTTGGATAATGCTTATGCTTTCAGAATCTTAAACAGAATATATAAGCTACTACATCTCAAGCAAGGTCTAGTACTGCTGCTCCAATCATGCTAATCGGAAATACGATAGAAGGCTTCTGCATTGCATTCGATCGCAAACGTTTGGAATTTGGGTGAGCTTTTTTTGGCATTCCTCCCATTCTGGACAATCTCCCCATTTTCTTAATATTGAGTCCCAAAAACTAAGGGGCGTCTTATCCATGGGGGCGTCTTATAGACGAAAAAGTATGGTTATTGTCACAAGAATAGGGTGGATCCTATCCCTATGTCAAAGACCAGAGTACATCTCAAATCTCAAAGGCCAGGAGGTACACCTGCAGTATGTCAGAAACTCTTCTTACTGGGACTTATGGATATACAGTTAGAAAAAGACTATGGAACTTTGCTACAATATTGTGATTGTGGCTGCAAGTCTTTTATATGCACAAAGATGGAAGGGCCCACTATTACCAACAACAGAAGAACAGCTGTTAAAACAGACTTAGCAGAGATGGAGAAATTGGCCTTGTTTAATGCATTGTGAACATTTGTTAAAGACTGGAACTCCCTCATGGACTTTTTGCATGAAAAATAAAATAAAATACTGATATCTGAATTTGAGGATTGAAGATAATGTTTGTTTATAAAAAACGGTTTTGTTTGGTGTTATATTGGATTGGATGAAGTGACTATTGTTTTTATATATAGTGGACAGATGAACAATTGGAAGTCCTTTATTTTCTGAACCTTATTTTTCTCTCTTTCTCTTTTAATCTCTTTCCTTCTCTTTTTATTTCTTTCCTTTTCTTTCTCTAGCTCTCTCCCTTGCCCCTCCCATTTTTGTGTTTTTATTGTATTTAGATAAAAGCCTCGGTTTGATTTGGTGGTTGTTGTTTTTTTAAAGGAAAAAGATATTAACTTTCGTATTTTTCTCTATGGAACTTAATAACATTTATTTAATAAAGAAACCATACAATGAAAGTGCCATCTGGGAGAGAGAAGTCCACAGCTTGGGGGCTGCCACAGGGAATGCCCCTCTCCTCAAAAAAACTTATGAGAGCAATGGAAGTACAGTTGTACCTCAGTTTTCGAGTGTCTTGGAAGCCGAACATTTTGGGACCCGAATGCCAAAAACCCAGAATTAAATGCTTCCGTTTTCAAATGTGCCTCAGAAGTCAAACAGCTTCCACTGCATGTTTTTCCATTTTCTCCACTGAATGCTTGCACGTTTTCTGCGGACTTCCCACAGGTATCTTGTTGGTTACTGTGAGAACAGGATCCTGGGCTTGTTGGCTCTTTGGCTCTTTTATGTTCTTACCAAGAACATAAAGGTAAAGGGTAAAGGGACCCCTGACCATTAGGTCCAGTCGTGACAGACTCTGGGGTTGCGGCACTCTTCTCGCTTTACAAACCAAGGGAGCTGGTGTTTGTCCGCAGACAGCTTCCAGGTCATGTGGCCAGCATGACTCTGGCGAACCAGAGCAGTGCACGGAAACGCTGTTTACCTTCCCACCGGAGCGGTACCTATTTATCTACTTGCACTTTGATGTGCTTTCGAACTGCTAGGTTGGCAGGAGCTGGGACCGAGCAACGGGAGCTCACCCCGTCACGGGGATTCGAACTGCTGACCTTCTGATCGGCAAGTCCTAGGCTCTGTGGTTTAACCCACAGCGCCAACCGCGTCCCTACCAAGAACATAAACCACTTCTAAAGTCAACGGATGAGAGAGTGGGGAAGGAGGCAAGCCTTTCAGATATTTGCTTAGGGTTTTAAACACTAGTGGTGTGAAACATCTTCAACTGGGCCCAGAAACAAATGCAACTGATGCAGCTGTTTTAAAGCAACAATTATGCAGCTAGCATGCTTGTCGTATGCTTACCGGGTATGACCTTGTTAAAATAGAGGGCCAGCAACATATATAAAGTACCGTCAAAAACCAGGATATATGTGCATGGTTCATGCATTAGGCTAGACAAGGTGAAGTTTCCTCCATATTTTTGAACATGGAGAATCTGTGGGTGGAAAGGACAACGTCTAAGTCCCCGTGGGTCAAAACTGGAGGAAGAAAAGTTTGAAACGGAATTAGCCCCTCGCTGCCTGTTGTTTAAAAGCTAGCCCCATGTAAGCGAAGCATGGATCACAGTTAAGTAAAATAGAATAGAATACAGAGGAGCACCTGTTGTATCAGTACAGTCATACCTCGGGTTACAGATGCTTCAGGTTTTGTTTTTTCAGGTTGCGAAACCCAGAAGTACTGGAACAGGTTACTTCCGGGTTTCGGCGGTCGTGCATGCGCCGAAGCGCTAAATCACACTTTGCGCATGCGCAGAAGCACTGAATCGCAACCCGCGTGGGTTGTGAACGCTGCGGATTGCGAACATGCATCCTGCATGGATCACGTTCGCAACCTGAGTGTTCACTGTATACAGATTTCTGTACATTCACTCTCAGAATACCTTAAGAGAGGCGAATGGAAAGGGCGGGGATTGCCCAACACACTTTCCTGCATAAAGGAAAGGGTAAATGGGTGCTCTCCCCTCAGCTCTCCATGTGCAGAAGCCATCTGGACCAGAAGCTGGACCTTACTTCAGTACTGGTGACGGGACAACACCACTGCACCTGTGGGCAGCAGGTTAGTTTCGGAGGCACAGGGCATGTCATGTGGCACACACAGCAATGTCCTCCCCTGCTTTACACTGTGCATGGCAGCACTGGTGGAGGAAGAGGAGTGCTGGGGGAGCGCACCGCCCCTGGCAGCGCAATCCAGGTAGGCTGCTGCCCCCCTGCAGGTGGCATGCCGCGCCCCCTGGGACGTGTGCCAGCCCTGCCCCCACCAGCTCTCCACCCCCACCCCCCCGGTGCTGGAGCATGAAGCTCTGCCACTGCATGGCAGGGCCAGCCCTGGAAAATGCCCGTGCTACCATGATGGTTGGGATCTTTCTCCACCACAGGCGCCAACTCTATAGGGCTGAGGTTCCTTCAACTAGGCAGGCTGAGCCACCCCGTTTTGCCCCCTGTTCCACCCTCCGCCTCAGCCCCAGGCTGAGGTAGAGGAAGCTGCAAGCCCCGGGGCTGAGGCAAGGGGCAGCCGACGGCTACGCCTTTGCTGGGAAAGGGGGGGGGGCATGGTTTCTACCATTACCCTGCTGAAGAGAGTCGTCAGGAAGGGTTAGGCTGTGCTGTGGCATTTGTTGCATCAGGTACAGGGGCAAAGAAACAGATGCTCTGCTGTGAATGTGACACACAGAGAGCAGGAAAAGAAATAAGGGGCTGCAGGCCAGCATGGTAGGGCAGGGTGGGGAGAACTGACAGGGTTTCACTTTCCTGTTTTTGAAAGGACAGAGCTGGCCCCCTGCCTCCATGGTCAGCCTCCTCCCAACCCAGTGTGCGTCACACGCGCAACAGGCCCCACAATGTTGGGCACAACTCGGCACCTCTGCTCTCCACTGAAAACATGCCTGAAAATCAGCTTCACCAAGGTTGGGGGGGGTAGAATTTTGTTTCCATCCCAAATAAAGCACAGCACCCTACCTTTGACAGTTCAACACCAAAGGCGAAGGGGCAGAAGACACTCAAAGTCCATTTCAAAGCTGCAGGAACTAAATTGATCAACAGAGCAATGCTGATGGCTCCAAGAGTAAACATGAAGAGGAAGACAACGAATGAAGTGGTCTTAGGCTTCTTTAAGAGAGAACTGACCATGAAGCAGAAGCATATCTGAAAAACAGGAAACAACCAGTTAGCAGGAATTGAGTTCGATACTATAGTGGTACCTTGGGTTAAGTACTTAATTCGTTCCGGAGGTCCGTTCTTAACCTGAAACTGTTCTTAACCTGAAGCACCACTTTAGCTAATGGGGCCTCCTGCTGCTGCCGTGCCGCCGGAGCACAATTTCTGTTCTCATCCTGAAGCAAAGTTCTTAACCTGAAGCACTATTTCTGGGTTAGCGGAGTCTGTAACCTGAAGCGTATGCAACCCGAGTTACCACTGTAATTTAAAGAGATTGGATTGCTATCGAAGTAAGTCGTGCTTTGAGCAGACCCACTAAAATCAACAGACTTAAGTACCAGTATTTTTCGCTCTATAAGACGCACCCGACCATAAGACGCACCTAGTTTTTAGAGGAGGAAAACAAGAAAAAAAAATATTCTGCATCTGAGGCCTCTCCCCTCCTTGTGCTATGCATTTGAGCGCTCCTGAGCCTTGCCAGGGGCTGCCGATGCCACAGCAGCTGCTGCTGCTGCTTCCAGCACATCAAGGGGCTTGCGAGGAATAGAGCCAGGCAGCCGGCTTAGGGGGCAGCCGGGCTCTCAGGAAGGTTCAAGAGAAGCCCAAGGCAGCTGGGGAAAACAAGAGGAAGAGGAAGGAGGAGGGAGGATCAGGCTAAGGAGCCGCTGGTCCGCGCGCCCGTAAGGCTCCCTTCCGTCCCTCATCCTGCTTCGCGTCTCCGCTCCTCCACATGCAGCTGCTGGGTGACCTTGGGCCAGTCACACTTCCTTGAAGTCTCTCAGCCCCACTCACCTCACAGAGTGTTTGTTGTGGGGGAGGAAGGGAAAGGCGAATGTTAGCCGCTTTGAGACTCCTGAAGGGGAGTGAAAGGCGGGATATCAAATCCAAACTCTTCTTCTTCTTCTTCGCTGGGAAGGCAGCACAAGAGGCTTTGCGCAGCTCTCCCTCTTGCTGTTCTGGCTTCTGGGATAGCTGCGCAGCCTGCATTCGCTCCATAAGATGCACACACATTTCCCCTTACTTTTTAGGAGGGAAAAAGTGTGTCTTATGGAACGAAAAATACGGTAAATTGGTGGTCAAATGGCAAATGCAATTCAATGTAAACAAGTGAAACTGATACGTGTCTGGTGGGGGCATATTAATTTTACATATATGCTCATTAGGTTAATCATGACTAATCCCATTTGCCAGTAACCTCCACAATCTGTTACATGGGGAGGTTGTGCACAAAGGGCTACAGGGTGGAGGAGAGGAAGTCCCATTACACAGGCAGATATGCAATGTTGGATGTCACTTGAAACCTGTCCATATTTTTTATTTTATTTTAAATTTTAAAATAATGTTAAGAGATACAAACAGAGAGCAAGCAGGGCAAGTTCTTCACTGACTGCCTTCTTCAAACACAGGACCATTTCCCCAAAAGGGAATATTTAAACCTTTCTTATCCTGAGCCATTGTTGGCAAAGTGTCTCAAGAAGAGGACTAAATGATTTCTTTGCCCCATAGCATCTCCGAATTCCTTCCAACAATCCTCAGAAGGATGTTTGGTGGTGGTGGTGGTATTGTTTAAAAAAGATAAAATCTGGAAAAAGGCACAGTTGGCTTACCCTAAGTTTCTTTCCAACTGTGTACAGAGGGCATCCTTACTCAGAGGACAACCCACAATCAAAATGTAGGAGAAAATGTTACAGTGGTATCTCTGGTTATGAACTTGATTCGTTCCGGAGGTCCGTTCTTAACCTGAAACCATTCTTAACCTGAGGTACCACTTTAGCTAATGGGGCCTCCCACTGCGGATGCGCTACCGGCATGCGATTTCTGTTCTCATCCTGAGGTAAAGTTTTTAACCCGAGGTACTACTTCCGGGTTAGCGGAGTCTGTAACCCGAAGTGTTTGTAACCCGAGGTGTTTGTAACCCGAGGTACCACTGTATTTGGAATGTGACAGCTAGCATTCTGCTGGCTTAACTGCAGCCAGGCCTGTGTCTGAAGCATGGGGCCAGAGTCTTGTTTCCCCCGTAAAGTTCCTGGTTGGCTGGGAGGCATGAGATGTTCCTGGCATGACAATGTAAGTCTGGCAGGGTCCTGGCAGGGAGCCCCTGGCCAGCTTAGCCCTCCAAGGTCTGGGGCAAAGTACTCAGCTGCCCACCACCTGCACTGGCCTGACTGCTGCCACCCCCACCCCCCCGAATTAAGTACTTTATAGAATAAAATTCACATACTCACACATGATATGCCATAAAGGAAGAGCAGAAAGAATACTGCAGGAAAGGTGCTTGCAGACAAATAGGAACTCATCAAGGGAAATGCCAACAGACAGGACAAAATCGCAACGTACACAGCATACAGCAGACCCCAGGATAGCCTATGATGGAAAAATCCTGTTAGTCTTCTTGACAATTTGAACTCCGGCACGTGATTGGGATAAAGGGTATGCAGAATGAAAGAGGACAAAGACGACACTCAAAGTTGCGTAAGTGAGAAATTTGACATAGAAGCATCCATGGAAGTTTTGTTTTATGACTGGAAGGGCTCAAATGGTGTTTTTTTAAACTTTTATTGATAAATACAATACTTACAAACACAAAACAAAACACAAAACAAACTTATTATACACACATACATACACCTCTCAACTTAGATTACAAAAAAGAAAACAAACAAACAAACTAAACATGCAAACATAAATCTTGACTTCCCTCCACCTCTGTGTGGCTTCCTTTATTTCTTTTCTTTTTTTCACTGTGTTATCAATATTATTTTTGACTATCTCATCTTATACCCATTTCTTCTTTATTTTTTACTCTATAAGTTTCATTCATTGCATATTGATATATTAATACCAGAACAATGTTTTTTGATGTATTCCTTCACGCAAGTCCACTCCTCAGTTTTTGGTCTGATTGACCTCTTACCACTGCTTTAAGTCTTGCTGATTCTATGTACAGTGGTACCTCTGATTACGTACTTAATTTGTTCCGGAGGTCCATTCTTAACCTGAAACTGTTCTTAACCTGAAGCACCACTTTAGCTAATGGGGCCTCCTGCTGCCGCTGCGCCGCCGGAACACGATTTCTGTTCTCATCCTGAAGCAAAGTTCTTAACCTGAAGCACTATTTCTGGGTTAGCAGAGTCTGTAACCTGAAGCGTATGTAACCTGAGGTACCACTGTATTCACAAAATCTTATTTGCCATTCTCTTACTGAGGGAGTTTTTTTTTCTCCTGGAAGGGATCAAATGTTTAGGCAGATGGAACCATGCTCTTCACCCTTGCTAATGGCAGCTGATGATGTAGAGTAAGAAAGGGGAAATAAACAACCCAATGGCAACAGTGGCGTAGCGTGGGTTGTCAGCACCCGGGGCAAGGCAAGTAATTTGCGCCCCCTAACCCGTGGATTTGCGCCCCCTAACCCTAACCCCCAGATGTTGCGCCCGGTGTGGCCGGTCCCCCCTGCACCCCCCACGCTACACCACTGAATGGCAACACAGCCAAGGTAGGAGTACCAGAAGATTATGCTGAGGGAAAATAACTCAGGTTCCCATTTGAAGCAGCACCTCCATGTTCAGTGTTGTCTAATGACCTAAGAGTGCCCAAGGTGGTAACATTTCCAGTCCAATCTCTATTATGATTAAGGAACTATAGTCTAAAATACAAAAACTCAGATCTAGGGGCCTCGTATCATTCTTTTATCCTTTTTCTCATAGGAAGCCAATCCCATGGCTCACCAGAATGCTGTGTCTCGTAGCCCCATTGTCTTCATCATCTCCTTCAATTTCCGTTTTTCTCCTGAAACATTTTGTGACAAGAAGTACAAAAATGGAGAGAAGCACAAGACTGTAGCCAGAAAGGTCAGGTTGCTTGCTAAGCTATCTGAAGGAGTAAGAGAAGGCGATCTCATACGGATGCCACCAATAGATTTCATTTCGTCCCAAACAGAATGATTGGTGATCAGCTAAAAATTAAAATTAAGAAGGCAACAGTGTTAGGAAAAAGTCATTGAACAATTCCATAACAGTTCTGGAGTATTTCACAATTCTCATTGCCACATGAACCTGTTGCTTATCCCCGTTTTGCAGACATAGCTCAATGGCAAAAAGGTCTTCACATGTCGCCACTCTGGGCGGCTTCCAACAAATTATTAAACCACAGTATTACCAAGAAGGCCCTCTGTAATCTCACTTCTTGCCAGTGATTTTTTTCCTTAAAAAATGTTTAGGGGTACTCTCATTTGGACTCAAGAAAATCACCATTTTATATTTCAAATCGAGGAAAATAAATACAGTAAATGGACAAAAGTACAAAGTTTCACAAAATGTTTAGGGGTATGCATAGCCTTGCACCCCCCCCCCCCGAAAAAAGCACTGCTTCTTGTAATGAGGGAACTTCCAGAAGGCCCTTGGAGCTGGATCTCAGTGTCCGGGTTAAATGATGGAGGTGGAGGTGCTCCTTCAGGTATACAGAAGGTATACATTTAGGATTTTGTTTAGAAGCAGAAGTTGAATTGCCTCCTAGCCCTAGAATACATAGATGCAAGAAAATCTAGGCTTGGGCAGTCACAAAGCAAAAGGCCTTGTGACAGAGAGCCCAGCTTAATAAAACTATAAGGGACTTGTTGACAGTAAAAAGCTCCTGGAGAGCAGGCTGAGCGCTTGCAGCTGGGCCTGGGTGAAGTTTGTCAGACTAGACCAGTGTTTCCCAAAGTGGGCAATACTGTTAGGTTGTGGGTGAACATATCAGATGACACTGCGATTCTTCAAACAGCTCTTGTTTATTCACAGGCCAGGACAGAACTGAACTGAAGGGTTCAGTCAGCCTGCCTATATAGAGTTCCAGTACAATGTAACTGTAACAATTTTCTAAAACTATCCAATCACTGAACGTCACTTTCGATCCCTTATTTGCATAACTATCTACAGTATCCCCTTGCTGGCCCAGGGTGAGAACTTCATTATATAACAAATACCACCCCCTGGGGGGCACTGGGACGATCCAGGGGAGCAGTAGAAGCCTCTGGTGCAATTGGGGGGGTATTGAATAAAAATAAGGGAGCAGTGGAAGCATAAAGAAAGAAGAGGAGAAAATTCTGAAAAACCATTCATACATGTTTCATCTGTTGTGCAATGACGCTTATCACCAGGTTGGGCACAGTCGTGGGATGGCAACAATGCCTCCCCTGGATCCGGCGGTTGTGCTGGAGGCAAGGGGTTTTCCCAGGCTTCGGTGAACCCTCTTCAGCTTCACCCAGGCCCAGGAAGTGGATCACAGCTTGCTTGCTTGCTTGCCTATTTATAACGTCAAGCTTCAAGGTGTCTTATTTACAACAGCATCTTTCTTTACTGTGTTGTAGGACTTAGGTAGAAATATAGATGCATAAAAGAAGGCAAATTTATCACTGCATCTTTCTGTTTGTTTGATTAAAGACGGCAAATTTCCAGGGGGCAGTAGGCCAAATAAGTTTGGAACCCTCTGGACTAGACTATATAAGCCTCAGGGATGGAGGACCTATGACCCTTGAGATGTTGCTGAATTCCAGCTCCTGTCTTCCCTCATCTTTAGCCATGCGGGGCTGATACAAGTTGGAAGCTAACAACAATCAGTGGACCACAGATTCCCCATCACTGACTCAGCTGAGGTCTGGGAGCTGCTAAAACAATTTGTGTCTTTCATTTTCCAGATGCTTATGAACTGCATGTTTCACTTAATCTGCCCTACCTTGTTATGAGGGGATGTGGGTGGTGCTGTGGGTTAAACCACAGAGCCTAGGACTTGCCAAACAGAAGGTCGGCGGTTCGAATCCCCGTGACAGGGTGAGCTCCCGTTGCTCAGTCCCTGCTCCTGCCAACCTAGCAAATCGAAGGCACATCAAAGTGCAAGTAGATAAATAGGTACCGCTCCGGCGGGAAGGTAAACGGCATTTCCGTGCGCTGCTCTGGTTCACCAGAAGCGGCTTAGTCATGCTGGCCACATGACCCGGAAGCTGTACATGACTCCCTCGACCAATAAAGCAAGATGAGCACTGCAACCCCAGAGTCGGTCACGACTGGACCTAATGGTCAGGGGTCCCTTTACCTTTACCTTTTTTACCTTGTTATGAACTATTGCTTGTTTCTGGATTGAGATTTCCCTTGTGTTTCTGATCCCAGTGTCCTTTCGACCTGGTTCTGGATGGGGTTACTCCACCCTTTCCCTGAAAATTGAGACTCACCTGGCCTGATCAGGACACCTTCCTGATGGTGAATATGCAAGAGGGAAAGTAAACAGTTTTTAATGGTACTCAAGTGTACAGTTGCTACTCATTTATTAATGCACAGCCCAGATGTGTTTCTTCAAGTGTGTACTTGTGTTGCAGAGGGTCTATTTCCCCATATATACAGAAAGCTGGAGCCTGGAGCTGTTGTATTGTCAAGGAAGCAACTCAGACTTAAGGCTGGGCTTGGGTTAACTTTGTTGTCAGACTTCCACATTTTTATATTACATTTAATATATATCTTGATAGGGAGACTAATATGATACAGCAGTGTATGCCTCAAATAATAAAATAACGCTACTTACTTCAATAATAGCACTGTCAATGCTGGACTGCAGTGATAGAAATCCTTGAAACCAGTATTTTGGATTTTTACAATAGTATGATGTATAGTTGTAACAGTAATCTACAAGCAAGAAGATGAAGACGTGGACAGTGTGTTATATGCACATTCTATTAGGTTCCCTACAGTTATGGAAGCATTGAAAATGTACGGTAATTAAACCAGATTTAATCAGAAGGGAATATCAAATGTTCTAAAAGATTCTTTGCTCGGTAAATCCTATGAAAGGTCTGAAGGAACATAATTTAAAAGCTTTCCAAAAGTATCCTAATCTGAAATTTTCTTCAGATTTTGACGTTCTGAATTATCTGGTCTCATTTCTGAAGTAGGACATATATGTTAGAAATGCTTTATCACCTCCTATTCCACAGGGTTCTGGCCTAAAAGTTATGCATGCTCAGAGCAGGGACAGAGTAGAGGAGCAGGTAGATGAATATGTGTGCATGACTACTTTAAATATCTTCCTACATGAAGAAAAAGGAGCAGAAGTATTTAATTATTTATAGGTCTATATATAGGGACGCGGGTGGCACTGTGGGTTAAACCACAGAGCCTAGGACTTGCCGGTCAGAAGGTTGGTGGTTCGAATCCCCGCGACGGGGTGAGCTTCCGTTGCTCAGTCCCTGCTCCTGCCAACCTAGCACTTCGAAAGCACGTCAAAGTGCAAGTAGATAAATACCGGTAGGTACCGCTCCGTTGGGAAGGTAAACGGCGTTTCCGTGCGCTGCTCTGGTTTGCCAGAAGCGGCTTAGTCATGCTGGCCACATGACCCGGAAGCTGTATAACAGTAATCGGCCAGTAAAGCGAGATGAGCGCCGCAACCCCAGAGTCGTCCGCAACTGGACCTAATGGTCAGGGGTCCCTTTACCTGTACCTTTAGGTCTATGTATAGGATAGATATGCAGCTGTCCATTCTACATTAAAAGATTACTCATCTTTATTAACTTAATATGTGGGTCCAGATCTGCACCCGATTGCACAGTACACCTATGAATATCTAAGAAATGAAATGTAAATACAAAGGCATATTGGATTTACCGATTTCTTCAACATTAGCGCTTGGAGAAACCACTCTAGGATAAGAAAATCTGAGTCGATAAGAAGTGTCGTCCTGAAAAACAACTCCAGCATATTCATAGTCATCATCATCATATTCATTCTTTTGCGCGGCTTCCATTGCATTTTCATCTTCTACCGGTTCTACTCTTACACCTTTAGTTCAAAAAAATTGCAGTTATATATGAGCCTCCATACAGAGAGACTGAGTGAGAGAAATGGCTTCTTGTGTAGAGGCTGCAAGCAATTCAAGTGTATCATTATGACATGGGCATCTCACAAGATTATAGAGCTTAGGACAAACTCGGCGCTCCATATGTTTTGGGACTACAACTCCCATGATCCCTAGCTAACAGGACCAGTGGTCAGGAATGATGGGAACTGTAGGCCCAAAACATCTGGAGGGCCGAATTTGCCTATGCCTGGCTTAGGATAAGGAAACCACAGACAACTTTGCATGCTGCAATCTCACTCCCTAACCACCTCCCTCTTGCATGCCTGTGGGAAGTTGCCAAAGTTAGCCACTCCCCCCCCCAAAGGTGCAGCCAGGGCAGGCCAAAACACTGGGGTTCTCTGGTGGTCCCTGGTCCCCAGTTGAAGAAACACTGTTCTGCTGTTGACAGATGGCTTGATTCCTCAGAAGAGGTCTCAATCCTGCCTGAAAAGGGCTGTTTGACAGGGGAACCCTCTGCTTTATTCACTCTGGGGGGACAAAAGGGTACTCTGCACATGGACAAAGACACTCATTATTTGCCTATCTCTTCTAGATCACACTCCTGTCATAGAAAACAGCCTCCAGAGCTCATCCATTTTCAACTTAAGCCTTACTAAAGAAATAACGTAGCAAAATGTTTTAATAGATAGTATATACCTTTCATGACAGAGGTGGTTTTTACTTTCTCCATGATTTCCATTGCCATCTTTGTTCTTGGAGTATACATGATCCTAAGTTCTGTATAATTGAAGGAAGGATCATCTAGTTGACCAAGGAATGCCTGAGGTATTTCATGAGTTGGCTCAGAGTATATCCATGCTGTTGTTAGGTAAAATGTGAGGAGGAGACCCAACACCAGGAACCACTCCTAGAAATAACAAACAAGTCACTGACTAGAACAATACATTGGATGTTTTAAGCTATGAGAATGTTTTTGTTCCTATGGGTTCCTATGGTTCCATATATAAAGTTAAAGGTAAAGGTAAAGGACCCCTGGATGGTTGTCCAGTGAAAGGCGACTATGGGGTTGCAGCGCTGATCTCGCTTTCAGGCCGAGGGAGCCGGCGTTTGTCCACAGACAGTTTTCCGGGTCATGTGGCCTGCATGACTAAACCACTACTGGCAAAACCAGAGCAGTGCACGGAAACGCCGTTCACCTTCCCGCCACAGCAGTACCTGTTTATCTACTTGCACTAGTATGCTTTTGAACTGCTAGGTTGGCAGGAGCAGGGACAGAGCAACGGGAGCTCACCCCGTCGCGGGGATTCGAACCACCGACCTTCCGATCAGCAAACCCAAGAGGCTCAGTTGTTGTTTAGACGACAGCGCCACCTGCATCCCCATTTCCATATATAGTGGAAAGGGGATGAAGGAATGCCCCATGCCCCTGTTGAACACAAGCATTCTTGTACACATGTGCACGAATATGCACATATCTATAACCCCCACAAATAGATTGGATTTGCCCATAAAGGTGGGGTCACTCCTTCAAGAGCTAGAAAAATGGAGCAGAAGCTTTTTCTGCTCGGAAAAGCATGGGCAAACGTCTGCACAGAAAACATGTGAAACATGAGCATTGTATTCTGGGGTCCTACACCTTTGTTCCAGAGAAAGCGTTACGGGCCTCCAATACCTCCCTTGCATTGCTAGGGAAAATTGTGATCTTTTGGGCTCCATGTCAGCTCCTCAGGTGAGCCTCCCTGGGGAGGGCCTTCTACAAGTGGGCAGCCACTGCAGAAATGGCTTGTTCTCATACTGCCACCCTCCAGACCTCTTGAGACACACAAAGACAGGCCTCAAATGATGATCACAGGGTCCGGGTCAGTTCATATGGGGAGAGGCAGTGCTTGAGGTATTGCGGTCTTGAGCCATATAAAGATTTTATAGGTCAAAACCAGCACTTTGAATTTGGGCCCAGAAACTAATTGGCAGCCAGAGCAGTTGGACCAGGAATGGCTTTATATGCTGAAACCTTCTTGCCCCAGTGAGCCACTGAATTCTGCACCAGCTGAAGTTTCGGAACCAACTTCAGAAGCAGCCCCAGGTATAACATATTGCAGTAATCTAACCTAGAGCAGAGACAACAGAAGTTAGGCTATCCTGGTCCAGATGGGTCACCAGCTTAAGCTGATGGAAGGCACCCCATGCCACCAAGACCACCTGAGCCTCAGGTGACAGCAGTGGATCCTCAAGCTCTGTACCTGCTCCTTCAGAGGATGTATAGTTCCATCAAGAGCAGGCAGCCTCCCATTCATCTAATCTAAGGAACCACCCACTAACAGTGCCTCAGTCTTATCTGGATTGAGCCTCAGTAATCCAGTCTATTACCAAAGCAAGGCACTAGTCCAGCACTTCTACTGCCTCACCTGCAGATGTAAAGGGGAAGTATAGCTGTGTGGTTTTGACTGTTTTAAAATGACCATTACAGATCTTCCTGTTTGATTAATCCTAGTTTTCCTAGACTCAAGCAAGCCTTTGCAGCTCTCAGTTTCCAGATGTTTTCATTGGCTATGACTGACGGCCAAGATTATCAGATTTTCCCGGCGTAGCATAGATGTATTTGGGGGAATATGTGGATAGAAGATCTTCCACACTACATTTTATTTTGTCCTTTGTACCTGGAACTGCATTTTAAATGTGTAGAATTTATTGGGATTACATTCAGAATCCATCAAAGAAAAGATTTGTTTTCTGTTGGCAGACCTTTTAATGACTTATAAGGTATCTCTTTTTTTTGTACTGACTTCTGTAAGGATCTGGGTGAAAGAGTTTTCAAGGCACAATGATGCTCTGATATTTATTTGATTACTCATAGTTGTTTTTCCTAATCCTTTGATATTGCCTGTTTGTTTGTTTTTTTAAAAAAAGCTTTTAAAAAATCTATTTTATATAAGTAGTATTTGCAGTATTTGCATACCTTTGAACTTGTCTGATTTTTGGAAAGGCCTTTGTTTGTGTGAAATACAAGCCTGACTTGAATTGGAGCCATGGTGGTGTATTACAAAATCAACTTACTACACTTATGTAACCCCTTTAAAATTCTGCCAACTTTTTACTGTTCCAGCCAGTATAGTTTAAGGAGAGAAATACCTCTCCCCCCATCTTTTTAATTTTTTTTTGCAAAAGCAAAATTAGAACCATGTCTTTTAAATGTAAGAATATATTGACAGTGCTTATCACAGTAGCAATGCTATACTGAACAGAGCTTTATCATTACAGTGGTACCTCGGGTTACAGATGCTTCAGGTTACAGACACTTCAGGTTACAGACTCCACTAACCCAGAAATAGTACCTCGGGTTAAGAACTTTGCTTCAGGATGAGAACAGAAATCACGTGGCGGCGTGGCGGCAGCAGGAGGCCCCATTAGCCAAAGTGGTACCTCAGGTTAAGAACAGCTTCAGGTTAAGAAGGGACTTCCAGAACGAATTCAGTTCTTAACCTGAGGTACCAGTGTAATAGCAAATTAAAACTAACAGGAAAAGAGGATGCAAGGGAGAAGTACTGCAGCTATCTTTAAGTTAAGAATTAAGTAAAGGTAAAGGGACCCCTGACCATTAGGTCCAGTCGTGGCCAACTCTGGGGTTGCAGCGCTCATCTCGCTTTATTAGCTGAGGGAGCCAGCGTACAGCTTCCAGGTCATGTGGCCAGCATGACTAAGCCGCTTCTGGTGAACCAGACCAGCACACAGAAGCACCGTTTACCTTCCCGCCAGAGCGGTACCTATTTATCTACTTGCACTTTGACGTGCTTTCGAACTGCTAGGTTGGCAGGAGCAGGGACTGAGCAACAGGAGCTCACCCCGTCGCAGGGATTCGAACCGCCGACCTTCTGATTGGAAAGCCCTAGGCTCTGTGGCCACCCGCGTAAATATGATCTATTTATTGTTAATTTTAGGTTTGAAGTTATTGCATAAATATGTTATTAGTAGCTTTTTCTTTTAAGAGGCAGCAAAGTGGGAGAAAGGAGAAACAAACCAGAAGCGGAAGTTGGGGGGAGCCTAGGAGGGGAGGGAGGAGGGATTGCATAGTAAATGTTATGAATGTGAGATGTGTGTGATGAATGAGAAAAAAAAATGAATTTAAAAAAAGAAAAAAAGAAAAAAGTAAGAGGGAAGGGAGGAAGGCTGCTGGCAAAGCGGCGTGGCTCCCTTTCCACCCCACCCTGCCATGTGCAGCTTGCTCCACCCCCAATGGGCGGCTCACTCCGCCCCCATGGGCATCTAACCCCCTGGGACACTCGCCACGGCGCCCCCCTGGGAATGCTTGTCCCTCCCCCCTGGGACGTTCGCCCCGCCCCCGGGTGCACAGCATATGCTTGCATGGCTGTTTGTTGCAGCAGCCCTGGCTACAAGCTCCCCAGGGCAAATGGTGGCTCTAGGGCTGGCCAGGCACCTCTGTTTGGGGCAGGCAGGGCAGCTCAGAAACCAGGGGCGGTGGCGGCTGCTGCCTGGAGGACTCCCAAGGAGAGGGGAGAGGGGAGGAGCCTGAAGAAACACACCACAAAGGAGGGTGTTTGAAAAGGGGTGAGGGGCTGCAGGAGCAGCAGGCAAGGGGTGACTTAACTGGGCTACAGAGGCTTGGAGCGCAATTCCCCCACCGGAGCCTCAAAAAGAATATAGTTGGTCAAGGGAGCCATGGACTAAAAACAGCTGAAAACCTCTGATATATGCTATGGCCCAGATTCATAGGATCCATTCAATTATCATAGGTGAACTTTTACCCAGTTACAGCAAATAGCCATACAGGTGTCTGTTTGTCTTTATGATTGATTATATTTTGTTGGACTGTTATTCAGTATAATAACAACAACAACAACAACAATAATAATAATATTAATATTAATAATAATAATTTGTTATTTATACCCCACCCGTCTGGTTGGGTTTCCCCAGCCACTCTGGGCGGCTTCCTACAAAATATTAAAATACAATGGTCTGTTAAACATTAAAAACTTCCCGAAACAGGGCTGCCTTCAGATGTCTTCTAAAAGTCTGGTAGTTGTTTTTCTCTTTGATATCTGATGGGAGGGCGTTCCATAGGGCGGGTGCCACTACCGAGAAGGCCTCTGCCTGGTTCCCTGTAGCTTTGCTTCTCGCAGTGAGGGAACTGCCAGAAGGCCCTCGGCACTGGACCTCAGTGTCCTGGCAGAACGATGGGGGTGGAGACGCTCCTTCAGGTATACTGGGCCGAGGCTGTTTGGGGCTTTAAAGGTCAGCACCAACTTTGAATTGTGCTCGGAAACATACTGGGAGCCAGTGTAGGTCTTTCAAGACCGGTGTTATATGGTCTCAGCGGCTGCCCCCAGTCACCAGTCTAGCTGCCGCATTCTTGATTAGTTGTAGTTTCTGGGTCACCTTCAAAGGTAGCCCCACGTAGAGCGCATTGCAGTAGTCCAAGCAGGAGATAACTGGAGCATGCACCACTCTGGCGAGACAGTCTGCGGGCAGATAGGATCTCAGCCTGTGAACCAGATGGAGCTGATAAACAGCAGCCCTGGACACAGAATTGACCTGTGCCTCCATGGACAACTGTGAGTCCAAAATGACTCCCAGGCTGCGCACCTGGTCCTTCAGGGGCACAGTTACCCCATTCAGGACCAGGGAATCCTCCACACCCACCTGCCTCCTGTCCCCCCAAAACAGTACTTCTGTCTTGTCAGGATTCAACCTCAATCTGTTAGCCGCCATCCATCCTTAATATGCTGATACTGATGCTGATAATATGTTGGGACATTAGGCCAAAAAGAGGTATATAGGTAAATGATATAAAAGAAAAAAATAAGTGGACTATAATTTATCCTACTATTTCTTGCATGTTTATTAGAACATCCTTGGAATGATATGCACTGACAAATCAAATAAATTTTCTGCAATTAACACAGTAACTGAAAAGGCTAGTTCTCCATTGCAACTTTACGAGTGGCTTCTCCCCTTGACTTCACTGTAAAACAAAATGGCAATGGCAATGGCATTGGCAATGGCAATATTCAAACGCTTAATCAATTTTCACAACTTTAAATTTTAAAAAAGAACAGAAGAAGAAATGCTGAACATTTATTTCCCCTCGATTGGCAATTTTTACTTGCCTGAAAGTTTTGCATCCTCATCCTCCATTTCAGAATTATATTTTTCCACAAAAGTGCAATTGTCTGTTGATACACACTTCTATTCCTTTGGCGTTGTCCCTGCATTTTCAAGCCTGCTTAAAATGAAAAATAAGCCTGTTCAGTCAGAGGTTACTCACTCTAGGCAAAGTGCGGCACTGGGCAAAGGAATAAATTGCAACACAACCCACCCTCCCACTTATTTGCACAATGTTCTGTGCATATATTGATTTTCCTAGCTGGGTATGTGTAGATACCATGCAGAGTCCAGACTAGCCTCTCCCAACTTGGTGCTCTTCAGATATTTTGAACTACAACTCCCATCAGCCCCAAGGAGCATGGACAATGGTCAGGGATGAAAACATCATACTGGATATTGTGGGGGGGGGGGGATTTGACAGGTTGGGTCCTCCATCATGGAGGGCACTTATTGTGGTGAGATCACCAGAAACTGCCTCCTTGTTGTGGGGCAGGACCATTTGGATGGCCACAACACCCCATTGGTTGCCCCTCTGTTGCTGGGGCAGAAATTTGGTCAGTTGGGTTGGCTATTGGCTGCTGCACGTCGCTGGAGAGTTTCACTTTCTTGCGACGTGCAGCGGATCACCCGCCCTCCTCTCCCTATATTTAGGGTTGTTCTTATGGCCTTGCTATGCCTGTCTAGGGGTCGTCTGTTTTGGAGCAGGTACCCGGTAGGAATTTTGCCATTTGGCTGATTGGCTGGTGCCACTTGGTTTTTGCCTCATGTGTTTAATGACAAACAGATGTTAGAGGTAAGAGGTTAAATCAAACTTTATCAACGTGTGCATAGGGAAAATCCAGTTAGTGTCATGCCAAAGTTGAGTTAGGATCTCCATAAAACATGTTCCCACTCTGCTGCTCATCATGTTTAAGCATTCCTGGACCTACTGCTACCTTTGACCTTGAGTTATTTTGCACCCATCCATGAACACAACGGGATGTTTGAGCATCAGATACCAAATACTCTAATAGGTTTGAGAGAGCATCTGAGTTCTAACATTCTTCTTCCATGTAGTGTTTCAATCTCTAGGTCAGTGTTCCCCAAACTTAGGTCTCTAGTTGTTGTTTGACTACTACAACTCCCATCATCCCTAGCTAGCAGGATCAGTGGTCAGGGATGATGGGAGTTGTAGTCCAAAAACAGCTGGAGACCCAAGTTTGGGAAACAGTGCTCTAGGTGAAGATTCTGCTTGAAATGTTTCAGTGCAAGTATATTGGGATTCCAATCCTGTTGCTCCATGGCCCCGAATGAGATTTTATTTTGGAAAGAAAAGTAGGTGGGTTCATTTTTAACACCTGATTTTATTGGCCATATTCACATATATATTGCATTTTATGTAAACTGCTCAGAAGTTTTAATTAAGCAATATATAAATCCTGTTGGGGGTGGGAATAAACTTAGACTTCACCCAACAGAAGGCAGTGAGAGAGAAACACAGTGAGGGGCAGAATGGTTGCATAATCTCCAGCTGTCAGAATATTTAAAGGGACAGAGGCGATCTTGGGTACGTGATCTGGCAAACCCATTCTTAGGTGGCGAGTCCAACCAGTCTACTTCACCTATTCATCTGCCTGCAGATTCCATTTAGGACAGCAGGGGAGAAAAGGTAGGAAATATGACTCAAGAGAATATTATTTCAATCAAATTCATAAACAACCAGTGACCAGCTTTACCAAATCAAGTGAAGCTGCTAACAAACCTAATAAGGAACACCTGTCAAAACTTTGCAATGCTTTGTATAAAACTAATTTGGGATGGCAACATTAATACCTCCACATGGATGGTAAAACTCTTAGCATTTGCAGTTTCAAAGCTAGCTTCCCCATGGTTTTACTGCTCAAGTGCTTTAACAACAAAATTGTGTTAAAATATTTCTATGGGTAAAAGAAAATTCTAGGTCAGGATATTGCTGCAACAGGAAGACATTTATTTTAGACTGACCTAAATAAATCAAATCACAGGCATACCAATCAAACTCTGCAGAGGATTTCACATAGTTGGCAAATCCAATCCTATGCAGATTTACTCAAAACTAAGACTCACCAAGTTTAAGGAGAGTTACTCCCAAACAAGTATATAGGACTGCAATGTTAATTCACAAATGAGTCAAGATGAGCTGGCAGAGTTTAGGTACATAGGTTCAAATATCCAGATCACCTATCAGTTGATATCCAAGCACTTTGAGTAAGTGAGTTTGCATTCATTCAGTAGCAATTCTCCCCTCTTTCCCTTTTTGCTCCCAAATAACTAGGCTTCATCAGGTATTAATGGCAAGAAAATACATCCAGAGGCAAAGAGAAAGCAACATTGAAAAGCTTACCTTAAAGTAATGAATTTAGGCTAAAACGTCAGCAAAGGATTCAAAGAAAACTGCATAATAACAGCAATGTATTTTCTTTGTCTGAAATATGATTTATAAAGCCTCCAACTACTCTTTCTGCTTCTTTGTGCCTTTTCTCTTTCCAGTCCATAAATGCAGCCAGAAAAAGCAATGGCCATTCACAACAACGTCGTGTTTTTGTCCTCCAGTAGTTCCTCCCCTCGAAAATCTTCTCCCAGGACAGTTGAAGAGATTTCTTTGTTCTGATAAGACTTAATCATTCTTGATACAGCTGGACCGCTGATGGAAAACTGTGCCCCAGAGTTTTGCACAGGCAAACAGCTTTGTAAATATATTCTGCCTGCAGCAAATTGAAAAGGAAGGAGCAATGTATTGCAACGTGGGAGAGTACTTTTAAGTGCACTCCAATTTCTGAGCAGTAAGAGGTCTCAGATTCCCAAAGCATGGCTTGTGTTTGGTATAACTGGAAAGAATGTCATTTTAGACTACCACCACTCCATGATATAAGGAGCAGAAGTAAACGGCAGAGCAGAGACAGAGGAACCAGGTAAATAATGAACTCCTTGATCACCATGGGAGAGCAGGGTTCAGTGCATTGTGATATCAAAGTTTAAAATCAATCAGCATAAAGCAATTATTCCACAATCCACTACCAGAGTGGTCACATCAGAAAGAGGGCTTCTGCACTTTTAATAAGAAGCAGTTTGGGCAGGTGTAACTTAATTGGGCTCTTTTTCACCTAGCTACCTTACCTGGCAGACCCACAAAACTGAGTTATTGTTTGATCTAGAGTACTACTTGAGGTTATTAGGTCCTCCCTTCTATAGGGGGGAAATAACATATTCCTTGTGATTCCTATCAGGCAGTAAGAAATCTTCATTCAGAGTTAGTGGGATAATAAACACACACCCAGAATCACAAATTAGCATTGCTTTTCCTGAGAGAGCTATATATGGGCTCTGTCTCTTTCCTGGGCTGTTTCTGATTGTGCTGGGTAAAAGCAACTCGAGATCCAGATGTGTGGTCTCACTGCACTTAATATCAGCTGGCCTCTAGTGGTAACTGGCAGTAAATTATTCCACAATGAGCAACAGCCTACCAGTTCTTAACACTTCACTTACCATATCTGTAGTAAGGAGGAGGAGAAGAAAAAGAGTTTGGATTTGTTATCCCACTTTATCACTACCCAAAGGAGTCTCAAAGCCGCTAACAATCTCCTTTCCCTTCCTCCTGTGAGGTGAGTGAGGCTGACAGACTTCAGAGAAGTGTGACTAGCCCAAGGTCACCCAGCAGCTGCATGTGGAAGAGCGGAGACATGAACCCGGTTCACCATATTATGAGTCCACCGCTCTTAACCACTACACCACACTGGCTCATCAGCAAAATATGCACCTAGGGCAGATTTGTCATGTACCAATAGATCTTAACTGTCCCCCAAAGGGGGGGGGGGACTGATTCTACTCCTCTTTTTATTTCCAAGATTTAGTTTTGCTGCCATCACCCTGCCTTCCATCTGGAGCAAAGCGGTGGTAGAAAATCCAGTTGTGTGGTTAATCATTTGTTTCCTAGTCATTTATTACCGTATTGGCCTGAATATAAGCCGTACCTGAATATAAGCTGCACCTTTAAAATTCGGGGGGGCGGGGAGAGAATACCTGAATATAAGACGCTCCCTTAAAATTCCGCAGGCCCTTGCACCCGTTCCGTTTTAAAAGCAGCCCATAGATCAAAACCATAAGGGGAGGGAAACATAAGGGTCAGACTGAGTCCAAACCAAAGGCCAGGCGGAACAGCTCTGATTGTATTGTATTGCACATATACATAAAACAAAACTCACAAACTTAAACAAACAAGAAAGACTTATGTAGAGAGAGCAAAAAAAGAAAAGAATAAAAGCAGAAACTCCAGAAAGGAAGAAAGAAGTAAGAGATATAAATATATGCCTTTTTGTAAGTACATTTAAATCTTAGAAAGAAAAGAAAAAGAAAAGAAAAAAGGAAGCCTACATAAAACAACATTAGTTCATTCGTCAATAAACTAAGACATTTCCAAAAAAAAAGAAACATAGTGGTTGTCAACTTCCGCCAACTTCATAACAGTTCATTATTTCTAATTAAAGTCTACCTGTCTGTATTTCAGTAAATCCCTCATCTTGGTATCAGGGAGTTTTTTCCTTTGCGGCGTTATTCTAAACACAGCCAGATCTTAGCTGATGAACCTTGGTTCATCAAGTAGTTATTTAGGTAATCCCATTCTTTTTTAACTATCTTGTTATACTTATATCTTATATCTGTCAGCTTCGCGAGTTCCAAGTACTCACACAGTTTACACAACCATTCTTCTTTGGTGGGTACAGTATATGATCTTCCTTCCAAAACTTAGCCACTACATGCTACATAAAGAAATAGTCTTGTTTTCTTTTTAGGGATATTGTTTGTCAAAATTCCCAAAAGAAATTATTCCGGTTTTTTGTTGAATGTAATTTTTAATAACTTTTTCATCTCCTCATAGGTCGTGTCCCAGAACTTTCTAATCTCTGGGCACGCCCACCACATACGGTAAAAGGTTCCTACTTGATTTTTGCACCTCCAACATTTCTTGTTATAAGTTTTATTAATTTTTGCCAGCTTTACAGGGGTCCAATACCACCCTGTATTGTGTTTTCATGAGATTTTCTCTCATTAAGTAACAAGCCGTAAATTTTATATTCTTTGTCCATAGTTCTTTCCAGTTATCCAATTCAATTGTGTGGCCTATATCTTGTTCCCATTTTATCATAACATCTGAAAGAATTTGTTACAGGGAGGGACTAAGACTCTAATATATACCTGTGTGGTGATACAAATCTTGTTGGGCAGTGAAAAAATGGGCACTTTAATGTGGTTGGATGGATGAGGGGAGCTGGGAGGGGGAGGACCTTTTGACAACCCTGCAATGTAGTCCGATTGCATTTTCCACATTGGGGTTTTCCCCCCAGGAAATGCAGCTGACCGCAGCAGCAGCGTGGCAGGGGGAAACGGGGTGATTAAATGTGTCCCCCGTCCACTGGAGTAAACAGGAAACTTCTTGTGTAAGATGGATTTCATCATTAAAAGTCTATTGGTGTTCTTTTACTGTTTGATAATGTCTGCTGCACAATATTATTGAAATATTTCATTGGTGTGTAAGTTTGCTTAAAGTGAGCGTGTGTAAACATTGTCAAGGCAAATGTCCACAACCAACATTAATCTAGACTTGACCACAGCGGCAACCTGCCAAGAAATGTTTGCAGTTTAAGGCAAGGGGGAACTGCAGGAAAAAGACATTAGAAACCTTAAACTGGGCAGAAGAGCAGCGGATGGAAGCTTTCTTTCAAAAGAGTTGAAAACACTAAGCAATTTTGAAGGATTACCTCAGCCCAAAAGGGTGGAGGAAGGAAAGAGTAGCCAGACAGCAACACAGTGTTGCTCTGGGACAGGATAAGTTCCAAAAAACCCCACTTCTTTTAAAAGTCTTGTAGGGAACATCCAGCTGTTGGAAGTCCAGGCAGTATAGGTCAGAAAAACACACAATAAACATCTTGTTATTCACTTATTGGCAGAATTTTGTTCACATATCACAGTCAGTGCTGGGACGATGAAAGAAGCCCTCCAGACCTTGGACTCTAGCTCCCTTCAGCCAAGCCGGTGGTCAGGGATGATGGGAGTTGTAGTCCAGCAACATTTTTAGGGCCTCAGATCTCCCACTATAGCTTTTGCGGTGGGCACCATCTTAACATCAAATCTTTTTTACTTGTTAATCAGTCAATCAATCTTTCAATTTGTGCCAAAGTGCGTTTCTATTAAAAAAATTTTTTAGCAAGATACAATTTGAAAGAGAGAATATTAAGAATGCTATAATGCTACAGTGCCTAGTGGAATGAGTGGGAGGGCCAACCAATCCAGGAATTCACTCCTTTACTGCAGGAAAATAATCATACTTACAAAAAATAAAAATAAAATAAGGTGGTACTTCCAGGAGGTCCCACAATGGCTAACAGAGGAAACCATTGCCAAAGCATAAGAGCAAACAGAACACAATGCAGAGAAATGTTCACCAGAGCTAATCCACACCAATATGCAAAAGTCCTGAGACCCACAACTGAGAGTGAGTTTTTATCCAGCAAAGAAAATGAAAAGAGATGGTTTTACCCAGTGCTTTTTTTTAATTAAAAAAAAATGTTATGGGGTACTCTCATTTTCCTACTCATATTGATATACTGCTCCTCAATGAGGCCAAACTTAAATTCACAAAACATTTACGGGTATGCATACCCCTGTGTACCCCCAGAAAAAAGCACTGGTTTTACCTTTCAGTATTCCATCTAATTAAACGGTCACAGGTACAGTCAAACCTCGGTTCCCAAACGCCTCCGTTATCGTATGTTTTTTCTTCCAAATGCTGGAAACCCGGAAATAACTGCTCTGGTTTCCGAACAATTTTTGGAAGCCAAACAGCTTCTGGGGAGTTTTCTTTTTTCTTTTTTCCTCCACTGACTTTGCTAACCGCCTTTTGATACTCAGTTGTCGAACATTTCAGAAGTCGAACAGTCTTCCGGAATGGATTACGTTCGACAACCGAGGTTTGACTGTATAATATATGCCAAGATACACAAAGCTTATACCATGCATCAATATTCGCAATAATTTCCTTTTCCTTTTTTTTTACCCCTGACTCTTATGACCATTTCTTCCTTCCTGCTCCTAGTGCATTTTTTCACTTCTCCAAGTTCTTTATCTTTGATCCCATTCCATTCTTTAAGGTTCAACATCATCATTAAGCATGTTATTCCAGAACATTACATGGAATTGTAGTGTTTTTCCATATGCTTATTGGGTTGGTTTCTGCATATTCTTTTCTAATATGTTAACTTAATCTGTGTTACAGTAAGACCATATTTTTCTCTATCCACTCAGATTCTGTTAAGAAAGTCAATGTGAGTGGGAGGTGGATAACATATTAAGAAGAAAGTCAATGTGAGTGGGGGGGTGGATAACATATGGGAAATTAATAGTCAAAGAAACGGGTAAATGGAAATTGAAACCATATGATGAAGTGAAAGAATATGTTAATGATTAGCTGCATTATTATCAGGTTAATGAAATGTTTAAAAAAGATGTTAAAGAAAAAGGTTTGGGGGGAAAGAGTCGAAGTTTCAATTAGAAATATTGAACAATGACTTAAAATTTTTATCTAAAATGTATAAATTGCTGCTTGAATGGCATACTAAAGATTAAATCGGTTATGATTCACTGGGCCAAGGACTTTGGACATAATATACAGTTAAATGATCGGACAAAACTATGGAATGAAGGTCTCAAATGTACTGCATGTACTGCGTTAAAAGAGAATGTGATAAAAATGATTTATAGATGGTATATTACACCAGTAAAATTAGCAAAAATGTATAAAGTGAGTAACAAGTGTTGGAAATGTAAGGAAAAAGAGGGAACATGTTATCATATGTGGTGGGAGTGCAAAAAGGTGAAATGCTTCTGGGAGATGATATATAATGAATTGAAAAAAATGTTGAAATATACATTTGTAAAGAAACCAGAAGCATTTCTGATAGGTATTATGGGAAATGAAATAAATAAAAAAGAATGTAAGCTCTTTTTGTATGCAGTAACAGCAGCAAGGATACTATTGGCACAAAAATGGAAACAGGAAGAATTACCAACGATAGAAGAATGGAGAATGAAATTAATGGACTATGCAAAACTTGATAAATTAACAGGAAAGATCCGAAACCAGCGGGACCAGAAGTTCACCGAAGACTGGAGTAAATTTGTAGATTATATGAAAAGTATATGCGATGATCAAACAACGTTTGTTGGCTTGCAGGAAGCTCTATGAAGAATTAATATTAGAAATATTGCAAAAAAGGGAAAAGGAGAGAGGAGAGGTTATTAATTTAAGGCAATATAAAATTAGGAAATGCGTAAGAAATGATTAAAAATGGAGGATTATCAGAAGAGTTGAGGGAAGTCCAAAAAGAATGTATTTATGAGAAAATGTGTATGATGTTTTTATAATTTTGTATTGTAAAATCAATAAAAATATTTTTTTTAAAAAAAGAATTTTCTGACATTAGTTTAAACGGGACATTGTCCCAAATCCATTTCCATTCTTCCCTCAGTATTACATCTGATAATTCTTTCTCCCATTTTTTTTTTCCATGTATGCATCTGGAATCTGATCTAAGCTCGATCATAAAATTTCGCAAGGGTTTCTTTATCTATATGACTGGTGAACAAAATTTCACACTTATTCTCTTTTCTTAAAGAGATGTGTTTATGAATTAAAACTTGCTACTCTAATCTAAAAATACTAAAAAAAGCAGGGCTCTTCTTTCTTCCAAAGTTGTTAGAACCTCTTCAGATGTCAAGTCAACCTGACCCTCAAGTAACATCTTTATAAACTCTCTGATTAATTGTGGTTCTTGAATCAAATATTCATTATAATATAGGGCCGTTGAAAGTGATAATCCAATAAACATTTAGATGGGTGGAAACTGCTGGAAAAATGAAATTAGAACCTTATACTGCACATAGCCATTCAGTTAGAGCTGTGGGTGGAAGGTTTTTGGGGGTTTTTTATGACTGAGTTGAAAACTTTTTTCTTTTCTTGCCTCAACCAGAAGGGTGGAGGGAAGAAAGAGTAGCCAGCCCACCTCCATATGGTGTTGCTCTGGGACAGGATGAGAAAAGTGGAAGGCAAACAAAACAAAACTCCTCTAGGGAACATCCTGTTGTTTGAAGTCCAGACGGGCAGTATAGGTCAGTCAGAGAGATATACAATAAATATTTTGTTCTTTGATCGGAGCTGTTTTATGTGGAGGTTGAAGCTGGGACAATAGAACAAGCTTCCTATAAAACAAGGCGAGGGAAGTGAGGCAGTGTGGTGTACTGGTTAGAGCATTGGACTAGGACCTAGGAGAGGTAGGTAAAGGGACCCCTGACCATTAGGTCCAGTCGTGACCGACTCTGGGGTTGTGGCACTCATCTTGCTTTATTGGCCGAGGGAGCCAGCGTACAGCTTCCGGGTCATGCGGCCAACATGACTAAGCCGCTTCTGGCGAACCTGAGCAGTGCACGGAAACACCGTTTACCTTCCCGCCGGAGCAGTACCTATTTATCTACTTGCACTTTGACGTGCTTTTGAACTGCTAGGTTGGCAGGAGCAGGGACCGAGCAACGGGAGCTCATCCCGTCGTGGGGATTCAAACTGCCAACCTTCTGATCGGCAAGTCCTAGGCTCTGTGGTTTAACCCACAGTGCCACCCGCATCCCTTAGGACCTAGGAGAGACCAGGGTTCAAATCCCCACCAGGGCATGAAGCTCACTGGGTGATCTTAAGCCAGTCTCTCTCTCTCTCTCTCTCTCCCCTACCTCAAAGGATTGTTGTGAGGATTAAAGGGGGAGGAGGAGAATCAATTCTCCAAAGGAACACAGACCCTGTGTGGGTGCCTGGAAACTCTTGCTACCACTTGACAAAGCGAAGGGCAGACGTTTGTAACAATATTTTTTTGGTGCACTTTTGAAGAATAGAAGAAGAAGAAGAAGAAGAAGAAGAAGAAGAAGAAGAGGAGGAGTTTGGATTTGATATCCTGCTTTATCACTACCCTAAGGAGTCTCAAAGCGGCTAACAATCTCCTTTCCCTTCCTCCCCCACAACAAACACTCTGTGAGGTGAGTGAGGCTGAGAGACTTCAAAGAAGTGTGACTAGCCCAAGGTCACCCAGCAGCTGCATGTGGAGGAGCAGAGAATCGAACCCGGTTCACCAGATTATGAGTCTACCGCTCTTAACCACTACACCACACTGGCTTTCCCACCTCTCTGTTTTATCCCTGGCATTAGTGTTTTCCATTCATTCTCCCCCTCCCACCCCAACCTCCATTTCCTTTATGGTTAGCGTTTCTCTGGCCTTATCCCCAGATGAAAATGGTGCGTCAAAGACAATGTTAGTTTTAAGAACATAAGAAAGGTCCTCTAGTCCATTTAAGGGCACCTGCCATGTGCTCAGGAGGAATTATGCAACCGTGGGAGTTGGGACAGGAATTCAGCATTTCCTGTTTTGATTTATAAATCTATTCTGTCCCTATGGAGGTGTTTTGGGACTGGTTTTTGTTTTGTTTTCCGAGATGCACAATGTTCAGTCCTCAACTCCAAACTCTGGATATAAATCTCACATTGCTGCCAATTTACATCAGCTGGATAGGAAGAGGTTTTGTCATTTGGAATCATTACAAAAGTTTCTTTCATCGATTGCTAGTATGGGTGGAGAACCACCCTCCAGCTTTGTTGTGCTACTGATCCCCCTGAAGGGAGAGGAGAGATGATCGACCATCCCTGGAGGACACTGGGCCCACCCACCATTGATTTGGAACATCTGGCCTCAGCACCAGACTTCTGGGTGGGGTGGGAAGGCTAAAGGGGGGAAATTGTTGGTTTGGTGTGAATGGTTTGGGGACAAATTATTGTTCTGTTTATTATGTGAGTATGTTTTGAAATGACTGTTACTATATTATATAAAATATTACAGATCCTCCAAGTGTCCCTATTTTCCAGGGACAGACCTGGATTTACAGAAGCCGTCCTCGTTTCTGATTGCACCCCGGAATGCCCTGCTTTTCCTTAGGACATGCCGATTTTCGTTGGAGAAATGTTGGAGGGTATGGAGTTATGCAACCCCCGAGCCAAGGAGATGAGTAACTATACAACCTTTTGAAGACATCTGAAGGCAGCCCTTTCTAGGGAAGGTTTTTTAAAAAAATGTTTTATCATGTTTTTATACGTGTTGGAAGCCACCCAGAGTAGCTGGGGCAACCCAGTCATATGGGCGGGGTATAAATAATAAATTGTGGTTGTTAAATAGGACATCCCTATTTTCATCAGATAAATTTTGGAGGGTATGATATTAGTGTATTAGTGTATTATATTATTGCCCCCACTTCCCCTCCTCATAAGGTATTATGTACTGTATCTTTTCTGCTGTCTCTTGGAGACGTTTGGGTAACAAGTGATTAATAAGTCTAATAAATGAAATGAGAAGTGGATTCTATAACTAATAATCTACCCAACGTCTGCTTTCTTTTACCACGATGATATTTGAGAGGGCACAATCACAGGGGGACAGGGACGGTTTAAACAAAATCTCTGGTGTTAATTCAGCTAAATGTTGCTAACTATGTAATTAAGTTCCATTGAAGCCACTGAAGACTAACAGTAGCTGGATTGGAGCCACTGCCCTTTGAAAAGGAATGAATGAAGTCCCAAATAATTGCTGAATTATCAGTTTGTCTTCTGTTCCCTGTAAACTGCAGACAAAATAACAAAACGAAGTACTGTACGGCCAAAGTTAAGCATGTTTCAGTTTCATTGAATAATGTGGGAGAGTTTGTGGTGTCATTATAGGACATGAAAAATGCTGAACTCTAGTAGGATCTTTCAGCGTAAAATATTAAGCATAGATTTAACATGTATTTAACATCTATTTCACAATAGATGTTCATACAAAATGCATGTTTACAAAACTATTGTACTACCAAACTAACTGTATGATTGTGAAACATGGACCACTTATAAATGCCATCTCCAACTCCTCGAAAGATTCCGTCAACGGTGTCTCCAAAAAATTTTACATATCACTTGGAAAGACAGGCAAACTAATGCCAGTGTACTGGAAGAAGCAAAGATCACCAGTGTCAAAGCAATGATTCTTCAACATCAACTTCGCTGGACCAGTCTGATTATCGTCTTCCAAAGCAACTACCGGTACTCTATTCCAAACTTTAAAATGGAAAGCGTAATGCTGGCGGTCAACAAAAGAGGTTTAGAGATGCTCTCAAGGCAAATCTAAAAGAATGTAGTATAAACATTGACAATTGGGAAACACTGGCCTGCAAGCGCTCCGGTTGGAGAACAGCCTTTACTGAAGGTGTCATGAACTCTGAAGACGCTCGAACTCAGGACAAAAGGAAGAAACGTGCTAAGTGGAAGACACGTTTGACAAACCTTCACTGTGATCAACTCCCACCCAGAAACCTAGGTCCCCACTGTGGAAGGATGTGTGGATCCAGAATTGGCCTCCACAGTCACTTACGGACTGTTAAAACCGTGTTCATGGAAGACAAACTTATTTGGCCATGAGTGATCGCCAAAGAAGAAGAAGGTGGTGGCACTTGACCTTTTGATAGGAAATGCTCTACAAAAATGGGGGGGGGTCGAGGAGGGTCAGGAGAGTGAGAAAAGTCTGTATTTTCATCTGAGGAATGTTGGAGAATATGGCCTTCCTGGGTATGGAAGATTGATAACATGGTACAACAGCAATAGCAGCAGCAAGAAAAGGAATTTCACCTTACAGGAAAATATCTAGCAATACAGTGGTACCTCGGTTCTCGAACGTAATCTGTTCCGGAAGACCGTTCGAGTTCTGAAATATTTGAAAACTGAGGGTCAAAGGGCCATCTACAAATTCAATTCAGAAAATTGAAAAACACGCAGCGGAAGCCGTTTGACTTCCAAGGCGCGTTCGGAAACAGAAGCATTTACTTCTGGGTTATCGGGTTCTGAAACGTTTGTCAACGGAGACGTTCAAGAACTGAAGTTCCACTGTACAAGGGATATAAGAAGCGGACAGATGTAAAGACACCTCACTTTAAACTTTTAAGTAGGGGAAAGACACACACACACACACACACACACACATACACACACACACCGTTTAGCACATTCACTAACTTTGAAAACATTAAGGGAAGTGTAGTAAGAATGAGGCCTAAGGAAGGGCTTTGCAACTCATCTGAGGTTACACACGCCAAAACCAAACCAATCGCTTCCAGATCACTTCAACCAATTAATCTTGGATTTGGCCCTTACTAGCACACAATTGAATCCTCACTCCAGTCCAGTTGGGGGTGGAATTCCAGTGACTAAAAGTTTGTACAATAGTTTCCTTTGAATAGAACTTTCTGAAAGTGAGAACAGAAGTGAATATACAGGAAAGGAGGAGGAAAATATTTTTTGGAGGTCATCAGGAAGGCAGCTTTGCTCTACTAACCAAAAGGCCATGGAAACGGAATGTTCCACAGTGGGACTGAATTTGTTCTCTTCCACACACACAAAAAAAACCCCTAAATTTTTCTAGCTTTGTCTATTGTCCTCTGACAAGAAAACCATTATTGTGTAGCCACATTTGTACTTAAAAAAAAATAAATGTTGCACAACGTAATGCAGATTCCTAGAAAAACCACAGAGGAATATTTCTCTTTCCTTAGTTCCTGGGAGGATAGAAGTGATCTTTAAGACGTAAGACTGGCTCTTTTACAACTGAGTTGTAGATTTTGCATAAAAGCCTCAGCAAAATCTGCATTTTTAATGTCTTCGCATAGTCTGCCACCTTCTGGTGATATGTTAAAATTGCAAGGCTTGCATTTCCATATACTGTGTGTGTGTGTGTGTGTGTGTGTGTGTGTGTGTGTGTGTTTATAGATAGATTAGAGATAGAGATAGAGATAGAGATAGAGATAGAGATAGAGATAGAGATAGATACAGATACAGATACAGATACAGATATACAGATACAGATACAGATACAGAGATAGAGATAGATATAGATATAGATATAGATATAGATATATTATACTGGTATATATATCGTATATTATACTGGTATATATCGATATAGATATAGATATAGATATATTATACTGGTATATATACTGGTATTATAATATATATATATATATGGCTGTGTACACATTACAATTTACTCTTGCTCCAGTGCACTCCCACCACTGGTGTTTGAAGCCATGCACACATGCCGCTAGCCACAATCCATATACATCCTGTAGTTTCTTGAGAAATGGTCCCTTTCCCCTCAAACCCGCTTCCATCTGATTTGGAAATGTAAGCTGTATTCAAGTTGCAGTTAAGCTGAATTGTGTACATTTGAGACAGCCATTGCCTACGCATTGGTGACAGCTTCACAAAGATGAGTTTGAGGGATGTGAAGGGTAAACTAAGCAGGTAATGGGCAAAATAATATACAGTGATACCTTGGGTTAAGTACTTAATTCGTTCCGGAGGTCTGTTCTTAACCTGAAACTGTTCTTAACCTGAAGCACCACTTTAGCTAAAGGGGCCTCCTGCTGCCGCCGCGCCGCCGGAGCACGATTTCTGTTCTCATCCTGAAGCAAAGTTCTTAACCCGAGGTACTATTTCTGGGTTAGCGGAGTCTGTAACCTGAAGCGTATGTAACCTGAGGTACCACTGTACAATAGCTCAGAAGAAGCTGCACTTGACTAGCTGGCTGAACGATGGGTGCGCAATCTCATACAATCAAGCAATCATCTCACTAATTTGCCTAAGACATCTGCTGCTTCAACACATTGCAGAATAAATGGCAACTATATATTGACCTACCGTATCAAAATACATAATTCAAAAGTATAATGGCGAGTGCGAATGCAAAGCAATGAATTAGCATAATATATATGTTTCTCACCGACATCACGTTTGATCAGTTGCAACCCTAGAAGTGGTGAAAGGGTCTGAGAAAATACAACCTCAGTACAATACAAACAAAACAGACTTTAAATTTCAGAAACAATACCTAAAAGATGAATAACTGCTAATCTAAAAGAACTCTGTACAATCTGTCAGTGGCATCTTACACCTCATGAGTTAAGCAAGATGTAGGTGATCAGGGGCAGATTATTTACATATTTTCTGGAGCGGAGTAAAAAAATAAAAATAAAATGAAAGTGTGGTTCTCAGCATAGTGCAGGAAATTCTAGGATACATTATCTCTAAAACCTTCAGTGTAACCCCTTTGTGTGTGCTGAAAACAGGAGTGGGAATGCCAATGTACAATTTGTTGTATGTTAACAGGCTCATTGCTCAGCTTTGGGAAGAAAAAATGAGCTTTGCCATTAAAAGAATGGTTACAGAAAGTACAGAAAGCTGCCCTAATGACTAAACTGACATATCAGAGAATAACATCACATAGTCAACAGCAAGACAGATTCACAGAAAGATGGGCATTATTTATTAATTTCTGGGACAACATCCATGATAATACAGTTCCATCTATGTTTCCCTCATGAGTTTTTTGAAGCATATCTATATAGTACTAACTTCACCTGTTTAAACAAAAGCAAATCAACACCCAAAATCAATAACAAATCTTAAAAGGCTGCGATGATTTGAACCCACACATTTGGAAACCCAAAGCTGTCCCTGAGCCTAAACAAACAAAAGCTAGCAAACAGACAATAAAAAGAGCTCAGCTGCAGACTTCTCTGCGGCTTTTAGATTTTGCTGCTTTTATCTAGTGTGGGTTGCTTTGGCAATATTCTTCCATTTTGACCGTATTTTATGACCTTGAAAGCTGCCCAGGGAACTTGTTTGAAGGGTTGGGTGAAAAAAGATGCCAAAGTAAATCATTAAATAATGAAGACAACCATCACTAAAATAGCAATAAGGGAAAACATAAAAGCCGCAGAAATGGTCCGTGTTGCGAAAAGGCAAATGGACCTGCTTGTTTTTATGAAGAGCCCAGAAGAAGGCTCCCCAAACTTTCTAGACCTCAGTGGGCAATCTTGGATTTTTCAAGAAGTGAGCTCCAACCCTTTCGGTCACTTCTCG